TGATTTACAGAATAACACTTTATAGAAAACAACAAAACAATTAAAGAACCTGATTTATTGCACTGTCAACACATGTTTCTTTGCTGCCTCCTCAAAGCTTGTCCTCACTAGCTCTAGGTCATCCTCAGCAACTTCCTTCTTTGCATCAACATTCATCATCGGACTGAACTTATTCCTCAGCTTCTCAATAAATCCAATCTCACTCACATCCTTATTGTGTCCATTTGGATAAACACTCGACATTATCCTTGCAAATATGTTCGCCACATACTCCATCCTTGCTTCTCGGAACTCGTTGCTTTCCTTATCAGATCCCTTGAAATTAGGCACAGAAAACTCAAGCCCTGCTGTCAGAAAATTAAACATGTAATACATCCTCGAGTATGCATAAGTCTCATAAGGTGATGCACAAACTCGTCCATTATGCACAAAAAACTCATCAATCACCTTGTAAATCTGTTCATCACTCAGAATTTCTCCGGTCTCTTTACTTCTTGGCTCTTTCAACGCACTAAGTCCTGCTTTGATATCTGCTCTCAGTCCCTCTCCAACCTTAGCTCCATCAAACATGTACTTCACTCTCTTATCTGCATCTAATGATAGAATCCCAGACACCGCATTGATCAGTGCACATCCAACCTCATACCAAGGATCTGTCTTACTCTCAGGTAATGTGTTCATCATGTAGTCAATGCTCTTTCCCTTGTATCCAGAAAAAAACATCTCTCCTCCAACTGTCTTCTTACTCTTCATCATATCCTTCAGCTGCTCATTCGTCAAGCTCTCATCAACCTTCAGATTCTCACTCTCACATATAAACTTCTCTCTAAGCTTCAAAAAAGACCCATACTCATTGAAATTCAGACTCGACTGGTGATCAAACCCTCGTGGATAATGCTCAGGCCTATTGAATCGTATCAAATACGCATCTCCAACCTCCTTGCTCACTCCATCAATCGTTTCCACTCTTCCTTGTGCAAGTTCATAGAACTTCTGTCTCTCCTCAGTGCTTGGGTAGTCAAGCTCGTTAATCAACTTGTATCTCCCATGAGTCATTGGCTTTTCTGCATAGTTCACTCTCCATGCATACATATAGCTTCCGTAGTACTCTGGATCCAAAAACGCCACTCCAAACAAAAACAGAAGTACGTAGTATATCCCAACTCCAACTGCAATCCCAATAAACGCCATTCGAAGCATTCCATACATCGTTGTTGGTTTTCTTGCTCCTTCACCACTCATTATACCCCTCGGCTAAAACAAAATTTATATACACATGCATTTGAACTGTTTACCCATAAATCACATGCATCATCATAATACAAAGCATAACTAATGAGTACAACATATAATAAATCAAATAATCACATTATCTTCATTCATAACATTCAATGTCATTCATATACAATGTTATACAAATTATAAAAGACATATTTCCATTTATGGACCTCATAGCATCCATGACATTCTATTGATCGTCTGTTTTCCTGTTTCAGATTCAAGATTACGTCTTCTTTCTGCCTCCTTTTTCATATTTTCTTTTTCTATCTCGCTTTGAATCTTTGCTTCTGCTTCCTTTACTTTACTCTGTGTCTCATATCTACTTGGATGCCATTTCTTTTTACAATTGATATTTATTGCCATATACCAAGGGTATATTGATTATAAAGCTTCAAATTCTATGTAAAAGCATTTAGTATTACCTAAGCATTCTTTTGTGAACTCCTATTTGGGTTGATTGGTAGAGACTCCTTAAATCACATACAAAATCATAAGATTTTCAGATGAGATGAAGTTTTCATTTGAGAGGTCGTCGCGTAAGTTTGTTAGATTTGTGATTCTGGTGCTTTTCAGCTATGTTATTCTATCAATAAACTAACATGCATTAAATAGCATAAGTTACATTATTATTGAGTGTTTTGTTTTGAACTACATTTATAAGAAGTCCGGACCCTGTGTGCACAATGACATGTGCTGAACAAGAAGATATTGCAATTCTTGCTCAAAAGATTGTTTCAGATCACATGCTGTTTGTATGTGCGCAGAATGCATATGATTTGTGGAATTCAAAAACTGGAGTCAGTAATTCTCACTTGTTTCAAGCTCAAAAACATGCCTTGGAAATAAGAAAAAAAGTATTGTTAATGGTGGAGAACAAAAAAACAATTGATGCATTGGATTTCTGTGGAAGCATCTTATCATTTGATGGCAGTGATGATAAACAATCATCTATAAAACAATCTCTATCTTCATTAGTGTTTTTAGATCTTTTGCAATCAGGAAAATACACTGAAGCCGTAAAATTTGCTAAATTATCCAATTGCATCAATAGAAAACTACTCACACTGATAGGATACAAAAATACAGACGATCCAATATTTCGCGAGATAGCTGTCTCAATAAACAGAGGAGATATTGTTAGAGAAATCAACAAACATCTTTTCAAGAAAGAAACAGGAAGAGAATCATCCTTACTTTCACTCGCGATTAACCACTACAACTCAATCGTGAGCTACCAAAATAATAAAAATGCATTTGAATTGTATTATAGCATAAAACTTACTAAATACTAGGCTGCTTTATTTTTTGATCATTCCCTCTATTTTTTCACTTGGAAAAACTGCAAGCGCTTTCTTTCTGTCGTTTTCAGATTTATACCATTTAGAAAGAAGCTCCACGACTTTCGATTCGTAATCATCAGTTTTTAACTGCTCAAACAAGTGATTGGGTAGCATGCTCTCTATCATCAATCTTGTTATAAGCTCTGCATACTTCTTGAGTGAAATCGGAAAATCAATTGATATCTCTCCCAAATCATTTTTGATATCGCGTAGAACATTTACCAGCTCATCTTCAGTGATGCTAGTTGCAGCTCTAAACGAAATAAATAGATCAAAAAATGCTTCAGAAGCCTTATGGTTACAAATGGCTTCCTGTAAGTATGCCTTGTAGAAGATATACACCCCAAACCTCTGCTCTCCAGTTTTGAAATTATCTGAAACTATCTTCTTGTCATCCTCTTCATAAGCCATCGATAGCTCTTCAGACATCATCGACAAAAGCGGATAAACCTCTGCAATAGTGCACACACTTGCTACTTGATCTAACTTCTGCTCTTCATTCTCAACCTCTAAACACGAGAACAAGTTTCTTGTGTTTTTTTCCTTTGGCTTCCATTGAACTCTCTTCTCTAACAATGATTCTATCATATACTTGATTCTATTCTCATAATTATCTTTGTCATGTGCAAGATTCGTGCATACCTGGGAAATAATGTGCTCCTTCCCACTAACAACAAGCTTTTCACCAATGCTATCAATAAAGTGACACAGCACCTCGACATTCTCTGCATCCTTCGACTTCATCAATGCTTCAATACAAGCATTTACATGCGAATAACTTATAGCATTCAATGAATAAAGCGATGATAGGAAATTAATTGTTCCAAGCGTCTTTCTCTTTTTCACATATCGTTCTGTCTCTGCTTCCTCCAGCTTCTCTTCATAACCCTTTCTCTCCTCAAAAGTCATGCCTTGATTGCTATTGTATTTTCCATCTCCCCACTTCTCTCTATTCTCAAGCGTCTTCAGCATTAATGTAAGAAGCGTTCCAAAGAAAACAGTTTGGCTTGCATTCTTACTCTTTTCCTCCTCAGATTGCCAATCCTTCTTCATGTCAAGAACAAGCACTGCATAATACTTTACAAAAGTTGGTTCGGAAACCGCCTTATCAAACAAAATCGTTGATATCTCCTTCATTTCATTAATGGTTTCAACCTTGATCTCCTTGAGATTGTTTATAACAAACCCTAGGTTCTTTGCTGTGAGCCTGTTAAACTCAAGCCTTGCAAGCTCAATCGATGTCTCTTTCTTGTTCTTCTCAACTTTGTATACATATCTTACATCTCCTTTGACTCTAAGCTTCAGATTCAAAGGTATTACCTTTCTTTCCTCAACACTTAGAATCTCAAAAATGTCATAGCTAAGTCGTGGCTTTTGTACAGTAATCTCCATCCCTGAAAACTTCTTCAAAAAATTTTCCAGCATCATGGCTCTGCCATCTTCATCAGGTACCTTCATCTCTTGCTGAATATCATTCTCTATTCTTGACTCAATAATGTCAACACAAGTGTTATTCTCAATGACTTCTACATACACCAATTCTTCCTTAACTTCAGATCCTTCAACACTCAAAGATTGTTTGTTATTATTGACTGCACAATCGCTGTCTGTACTTGATTCGCTGTCTGTAGTCAGGTCCAACAGATCATCCTCTGTTATTGGTGTTCCATCAGCTTTTGTAAATCTCACCACGGGTCTTGGTTCAGGCTTCGGTAGTGTCGAAAAGTTTATCTCAATCGGAGGTGCACTCTTCACTCTGGGTCCATAGAGAAAAGACTCCTCCTTCTTGAACAAAAAAAGCACCTTTGTAGGTCTGCAAATGATTCTTTTTATCATAGGGGCGAGGCCGGTCTATCTTTTTACCATTCTACTAGTAAGACAGTATTATATGCAGACATATAATCAAGAGTCTATTATATCATCAACTCAATGCATGTTTAATAAATCTAGATCTAAATAAATGCAAAGCTATCATGTATGGAGATGTAAGTTGTAATCGATTCTATTCTGTATTTTGACCTGGATGCAACATGAATAAAATTTTCAATCGCATCACCCGTATGACAGAAATTAAACATTCAGTAGCAGAAAAGGCCAGTGCAAGATTGGAAAAAGAAAAACTGTTCTACGAGGAAGAGTTAAGATCTCTTCAACAGAAAGCGAGTAGTTTCTGTGATTCTACCGATAAATATACCAAGGCGTTGATTCAGGAGCAAATAAATGAAACCAATAAAGCTTTGGATGCGGTGGATCTGAAAATCAAAGAATTTTCACTCACTCAAGGAGAAAAGTAAATAAATTTGATGCTAATCGATACTCTTTGATAAATAAGCATATAATCGTCTATGATTCATCAAAAAGATATTTAACATAGTAATAATATTCTTTTTAATTCGATGATTGCAAAGAATACCTAGTATATATAAAACTTTAATCATAGCATCTATAAAATTGCTTGAGACTTAATAATACTCTTATAATAAATACTATGACACTTTCAAGATCTAATTTCAATTAAAGAATTTCTAGTAATAAAGGCACAGTCATAAAATAGTTATGAATAAAATATCAAGTGAACCAATAAAATCAATAATATAGGCACATATCAGATTGATATGGAATACTCCTGATTTAATGTATGATCAAATTATACAATATACTCAATGGCATTAATTCTTCTAATTGTCACAAACATATAAACCATATCTGTACTTAGTTATCGATTAATAATATGATAATCTTATCTGGATATCTTAATTAATTGAAGCATTGATTACTATATTATTTAGTAATTTAAAGGAGAACTCGGATCTTATAAAAACATAGATATAGGAGGTGCTAGATGGGATTGTGCCTTGATAAGATAGAGGAGTCCATTGCTTACATGGATGAGACATACGATGCAAATTTCGGCGATTGGATACGAAACGAAGACAATGCGCGCATAGTTGCATACAATATGAGAAAGTATGTCGATTGCTACAAACCTTCTGACTTCATCATTGTTGTTAAATGGATAGTCAAGGATTGGACATTGAAGTCAATCATAATATTCTCAAAGAAGATGCTGATTGAAGATCTCAAAGCACTTGGCTTCAGGAAAACTGACGATGACAAGAGCAAGTATAATAGAAGAGCCAAGATCGTCTCAGGGCTTGTTTATACATGGAACCCGGTATTCATCACAGAGTTTGTGATCTCTGTAACAAGATCATTCACTCCAAATGAAAAGTGTCGGTTGTTAACAAATATGCTTGAAATATTTGAACCAAAAAAAATCTCGGAGATTCTGTCACAACTCGAAACTAAAATCGATCAACGGACCTGGAATGAGCTTTTCAAAACATTCAATGCTGATTCGTTTAAGACATCAAAGCAGAGAATCAAAAGAACCGCTAGTATGCTAAGAGCATACAATATAGGACATTCAAGCTAGTCATATGTATTTAAATATTTTATTATAAATTTATCTTTTTAGCATGATTCAACTTGAATATCATGCGATATTTGTAATGCGCTATTAGAAAACAACACATTTTCAAGTAGTATTTATCCCTTGAATAATATGATTCTGACTGATAAAACACTTATTGGTCTAAAAGAATCAAAACCATTGGAAATAAACACATATCTAGACGAGATAGAGTACTCTACAGATGGATTGCTGCTCAGCATTACACATGGAAACACACTGAAACTGTTTTCTGCACTCTCAGGCAATATCCAAAACATCATACACTTGCAAAGCATCCAGAAGTATTTATTCATGTATCCAAATACAATCGTTCACACTTCATGTAGCACATTGCAAATGCTTTCTGTGTTCGACAATAAATACATTCGTACATTCAATAGTCATAAAAATCAGGTATATGCCCTTTCTGTATGCACAAGTGAAGATTCGATAATATCTTCATCCAATGAATGCATCAACTACTGGGATGTCAGGAAGAAAAATCCATTGTACAAAATTAATGCAGCCAACTCCATAGGATGTATCTCGTCATCATATGACTATGCATTGCTGGCAAATGGATCAGTGCTCAAGATCTATGATAAAAGAAACATAAAAGGTCCTCGAAGTACATCAACAATCACTGAAAAGAAGTACCTGACAATGGCATACTCGCCAGATGCAAACCATCTTGTAATATCAGATGGAAAAACACATTTACTTGCAGATAAAAACGGTTTAGTAAAAAGTACGTTCGCCTTAGAAAGCAAAAGTAGTGGGTGCATTACACCGGACTCATCCCACTTTCTATTATATGAGAAAAATCACATATTTGCATACAACATCAAAGCAAAGAAAAAAGAATATGAATTTGAAGCATATGGCATCGAAGACACTAAGATACGCTTTAATCCATGCTATACACAGTTTGCTGCATCATCTTCAAAATTCATAAACATATGGGCCGTCGAGGATCATACACAAGAATCCTCAATATAAGTTCAGCATATAAAATTAACTTTAATTATATTAAACCTATTTAATTGTTTTCGCCATCACCTGAAATCTTTTGCTCTTTTCCAACAGATCCATCTTGCATACTGCTCTGGCCTCCAGCCATATTCTTGATATCATTGCTATCAAACTTGCTCTTCTTTCCTGAAATAATAACACCAACAGGTGTTCGATTCTTAGCAAAAATCATCTGAGAATCACTCGATTCATATATATCCATATCTTCTCCTTTATTCAATACACAATAGTTTATCTTTGATTTCCTAACATTCCTTCCAAGCTGTTTCAATGCCTCGCCCAACTTCAACTTTGCATTGCCTTCTGTATTGCCATTCATGTTGTTCTTAACATACCTTCGTCCTCCAATCGTCACTATATTCGCTGCCTTTTTATTACTATCCATTGGGGATGAGTCAAAAACCAAAAATCAACACAATTCTCCCCTCACTTTATAAAAATAAATCAATCCCTTTAATATCATGGCTGGCGGCTGTATTCGTCGGGAAGCATATTCATCGCATCCTCAATCACCCTCTGATCAAAATCAACATCCGATCTATTAATATCGCTTGGCTCCACAACATTAGATGCAAATATCAGATTCGCATTTCGTGTTAGCTGTCTTGCCAAGTCCACAAACGGACGTATAATGTTCAGCTCGCTCTTTGCACTGATCTCATAGTAACGATACATCTTTCCCTTCAGGAACTCCTCCACCTGCTTCTTTCCTGCCTTTCGATGACTAATCAAGTCCATCTTGTTGGCACACACTATTATTGGAACATTCTCCCCCGCAACCGCTTGGAACTCTCTAACCCATCTGCCCAGATTCTGGCATGTCACTCTTGACGTCACATCAAAAAAGAATATCGCTGCATGTGCATCAATATAATACACGTCCTTCAGCAATGCATACTTCTCTTGCCCAGCAGTATCCCACACATCAAACAATATTGTATTGTTATAGTTATCACGGAAACTCACGGGATTGTTAGTTGCTCCTACCGTGGCATTATATCTTTTTTCAAACCTTCCATCAATCACTCTGTTTATATACGTCGTCTTTCCAACTCCTCCATCTCCTATAAGACACACTTTGTATGTTATTATCCTATTCTCATTCTCGTTCTGTGCCATTTGGGGCGTAATTTTTTCCATTTTTTATCTACTCAAGCTCAGTCTTCATAATACACTTGGCCACATCTGCAGTCTTTCAGAAGCGGCATAATACACACCAAACTATCTCTTTACTTATTTAAACACTAGGTCAATGTTGAAGTTGTGTATTAAAGATATAAAATTCCCAGATACGAGCTTCTCAGAGTCAAATACTTCAACCTCCACTTCAAGCTTCTTCTTTTCATCCCTGTCACCAGAAACTAAAACTTCTGTAAAGTCAAATCCATAAGGCTCTATGAAGTATGTCTCCCTCTTTCTTATTCTCTTCACCAGTGTCTTCTTCTTACTGGCTTGCTTGAAAGTCTCCTTCTCCTCGTTCAGAACAAGTCTAACATCGTATTTCTTCCCAGGAAGATATATATCCAACTTCTCTGTTCGGATCTTCTTCTCAACCTTCTTCAAAACATTCCCCTCATACGTCTCCCTTCCATCCTCGTTAATAACAATCACATCTTCGTTCTTCTCACTTAAATGCTTACTAAAAAGCTCCTTCAGCTTTCGGAAGTCCTCGCTATCAACAGCACTCTCAAATTTATAATCAGCTGGCAGATTCTTGAACACAATTGGCGCCACAGCATCCATCTTCATCCTCATCCCATCATCCTTTCCAACTATCCTTCCAAGCCTAATCTCTAACTCCTGTCTTTCATTCTTAAATGCAAGAATAAATCTTCTAAGGCACTCAATATGGTTCAGAACCGGTCCATTCAATATCTTCTCAGGAACATCCATCAAGGGCGTTCTTACCTTACAAATATTCTCTATAATCATCTTACTCAACTCAAATATACATTCGTTTATTCCCTCTTCTCCTTCTCTCCAGGAACCACAAAAATAATGCATATGCAATACAGCATATATGCAATTGCGCCACTAAACCCTAGAGACACAATCCATCCAGGGATCACATCAATCACCTTGTAAGATCGCTGCATCAATGCAAAAAACACATGATTAGCAACAGAATAAACCTTTATAAAGTAAGAGTCAACATCCATCCATCTCCTTGTCACTTTAAACTCCCTCCACCGCTTCTCTCGCACAATCGCCTCCAAATCTGCATAATCATCCACTGGAAGATGATAGCTTCGCCCTTCATCACGCACAACAAAAGAAGGAAACAAAAACGTGTAAAAGCTCGATCCTAGCCTTGGCTCTTCAAAAAAGTTTATCTTCTTGACTGGTATATACCTCTGCAACTCAGAAATATTCTTGTTAAACATTTCACAAGCTGCACAACTCATATTGGGCCGTGAATAGTATATATACGCAAGAAAAATTTCCTTGCTTGCCAAATCACTTCTTTGAAGATCAGGTACAGATAAAAATATGCTTGACAACACACTCCCCAGTAACAAAACAAATCTCATCAAGGGATCAAAATAAACCCATGATAACCAGCAATATTAAAAACATATCCTCTCAAATTTAATATTCTAGATATTCTACATAGCATCTACAGGCTGAAATCGCAATAACTTTCCTTTGTTCTATATAACTATAGGCATCAAGTCTGAACCTCTTTATCGTACCTTCTTGCTGGATCATTGACCAGACATCACGCTTCTATAAAATTTTGCCGATGACAGCATTAGCTCAATTTCAGCCTCTTCCCATTCATTTTCATATATATTCTGCAAAAATAAAATACCATGCGAAAAGTCATTGCCAATAAGCGCATTCTTGAACTTCATCAACAATGCAACTCCAAAATACAGTAAAGACTCACAGATATTATCAGAAGCAAAAATAGTGTCAAGCACCTTGTATATAGTTGGAACCTTAAACTCCCTTATAAAAAAGCAATTAAACCATCTAAAAGCAAACATGTGCATCTCAATGCCAACATCTTTCAAAAAGGCATGGTAATCCGGGTCTATTGTCCTGATCACTGCATCCAGTCTCTTAATCATCTTCACCTGCAGGCCTGTCATATTGTGCTGTATTTCATCCAGTAGCCTTGAGTAGCAGAAATATGCACTGCTCTCCATCTTTTCACTGTTCTCCTGAGAAAATACAACAATAAAAGGAACTAATATGTCTGCCATCCCTTGAATATATCCTAGCGTAGGTCTTCTATATGCAACCAACAATAATACACGGTAATAAACATACGAAATATCCATACCCAGGCATATCCTATACTTCATGTCTATTCTCTTCACATCAATGTCTATCTGATGCATAATCTTCTTAGATACATTCAAAGTCTTCTTCTTTCCACAGATCATCACATCCGTATCCTTCTTGCTTTCACAGCCTTTGCATTCTGCTCCATATCCTCCTTGACATACATATCCAATCTTCGATGCCATCTCAATATATTTCATGTGCTTCGTCTCTATCTCCTTCATATGCATTCGCTTCCGAAGGCCAACAATGTGAAAAATCACTCTCCAAGCTATTCCCCGATACTTGCTTTCTATTCCTCCAAAACACAGGTCTCGTAATAGCTTTTCATCAATCACTTCATTTCCAAACAACTGTTCTCCAGATGTTGCCATCCCTGTCAAGGGGTCGTCTGCTTTAGTAGACACACGCATTTATCTGTCTATATTGCAGAACCTCCCTGCATCCAGCTTCTGCTTACCACTAACAACATTTGGGCTAAGTGCCCCACACACATCTCTAACCCTGTACAAGTACTTCCCCATCTTACTTGCATCCAGTCTCTTTCTTTGCAAGCCTTTGCATGACTTCCCAATATAGAACAGAACCTCACACTCAAATTCTCGAAATTCATCCATAACAACAACAACACCACTTCCTACATTTACATCTTTATGCCTGCATACAAGCACTTCAAGCTTAAATATATCCGCAAACATCCTCATTCTTTTATATTCTCTGCATACTATGCACACTCTCTTATATATCCTGCATAACATAAACACTACTGCATATCTATCATCTCCATTTGCTTCTATAAAGTATTTGTCAAGAGTCAATACAACCGCATTGCTTGCAAACACAGGCTGACTGCTCATGTTCAAAATCACAAATGATTTTCCTCTTCTCTTCAATTCTAGTAACTCAGGCAGATATCCAAAAGACTCCATGAGCTGTCCATTTTCAACAATAATATGTGTCTGCTTTGACAGTTCAGCATAATTATCTCCATCTACACCATCAAGAAGCTCAACAAGATCATTTGGCGTAACTACAATTTCTTGCATTCCCTTCACTGCGATCATTATATCCAAGCATTTGCTTTTGTATGGACTCACAACCACTACAGGTTTTCTTATACACACCGAATCCGTAATCTTGCTGCGTGATCCCCTGGCCATATAGTCTATCCCAACACATAACTCAATCCTTTCATCCATCCCCTATACCAACTTCACATTTAATAATTACCACATAATTTCTAAAACAGATCACAGAGTTTATTAACTTACAGATCCATTTGCAACTTGGGTTCTGATATACTCTCTGTTGCATAAAACCTTTGTATCCTTGAACATCAGCACATGATCAACAATCCTCAGAGATTTTATCACATTTTCATATGAACTTTTCTTCATATCAACCTTTCCAGATAAAAAGTCACTCATTATCTGCTCCTTGTTTTCCAAGCAAAGTCTTGCTCCATTATCTGCAGTATATGATACTTGTATCGGCTCAATCCGTCCATTCTCATCTTTTGCACATAGAATCATTCCTTCAGACGTCTCTCCTTTGAACTTGATCGGTTTGATGTTTGTAACAAACAAAAACTTCTTTCCCCGCAGATCCTCTCTTCTAACATGCTCTTTCAATCCACTCAGCACATGAATCTTTTCTTTTGCATTAACCTCCTCTGCATAAAGTTTATCAAGACCTGGAACATCATCCACGCTTGCTATTTCGCCAACCTGTATATCCAGCAACTGAATATCTACATCGATTGCCATCTTCTTACTGATTTCTTCTGCCATTCCATCAATAAAACCTTTGTTCTTTAAACTCCCTTGTAGTATAGCCATACGGTAAATGTTGTGGAAAGAAATAAGTGTACCAATGCATATTTCTATCTTTCGAACCTCAGGGCATCCTCTGAGTCTTTTGGCCTCTCGTATTCTCTTTTCATCTGAATCTTGCTCATGCATAGTATACAAAGCTTTTAGAACAGCATCGAGCCCATTATGTGTATCTTTACCGTCAAACAGGCGTATCCCTTCGTCTGCTCTTTCTAAGTATGCATCTCTGTTGAAATACTTGACTACAAATGCAATGTCTTCAAACTCACTTGAAAATTCAAGTCGCATGGGTATCAGCTGCAAAAGCAAAAACAGTCGAACAAATTTTACGAAAATCATCAGCCTCTAAATGGCTGTATTTGTGTTTGGCTCGAATGCAGTTTCTCAGCTAGGTTTAGGTGAAGACGGTGAAAGTACACGTGTTCCAACAAGGCTGGGGTTCTTTGATGACATATTGATCACGAAGGTCAGATGTGGCTCTATGCATGCGCTTGCATTGAGTTCAGAAGGTGTTTTATACTCATGGGGATGTAACGATGAAGGTGCACTGGGACGGGATGGTGATGAGTCTACTCCTGCAGAAATAACTATTAATGAAAAGGTTATTGATATGGATTGCGGGATATCTATATCTGTTGCATTAACCAAGAGAGGACATGTGTATATTTGGGGAACATTCAGAACTTCTAACGGTGTGTTTGGGCTGACACCGTCTAAGAGAATTTCGTTTAAGCCGATGAGGGTTGCTTTGAAGAACATAAAGTCTGTTTATGCTGGGCATGGCTTTGTAGCAGCAATTGACTCGAAAGGAATTGTTTTTACATTTGGATCGAACCAGTTTGGAGTGCTAGGACGAAAGACATCTGAACGGAACAAAGTAAGAGCTCTGATGCCTGATGCAGTGACAAATATCAGGACTCGTCTGAAAAATTATAGATTCAGTAGCATAGGATGTGGACTGAGCCATTTAATAGCATTGAACACATGTGGTGAGGCATACTGCTGGGGATCTAATGTATATGGACAACTAGGGCATCATAAAGCAGAAAGCACAATTAGGAAATATAAGGTAGACCTTGATGGAATATCTCAGGTATGTGGAGGAGGATACCACAGTCTGTTTGTCACTGAAAGTGGAGATATTTATGGATGTGGTAGAAACATTGAGAGTCAGCTTGGGATTATAAAAGCAGAAGACTCGCATAGTCTTGTTAAGATAGGGCTTAAGAATGTCAGGATGGTGCGTTCCTATAGTGATTTTAGTGTATGCTTAGTGGGAAATGATCTGTACTCATGGGGAATGGGTTTTGGTGGAGCACTTGGATTTGATGAAGAGATTGTTGCCACGCCTAGAAGGATTCCGTTTGATTTTCCTGAGGTGGTTGATTTTGATGTTGGAAATGATTTCTGCGTTGTGATAGTAAATTAAGGTAATCGCGCTATAAAGTGAAATAAAAGATTTATGATTTAGTTAATTGCTAATGCTGATGTAATAGACTAAGAAGCGCATGAATGCCAAATCCAAAACTTAGAAATAATTTTATAAATGAAGAAGTGAACAATAGAGCTGTAAATGTTTGTCAGGTACAACGATTTCAAGCATGCCTAAAGTTTTGAAAATGGAAACCCTTGAAATTTAAATGGGAGATCATGCCTATAAAAAGAAGGAATCGAGTGCTTATGATGTGCTGAATATGCTGGTGTATGATTATCTGATGAAGATGAACTATGAAGGATCTGCAAAAATGTTTTGTAGTGAGGCAGGCCTTGGGGAGTTTAAGTCGAATGAGGGGGCACCTGTCCTTGCACAGTGGTATTCGGTATTTCACGAGATTTCTGCAGTAAGGTCTGGCTTTTTGTCGAACTCTCAAGACCTTGCAAGGATCGAGGGGATTATGATGAGGCTTGAGAATGAAAAGCGGCGGCAGCAGCAAATAGGCAAGATGGATGGAGCAGTTGGAGGATATGGAAGAGGAATGGATGCATATAAGAGGCAGTCTATGCCTTATCAGCAGCAATATGATCAAAGAAAGATATATGGACAGCAAACGCCTCCAAGCTCCGAGGGAATGTCTGGATTTTATGATCCAAGAAAGCAGATGCCTGGTGGGTACAGGATGCCACACATGAGTACCAGGCAGAATTGGTTCGATGAGCAGAATACGATTGGATCAAAACCTTCTAGAAGGCATGTAGATGAACGGTCAGATGTACTAGAATCATCAATGGGCCATACTTTAGCAGAGCGTCAGCATACTGATGGAAGTATTGGATTGAAGGAGGTAATGTGTTTTGTACCTGGAGAGGCTACGATTATTTGCAGTGCGGTTGCACAAGAACACAAAATGCTGATTGTCTCATTTTCAAGCAAGACCATAATGGTAGTGAATCTACTGTCTGGAAAAACCGAGTCCATGATAGAAACGATTGAGCAGGTGCATGATATGAAGATAAAAGAGTATGAGGATCAGGTTGTTATTGTGTGTGGAATTGGAGGGAATGATCTCTTGATTTTAAGGTGCGAAATGAAGGGAGGAGTGCATCTGGAGATTTCAAATGTGCTGAAGGGGCATAATGCGCCTATAGTTAGTTATGAGGTTCTTGATTTTATTCACTCACTGGACAGTGCAGGAATTATGAGAAAATGGAACATGAATGGAGTTTTTGAGCGAGAGGAGGTCCTGAGCGGAGATATAGCTCACATATGTTGCATTTCTGAAGATAATTTTATGTTTGCAGATAAAAATCGAGTGTATGTGTATGACTTTGAGCTTAACATTGAGATGATGGAGATCCTAAAGGGACAGGTAACTGAGATTAAGAGGATTAAAGAAGGGTTTATTATAGTGTTTAATAACCAGGCAATATGGCTGGACAAGAGGGTTCAGAAAGTGAAGACACTGAGCATAAATGAGGGAGTTAAGACTGCGGCGTTGATTGATGGGAATCTTGTAGTTGCATCATTCCAGAACGTTTGGTTTAATAACGGAAAATCGTTGAGTAGAGTTAAGCTTCATGATACAAATGTAATAGGACTTGAATGTGTAAATGTGTTTAGAAAGTCAAGCATTGTTAGCTGTAGTGCTGGTGGCGAGTGCAAGATGCTGGTTAAATGTCTTGAAGATTAAAGTATTGTTGACTGGATATATTTAGTGAGTTTTTTCATGCATTAAAGATCCTAGAAGAGCGTTAATAATGTAATGCATATTTTTAACAGCATGTGCATTTGATAACCTTAATAGTATGTTCAGTTATATTCAAGTCTACTTTTGATATTCTTAACGGTAAGTTCAGTTATATTCAAGGATATATCATATACTTATAGCATTGTTGTGAAAAATGAAGCAAATATCTTCAGATCCCTTCATGGAATATACTGGTTATGAAGAAGAAATAAAAGAAGCCATTCAAGTAAACAAGATACCTTGTTTTGCATGTGGCGAGCAGGGAGAGATAAGAACAGTGAGGATTACTGCAGTCGAGCCACATGAAGTTGTTTGTGTATTTGCTTGTGATGCATGTGGGCAAAAAACCGTGGATGTTTTAGGCGATGGATGCAATGCAGTCGGAAGTGTGTGTATAGAATGCGAGTTTGATGATAAAAGCGACCTTTCCAGGGAAATGAACCTAACTGCAATGACATCAGTCGAAATAATCTCAGAAGAATTTTCTTACACCTATGAAAGTAATACGCCTTCAACATGCATAGTTGAATCTATCCTTGTAAAAGCAGAAGATCAACTAAAGAATGCATGTGGGGAAGGAGACTACTCCACTGGATTTGGTTCATCAATGTTTGTTGATGTCCAGGCAAGCCATGAAGAATGCAAGAAGAAACTTGAGTATGTTAGACAACTTATATCAAGTGAGACTCCGAAATTCAAGATGATCATACGAGACAGTACAGGTGTTTCAAGAATTGCATCGGTTGGAAAGAAAGCTGTACAGGATGTATCATTGGCGTTGGATACGAACGATTCAAAATTAAATTACACCTTCAAGAGCTATTCAGAAGAAGAGTGAATATGCGTTGGTTCATAAATTTCAATTTTATATTATTGTTTATTAGTTGACTTTTGGTTTCAAACTCATAATGCCTTAATTTGTTGTAACTGCATTTACAGTAGCTCAAGACTCAAAGATTTCCTACAATATAATATGCTTCTGTTTCAAGTTGCAACATGTTTTAATTGGAATAAGCATTAAAGTATAACAATCTTAAAGATATACAGCAATGGAGGATGCTTTCAAATTACTCTTGGCTTCCTCATCATTCGTATTGGTGTTTGGATTGGTGTCCAAATACATAAAGGAGAAACTGTTGCTGTCAGAACCTTTGATTTCTGTGTTGGTTGGAATATTCCTTGGTCATAGTGTGTTGGGCGTCCTAGACATGAACAATACATACTCAAAAGCTGCAATGTACAACTTCTCAAGAGCTATCCTTTGTATTCAGACAATGACTGTGGCAATGTCTTTGCCTAAAAACTATGTAATGGCAAAATGGCAGTCGGTATTTGTTCTTGTGGTTGTTGTTGGTATGCTTAAGTGCATGTTTTCATTTGGCATGATCTACCTATTTAGTGGATATAGCAAACTTATTTCATGGTCCATTGCATCGTGTTTAACTCCTACAGATCCAATCCTGAGCTCTAGCATTATCCAAGGAAAAGTTGCTACTAAACTGGTTCCTGAAAGAATAAGATTGCTACTTGCAGCAGAAAGTGGGATAAATGACGGAATGGGAATCATCCTTCTATTTCTTGGATTGAATATTGCCACAAACAACATCCGTTCATTCATTATTGACAACCTGTTTCTCAAGGTTTTTGTTTCTGCAGTGGTGGGCCTTTTTGCTGGCATTGTTTCAAGACAGGCACTGAGATACTGCTACACATGGAAACTCGTTGGTATGGAATCATTCTTTGTGCATACCATTGTTCTTACGGTGTTCTCGATGTCATTCATGGAGTTCATTGGAGGAAGCGAACTCATATGCATATTCTTTGCTGGAATAATGTTTTCTTTTGATGAGTGGTTTATACTAGAAATCAAGAACTCAAATCTACAAGAAATCACAGACACAATCTTAAGCACTTCATTCTTCATGTTCTTTGGATCGAGGATATACTTCGAAAAATTCACTGCATTCAATGTAGGCATTTCGTTGGCTGTTATATTTATCAGAAGGCCTCTTATCTGTATGATGCTATACAAGTGCATTCCAGAACTTAAATCTCTCAAAGAGGCTTTGTTCGTTGGATGGTTTGGCCCAATAGGCGTGGGCTCGCTTTATTATGCTCTTCTTACTGACAAGATCCAAGACTCGCTTACAATAGACTTTGTAACCTGCACTGTTTTTATGAGTGTCATTATCCATGGCATAACAGTGCCAATATATACATACATAATTACAAATAAGATTGAAAGTGCAGATATAGACATTAATCACATGGTTTTATAGACAATAAACATAGTTTGTATACATTATGCATCGCATTGTATTCGTAAAGCAGCACATTTATATTAGCTGAGTAATGCTCTTTTGTACGTCTATGGATTGATATACAACAAAGGCCTGCCATCTAGTCGAAGGTCAAGATCCGGAAGCTCTTTCATTAGAATATCAACTTTCTTATCCACAAGACCTCCCTTCAATGGAAAATTGAAATACATAAAGTAGACTACAATGCTCCAATATGCTTGTGGTGCTTTCTCAAATGCATTGCTGTATCCAAAGTACTTTAGCATAGGTATTATATTTTCATGTGCAAGTAAGAAGCAAAGATATGCATACTCATTAGGACCACAAATAAGGATCATTGATCTTTTGGTTGTACATCCTTTGCATTTAGATATATTTTCGTCAAAGACATCTTGATCCATGTTTGTTAATATACTTCGTATTTCAGATCGCATTTTCTCCCTGCCATTCCAATTAGAATTTGGTTCAAGACTTTCATTGTCAAACTCCAAAGCTCTGCATTCGCATGCTTTCAGATGAAATATCTTGTAGAAGTAGAGATCTCCAAAGTCCATGCATGGCATCTCAGAAACAGAGTTGATATTCATGAAGATATCGTGTTTTGGAGTACTAAGATGTGAAATGATTTTCCTTATTCCATCATGGTTCTTTTCATGGCTTAATCTCTTTAAAACAGCACCTGCTGCCTCTTGAAGCATGTTTTTGCATAAAAGATAATCTATAACAGAGTTCATATCTCCATCAAACAATTCAATCCAAAGATTCATAATCGCTGGCCTTACCTCTTGGCTCAGTAAAACATATGGAAGCAACGTCACTGACATTTCACTTCCAATCTCTACCAAGTATCTGCATAAATGTGCCTGCATTCTTGTAAAAAACATCAAAAACATCCGTGTCTTGAAAAAATCGCAGTAGAACCCGTGATTTTTGCCAAGGAATGCAGAAGGATCGTCCACAATCAGCTCTAGAATCTCACTTCCATGTCTTTTGATCAAATACTCTCTCCAGAAAGTCACTTCGATAACTATTGACCTGATACAACTTTTTATGCTCTCTATGCTGCTTTTATTAGCAATGCTTTCTTTACTCTCTCGTAATGGAATGCTGCTTCTTTTACATCCATGAATTGTTAAGCGATCCAAGTCAACAATCATAACGTCTTTTATTTCAATTCTGTGGCTTGTGCATACAATAAATGGCAAGGGGCTGTTAAGAATCTCACGCATCTCATCAACAAGAGGCATGCATAAAATATGATGCCATTTGAATGGTCTTGCAAGATCCAGGATTTGCATCACTTTTAGAGACGAGTCTTGTGCTGAATAAAACATAATCCTCTCCTCCAGCAAGATCAATCCTAACACCTTGCGAAGAAACTTAAATGGATAGCTATATCTAAACGCATACTCCCTTGACTCGTATATTTGCTTCCAATCGCTGCTTATGATGAAGTTAGTGTGTGGAAAGTATGGAATGCCACTGAGCTTTGTGAAATACTGTTGTTTAGAAAATAGTTCGTTGAAATTTAAGAATACAGGTGATGTAATAGTGTGATAGACAATCACTCCATTAGCATAACAAGCCAGCACCTGTCCATATACTGGTTCAGCATTAGAAATGCAAAAGTGCGAGAATTTTGTATGACACTCAGGCACTATTGACTTCAGAAATGAAACTACTATAAATGCATGTCCTGTGGAATTGCATTTTTGGTATTGCTCACAAATATCCTCGTTACCGCCGTAATATCTCGATTCTTCGCTTTCTGATTGTTCTAGGCATGATGTATTGCAACTGTCTTTTAACATTCCTTCTGAAAATATTAAATGTCTTGTAGGTGTGTCTGAATCTTTGGAATGCACATAAAGGCACTTACCGTCTATCAGAATACTCACATCACCGCATGGATGTGCAGAAAGTTCAAAGCATTTGTTTTTACTCCCTAGTTTGTACTTCAGGCATCCCTCAAAAGTCTTATTATCTTTAACACAGGTAAATATGAGCATAGATCCATACTCATCAAACACCAAGTACTCATCAGGCATGTTTGGATCAGATATCTCAGAAACATACACCAAACTGATCGATGCATCACATCTGTATTTTATTTTTCTTGTGTGTCTGAAGTACCCTGTAATAAGGTCCATCTTGGGGTCCATGATCTGAATTACTCATTATTTTTGATCCCAGATAGATGGCTGGGTTCAAGTCGATAAGAGCCATGGTTCAAGTAGAAATCAGTCCGCGATGCCTTTCAAATCCACATAAGGCAGTATATGCAAAGATCGCATCACATATACTGTTTTATTCATCAAGAGTTCATGCCACACCGCTGTCATTTTCAATAATAGGTATAAACAACACAGGATGCATATCTTCAGACTCGGGCGATGTTTTAATCTCTGTGCTTGTAGAGTACATTGTATTTGTTCTGTTAGAAGGAGACCGAATAATGTCTATAGACGGACGTGCCTTTGGCATTTTCCAAATCGAAGTCGATGGAGATACAGAATATACAGGGATGCTTACAATAAGACAGATACAATCAAATCCAAAATCACCACTCATGACCATATCAGGCACTAGGTCTGATTGATTGAAACTTCAGAAACATTCTTAAACAAACAACAATAAAATACTTTATTAGTCTATTGCATAGCCCAAAAAGCACATGCAACAAGCTACGTCTTTCTGTATTGTGTAAGGACCGGATATATATTTTCAAATGCCTGGTATATGTCATCTCTCACCTTTGCACCTGTAAGAACAATCTTCCCAGAGACAAAGATCAACAGAACAATCTTTGGCTTCACCATTCTGTATATTAAGCCTGGGAAAAGCTCTGGCTCGTAACTGCAGTAGTTGCTATGCGCATATGCTAGTCCTTCCAATCGGATGCTAAATTTGATGTCGCATGAAGAGACGATATTTTGTATCTTGAAGTCATCGAAAGTTGCATTGAATCCTAATTTGTGGATTATCTTTGCATATCGCTGTGCAGCCATTTTTGAGCTCTTTTCGCTCTTTGCACCAGTTATCACCATCTTTCCTGAGGCAAATATCAATGCTGTTGTCTTGGGTTCGCGTATCCTCATGATAACTGCTGCAAATCTCTTCGGATTGTATTCTGCATTTCTGGCACGCAGTGCAATGTTCTTTAAATCAAGTTTGCAGTTCAGGTTCACAGTTGCTACTACATTTTGAAGTGCAGGGATTATCCCCGATCTATTGGTGACATTAGTCTCTTGATGTTCATAGTAAAGATCTGGTGCATCCATTCAGAACTACTTTTCTAAGGGTTAGTTTTTTTTCTCTTCATTTTTATTCTCTGTACACACACTTCTTCATTTATCTATTCTTTTAACCTTGTAAAGTATCTTGGAACATTTGGATTAAAATTCAGCTGAATATATCGAGCGTTCGCTTAGAATCTAATTTATGGTAGGTATGATATCCACTTACATCATCTCATGTGCCCGTACTTTCTCATAAACTGTATTTTCTCTTCACTCCATTTTTCATGTACTTTGTTGCTGTTATCTTGCTGTATACTTGCTTTGTCTTGATCACATGAGAGGCTTTCTATTGCCTCTATAAGCCTTGTAAATATCCTTTTGTTGATATTTGGCTGGTTGTTCTGCCCACAGGCATTTCCCATTTGTTTGTGGGTGCATTGCGCATCCATATTTGTCAACGCATACATCCCTCGTGCATATCAAAGCAATGTCAACTATAGATTTCCAAGTCCTCAGGTCTGAAACAAATAGATTGATATCGGAAATACAGGCACGTTATGCTTTAGGCAAAGCCCATCATGCAGATACAGGTTTGAATGCAGAAGAGATGCTTCTCAACATTTGGAGAGATGTGCAAGCCGATGATCATGAGCTATGTGAACTTGATCTTAGAATAGGTGAGCAACACTATCCAAAAAGCAAACACACAACGATGCTCTTGATTGCATTCTATCTCCTTGAGAATGACCTTGATGATGTTCTTGATGCATTGATATCTGAGGTGCACGATGAAAAAGATGTGTTAATAAAGGTCAAAGCCAGTTATTCACACTTCAGAAAGATGGCTCTGCAAATAGAAGATGATATTTTTACTCTTTTAAAAGAATTTATTGGCAAAGAAGCGCTGAATGATCTTGGATTGCAGACTAGCCTGTATGAGTTTCTGATACTGATTTGTAATGGAAACTCAAACCAGGCATTAAGATCATGCCTTAATGAAATAAAGGCATATTATCCGCTACATTCGCAGAAAATCAAGCGCATGCTTAGATTCTTAATCGATCCTACAGGCATAGAGGCAACAATTCATGCGAGCAAACAAATATTGATTGAGACACTCAAGATGCAATACTTCCGAGCAGATGATATTCCGAGCAGATGCCATCTTAAGAATCTTTTCATGGCTGGAACCTGTGCATTAAAACAACTTCTGGAGTCAGGTAATCCACTGATTGATCAAGATGAATGCACGCTTCCTGTGGAGATACAGTTGGGCAAAGAATCATATTACCATTCTCTTTTTGTATGTCCGGTACTTAAAAGTTTGTGCACTAAAAGTAATCCACCATGCATACTAGAGTGTGGGCATGTAATTTCTTTCGACGCTGCCACGGTGCTGTCTAGAGAAGGCGCATCAAGCAGCTTCAAATGCCCTTATTGCCCTGAATTATCTAGGTATGGAAGCCTGATGAAGCTTAGTATAGACTAGGTCATGCATAATCTTCAAATCTTCAGATATGCTGCAATGTCAAGAATATCCAAAGCTTCAGTGTCTTCGATCTTGAACTCCTCATGATCCTTGGATGGATCGAAAGAGCGCTTATATTCAAGAAAATCAATTGCTTTCTTCAGGTATTTTGCTTTTATAGGCAAACCTATTGTTCTTGAGACAGATTCCTTGAACATTGATGGACGTCCAAAGAATGCCTTTAGTATCTGGCTCTGTATAGCAACCTCATAATCAAGAAATAACTCTTTTGAATCGGATGAAATCACCTTTACTTTATTTTGCATGTGAAAACAAACAAACATCGAATAAATCATTCATTGAGTATTTCCATGTCTGCAATGAAGTCTGTAAACATAACCCCATTGAATTTGTGTTTATCTCCATTTACGTTAATTTCATACACATCTCCGTTGTTGAAGACATACTCTCCATCATCAAGTGTAATTCCAAAAAGCATGCCAGCTTCATCTTTCAATCCATCAGTGCATGGTATGAGTTTTACGCTCTCTATATTCGTTACCACTTCAACAGTCTTCTTGATATCTACTCCACTGAACAGTCTCTGCACTCCTTTTGAATTTTCAAATAAAGTTGATGAATACACTATAAGTGTGCCTTCATCACTAGTGTATGCCCTAGCTTCTGACGAACCTAAGGATTTAACAACTTCAATCCCATACATCTTTAGATATTCATAGTACCTTATTTCTTTGGTATACATTTCATCAAAAACAATATATGTGTGGTTATTTGAGCTTTTTATAGTAAACCGAATGTATGCATCTTTGCTGTGTATACTACACAGCATATAATCTCTGATTATGATATTTTTTTGCTTCTTAGTCATATCATGCAGCAGAATACCAGTCATGAATTCCTGGCATATTTTGGCATATCTGTCATTTTGTTTATCTTTAACATGTGGAATCTGTGTTTCCAGTTGCTCATTATTCTCTTCTATTGCATTACGTGCATCTACAATATTTTCAATGGTTTTAACAAAGTTCAGGCAAATCTGTTGATCATCGCTAATGTTACAAACATGATTGAACCCATTCTCGAAAAACGCCTTGTCTTCCTTCATGGATAGGCACTGGAACGGATACGGGAAGTCTTGTTTAAGCCTCTTCTTCAGTTTAGTGGTAAGCACATCAACCTGATAATCGCATGATCTTGGGATGGTGTTTGTACCAATGAAGAGCGATGATCCCGGAAGGTACATGTATTGGATCTGTGACTTTGTTCTTGGGAATGGTAATGCTTTGGTCTTTGATCGCTTTACGTGTATTATTGGGATTTCTCCTTGTTCGGTGCTTGATGAACACAGGGTATATTCGCACTCATCCATGGGGTTGCCAATCAAAAGGAATCTCAAGTCGTACAAGCATCATGCCATGCATAGACAACTGGAATTTATCTTCCTATTCATACTGCACATTTGTTTCTGTTGTATAGTCTCAAGGTGCAAAAAGGGTCCGACCGGGATTCGAACCCGGAACCCTCCGCACCCAAAGCGGAAATCATATCCATTAGACTATCGAACCTGCCTGTTTTGCTATATCCTCTCAGGTCACTGTAATGTGTACCAACATACTCGCAATCATACTATGAAACTCTCGTCACAAATATTATTCTTTTGTATGCAAAACAAACACTTTCTGCGCATGATCATTATGATGATAATTGCATGTATTAATGCAATGCAGACAGGCCTTGCTGCCAGATGCCAGAAGTACGGAATAAGCCTCAATGACTGTCTGAACTCAGTATACATTCCAAAGAAAGAGTATGATGACTATCTACAGAGCTTCAACATGCCAATCATACGCGACTCAAGCTGCAATAAAGAACAGTGTGTAGCAGTTGTCTACAAGGATATTAACAAGTGCCTCAACTGTAAGGGGGATGCTTGTGCTGCCGAATGTGACGGTGTGTTACAAAAAAAACATCACAATCCAGACAGGAGTTTCCCAATGGTTCATGTGATCCATCACAATGCAGACCGAAGCACTGAAACAGATTCAACTGGCAATCTGGATTCCAATAACCAACTACATATGTCATATAAGAGTGTAACTGTTATTGAAACAAAGACAGAAACAGTTTCTGAAAAAATCACAACCACTGTAGTTGATGAGAACGTTACACCACAAACCATACCTATCTCTCAGGTTTCAAATTCATTGACAACAGTGCAAGATGATGTAAAAACAATATTCAAAACACTTGAAATGCCAATACATTCTGAACATCAAAATACATCAAAGCGAGAGCGATTAGCCAAGAATAAAAGTCGAAATAATATATCTGCATCTGTGAAGTATCCACAAACAACTGACTCCGCCTCAGAAGAAGACAATTACAATTACAATTATAATACACCTGAGCAAGATGAAAATGATTTAGAACGAGATAAAGAAGAAAATGATTCAGAACAAGATTACAATCAGAACATCATAACAGTCACTAGAGTATTCTATAAGACAGTCAGTGTAGAAAAGCCAATTACATTGTATAGAGAAGTCACTACAACAGTTAAGAATGAAATTCCAGTTATCAATTACAAGCTTACCACAGTTAAAGAAATTACAACAGAAACCAAGACAGAAAGCAGCATCAAAACAGAGACAGTTACGCAAACACAGTACCATTCGCCTAAATCAACATCTTTTGAAATACAAAACTATGTAGAATCACCCAGTAGTGCACATATTTCAAAAGTATTATCCTCAAATGCCAGGCAAATTTCATTAGAACAGAGCCAAACCGATCCTGAGCATCAAGCAGTAGATGAAGTTCAACAAACAACATCTGTATCTGAGCAGCCTAGTATGATCGATCAGCCTGAGATAATATATACAACGGTGATCAAACCTATTGTTTCCCTACTTACCGTCACAAAAATACAAGATAAATCACCTTGCACTGAGGACTGCTCATCGTCTTTATCACCTGAAAACAGCTTAGCATCATCTTCAACAGTGTGTGAGCAATGTAACAACACACAAAGCACTGTCACGAACACCAAACCAACAGAATACCAGGAAAGTGCTATAACCACTATGAATCATTCCAAACCTGTAGAAAGCATTAGTGCATCTCCTACAAGTATATATATGGACAAACACCCGCTCAAAGACGCTAAGTTACAGTTTACTAAGCAGGATGTAGTTGATGAGCTAATTCCTCTCATTAGGAAGATAATGATCAACAACGAAGACGAAAGCAGCACAGATGGAGAATTGAATACAATTGATAGAGACAAAGAGGTAGTTGAGCCAGAAAAAATAAAAACACTGACAAAGACTGTAGTAAAGACTGTGAACAGACGTCATGAGCCAAAAACGGTTTACAACACAGTGTATACATACAAAAAGAAGCCTGAGTGTAGAAAAGGCGTGGAAGGAAGGAAGCGAATACAATGCCACGATGGACCTGGAGATGATTTTTTCACAACAGTTTATGCCTAATGGCTATATTTAATAAAGACAGGTTTTCTATTTGCTGTTGATTAGAGTTGATGCATAAATGTCATGTATCATGCATGATGCGATGCATTAGTAATGTAAAAATAGCATAGGATGGATTCGAACCAACAACCTTTGGGTTATGAGCCCAACGCGCTTCCATTGCGCCACCATGCTTTAAATAAGATCCAACTTTGTCATTCCATTTTGCACATGTCGATTCTGTATTTCGAATCAATCATGCATTATGCAGTGTTTCAAGATCGTTGTTACTTGGCCCTCACGAATGACTGTTGCTCTCCGTCCAAAAAAGATATCTTTTGGATTCTACAATGAAGAGGACATTCAAAGGCTCAGCTCGGTTGAAGTCACCGAAACCACCGCATTTGATGGCTTTGGACATCCTGTTGCTGGCGGATTGTATGACTTGAGAATGGGCCCGATCGATCTGGCATCAAATTGCAAAACTTGCAACCTGTCATTTTTCAACTGTCCTGGACACTTTGGGTATATAAAGCTCTGCAAGGCTGTTCTGAATCCGTTGGCTTTTAAACAGATGATGTCTATTCTGAAGGCTGCTTGCATCAAATGCAGGAATCTTCGAATTACAAACCATGACAGACTCATCATGTTCTGCAAATTCTCACTACTTAGGAATGGAACAAGTATCAACGGACTAGACAGTCTGTATACAGTGCAAGATGAGGATGAAATCTATAATACCGTAATGGAAAAGATCAAGGCTTCAGAGGCATGCAAAACCAACACACTGATCGATAATCACCAAGCACTGGCAAATGACTTTTTCTCAAGCATAGCAAACAGAAAGAAATGTGTAAGATGTGGATACAAAAACCCAAAGATTGTTGCTGGATCAACTCTCAAGGTGTTTAAGGACTTCAAGGGAGACAGTGAACGAGGAAATGAGGAAAAGTATCTTGAGTTTTTTTCTCCAGAAGCAATTGAAGAACTCTTCTGCGATTTGTTTTTGAATGAGGAGGATCTTCTCAAGTCTATATTTTGCTCTTCCAATTACAAGATGTTTTTTATGAAGAGTATTGCTGTCACGCCAAATAGGTTCCGTCCAGTCACTTTTGTGAATGGCAAAAGGACAGAATCCTTCGACAACCTTTTATTATGCGATATTTTGAGATGCAACATGATGATGATGGCAGATGTATCGTATTGGCCACAGTTACAATTATGCGTGTTCTCATTATTCGATAGTACAAAAATGCCAAAGTGGGGAAATGCATCATCAGCTGCTCCATCTGGGTACAAGCAGGTTCTTGAAAAGAAGGAGGGCTTGTTCAGAAAGAACATGATGGGCAAGAGAGTTAACTTTGCAGGGCGTACAGTGATATCGCCAGATCCAAACCTTGAAACCAGGGAGATCGGGATTCCAATGATTTTTGCAGAGAAGTTGACATTCCCAGAAAAAGTGAATACATTCAATGCAGACAGGCTTAGAAAGGCGGTTCTCAACGGAACAAGCTATCCAGGAAGCTTATACGTCCAAGACAACGATGCATTACTGAGCCTGAGCCACATGCCTGAGGACAAAAGATATGCACTTGCAAACCAGATTCTTGATGGAAATAAGGTAGTCTGGAGACACCTGATAGATGGAGATGTTGTCTTGGTTAACAGGCAACCTACTCTTCATAAAGTAAGCATTATGGCACATAAGTGTAAGGTTCTCAAGGGTGAAAAGACACTGCGGATGCACTATGTAAATTGTAAGTCGTATAATGCAGACTTTGATGGAGACGAGATGAACATTCACTTTCCACAGAGCTATGCTGCAGAGTCTGAAGCAAGACTTATACTGATGAATGACTTCAACTACCTGGTGCCTACCGATGGAAGCCCAATAAGAGGACTCACACAGGATTACATAATAGGCGCAACGATCCTTACGATGAAGGATTCTTTCTTTACAAAAGATGTCTACTTTTCGTTGGTGTCTTCTGGACTCCCAAGTGGACGAATTACTTTAGAAAAGCCTTGCATAATCAAGCCAAAAAAGTTGTATTCTGGAAAGCAAATAATTTCTACAATCATCAAGAACATGGGATTGAAAATATGCATGGAGATTGATACGAAAATCAAAAAGGAGTTCTGGAAAGGGCATACGGAAGAAGAAAAAGTTCTTGTAAGAGATGGAAACATTCTTACAGGCGTGTTGGATAAAAACTCATTAGGTCAAAGTTCGATGTCTTTGGTTCATGCATGTTCAGAAGTGATGGGAGGATCCGCATGCAATGATCTTATGACATACATCGGCAGGGTAATTAATCGATATCTGCTTATGTATGGAATTACAGTAGGGATTGATGATTTATTACTTTCATCTGATGCAGATATGGCGAGGAAAGAGCTAATCAGGATCAAGAATGCACAAGCTGCAGAGGTTCAACAAAAGTTCTTGTCTGAAAATCCAGATTATTACTTGCATTCTGATAAAATCAGCTACATTGATTCTGTAATGAGAGAGGAGATGAATAAGGTAACGTCTGCAATAGTAAGTGTGTCTGTACCATCTGGACAGAATAAGTGCTTTCCTAATAATAATATTGGATTGATTGTTATGACTGGAGCAAAGGGATCGATTGTGAATCTGAGTCAGATATCTGGAGGATTGGGGCAACAGGAGCTTGAAGGCAAGAGAGTTCCTGTAATGGCCAGTGGAAAGACATTGCCGTGTTTTGGACGTCTTGATGCAGATCCTCGCTCTGCAGGATATATATACGAAAGGTTTTTATCAGGAATTGCGCCGCCACAGTTTTTTTTCCATTGTATGGCAGGTAGAGAAGGGTTGATTGACACGGCAGTAAAAACAGCGAATTCAGGTTATCTGCAAAGATGCCTTGTGAAGCACATGGAAAGGATGAAGGTTGAGTATGACATGTCGGTGCGAGCAGAAAATACAACCATTCAGTTTATGTATGGTGAAGACGGGATTGATAGCACAAAAGCCAGCTATTTGGAGCAGTTTGAATTCTATAAGCAAAATGAAAAACTGTTCAGGAACTCGTGTGTTAGTGAGGGATGTAGAGAGTATGGAATGGTTTCTCAAAGGTTCCAGGAGATGCTTGATGGCGTTGATGACAAAAGGTTCCGAAACTTTTTAGTAGGAAGGTACATAAACGGACTTGTTAATCCTGGAGAGTGTGTGGGAGTATTGGCAGCACAGTCTGTAGGAGAGCCATCTACTCAGATGACGTTGAACACGTTCCATCTTGCAGGAGTGGGAGCAAAAAATATGACACTTGGAATCCCAAGACTTAGAGAGATTTTAATAACATCATCTAAGAACATTAAAACGCCTATAGTAAGTGTTCCTATAAAGAATTCTGTGGAGTTTGATGTAGTAGAATGCCTGAAGAGAGTGACACTCAAGGACTGTGTGACGAGGTTTAGTGTCAACGAAGAGATTGTGATGGTTGATGAAGTGTTCCAGAAGAAGATTGTGATGGAGTTTGAACTAGGCTGTTATGTAGATTTGGCAGCAGAAGCACTGGACAAGAAGTTCCTGAAAGTGTTTGGAAAGAAGCTGAAGAACTTGGCATGCATGAGTCCTACAAGTGGAATAACAGAAACATCTAAAGTCAAGGGGAAGCAAGATGAAGCAGAAGATTGCGATGATGATTGCGATGATGAAGATATAAATGATAATGATAAAGAGAAAGCCAATGATAGCAATAGTGATGATAGTGATAGTGATAGCAATAATGAAGGTAATGGTAATGAAGTAAATCGCAAAGAAGCGTTTTCGGATGAATTTGCTAATGATACACTGCCTAACCATGAAAATAGTAGTGAGGAAGTTGATGATATCGATGAAGTGAATGATGAATATGAAGATAGAGATAGAGAGTTCATTAACTTCACAAGAAAATCAAAAAATGTGCTTGTTTTTGAGGTTTTGTATCCTTCTGGAATGAACGAAATGATTACTTGGCTTATTGAATCGATTCTTCCGGTTATTTCTGTAAAAGAGATTGCTGGAATAACTAAAGCAAACATATCTGACAACATCCTGTTTGTTGAGACAAGGGACTTATGTTCATTAGCGAAAAGTGTGGACATTGGCCCAGGAAACACAGTCAGTCTATTAGATGCGATTGACATATACAGTTCGGAATCTAACGATATTTATAATGTGCGCCAGGTTCTTGGGATAGAAGCTGCAAGGCATTCAATAGTCAACGAAGTGAAAAGAGTGTTTGATGCTTATGGGATATCAGTGGATTCACGCCATCTGCTACTGATTGCAGACTACATGACTAGAAATGGAGAATACACACCTTTTAATAGAGGTGGATTGGGTGCTTCAGATTCGCCTTTTTTGAGAATGAGCTTCGAAAGCTGTTACAGCATGCTTCAATCAAACGCAATCTTCCATCAAGAAGATAATCTTTCTGTGCCATCCGCATCTCTGGTCGTAGGGAATCCTATTGAGTGTGGAACTGGTTCATTTAGTTTAATGCATTCTATTGGCATTTCTAATAAAACCTAACTTTCTTAAAATCAGATTTTCACAATGCTTATTTATTTTAAATGATTCAATAGCATTATGATTATCATATACATATCATACAGCATTGAAGTAGAGTACTTTATCCAATTCGTGCATTTCTTGTTTATGCAAATGCATCATTATTTTTTAAATGGAACGAGTGTTTTCCCAAACTCTTTCAATTTGAACAATCTCTGAACATTTTCGCTTGAAAACTCACATATTCTTTTATAAACTGAAGAATCATAATATACTAGTCTTGTGTAAGGGCATTTGTATAGTGCAGGAAGACCAGTGATATCGCATAGCTTCATCGCTGCTTTTGCTGATATTCTACTAGATATCTGAATATACTTCCTATTGGTCTCTGTAAACTCAGCACACATATGCTTTACTGATTTGAACCGCATCCCCTGGCCTATGTAAGTATTTCTCTTATAGCCTTGCATCTCTATTCCAAGGGTTGTTAACACTTTTTCATATCACTATCAATAATTGATATAACTTAGGAATAATCGATATAGTTTAGAAATAATTCATACATCACTAACAATAAAAATCAGTACAACTTAACAATAATCCATACACTCAGGAATAATTCAGCATAAGAAGAATAATAAATCAGTACAATTTAAGAGTAATAATTCATACACTCAAGAATAAGAATAAATCAAGAATAAGAATTTAATGGTTTAGGCAAACATTGCCATCCTTCTCTTTAATTCCTCGCTAAAGTCTTTAGTTTCCTTGATCTCCTTGCATCGTTTCTCAGTCTCCTCTTTTCTTAGCACCTCCAGACTTTCTCTTTCACGTACCCTTTCAGTAAGCTTTTTCACTTGCTCTCCGTGCTTCCATCCAAACTCACTCAAGAGATCACCCAGAGAAACATTCTTATGAGGCTTGCTGTTGTAGTAGTACATGCTCTTGGCAAACTTATGCCTTTTGCAGTTCTCAAACTCCGCTGGAATCCCTTCATGAACACTCAGCCTAGTCAAGGCAGTCTTTCCACGCCACTTCTTATACGAAATCATTCTTCGGATTATCTTTGCAAGATGCATCTTAGGCTCTCGGTAGTGGAACGGTCCTCTCCTTGGATTCACAATGCATCTCTTATTCAGGTACTCCTTAAAGTCTGCCTTTGCCATCTCCATTGTCCTCATCAACAGTGCATTCTCAGCACACACCACACTTACTTTCACTCCGTTCAGAAGCAACTTTGCAATCTTCCCTGCAAGTTTGCCTGCAACATGCCCTGTAGCATCAACCACAATATGATCGCTGTTCTCCATTTCCGGGGCTATTTTTTCAGACACTCAAATTTTGCTCCTTGCTTACTCTCATTCATATTCAGTATCCCCACTGGCATTTATAGTAGCCATAAATCCACTAGATCAATAAAGCTTCATCAAGCACATAAATTATACATCTACTAGATCATCAAAGCTTTATTAAACACATAATCAGTCTTAACACAATTCACATTTAATCACGTCATACGGCACTGTCTGGTTAGCAATCACTTTACCCTGCCCAAGTAAACTCAAAAGACAAAAAAAAGATTTGCTTCTTTCATATCTACTCTTGTTTCCAACCGCACTGTTAAAACTGAAACTCTTTCCCAGCTCTCCAATCTCAAAATACATCTTCGTTCCATTCTCTTCATTTTCACTATCGTTTTCACTATCAACTTCATTATGCTCATTATCAGTTTCTATTTCATTTCTAAAGCTAATGTCCATATATGAATCCATTAACATCTCATCACGCACTCCCTCAACACTCTCTCTACGCATCATGCTTTCATCTCTGATCCTACACAGAATCTCAGGTGCAACAAACAGCCTTGATCGCATCACATCCATAAAATCAATTCTCTTCATACATACAATATCTCTTGTATCACGCAGATTCTCTCTGAACATTTGTGCATCATACTCAGTCTCGCCATCATCGACTATCCTTCTTCTCTTCTCCCTGTACTCTTCAATCGGAATCTGAGTCACCTCAGTTGCACTCCTTCCCATAGATCCATCGTCATAGTCATCTCTAATCTGCTCAGCAAGTGAAATTCCACTCATATTTGCTCCAAAACTCATATCATCAATGCTTATTCCCATATCCTCCTCAGGCTCCTCAAGAACAATAAACTCCTCAGGATCAATCATATCGTCGTCAATATACAGTCCTTCCATTCCCAGAGTTATTTCCTTAACCACTCCCTGGCCTATTTTTTTCACCTTCTCTGCAGATCCTTCACACATCACATGTACCATTCCTCCACACTCTTCTGATAAATACTTTAACTTTCTTGACAAAATCTTGCTCAACCCAGCAATAACAAGACCTCCAATATCAACAGGCACTTCTTCATTCATAACGACAGCAACTACAGAAGATATACAAACATCCTTCAGTTGTGCCTTACTCATTCTCTTCTCCATATATATCGCTCTAAAGATCGCACTTTGACTTCCAATAAGCCTTTGGACTAACACTCTCGACAGATTCATCCCTGTCTATCAGTCATTGTATTAAGTATTTTATTTTGGAGGGAACCTCAGCTGTATCAAACAGTATAAAATTAAACATATGCATTGTGTCTGATTTTGGCATAATGCATCTATAAACACACTATCAATCAATGAAATCCATTTATTGTACTTTACAACATTTATTGCTGCATTTACAGTATTTGCTTACTGTATGATGATTTTCTATTCTACACTTCCTGCCATTCACTGTTGTGTCATCATTCCTTTCTTTACCATGCTGTCCTAACATTATGTGAGTCATAAGTATAACGAAAACAATTACCGATGAAAAAATAATCAAAAAGCTTTCTGTGATATCAGGTTCAGCAATAAGTGGCTAAAATTACAATAATAACTTACCTTTATAGCCAGTGCATAAACAATAAAAGCATATGCTGCTGTAGACACCACAAGCATAATACTTGCATATCCCATGGGGACGGCTACAGGACCTTATTCACGCAAACAAACAAATAAAAAATTGTGCAGGGGGGTGAAAAAGTAAGTGATCGACTGTAACATGTATAATTTTAGATGGCTTTGGTTCCTACAAAAGACAAGTATAAGATCAAGAGACAGCTGTTGGAAAAGAAGGCACTGCTGGTTGAGGACACGGTTCTTGGTGAGCACAAGACGCTTGGCATTTCAAACTTGCACATGAAAATATTTATGAAGACAATGGTTTCTTACGGATATGTTGAGAAGATATATGTGTGGAGACACTCGTATTTCTTCTTGACACCTCTTGGAGAGGAGAAGCTCAGGGGAGAACTGGTTTTTACCGAGGAGAGCATTCCTGCACATGAGACTGTTGCAGCAGCATGAATAAAAAGGATTGCCTTTTGTGTTTTTAAATGTGTTTGGCAACTGACAGCCCTGGAGATTTTTACAATGGAAGACTGCACACATCAGGATACATATAATGGTGTTTGCAAAATATGTGGTTTGTGCATCGAGGATACAGATTATGTGTCTTCATATACGCCTTGTAGATTCATCATCCCTACAAAGTTCAAGTATTTTGTCATAAATAGGATTGGGCGGTATGAACGATGCGCAGAGTCTTTGCTTGGTATTCTGAATGTATCCGAATACAGTGAGCAGGTTAAGCAGCTTTTAAAATCCAAGGAGTTTGTTCGCAGGATAAATCCAAACAGCAAAGTTCTTGGTGCGATCTATTATGTTCTGAAGATGAATGATTACCCAATATCATATCACGATCTTCAGCCATATATGCTGCAGCACATGATTTATGTCAAACGGGTTGTCCTCAAGGACTTCGAATACATAAACATGTCAATTGAGTATTTGACTGCAATATTCAACAGAACAAAGGAGTTCTATTGCCGAGGAAGAACTCAAAATGATTTGAAACAGCAAGAAGCATTCAAAGACTCTGATCTAGATGGATTTATTAGGATATGCACAAGAAATAGACGCACAAATCCATATCTGCTGTGCATGGCCTACTTCATAAGAAACAAAAGCATCCAAACATCTTACAATCAGTTTGGTCTTAAGGTTCTTATAGAGATTACTCAGCTCAGAGCCATCGTTAAGACAGTTAAGAACATAATTAAAGCAGAATCCCTTGAAGATCTTACAGATGTTAAAATACGAAGAAAATTCATTAAGAAAAATGCAAAAGAATATTTTATGAATTGGATTCTTAGAAAGCGTTAAATAGTCTTGATGTATGCCACAATCATATATAACCTTAATTATGGAATTATAGGTATTTACTGTATATAGTTCTATTATTTGCAAATCTTCATATAATACAGTTGCTACAGTGCTTTTATGATGCATGATAAGATGCATTACAAGAATCACCAACACATTAAAATACTTTGAAATGAATCATCTTGCAGTTTATCTATATCTCAAGCTCAGGAAACATAAAATTCGTAAATGTTATGAGCCTTGGTCGCTTCTTTACATCACATGCTTCATCCTTTATTTGTCTTATGACGTTCCTTATCCCCTTCACAGATTCACTTAGAATATCAAGTTCAAACAGATACGGCTGGAATTCATCAAATGTAATCCTGGATGTCCACTCCAACTCTTTCACAAATGATTCCGCTCGTGCCATTGAATATGCCATGGGATGCAGTCTCATAATCCACAGCACTGTCCAAAGAATCTTGTGGCAATCTGCAGATCCAACTAACAACGAAATACTACACAACTTCTTGATTACTGCCTTGACTGTCGTCAGAGTTGAGGATTTGTCTTCAAGCACCATCATCAACAGCATCAGTCTCTTTTCTATGCGGTGTCCTATCGTTACTGGATTCATACAGAACAGCAGGTTCTTAAAAAACTCATCAAACTCAAATCCAAACTCCTTTTTCATGACAAAAACCAGCTCTGCAATGTCAAAGCAGAAAAGACATCCAGGCACAAAGTATCGCTCTATCGATGGGTATATGTTTCTTGGATCTCGCATGAAAAATACAAGATCCGGAAGAAGAAGCACAAATTTCTCCCTATCTGGTTCATCAATCATGTTGAATGCATCAACAATCATTTCATCAAGTTTACATTCCAAATCTAAGTCGGCACTGAACTTATTGGCACATTCAACAATACAATTCAAGGCCTCCATAACCAAACTAGACGCATTCCAATGCTTGCTTTCAAGAGCATGCTTCAATTGCTCAACTTCTCGACCCAAACACTTTAGCTCTTTATCTCCACGAGCCATCATGGGTGCTATAATCCATAAACGATTTAATCTCTTCCTCTTTCTACTTCCTTCCCAAAACGACTCACAAACGATCCAAACATCTTGCTGCTTAATAAAAACAATCTAAATACACTTCGATCAATTCTCAAATCAGACTTACAGATATAAGAAGATAGCAGCAACACTTCCTCTCCTCTAACTGGCATTAGATTCAAATCAGTTTGTTTATATTCTCTAAATTCCTTTGCTGCCTCTCTTGCATCGGCTACTTTGCATTGCACAACCCTTGAAATGAAAACAATATGCTTCTGATCGGCATACTTCAAGGTTCTGTACATGTCCAAAATCATCTCCAGTGGAATGTCTCCTGCTCGTTCAATACAAAACACATAAACATCATCCACTGAAACCTTATTATTTGCCTTGGTAATCAGTAAGTTTATTTCCTTCCCAAATCTTTCATTGAATGTCATATTTATGCTTGATAACGGAATAAACACACCGAATGATAAAACCAAATCACCGCTGACCAATGCCTTCGGACAGAAAAAACATTTAAAAAGACTCATAAATGCTCCAAACACTTTTGCTTGGGCCATAACCATCGCTACCTGTTCATCCATACATGTATTATAGTCAATTACTTCGTAATCAATCTGTTCATCAGACAATTCATCGTTTGACTCTTCATCATGACTATGAGATGACATATTGCATTCTTCAGATTCACATGCTCTATCATTAGGTAAATCGATGTCCGATTTCATAAAGGGCTTTACAATACACAACGTATTTTATGAAACTCACTTCAAATTCATTGAATAAGCCATTCCTGGCAACACATCGATTACTTCTACTATCCATAGCAATCACATGATCAGGTAGCCCTAAGATAAGTGCTTTATTATCCAGTTTCATCATCACTACTAATATCATGATTTCATTCATAAACCACATTTCCATCTGTATCAATCACTTTGAGATTTTGAATCTTGTAAAGTACAGACCCAACACAGGTTGCATCAACAATTGTTTCATCTGCACTAAAAATATGATCAATTCTATTACTTATTCTAAACACATGATATGAATCATTTGTAATAACTACAAGCTCATCATTTCCCTTGCATAAACACTTTACAATGCTCTGCTCTTTTGAAAATACAAACTCGTCCTTCACAGCATAAGTTTCATTAAGCAGCACAACACGGCATTTACTAACTGATATCACACTATGATCGATACATATCAACGATTCTATCGGCTCATGTAAAAATACATACTTCATTATTTTTCCATCAAGTTCACTAACACGTATCCTACCGTATTTGTCACTCAGTAGAATGTTCTGGTTGTGTATTGTCATTCCAGTCATATAAGAAATTATTCCAAGGAAATAACTGCACGTGCCATTTTCAATCCTATACACATCTCCAAACCTATCTGCTACATAAACCGCTTCATCTTTCTCCTGCAGACAGAATATATTTCGCTTCAACTTCGCAATCTTTCTCAATTCCATATTATCTAGAGCATAAAAATTCTTCTCTCTATCAGTCAGATACTTTCCACACAAAAAAGATACAGAGAATGGAATCTCAATCTGTCTCACCGTTTTTGTTGCCACATCTATGCGCATAAGCGCATCTTTTATATATAAAACAACTTCATCTCCTTCAGTAGACAGCAAACCCATACTTACAAAGGATAAGCATTTCTTATAATAATTCAGGCAACTTAAAACTTTTACTGTATTAGTCTCATCCATCAAAAATACATTCGGCAAATATTTATTCCTCAAATGATGACACAAGGCGTGCATTTGCATTGATTATGCAGATTCCAAGCTCCTTTGCCTTGTTGACAATCGCAATTCTCTTCTTTGCGCCAACAGCATGTGCAATCTCTCCGCAATAGAACCTATTCAGCGATGCCAAAGGCGTAAGATCGTTGACATTAAATATCCTAACCTTCCTGAGTCCATTTGGAAGAAGAAAGCGAACCTCATCTGGCTTCTTGTACTTAATGCCAGGCATCTCCTTCTCTCCCTTCATTCTCAGCCTGACCTTGCTATCAATACCGTGTGGTCTTCTCCACGATGGCTTTATCCTCTTGTATTTATCCGAATGGTGTCTTGAAAACACTTTCTTCTTGCTGTATGCATTCTTTATCTCAACCAGCGGATTTGGGCTCAGAAACTCCTCAGACATCGTGTTACAGGGTAAATTTTTTCCGTGTTTTATGCTGTGCCTGTGGGATGCAGATACTGAGATTCAGCATAGAAGCATGGATATGGGCATGGTTATTGCATTACTGGCGTTACTTGTATTATTTGTATTGTACATTTGGATTGATTTGTTGAGAGCTGTGGATATTTAGCCCATCCGAAGATTATGGCAAACAGTGCAAAGCAGTCCAGAAACAAATATATCGATAGATCGAAGCCACACATACGAAAATCAAGTAATGTGGATACCAAGCTAGCATACGTAAGTGGATCAAAACACGGAAAGTGTGATGATGGTAAATACCAACGGCAGAACGGTAATGACAGAAAGAGAGACATTGGAATGCATAGTGATGAAACTAAACGATTAAGAACAGGTAATGGAAGCGACAGTGCAAGACTGAAAATATTCAAGATGGAGTTTGATGAACAAATGTGCTCAATCAAGTTGGAATGTGCAGGAACATTGGAAAGAGTGAAAGAGCTGTTTAGTAATCCCAAAGCAATAACTGTAATTGAAAGAGGATATCTATTGGAGTATCCGAGTAAAGAGCATGCGCTTGTTGACATGAAGACCAACAGACGACCTTCAGGAAAGAAAAGTGAATTGGTTGAGGAATACATGAACACCAAATTCATTCTAATGAACTTGTCATATAAAGAAACGGAGGAAACGATTTCTGAGAAGTTCAGCAAGTATGGCAAGATTGAGAAGATTAGCATAAAGAAGAACAAGTACAATATATCCACAGGAAAGGCTATTATAATATTTAAGAACAAAGCAGTTATCAGGGATGAGGTGGTGATGAACAGTAAGCCTATATATATTGAAAGAGTTAAAGCGCCTGTGCAAAACAAAAAGAGACTTTTTCTTGGTGGCCTTACAAAAAAGCACTCGATTGTTGATATTAGAACGATTCTTGCTGGTGCAGGATGCAAGCCAGTAGATATTGTTGTTCCGTACGGAGATAACAAGAAGAACAAGGGATACGGGTTTATTGAGTATAGAGACGAGAAGGAAGCAAATGTGTTTGTAAGAAAGTTCAGTTCTATCAAATCCATGCTTGGGCCTGAATGCTATTTTGAGTATTCGAATGAAAAAAAGCTTTTGAAGAAGTGAAGTAGGTTTGGAAATACTAATGGAAGATTTTGAAGATACAAGATAAGATGTTTGAAAATTCTAAATTAAATGTTTGAATATATGAGAGAAAGTCTTTGAAAATACCAATGGAAAGCGTCTGAGGATAAACACAAAATATCTTTGAAAATTCTAGACAAAACCTTTAAAACAATAAATAAATATATGAGAGTGGAATTGATGTGTTTGGATTACTGATTACAAGACATGCTTATAATAAATTACTAATATTTATGTATAATATACAAAATGCATGTTTATCTTGCTTTTATGCGGCTTTTCATGTTTGTTTGATTGTAAGTGAATAGGAGATGATTGTTTATATGATTTGGCCCATGGACAATGAAAATACAAACAAAAGTGAGGTAAATGCAGAGAGTGGAATAACGAATGTGCAGCGCACTGAAAAGAAGCATTGTGTAATGACGAATCAGGGATGGATCCCTGATGATTACAAGAACTATGTTAACGAAAGTATTCTGAATGTAAACTTTGAAACAGATGCTTTTCAGAAGCAGGCATTCTATTTCTTGAGCAGAGGGATGTCGGTGTTTGTGTCTGCACACACAAGCTCCGGAAAGACACTTGTTGCGGAGTATGCGATCTCGCTATCTCAATTTCATGGCACACGAACGATTTATACGTCTCCAATCAAGGCACTAAGCAACCAGAAGTACCATGACTTTAAGATGAAGTACAAGGACGTTGGGATTGTAACTGGGGACGTGCAGGTGAATCCTTCTGCAAAGTGCCTTGTGATGACTACTGAGATCCTGAGGAACATGGTGTACAGGAACGGAGATTTACTTAGAGATACTGAGTTTGTTGTATTTGATGAGGTGCATTACATAAATGACAGCGATCGTGGAGTAGTGTGGGAGGAATGCATAATTATGCTTCCAAAGCACATAAGTCTGATTATGCTGAGTGCGACGATCCCAAATGGACTTGAATTCAGTGAGTGGGTTGGCAGAACACAGAGCAGGACTATATATGTGATATCTACAAACAAACGAGCAGTTCCTCTGGAGCATGTACTTTATAGTGATTGGAATGTTTATGCAATTGAAGATGAGACGGAGAAGAAAAGAGCATCGAATTTCAAGGAGGGACCAATGCCTTTAAGCAAAAAGGCAAAGATACAAGCAAGATTCAAGATATGTGATGTAGCAAACTTTATCATGAAGAAGCGTTTGGTGCCAGCGATATTTTTCTGCTTTTCTAAAAAAAAGTGTGAGGAATATGCAGAGATTCTTGGACCATTGAACTTGAATGATGAGCAGAGCAAGGGACATGTGCGAGCATTTTTAAACGAAGCTATCAAGTGTCTTTCTGCAGAAGATAGATGCCTACCTCAGGTTGTAAGCATGACATCAATGGTGATGAATGGAATAGCGGTCCATCACGGATCTTTGCTTCCGTTTGTAAAAGAATGTGTTGAGCTGTTGTTTTCAATGAATCTGGTGAAAATATTACTGGCCACAGAAACTTTTGCAATGGGTGTGAACATGCCTGCTAAGTGCTGTGTATTTCTATCTCTGAGTAAGATTGATAATGGAACTTTTAGATATCTTTCGTCTGGAGAATATATCCAGATGAGTGGACGTGCAGGGAGGCGAGGTATGGACGCTGTGGGTACTGTGATGATTGCGGATCCAAAGCTACCGAATATTGAAGTGATTAGAAGGATTATCAAGGGATGTCCACTCAGCCTGTCAAGTCAATTCAAGTTGAGCTTTGGATTGATATTATTGTCATTGAGATCTAATGTTAAAGTTGAAGAGTTGATGAGAAGAAGCTATGGAGAGCACAGAAACCAGAAGAACTATGACAAGGACATGAATAGACTACGGGAATTGGAAGCAGAGGATGAAGTGTGTGTTAAGTGTGGCGATATGATGGAGTATCTCTGCGCTATTGAAGAAATATGCAGTAAGAACTGGAAGTTGATTTGCAAGTCTCCTATTTTGTGTAAGGGGACTAAGCTGTTGTTGAAAGACAATTCTACATGTGTAGTAAATAGTGTGAATGAAACTACTGTAACCGTGGATAGATGTGAGGAAGTGGAAGAATATAGAGAGAATATTGAGCATGGACTGAGTGAAGGGGTTACTAAGCATGAGCCAAATGGTTCTGCTGGCTCTATAGGGATGCTTTTGTATCCTATAAGCATTAGAAGGCCTTTGAACAAAAATAAGGTGAATGTGTCTGAAATATTTTGTGTTCTAAAAGATGGGAGATCATTTTGGAATTATGGATTGACAAATGTGACAGATGTGTTGGAAGTAAAGCGGCTTAGTGAGGTTTGTGCTAGCCTGGAAGGTAGGCATGATGGATGTGAAAAGATGAAGCAGCACTATACAGAAGCAATCACGAAGATGAGTAATAGAAGAGAAGCAGAGGCAATAAGAACCAGATATAACATTTCTAGTCTTCATATGATTGATGAATATAACAAACGCATGGAGTTTTTAGCAAAGAGAGGATTTGTGGATGGAACAATTACATTGAAGGGAAAGGCTGCTGCAGAAATCCGCACAGTTAACGAGGTGCTTGTAGTTGAGATGATATTTTCAAATGAGTTTGAATTCATGGATGGAAAGAAGATCATATCGTTGATGTCTTCGATGGTGTATGAGGAAGCATTGGAAAGCCCAGAAGAAGAGACCTTGTATAATGAAACAAAGATGATAGAGAATTACTTTTTCGAGATGTCTAAAGAGATGAGCGATCTTGGGATTCCTCCGTTTGCAGCCTTGAACTTTTCATTGGTGGATGCCGTTCATGAGTGGTGCTGTGGGTCATCGCTCTCAAAAATAGTGTCGAAGTATGGAGTGCCTGAAGGCTCGTTTGTAAGGCTTATATTGAGGCTTGAAGAGTGCTGTAGAGAGTTGATAAGTGTAGCAGTGATGATAGGTGATAAGGATCTTGAAAAAAAGATTGAGGATGCATCTAAATCCATGAAGCGCGATGTGATATTTTTACCAAGCCTGTACCTATGATAAACACATTAGGGTTTATGGATCGATCAACCATTTGGCTGCTTTACTATTGAATTGATGATTAAAGTATCAAGATAGTTTATTTGCTCTTCAATGTTTTCCATTCAGTTATTAATGCATCTTTTCGTTCAAAGGCCTTGTATAGGAATGATTCGTAATCTGAGATCTGATTTATTGGAACTATTCTTATGTTGTATTTGAAGTGTCCAGTAACGTCGCAGAGTAAGAATTTCCAGAGTGGTGGGACCTCGCCTTCTGAATATGAAAATGTGATGTCTGCAATCTCTGATATTCTTGAGCCTCTGAGTTGCTCACATATGAGCTTGAATCCCTTGTATCTTGGGAAAAGAACATTATTCATCCTTGGAACGTTGTTTTTGTCTGAATATTCCCAGCTGATTGCTTGGGCCTGCTTCTTGAACCTTGAGCCTTCGGGATACAGAATAAACCAGATTGGAATATCATTGGCCTTGAAGAACTCAAAATACCGAATGATTCGTTTTCGATCCTTCTCGAAGCATCGCTTAAGAACTAAAAATCCCACGGATACCATCCCTTGATACAGCACTGGAAATACTTTCAATCCCTCCTTGATCGTATATTTTGAATGTGCAATCATATTATTCATCTTGGCTATCTCATTTATTAGCATGAAGTCAACTGATCCTAAATGATTGCTAATTACAAAATAATTTTTGTTGTCTAAAATGTTGTTTCCTTCAACTCTGCATGATATGTTGAACAGGATGCTTGTGATCGACCATGTCAGGTACGTGAATAATGTTGATATACGAACGACCAGCTTTCTGTTAAACAAGCTGATTGGATATACAATGATGAAAACTGGTATTCCCATAATAAATACAGGAATTATGCAGAGTGCAACAAGCCATTTCAAGAATATTCTCTGTATTTTTTGCATTCAGCAGGGTTTTGGATTGAGTTTGTTTGTAAATCATGGTATCGACAGAAAGTGATTGTGTTGTATGATGGCCCTTAGCATGGATTTGAAGTCTGGCTCAGATGGAAAAGTAGATTTCAAGGACTTGGATGCTTTGTTTGAGATATTACAGAATGAGCGATGCTTCAAGATACAAATAATAACTCTTGAATCATACGATGTTTTTGAAGAAGCGCTTGCGGACAGACATGTTAAGTATGTACGACAGTTCAGTTCCAACCTAAAGCCCTGCTCTCTTCCAGTGCTTATTCTGGCTGACAGTGATGATTATGATATTCCTGAGAATGGAAGATACATTCTGCTGAGTAATAAGCGCCACAGGGAGTTTGTGCAGATTGTGTTGCGCCCCACTATTGAAGAGAAACTTGCGGTTGTTGGATATAAATATGTTGTTTATGCGCATAAATTAAAGAGCATCACCGCGCTTAGACGAATTACCTGTAAGAAGCAACTTGCATACGAAGATTTTTTTTCAAGAGGATTAAATTATTTTGAAAGCATAATCATGCTTGTTGTGAAACGTAAGAGTAGGTTTGTAGACATTCTAAACGGTGTAAATGAAATTGATGCAAGTTTATGCAATGGATTTGTACTGAAGATGAAATTGAACGACTTGATTAAGAAAATGTATGTGACAAGGAAAGGAGACAGCTACAAGGTGAACGTGAGTGATGAGGTTTTGAGATGTATGTGGCGCAGAGCTGGACTTTCGGAGTTTGTGTGAGGAATAAAGTGATTGTAGTTGATTGAGTGTTGGGTGCCGGTAGATCATGATAATTGATTTTAGTTCATTGTATGTTGAATATCAATAGAACATGATAGTTGAGTGTAAGTATCTGTATCCCTTGTTTGCTATGGATGACTTGAATGCAAGATATAATGGCTTGATTGAGGCAAGGAAAAATGTTCGCAATCACAGTGGATCTGATGGAAGGTGCATGACCTTTTGCCCGGAGGTTGAGGGTTTAGAACGGACACTCAAGAATGATGTATCAGCATATGAAAATGAAGTTATGGTGAAGAAGCATCGTAAACCAATACCTGGATCTGGAAGAGAGCATATTGACGATATAAGGCCTATGAATGTATTGTGTAATGTTGTTGATCACCTTATTAAACTAAGCATGCGAAATCAAAGTATACAGATGTATAAGTTTGTGGACAACAGATTCAAGGCTGTTTTAAGCGATCTTAGGTTTCAGAAAGGAAGCTGTGCAGGTGTAGCAAGTGTGGTTGAGAAGATTGTACGTATATATACTGTTTTCCGGTACATCTTGTATAATCATCCACATTTTGATAGAGACATGAATATTAGCCAGATGAAGCGAATATTGGGAGATCTTCTGAAGTATTACGACCAAGATGATACTGTCAGTGACGAAGATTTGTGGAGAAGAGAACAATACCGTTGTTACTACATGCTTGTGAATTTGGATTCTAAGTGTTTTCCAGTAATGAATAGGCATGTACATGGGCCAATGATGAATGTGTGCAGCGATGTGATGGTGAAGTATAGACAAGGCAACATCTATGGGTTTTTGAAGGAGATTAGAAGATTGGATTTTCTTGGATTCTGCATAGCACAAGGGTTTACAGGAACACTCAGAATGAGGTGTGCAGATGGTTTTAAGAAGGTATTGGTTGAGAAGCTGAGTGTTGAGGCGATGAGAGATTTTTTTGAGCTTGAGCAGGATGAGATGATAGAAATGATGAGATTGAATGGAATTGTTGTGAAAGCAGGAATAGTTGATTTTGAGAGCAAAGGTGTGAATGAAGATTCAAAGTCTTCTATGGTATTTAAGAAGCTTTTGACGCATGTAAGGCATCCTGAATGTTTTATGCCGTTAGAATGTGCTGAATATGAAATATTCAGGTATGCATTGCGTAAGATCGTGTACAGAAGGATAGAAAGATTGACATGTGTGCAAGAAGTGAGTAATGGAATGAAATATTCAATGAATGACAGTGATAATGATTTGAATACACATGACATACATGAAATTATGCTAGAAGAAGCACAAACAAAATATGTTATTAAGAATGAAAGATCAATAGGCAATCTGGATGGAGAACGAACGGATATGCACATACAAAAGGAAGTTATAAGAAGTGTTTGTATGGAAATTCTTGATGAGTTTGTGAATGCAAGCGTGATTAGGTTTGTGAGCGAAACTATACGTAAGAGACTTTTACAAGGATATTTTTTAGAATGGCAAAGGAAAGCATTTGCACAAAGTAAATGCAGTGATATGCTATTGGTTGTTCTTGATAGAAGGATTTTATCTGTGACATTCAAAGACAAGCTTTACAAATCCATACTAAGAACGTTTATGCCTAAATTTATGTATGCAGATGAAGTAAGTGTTGATGAAGTGCTTGGACACAGGTTGTGCGTGTTTTCAGCACCTCAATGTATACATGCACAAATATATGATAAGTATCGCATGGGGAACATAATTGTCGATACGCCGCATAATCTTAGCAAAAGAACGGATGAGATATATGCGAGAATGATAAGTAGCAGTAGAGTGATTAAGGGAAGATTAGCAAATATTGTTGAGAGCATGTGCAAGAGCAAGGCGATAGAGGTGATTATTGAGCTGGCTAGCAATGATAAGAATGATGATATGATCGAGGAGAATCTGTCCTTGATTTCAAATGACAAGCCATTAATAGACTGTGATGTATATTATGAAGAGGATGAGATGGACCATTTGTTTTGTGTATAAAAATACCTGGTTGATTTTGATTAAATTTATATTATAAAGACTTCATATGTGACTGAAAACAACTGCCATGAGATGTAAATAGCACATTGGAGACCACAGATAGTCATCTGAAAGGAAGACTGTCTCTTCTTGGTACTGGCTTTTCTACACTGAATAGTTTCCAGAACTTCAGGTTTTCATCTGCAGATGCAGAAGCGAGCTCTGATCCATCAGGGCTTGGAGCAACGTGAAGGACTCTTGAGCCATGCTTACCAAACGATGAGATCAGGCTCATGGTTGATGCTTTCCATATCCGTATGTCATTTTCACTGTATCCGTGTGAAGAGATGATTTCCTTGTATTTTGGAAGGTATGTGAGTGTGCATACTTGTGAGTGTGTGTCGATGCTTCTTTCAAGTTTGTTTTCTGTGACATCCCAGAATTTGATTGTCATGTCTTTTGTTCCTCCTCCAGATGTTAAGATGCCTGATCTCCATGGGCACCATGCCAGTGCCTTGACTGCAGATTTATGCCCTGAAAGAGTTTGCGAATTGTTATTTCCAAGCTGCCAGATACGTATTGTATTGTCGTTTCCTCCACTAGCCAAATACCTAAGGTCTGCACTCCATGCAAGTCCACAGATCTCTTGAGAATGCCCTCCTATTGCAGATACTTGTCCTGATCGTATGTCCATGTTGCAAAGCCTTCCGGCTTTATCTCCGCTACTAATTATATTTCCATTCCAGCTCAATGAGGAAATTCTTGCATTATGATTTTTTATGCTTTGCATGACTTTGTTGGTGCACATATCAATAAGATTCATCGATCCGTCTGAATTACCAATGCACAGCATATTTCCGCTGGTCTTCACAGACGAAACATAATCGCTCCCTGAATACATCTCAACCACACTCTTGTCGTGAACACTATATCCATACACTGCCTCTCCAAGCCCAATCACAACTATATTTGTAGTGCTCCAGTCTAGAAGGTTCAGATAGTAATCATCAAGCATTCCTGGCGCATCAAGGATGCGATGAGGAGATGTGTCAATGTGCCTGTTTTTTATTCTTGAGCTTCGAGGAAACGTGGATATCTTGGTACTTGCAAGGATGCTTGTGTGTATTCCAATTGTGTTTTTTGTGTATCTGTCTTCCTTCTGTGTGTGTTGTCGTCCTGCTGTCGTGAATATGTCGCTTAGATTTATATTCATTGCAAGGTCGTCAAGGGTGATCGATAAGTGCCTAAAGGATTAGCTTAGTTTATTAGTTGCTAGATGTAGAAACATTTTATTCTATAAGCGACAGGTGTATTTGAAATGTGATGCAAGCGCGTGTATGTAGCTGTAATTTTTACCCACGGAAATGAAGCCAAAGAAATCTGACGAAAGAAAGACTTTGCTGTCCGTTGTTAGCAATGATGAAGGAGAGCGAATTCAGAAGGAGATTTCGACCATAAGGGGAGATACAGTTAATGTCGAGGAGAATGTGAATCCGTTTGACTGTGTCGAGAAGATTGAAAGACTTATGAAAAAAAAGCGATGCGGATTATTTTTTTCTGTGACGAAGGAGAAAAGATTGGTTATTGGGAGGGTCTTTAATGATGAGATGATTGATATTATTGAATTTAGTATTGACAAGTACATGAGTGTTTCTGATTTTGAATGCGTGTCGCCGGAATTACACATGAAGTATTTTGTAGTTGTCCATAATATTGGCGATGTTCGACTTGAAAATCTTGTGGTGGACATGCTGAACATGAAGAGCAACAAAGTATGTCTTGAGAATATCAAGTATTGTTGGGTGTTTGCAAGGACTGAAACAGGATATGTGTTAAAGTATGTTAGGGTGATGAAAGATATGAGCACGGAGGATTGTGGACCGCTATTTGAGATGCAGTTGATACGAAGTCATCATTGTGATGAAGAGGTGTACAAGAAGGCACTGGACGAGCCTGGAAAGGGATTTAAGAACATTAAGAAGAATGTGTTCAATGACAAGATAGGTACGCTGCATATAAACAAGCAGGATCTCAGAGAGTTAAGGCTTAGAAAGGTAAAGGGATACAAGTGCAGTGATTGAGGGATATAATTAAAATATGATGAAGGATATGATGGCTGGGAGTGATTTTGGAGAACTTATTCATAATTAATAAAACACATTTGATTTTGATGTATGAATTCTGATAGATGATGATGATCTCCTTATATATACTGATATGTTTAAGTGGATATGAGTGCATTTGCATCTTATCTAATGGATTTCAGAATATGGCAGATTTTAAGACCCATTACAATGAATGGAAAGAACGGAATAGTGATTCAGATTGACGTTATGAAATCTGTAGAGATAGATCTAAAAAAGAAAACTAAGGAAAGCAAAAGGCCAAAGAGAATAGATGAATACGACTATAACGATCCATTTATAGAGCCATTTGAAGGAGAAACACAGGCTGTGATGGTTGAGTGTAATTTGAATGACTTTTTTGTTTATCGTGGAGAGTTACCTTACAGTGCAAAAAAGGTTCTAAGTGTATGGGAATCAAGATCATTACGAGAGCAGCTAAAGAATGATAAGAAGGACAAAAATGATAACGTGCAAATAGAAGCAACCAAAAAGAGTGATTTAAAACACAGCAATGAAGTTGTTAATAATATAAGTGATAAAGAGATAAAAAAACTAAATACAGCAGGTGAAAAAAAGTATAGAAGAAATGCCAAGACTGAAAAGCGAACTACTGAGTATATTTTAAGTCTTTTTAAACATAAAATTGATGAATATAAAAAAGAGCAGTCTGAAGATATTGAATTTGAGTCATTCATGTACATGCTGATGCTTAAATCGTTTGAGAAGGAACGGAGTATTGATATAGATGCAGCAAGTGTAAATGTGATAGATTCTGAGAACAGATGGAATGAATACATAAGCCTATACTTAGACAAGATTCGTGAGAGTGCTCATAAAATCATTAATGAAATACATACTGACATTCAGGATCCGAAATATTATCCAGAAACACCCTCTCAGTTCAAAGGGTTTGGAAACAAGAAGTTTCTGCACAATCTTTGCGAGTACCATCTATTGTTTGTGAAGATGGCGTTTATTGAAGATAGATCACAATTATTCAGTGTTGTGGTACAGAAAGCACACTTCAATATCCGAGACTTATTTGAAGACTCGTGCAAAAATGCAGGCCAAACACAATCATACATGATTAGATATATTTCTCATGACTTAGACGTGAAAAATATTTTTGATGATAAGGCAAATGAAAAGGAATCCGAGGATGAATGATACTTTATTACATCAATTCAACACACCTGTTTTACAAGTCCCAATGATTAAGAGTAAATCACACAACCATATGTATTCCACAAAAACAATTAATAAACATTTAGGCAATGCTATTTTTATTTACCATTATCGCATGCATTACTTTCTCTATGTTATCTTCAACAGCACATGTTCCATCAATAATCAAAACGTTTTTTTCTTTTTTAAGTAGAGATGCATAAAGTGAATAAACTTTCTTCTGAAACTTCATGTCATCATAAACTTCCTCTCCAAAGCCCTTTCGCTTGCATAGCTCATCAGTTGGCACATCTATGAAAACCGTCAAATCGGGCTTTGGAAGCAACTCCTCAGTCATTTCACACCATTGGAGATCTAGCCCTTTGGCTGCTGAATAGACCACGCCACTCATAGAATATCTGTCACACAGCACCACGTTTTCTTTTCTCAGCTGTTCAATCATTTCCTTGTGTTCATACCTGTCTGCACTGAATACCAAGTGTATTGTCTCATCCTCAAGTTTGATCTGTTTCCTCAGGTATCCATCAATTACCCTTCCAAGTGCTGTGGATCTGTTGGGAAACCCAATCTTCCTAATCACCATATCTTTCGACATCCTTTCATGCAATGCATTAACCATCGTTGTTTTTCCAGACCTATCCAGCCCTTCAAAAACAACAAAAATACCTTTCGTCATCGCACAAGGGGCTCCATACAATAGTAAATCATATCCTACTCCAATACATAATATCTGCTAATCACAGACTCATAAATCTTTTGATCGCCTGTACTCGTTCATCCTTTTCTTGAACTCCTCATCTTCAACCACCATATCGTCATTGAGTGGCATCCTGTTAAATGGATCAATACCTCCGTTCATCATCAGCATATCATATGTCGACCTGTCCACTGTAATCCTTGATGTCAGCAACTTCACTGGATTCTTTATTGGATTGAATGTTAATGGATCAATAAACTCATCAGGCACAAGTTCTACTATGTCAGACGATACGACAACCTTCTCAAGTTTACAAACCAAATCACGCAGCTCGCATATCTGAGCCTCTCCAATCAAATACTTACTCTCACATATCTCAAGTGCAGTGTGGAAAAATCCAATGTCAAAATACATCCTGTCATTTGCAACTGCATCTATAAACTTATTAGAGGATGTTTTTATATAAACCATAACCATTCTTTTCAAAAGACTTTTTGCATCAAATCCATACTTCTCAGGCGACTTTATCACAAGATCTGCGCACTTTGGCCCAGTGATTATCTTCAGGTTACAGTTCAATACCCTTACAAAGTTGAATATCATCTCTTCTACCAAAAACAGATCAGGTCTTTCATCAAGGATGTGCATAAACAGATCAAAGCATCCATTAACATACATAAAACATCCCTTTGCCTTGTTTGTTAGAAAACGTATCATCTTTTTTAAAGACCGTATTCTTTCCTCTAAAGCCTCAATTTGTTCATCATTCTCATACTCATCTACACTCTTTTCCTTTATATTTTTGAGCTCGACAATCTGTTCATCGAGTGCCTTTGAATCTTCCTTTATCTCCTTGATCGAGGACAACCCCTCAGATAACCTATTCTCAAAATCCTTCATCATGCAGTTGATAAAAGTCACATTTCTCTTGCATATGTTCATCTTTGAGAATACTTCCCCATCCTTCAGAATTGTATGTATCACACACCTTACATCCATTCGTGTCTCATCCCTCTCCAGTGAGTTATAGTAATCTATGATGTGATTGATCATTTTGAACTTTATCGAACTGCTTCTGTGACTCAGAATCTTCACCACATCTTTCTTGAATGCAAGGCTCTTCCAGGTCATGATGCCCTCCATCACCTTCCACAGCGATTCAGAAATATCGGCAGATCGGACAATTTCAAACATCATCTCCTGCATCCACAAAAACGTCTTGTAGTAGAAGTCTGGCCATGGATATTCAACCTCTGCTGTGTATTCCGCAATAAACTCAACAAAATCCTTCTCGTCTACAAATAGATCAGTTGCAAACAAAAGTCCGTTCAATGCACTTATCTTCGAGTTTATTCCCTTTCTGTACGCCTCTACCCTTTCTCCTCCTTCACCTTCAAATGTGCGGTACTCATATGCAAGTGTCTTTACATACTCTCCAAACTTAAAATACGATACCTGCATCATATGAATTTTGGAGAAATAGCAGAATGTCGGAAACGAGGTTAATGAAATCTCCTCCACACATTCCGGATCAATCTTCTCAATCATCTTTTCGTCCACTATCTTTTTGTTAAATCTGCTCATCAGCATGCATAAATTAAATGCAAATCCATCACTTATGTTCACTTTCCAATCAAAAACTGTCTTGCTTCTTTCCTTACTGATATAGACCACCTTTGAAATGTATCTCATGAAATTATGTTTTACATCTGGCGATGCACGTATTGCTGTGAATATCACGTCGTACATCTTGTATGAATATTCGCTAAGTGCACGGTATGCCTTTCGTGACATTTCAATTACATCCTTCGTTTGCATTCCGAAATACTCCTGTACGGGCACTCCATATTCGCACTTCTTGTAAATAAAAGGTTCGAAAAATCCATCCAAAAAACATGCATGCTCACTCAAAACCCCAAAATGCATCGGAACGCCAATTTGCTTGGCATAAACTAAGCCACTGTCTCCCAATCCCCAGTATTGTTCGTTTCTTAACTCTTGAATCACATTCGGAAGTCCCATAAGCACGCCAAGCGCAGCCACATACCGCCCTGCATCAGACATTATTTCTGTTTGCGAGCATCTGAATGATAGTCCATATATCATTGGAACAAAGACCTTTTGTGCAATCCCTTCTACTTCTCCCAGTCGTTCGAAGCAATCCACAGCATCGAAGTACTCTGCCTCAAATGCATTCGTCAAGAGAGGAAGAAGCGACATCACGCTGCTTGCCATAATTACTGTTTTTGAGTCATTGACAATCATTGAAATAGTATCAATGAAAAACCTGATGCATTCATCGTTGTATGATGCTTTGTATCTTGATATAATGTTTTTAAGAACATCTGTAGATGTATTATTGATAAAAGACAACCGAATACATTCAGCTTCATCTTCATCTACAATCTCAGTATCGCCAGTAGAATTGTCGAGCCCAAACATTTCATAGAGCTCTTTTCGATTCATTCAGGGTTTAAGCACACAAAACAATTCAATGGCAAGACCATATAGTGCTGATACTGATGTACAAGCATTTGCTGCATATGTGATGAACTGACAACATATACAATGTGTATGGAACTCACATGTTTTGCAATAAGTTTGCATGAATAGCCCTGGCTGTAATGAGTGACGGCGTGGATGAAAAGTTACGAAGAATTGAGAAGGAAGTTGATAAGATGTGCTTGCAAAGGAAGTTGAGCATAGAAGCAGAATATCTCAAGAGAATAAAGTGCAGAAAGACTCTGAGATGCTATGTAAAGGTTGAAGTGAACAACGGCATGTTTATACGGATGGACAGCAGGGTAATTAATGACTATAAGAGCGGAGGAGAAATGAAATTTTCAGATGTAGTGAAGAGATTCTGTGTTGTATTGAACAACAACATTCGCTCCACATCTGAGCTGTATACTGAGCAATTTGAAACTGATGGTATAAACGAAGATATACAGCATGATGTAAAACATGATACAAGTCATGTCAGCAAAAATATGGATGTAAATGATTTTTTTGAATGGGCAAAAGGTAAAGAAGACATAGAGGCATTTGAAGTGAGTACGAAGAAAGAGCCAGAAAGCATAAGATTGATTTTTGAACTTGAGAATCCAAGAGACATCTGGAGACTTTCGCCAAAGTTGAGTAAATTACTGATGAGATACACAGATACCAAGCCAAATGTAATCACACATCTGTGGAGATATGTTAACAAGAATGGATTAATGAAAACTGGATCTGACTTAGTTAAGTGTGATGGATCACTTAAAGAGATCTTAGGCGTAGACGAATTTGTGTTGACTGAACTCACAGATATGATTGTGCCGCACCTTCTTCCCCTTGATTTCTTGACTGTGAATGTTCCTGTACAACATGGATACACCAATATATTCGACATTCCATTTGAATGGGACGATTTGTATCAACATCCAGTGTTGTACTCAAAGAGGATACATGCAGTTGATAGGAAGATTGAATCTCTCAGACAGATTCTGAAGAAATGTGAAGAGCGAGAAAAGGTTTTGAATGAGTTTGCAAAAGATCCTGTGCATTTCATTAACAAATGGCTATGCATCCAGATGAATGAGCAGTGCCACAGAACCTTGTTTTTCCGCAATGAGGAGGTACAGAAAGGAATATTTGAGCTATTAAAGAGGTTGGAATAAATTATTTCCTGTAAGACACATCAAATCCATCAATAAACCTTTAATAATTAAAAGACTACACTGATTCATCCAATCAAGATCGGATTGGAGTCAACCACAGAATAATTACAGTATGTCAAGTGTCATGTACACCATGGAAACAATGCTGCCTATTCCCATGACTCCTGCCAGAATCGTTGTTATACTTACATTTTTCTTGGCAAACAAGTAATATATTGAAGGATACGTAAAAGATGTTAAGTTGATCGCAGTTATTGACACAAACTGCAATATGGTGTCAATATTGAGATCCTTCATCAGCGCAAGCAAAAGAAAGGCGGCCATAACTACATAGATCACCCTCTTCCAAAGCATATCTACGTTTCTGCTATCCTTTGCCATGTAGCTCAGTATGATCTCGCACATCGGGTTCATTTGCATAGGAAACGCTCCAAACAAAACCATTATTGCCCCAAAGCATGCAATCTTTGATGATATTGCATATGAGTCAATTGTGTGTTTTTTCAGGTATATGTTGATGTTACTGCTCGGATCAATCAGCAAGTCTATCACAGACCCTCTTATTGAATCTCCAAAGACAATGTATCCACACAGGCCAACTGTTCCGTATATCAGTGTTCCAAAAAGCGATGCTCCCAGCGCCACCTTCACAATACTGCCTACTGTCTGCACCTCCAGCTCAGTGTATGTCTTCACCATGTTTGCCTGGCATGACAGTGCTAGAATGAAGTATGAGATTCCACTTGAAAAGTTAGGTCCATGCATCTTGATTAGCTCGTCTGAGCATGTGTCTCCTATGAATACACAGTATGCAACCATCAGCAGTGCAAGATAGCTCACAGAGAGAACTGTAATGTACGATGAAATCTTAAGACTTGACAAGTTCTTCTTCAGAGACAATAAACAGAAAGGAACAAGCATCGCTATAACGATCGCCTTCCTTCCCATCTCAGAACTAATATCTGCATATCCAAAGAAAGACACAATCACCTTTTGTATAAGTCCTGCAAGGTATCTGTAGAAAAATATGTTTGATCCAAAGCAGCTGACAAACGTAGAAACATCCACCAGAATTTTCAAATACTTCGATATGTGCGATGCAAGAGACGAGTATGTCGGCACACTGTCCTTAGACATGCGTGCTGCTACTGAAATTGCAAACAGTGAAAAAAATGTCAGAAACCCCACAAAGTTAATCAAAATAATACCCCTGACATATCCCACATTTTGGAATGCAACCGGCATGAAATTGATTCCTGTGCCCATCATTGAAGTCACCATCGTTACCACAGCGGAGATCGTTCCTAGACTATCTTTCATTATTGGGGTGATCACACGTCTTGTTAAACAATATATCTTCATACCATAAATGGAACATACAAGCAGTAATAAACTGTCAAGTATGACAATAACCGAATCAAGACATAAAGATAGATACAACAAAATCAAACATGATTAATTGAACAATCAGATCCGCAGCTCATTATCATAGATGATATGTTATGTTAGTAAAACACTATTAAGTATTATGCGTATATATGAATTATTATCTAAATATGTTATTACTCGCACCTGATTAGCCTATTTGTATGGATACAGCATATACATTCAGTATTTTGATATATCATACGCAGGAATTACATCAAGCCCCGAGACGTGTAATAATAATAGAAGTTATGTCTATGCTGATGAGATGATAAAATTGCAATACTCTTGCCCAGATAATGGGGGGTAAGAGGGGAGATAAAAGCGGAGACAGAGCACTTGCGTTTGCTGAGGAGGAGCAGACAACGTATGGCCAAATAATTGCACCGCTTGGACAGTGTATGTTCAGAGTAAACTGCTCTGATGGCGTTGCAAGGATAGCAAAGATACGTGGAAGAGATTATAGAAGAGTTAGGATGGGACCTGGCGACATAGTGCTGCTACGCATAAGAGATGGCGATGATAAGAAGGCAGACATCGATAGGAAATACATGCCCAAGGAAATCAAGATCCTGAAGGACGATGGCGAGATAAAAGATGATACCTTCTCAATAGATGATCAGGGATTTGCATTGATTGACTTTGAAGAAATGCTTTAGTAGAATAAAACGGATATTATTTATTGTTTCTTTCTGTATGTATTTATAACTGCTTCTACAACATCAAGATGTGTTGGAAAAGACATCTTCTCTAGGTTCTCAGAGTATGGCGTTGGAATATCTTTACCGCTTATCCTTTGCACAGGTGCCTGTAGAGAGTCAAAACAGTTCTCGTGGATAATTGCAGAAATTTCAGAGGCTATGCTGAAGGAGGGCCATGCATAGTCAACAACAAATACATTTCGTGTTTTCATGGCCGATGCAACAATGGTTTGCTTGTCTATGGGCCTTACAGATACAAGGTTGATGACCTCTGCTGATATTCCGTTTGTTCTTAACAATTTTTCAGCCTCCAGGCAGATCTTTACAGAAATAGAAACGCCAATTAAGGTAACATCTGCTCCAGCAACCTCAATAACAGCTTTATCAAGCTCTTGCACATATTCATCTGTAATATCATCATACACATCATCGTAAAGTGTCTCATTCTCAAGAAAAACAACCGGATTGTTATCTCTGATTGCTGCTTTCATTAAGCCTTTGTGATCTCTGGCTGTGTATGGAGCAACCACCTTCAGTCCTGGAATTGCGCCGTAATACCCGCAGAAGTCCTGTGTATGCTGCGCTGCGTATCCCGGATTGAATCCATTTGGTCCTCTAAACACAATCGGACAGCTAATCATTCCTCCAGACATATACAGTGTCTTTGCACATGAGTTGATTATGTGATCTATTGATTGCAGAGCAAAGTTCCATGTCATGAACTCAACTATTGGTCTCAGTCCAAGATAAGAAGCACCTATGGCCAATCCTGTGAATCCCATCTCACTGATCGGAGTATCACGAACTCTCCAACAGCCATATTTGTAATAAAGGCCTCTAGTAACACCGTGGCATCCTCCAGATACACCAACCTCCTCCCCAATCACAAACACACGCTCTTCTCGCTCCATTTCTTCCTCAATTGCCTGATTCAATGCATCTCTGACAGTAATCATGTGTTTTGTATTTGGTATCTGGTTATTATTGATGTGTTTCAGATGTACCTGCTACTCAATGCATAACATCACATGCGATTATATTTAATCTTTGCATTAATTCTAGTAAACATTACATGATACTAAAGTATTTTGTAAGTTAAATAATCATTCATGCATGAATGACTTGCTTTTCTATATACACGTTCAACCAACAACCCACAAGTATTATAGATGACTGTGGTAACCCTTGAAAGAAAAGAATGCCTAAACTAACTCCTACAAAGAAAGTATGGATGTCGCTGAATATGCTGTTTGTGGCAAACTACTCACTGTACGTAATTCTCCATTTGCTAAGAATTCCTCTGTATCCACTTCCGAACTTCGTCAACGTCATGAGTCTGGTGTTGTCTTATTCTATATCGTTGCTTCCGCATCTATCTTCAATAGGTGAAGTGGTTGCACAGCCAAATGTGTATTGTATCGCAGTCTTTCTTACTTTTCCTCACGAAATGCTCCTACTTCCGTTCTATTTGCTGGCGATATATCACATGAGCTCATTTGTGTTGTCTAATAGAAAAATATTCGAAACATCATGTATTTATCCAGTGTGTGTGTCACTGTCTGCACATCATGTTGCACTTGGTAGACTGGCATTGCTTGCAGAAGCATTTACTGTTCCAGTCTCGTTCTTGATGATCTTCTTCAGGAAGTCTAGCATTGTCACATGCACGGCGCTTGTTGCAATGGTGAGGCAGCAATACTTCACCAATCCAGCAATGAAGAGTGTGTTTGGAGAAATACGTGTGCTCATGGACAAGTGGATCCTTAGTTGTCCAGCTGATATACAGGAATACTACCGGAAAGGCAGAGATTTTTTGGTGTCCACTCACACAGCCAAGAAGCTAAATTAAAGCATATGTGTTTGTCTTTGAATCATAATCTAAAACAAAAGAGCACTTACATCTCCACATGAATCCCAATAAAACATAAGCAATGTTCTTTTATTCAATTTTCCGAAGATATGCTTTTGTGCCTCCGAAGTCCAAGAACCTCTCGTCATAATCGCATAATATTTCAACACTGCATATCCTTCTACAAAGCAGATGGATAAATTTCAAATCATGGTGGTTAATCTCAGGTCCAGGGACAATCTCAAGCACATTCATTCCTCCAGGCCCATTCGTCTCCAATAAACCTCTCAGATGCTTCACCAGTTGTAATGTTGCACCAAAATTATTGTTGTGAGCATTACCATCACTTACTGGATATTCCGATGTTGAAATTGATGTATCAAAGTAGCTTGAAAACACTTCTTCAGTAATAAAAGGCATGAACGGATGAAATATCTTCATAGAGTCAATAAACACTGTCAGTAAGACACTGACATACATCTTTTCCTTGTTTCCTTTCACAATCTCAATAAAAACATCGCAAATGTCATACATAAAAAACTGATGAATTGCCTGTGTTGCCTCCATAAACTTATACATCTCCATCATCTCTTTGACATACTCTATTGTTTCGTTTCTTTTCATAAGGATCCATTCAATCGGCCCAGAATCAAATCCATTAGTAAGGTCAGAGACATTTAAAGTATACTCTGCATATCCACATTCAGAGCTCAGGCAATCCTTTGCTTCATCAACCATCATCTTAACAAACTTTTGTGCATTCCAAATCTTATTGCAGAACCTTCTGTATCCTTCAACCCTAAGCACATCTAAATTAATGTCTTTCATTCCTGAAGTGTAAGAGAGTAACGTAAAACGAAGTGCATCTGCACCACATCTAGGTATTCCGTTCGGAAAGTCTTTACGCAAAGCTGCTTCAGCAACTTTCACTTCCTTCTCATCAAGGTTTCCACTCTTCATCGTTGCAATAAGTTCATTCAAGCTGCATCCATCTATCACAAATATCGGGTCTATCACGTTCCCAAGACTTTTGCTCATCTTTCTTCCATGTGCATCCCTAACTATCCCATGCAGAAGAACCTGATCAAACGGGATCTTTCTCGTAAGTTCTATCCCTAGCATTGCCATCCTGGCAACCCAGAAAAAAAGAATATCACTACCAGTCTCAAGAAGCGTAGTTGGATAATATCGCGCATAATCATCTGCTATATTAGGCCATCCAAGCACTGCAAATGGCCATAGCCCAGATGAAAACCAGGTGTCTAATACATCCTCGTCCTGCTCCATTTCATCAATTGTACACTTGCACTCAGGATACTCTTTTCTCATCTTCTCATACGCCTCTTCCTTCGTTCTTCCAACTACCCACTGTCCATCAGATACTCTATACGCTGGTATCCTATGTCCCCACCACAACTGCCTTGATAAACACCAATCTCTTATATTCTCAAGCCACTTATACCATTGCTTCTCAGCACCTGGTGGTAGAATATCCATCTCACCATTCCTAACCACATCAATTGCTTTTCTTGCCATCTCCTTACAATCCATCCACCACTGACTTTTGATCATAGGCTCAATAACATCATTCGATCTAGAGCATCTTGGAATCACTTGAGGATGTCCTTTCTTACCCACATACAGTCCCATAGACTTAAGATCGCATATAACCGCCTTCCTAGCTTCAAACCTTCCAAGCCCTTTAAACTCTCCCTCAACACTCACTTTATTATTTTCATCAAATACAACAATACATTCAAGCCCATGTCTCTTAGACAACTCAAAATCATTTGCATCATGTGCAGGTGTCACCTTCAGTACGCCCGTTCCAAAACTCATGTCTGCATAATCATCAAATATCACAGGAATCACTCTCTTTGTCAATGGATTCACTCCATACACCTTTGTATCTCGAGATACATCTCCAAACATCTTCCTTATCCCATCACTGCCAAATCGTTCGTCATTTGCATTCGCACATATAGCTGTGTCTCCAAGAATCGTTTCAGGTCTTGTGGTTGCTATCTCAACACTTGGTAGTTCACTAACACATCCTTTATATTCTGCACATGTAGTTAATGGATACTTCACATGATAAATGACTCCAAACTCATACATACCTCCATCAACCTGAATAACAGTATTCGGTTCAATCTCTTCATGATTCACCTCAAGATCACTTATAGTCGTACACAACTTCCCACACCAATTCACTATCTTTGGCTCCCTGTATATCAGTCCTTTCTCATACAATCTCACAAAAGCCTCACTAACTGCATCACTCATCCCAGGATCAAGAGTAAATCTTTCCCTTGAAAAATCAACACTGGTACCCAGTCTCTTAAACTGCTCATATATCTTACTTCCATGCGTATTCTTCCATTCCCATGCTCTCTTCAAAAACCTTCCTCGATCAACATCAACCACTCCTTCCTTGGCCAATTGCTTAGAAACAACACTTTGTGTTGCTATTCCTGCATGATCGGTCCCGGGAATATACAGAACTTCATATCCACACATCCTTTTATACCTGCATATCGCATCCTGTATAGAAACCATCATAGCATGCCCAATATGCAGATTTCCAGTCACATTTGGCGGTGGAATGGGAATAACATACTTCTTCTCACTGCGCATTGGCTTAAAAAGACCATTGCTCTCCCAGTACTTATACCATTTACTTTCAATCTCCATAGGGTCGTATCCTCCTGATTTGTACTCTCCTCTGGGTTTTGTCACACTCACTTCCTGTGTTTTCTTCTGTAGAAACTTCTCAAGCTTCTGTCTTTTCTTCTCCTCTTTAATCCTTTTCTTTTCATCTTTCTCAGATTCCATTCTCAGTCGGGACAAAAATACACCAAAAATATTCATCTAGTTTAATTTCATACTCATTTTATGCTCATTCATACAATATTTCATTATTCAATACTCATAACCTAGACCTCAGGTACTGGTTAATACATGCATTAAATGAAATGTCTTGTGAAGGCGTGGAGTCACATTTGCACTTCATCTTCATAGAGGCCTCCTTTGGACAATTCTTGAATGGAGGATGCTCATATCCCATGTCGCTGAAAAAATGCACCTGATTCTTGTCCAAAAATAGCGATGCAGCAATGCTGTGAACAGGCGCATCTCCCCATCTTTCATAGAAAAACCCTCCTGCCTTATCCAACCAGTCAAAGTACTTCTGATAAACATCGTTCCTGAAAATATCAAAACTTGCTATTTCAAAATTTGTCCAGAAATGGCATCCGTTGTACGACTTGTCTGCATTTAGCAAAAAATTGTTTCCATTCACCTTCTTCATTATATTCATATTGTTGGTAATAAACTTTACAACCTCTCCAAATAGATTGGGAATCGTCTCCATAAACTCTCCGAGAGATATCACAAACCCATACTTCTTGTTGCTTTCCCTCATGTACCTGAACGGATCATAGTCTATTTCACAGAGAAATCTTACATCAGGTTCAATCCTCCAGTAATATTCGTACTTTTGTACTAACTTATTTCTATAGAAAAATCCCGAAAAAAACCTGCACATCTTCCTATATGACAGTGATCCTCCATATATCACCTTCCTCTCCTCCATCTTCCTCATCTCCTCGTTTGCACGCTGCATATCTATCCATTCAGGAACCTCCCACTCATGTGCCTCCAGCTTTCCAAACTCAACATCACTCGACACAACCTCTCTGATCGATCTCTTGAAGTCTTCCGTAAACTCCTCATCATTCAGAAACACATACGGGTATCCAAACTTCCTGTTGAATACTTCCTCAAAATTCTTTATACTCCCTGTTATCCCATCCTTGTCTCCATTTCTGCATAAAATCAGTATTACTGCATTCTCTCTGCAAAGCACCAGACCAATAAGTATCAGAATCAGCATGTTATTCCTTACATCTCTCTTGATATCCATTGTTTGTTTATGCCAAATATCATCAATCAAAGAATTGTTCAAATTGTCTTATTCAAAATAATCATCAACTTTTACTCATCAACTTACTCTTTGAACTTCCTATTAAAAATCATTCTTCAAATCATTCTTGAAATTATCTCATTTAATATCCTCTTTGAACTTCTTATTCAAAATCATTCATCATCCTATCATCAACTTACTCTTTGAACTTCCTATTCAAATCATCTTATTCAAGACAAGAGCATTCACAATAGACTTTTCTATTCCACCCTTACTGCTTATCCACGAATCAATCCTTACAAACTTCTTTAACATATTCTCAATAGACTTCAATCCATGCTTCCCTCTTGAAATAATCAATGTGCCATTGGCTTTTCCATCACACATAATCGTTCCTACATCTATCTCTAACAACGGTGTGTCTGTCCATTGCATCTCTATATCACCTTTCATCTCATTACTCATGCATGCCACAAATCTATGGAACTCAATCGTAACCCGCTTTTCCACAGGAACGTCAATCTCAAAATCCATGTTCTCAAGCACAAAGTTCTCGCCATTTACAATATACATCGCATTCCCATCCAATCTAACTAAATACACCGGCTCCTTCGACATGTACTTGACTACTTTGAAAACACTCTTTTTTCCCTTATTGCGACTCATGCAAAGGTTTTCAAGCACTCGTGCAACCTTTTCATATGCTTCAATGGTATACAGCATTCAAACTGTCCGAGGGTTTCACCAATATGCATGATTTATGCCTCTGCAAAACAATGGAGTCAGATAAACAGACAGTTGCCGGTGCAATAAGACACGTAGTGGAGAAAATGCTCTGTAGATCATACGCAAAAAACACATTCATGAAGATCAAGCTCTATGAAATCCTGTTCGACATGGCGCTGTCAGGCACCACAAGAAACGAAAGAGAAATCTTCTACATGGCTGTAAACACATTTGGATCACAAAAATCACTGAATAGGCTTATTTCAGGCGTTATGCATGAAACAGGACTTTCAAAAGCCAATCTCGGCATCAGAAACACACTCAAAGGAACATTCATTGGAAGCATCGCGCTTATAAGAACCGATAAATCCAACCTTACTTCATCTGTGGAAAAATTATGTTCGCAATCACTCAGTCCACAGCTTATTCCAGATATGTCGTGTGTCACAGATGCATTTACACTTCATCCGATTATAGTGGTTGTTGAAAAAGATACAATCCTTCATAGAATCGCTGCTGTGCTCGCTGAAGAGCCTTACTTTAGTCAGATATTGTTTGTATGTGGCAAAGGATATCCTTGTAGGAACACAATAACATTGCTAAGAATGCTTGAGAAAAGCTCTGCTGCAATCCTGGGCCTTTTTGACTTCGATCCATTTGGAATCCATATATACAGCGTGTATAAATACGGTGCCAAGACATCATCAAATCTTGGAATCAATTCGATCCAACGAATAGGAATACATGCAGAACACATCACATCATATAACATATACACCTCTGACTTCATGGATCTTAACAAGTACGACATCTCCATGATCAACAAACTTGAACAAATAGATGAGCTTGCATCAGATGCATTATTCATCAAGCAATTGGGCAAAAAACTCGAGATGGAAGCACTCTTCAGCACATTCACCCACGTCATAAAATCAATCATCTCACAAAAACTCAAACAAATTCATTATGAGTCAAAACAACACCATAAATAAACCACTAATAGAAGAACTTTTAATATAAAACTCCTTCCAAATAAGTATTTTTGTTCAGGCTCCATCAAGCAATCACTTGCTGTTTCTGTTCACCCCTCACACTTACTTCTTCTTCTTTCCTGCTGCTGCTGCAGTAGCATCCTTGGCTCCTACAGAATCCGCAGTAATTCCATACTCACTCTGTAGCATTTCCGCTGTCAACGGTCGCACAATACTTCCAATAAACACCACTTGCTTAGAGTCCATCGCTGCAAACCTTCCAAGAGACGGGAACTCCGTTACAGAGTCAAACACTGCTGCCTTTTGAGGTATAATAACCACAGTTCCACTCTCTCCAGTCTCCATCCTCTCGGGATTCTCCTCTGCAATCCTCTGCTTATTCATCTTCTTCTTCAAAAATGCAACCACAGTAGACACTCCTAGCACTCCAAAGCATATGAACGGACTGTATCCTGCAGTAAATCCAGTAGGCCTATCTGTTACCACAATGTTAGCCTCAGCTGCTGGATACAGCTTCGCTGCTGTCTCATCGTCCTTGGATATCACATGTCCAGTCTTCACATGATCAAAGTCTCCCTTTGATGCATTCTTAAATGCTATTCCACAGTTCTCTCCACACTCAACCTCCTTCTTTGCCTGCCTATGAATCTCCAAACTCTTCACCTCAGTATACACACCTGCCGGCTGTATCACCACCTTCATATTCGTCAATATCTTTCCAGAGTCAACTCGTCCCGTGTACACATTACCAATTCCAGATATCTTGTGTATTCCAGATATAACTATCCTTAGCGGTTTGTCACTTGGTCTCTCAGGTGTCGTCTGGTAATTCAGTGCTGCCTCAAGCGTATGTATCTTTGGTGCATCCGGGTTCTTAGAGTCACTCCATCCCTCAAACCAATCATACTTCTCTCCATTCTCAATCAAATTCACTCCCATCTTTGCAGATATCGGTATTACTATAGGGTCCTTGTCAGGATGGCATTTCCTGATCACAGTCTTCACCATCTCCGTCCTCACGTCATTGAACTTCTTTGCTCTCTCATTCACAGGGATCGCAGGCGAGTCCATCTTGTTAATACACACAACCAGCTTCTTGCATCCAAGCACTCCTGCTATCATAATATGACTTTGCAGAGTTCCATTCTTACCAAGGCACGCTTCAAATCCATCAGCAGGCACAACTACTACTCCCACATCTGCCTGTGCTGCTCCAGTCACCATGTTCTTGATAAAATCAATGTGTCCTGGGCAGTCAAGAATATTCAATTCATACTTCTCAGTACTTGCCTTCACAAGAGTGGTAGTTATTGTAATTCCTCTTCGCCTTTCCTCTGCTGTCTTGTCAGTCACAAACGCATACTCAAACGAGTCCTTTCCATACTCCTGCGCCAGCTTCTTGTTCTTCTCAAGATCTCGGTCATTCACTGTTCCAAGTTTGTACAAAAACTGTCCAACTGTCGTACTCTTTCCAGAGTCCACATGTCCTATCACACAAACATTCAGCTGCTTCTTTTCATTGTTCTCAGCCATTGTAAGGGGGGGCTTAAATTTTTTTTTTATACTTCTCCATCTTTTATTCTGTAGTTCATATATTTCATTCAATACACTTTCATTCATTTCCATATTCATCTACTATCTGTAGTTTTCCATCACTCCATCTCAATACTCTAATTCCTTCACTTCTCCATCACTCTACTTCCTCTAAATATCCCCTCTATTCTCCTGCTTCCACTATCCATTCACTTCTCTTCCTATCAACAATTCCTTCTCCATATTCGTCATAATCCCTAATCCCAATATAAAGGCTCTTTGCACTTCCCATCGACCCAACTATAGATCCTCCACAAAACGTACTAAACCTATTCCTATCCACAGTCACCCGAATCTTCCACTTCGGCTTTTCCTTTTCAAATTCACAATTCATCATTGCCTCAATCCCTTTCATCATCCCTAATCCTCCACTCACCATTATATTCCCGGCAAGCATCGACTTTACTCCTCCTGCATTCATCTCAATCACCTCAATCACTATCCTACACACTTGCGTTATCTTCTCGCATATCTCTCTCCTTATTGCATCAAAATCAACCACTTTTCTATCTCTTAACTCATATCTCCATTCCATCATCTCTTTCTCTCCATATTCACATACCGCTTCCTTCACATATCTACATATCTCGTTCTTCTCAAACTCCCTTCTTTCCACAGGCATCGCTCCCCATACCTTTCCACTCTCTTTCTCAAAATCGACTCCTGCGCTCTCAATCGCTCTCCTCACTTCAACTGTAAAATCAATCCCTCCAACATCAATCTGCCTTCTACAAGTAATGAGTCCTTCAACAACACTGCATACCTGTGTGCTTCCTCCACCAAAACTCACCACCACTCCACTGCTTCGTCCATACGAAAAAACATCCAGAATCCCGCTCTTCACAAATAAAACAGAGCTGCACAATCTCTTCTCCATCAAATACCCTAGAACCTTCCTTTTCACCCCCTCTTCTTCCATACTGTTCTCACAAACCACTAACGACTCAGTATCCCTCGGAATCCCTCCACTCAATATCCCAAGGTACGAAGCAACATCCCCAATCACTGATCGCTTCACAGGCTGCACAATCTCATCCCTCCATAGCATTGAAGATCCATACACACTAGGCAACTTACTACCACAATATCCAATCTTATATGTCTCACTCCCAATATCAACAGTCGATGAAATCACATCCCCAACAACATACATCAAAGGGCTTGCTCTCCTATTCTCACATACTACTCAAAATACATTTAATACCATATTTGGTCGCTCTTCCCTTGTTCATGATAGAAAGCTGCTTACAACCTTAATAATCACATACACTACTATTCCAATAATCACTGCTGCAGACACAATAGATAGAATCTTAAATATCTTCACATTGTTCTTGCTTCTCTGTAGCTCATTCTTAAACTCCGCATTCAGCCACATCCCAAATATCATCTTCTTTCCTTCTTTGTCGCTATACTTCTCGTCACTATACTTCATAAGCTCATCCATCGAAACTATCACTACACCTTCTGGTGTTTTTGTAATGCATTTATCTTCCTCGCTCACATTCTTAGATTTTGCATTAACACTGTTCTCTGCTTTCAATTCAGGTTTCGCTGCGCTCAACTCTTGAGTGTGCATGTTTGTTCCTTCTATTATTTCACTCTTGTTCACTTCGGCTTTATCTACTTCATTTTTACTTATCTCTCCTTCAACTCCCTTAGAAATATCTGCTGAGTGTTTGCTACTCGTCTCCGTATTCATCTACTGCTCAGTCTTCCCATTCCATAATTTTTATACCTTAAAAGGGGTTTGCATACCTGACACTATCAATAAATATCACATCAATTCTCATAAATCACACATAAAGGAGAATTCACTCTTCGCTCAATCATTTCCATCGATTGATTTACTCATCAATCACTCAATCACACACTTCTCTATTACTTGCTTACTCTATATTACTCACTTCTCTATTACTTACTTACTCTATATTACTTACTTACTCTCCACATCTACTCATTAATTCATTATTCCTCCCATTCAAAAAACTTACATGGCTTGTAAACCTTCTTACACTTGTAAAACTTCCTTCCCTTGTTGCTCTCAGTATTTGCAGTCAAAAGCTGTGGCTCATATCCACAATGACACTTAATCCCTTCATTTGCTTCCTTTCTCATTCCATCAACTCGATCATCCATCCATTCAAAGAAATAACACATCTTCGGATACCTACCACAACAGTAAAACTTCCTTCCTGAATTGCTTCCCTGCTTCACCTCCAAAACCTTCCCTTCTACCCCACACTCGCAAATCTTCTTTGAACTCCCCTCACTCTTCTTCACTTGTCCAACTTCCTCCTTGACTTTCATTCCCTTTATATCACTTGTCTTAAAACTGCCATTCCTCACATTCTCTTTAACAACTCGCTTTTCAGTATTTTCATTAGAATAGTTCACAAACTTCCTTTCTTCTCCTCTTCGGCTTTTTTCTTCCTTCATAGGCTTCTCCTCACAATCAATTCCTTTAATAACCACTCTCGCAAACTCTGCAATATTCCTCTTCAAAACACCATATATTCTCTTGTACACTAAAATCTCATTCTCAACAACATTTCTTCCTTCCATTCTTCCAGATGATATCTCCTTCAGCTTCTGCTCAAGCTCCTTCCTCAACTTGGACTTGCTCACTTCCAGTCCAAACATCTCATACGCATCAATAAGCGCTGTTCCAAGACTCAAAGGTCGTATTTCCTCACCAACCCTTCTAGCGTATCCTCTTTCCTGAATCTTGTGAATGTGCTCATGTATTGTTGCATCAGTCCCTATCCCATTCTTGTCCATTAAACTTATCAGCTCAGCTTCATTCAAATACTCAGGCGCACTTGTCTTTCCTTCTTCTACACTCATATTTCCCTTCACTACCTCTCCTTCTACAAACGCACTCACTTCCTTCTCGTCCCATTTCTCATAGTAATACACCTCCAGATAGTTCCTCTCAACAACCTGCAGTCCTTTCATCTCAAACACCTCATCTCCAACCATCATCTCATAGCACGTCTCTAAGCCTTTTGCATCATCATTCAGGCATCCCAAAAACCTTCTGCACACAAACTCATACACATCCCTGTCTTTTCCACTCAGTCCTTCGCCATCCCTCAATGGATATATCGGTAGATGCGCCATGTCATTGTTCTTTCCACTTCGTGGGTGCTTAAACCCATCTTTCAGCTTACTTGCATGAACTCCAACTTTTGAATCCTTACATATCTTCAGAATAACATGCATAAAATCAAATTTCTTGTCAAAAACATCCGTCTCAGTCCTTGGATAGCTAATATATCCCTTATTGTACAATCCTTCCGCTATCTCCATAATCATGTGCCCGCTCATCTTGAAATAGCTCGAGCACTTACGCTGCAGCTCAACAGTTCTCAATGGCAGTGGCTTATACTTGGTTCTCTCTATAACCTTCCTAGACACTATCCTTGCCTCTTGTTTTTCCAATCGCCTAAAAAAATAAATCACACAATTCCTATCAAACACAGATCCTCGTCTCCACAAAAACATATTCTCACGTCCTTCGTTCTTCACTATATACCTCAGTGTCCAAAAAGCTTCACAAATAAACTTCTCCCTTTCCCTTGCTCGTTCAACCACAAATCCTAGCGTAGGTATCTGGCATGGTCCAAAACTCAAAATCTTCTTATCCTTGCACTCACTTCCAATCGACAGTGTCTGTAATCTTGTAAATGCTGAACCTATTCGTAAATCAAGCTCAATCCTCGAGTCCACCGCATCTGCCTCAGCTTCATTCACATCCTCCAGATTGTCAAGCGCATTCTGTACATCCTTTCGTGTAATCCCTGAAAACCTTGCTCTCCTCACTTGGATCCGCTTTACTCCATACACCACATCCCTTATCTGCCGTCCAATATTCTCTCCCTCTCGGTCGCAATCCGTCCATATAATAACCATGTCCGCTCTCTGCGCCTCTCTCTCAATATTCTCCTTAATGCGCATGAAATCAGGCTGCACATATTTCACAATCCTTTCTGTAAACAGCTGCTCGGGATCAATTTCATTCCATCGGCACTTGCTCTCAAAGTCGCTCGAAAACAGATGTCCTAGCACACTTGTGAAAACCATCTCGTTTCCATTGTCAAATTGTATGTTCGGACAGCATTGATGCAGTCCCCTCTTGATGCTCAACGAACTAGACAACACCAGTGATATCGATTTCGCAACAGAAGGTTTTTCCGCAACATTCAATATCCTCATCCAGGGCTGCCAATGCCACAGTTACATCACGCATCTAAAATAAGCCACACGTCTACCTGCATCAATTCATGGTCCAAGATAACTCATGCACAATCATTCAAATCAGCATAAAACAACATCATCCACAAAATTTAATCAAATGCTCATAAACAACACACCTACTGTCTTCGCATACATCAGAATCTCTTTCACACTCAGCTTAGAAGCACCCCTGCATCGCTCATGGAAAACAATCGGACATTCACTCACCTTAAATCCATGTCTCAGCGCTAGACAAATCAACTCCATCTGGAACGAATATCCCATACATCTCGACTTTTGCACTAAAAGCTTCAATACATCCGTCCTGTACAGTCGGAAACTTCCCGTAACATCAGAAATACCAATCCCCAAAAAAATCCTTGCTAAATTGTTCGATCCTACACTCACAACCTTTCTGCTCATTGGCCATCCATAAACACCACCTCCATTGTATCTACTCCCTGCCACAATGTCTGCCCCATTCTTTTGAATCTTGATCATTTCCTTAATGTAAATCGGATCATGCGACATGTCTCCATCCATCATTACCGTAAACTCATACTCACAGTACTCAAGTGCAGCTCTATATGCACTTCCCAAGCCCAGCTTCTTTTCCCTCTCCACCAGATGTACTTCATCAATCTTCATCCTCCTTACAACATCACAGGTTCCATCAGGACTCCCGTCATCAACAACCACAATCTTAAATGGCTTTCCAACCTCTTTCATAACATCAGAAACCATAAGCAGCAACGTACCAATGTTATCCTTCTCATTATATGTTGGTATTATTACATTATACATGGATTGTAATGCTTCAAATTTAATATACCTCATCAACTAAAATGGCCTTGGAACATACAGACAATACAATGGAATCACAACCAACAATACACACAAATACCAATATCTCCTTCCACTCACTCGAGCATACCGTTCTTCATACTCCTCCCATGCCTTCAGAACATTCCTTGCCATCTTCTTTCCATTAAGCCCTCCTCTAGACGTAATCATTCGTGTCTTGTCTCTCAAGGACGACAAAAGCTCCTCGTCCCTCATCAAAAACGACTCTCCTCTCCAATCTGCACTACAGCTTCTCATCCCTTCGTCAACAATTTCACTTCTCTCTAAAACACTGCTTTCTTCCTGGCATGAAATATCATTCAAACTAAATGACTCCTTCAAAAAGTCAGTTCGCCATCCCCTTATCATCCCCAATAGCTCTGCAACCTCATACTCCCTACTTTTGTAATCCTTGATCTCGCCTCTTTCTATCATCTTGTTAGCAACAGCCTCTTCAAGAACCATTCCAACATCCTCCTTCGGTATAGGCCCTTCCCCATACCTCTCAAACAGTCGCCTTTCAAAGCTACTGCTCTTCATCCAGGGATTCAATCTCTCTAACATTTTCTCTTGTTAACCTCTGTCCTTTTTGCACACTTCTTCTATCCCAGTCTCTTGGGCTTCTTGGTCATTGAATACATCTCTTTAGCTTTCAAATATTCGCACCCTATCAGCTTAAGTATACTCACTACCTTTTCCTTCCCAAACCCAAACTTCGGTAGCATGTCATAGTGCACACAAAACCCTTCAATCTGAAACAATAGAATATAGCAAAGAACTGCAAGTCGATCTCTGCACAGAGGCGTCAGCCTCATCTCTTCAATCTCATTCTTGATCACATCAAAAAAACTCGAATACTCAGAGTCGCTCAGGCAATCTCTTGTTACATACTTCTTCTCTAGCACCTTCATAATACAATCAGCCAGCAAAAAGTGTATCTTCATCCCTATATCTTGCTTAAATGTCTCAAGATCTGCATGTAGTTCCACAGATCCGAGATTAATCTTCGAAAACTCATCAAGAACACTCGTCGGAAACATCCTTTCAAGCACAAAATATTCCTCTACATCCTTTGCATTTTCATTTATTGGCGGTAGAATTTGTATCTTTGCCTGAATCTTAGATCTCACAAACGTTCCATTGCTTCGGTCAATGATCTTTCTTTTGACATAATCCATCATCCTCTTGTTTCCAAAAGACATGTACAGCTCGTCAATTCCAGCTTCCCTACTCACTGCTCCGCTTTCATACACCGTCTCAACAGAAACCATTCTCGCTTGCACTGCGCTCTTCATATCAATCTCTCCATTGCCTGCCTTAACAACCCAAAAGTTGCATGGCGAATTCCTCTCAACTCCTCTGAATCCCACTCCCTCCACCATTCCGTTCAAAAACACTCTTCCGTTCACATTCTGTACTTCAAACTCAACGTCTTTACATAAATTCGCAAAAATCAGCATCCAAGGGGTTTTCTAAATCATTCTTCTTTCGTTACATCACATCTTATACAAACACATTCACAAATCTCCAAATCAAACATTAGACAAAAATGTTGGCACCATGCAGTCATTTACATAGAATGCCATTACTATTGCTTCTAATAGCACCTTACACCATAAAGAAAAGGCGACTCAGAAAGCAGGGTTATTCACAATCATAATATATTTGCATTCACAATATCTCAATATATCTAAATGATCGCTTCATACCAACACATTGATATTCACATCCATGTTTATATAAAATATAAAAAATTATCTACTTGTAAAAAATTATCTACTTATGAAAAATTATCTACTTATAAAAAACTATCTATTAATCAAATCATTTACTGATAAACTCAAATCGTCATGAGATCTTCAAAATTAATAGTACTCAGAAAAATACTTCTCATCAACAGGAAAATCAATTGAGCACGTAGTCTGGTATTCTGCCCTCTCATCAAATCTCATCATCTCTGTTTCCTCTCCATCTACTACTTTCATTGCTCCTACTCCAATTTTCTCCTTCGCTCGTCTGTTTTGGAACCAAATCTGCACATTCTTCAAAGGAATACATAAAACCATCGCCAGCTCTGCTTTGACTTTATTACTTGGGTGACTACCATTCTTGAAGCTTTGCTCCAGAATACTTGCTTGCTGTGCATTCAGTCTGAGCCTTGATCGCTTTCCATTCTCAGACGTATTCATGTGCTTTATTATCTCATTTGTAGAATCAATAAACTTCACTTTCTTTTCCTTCTTTCCAGCTTTCAATCGCATTCTCTAATCACAGCCCATAAATTAATCAATTTTATATATCAAATCACACAACCGTTACAAAATCAGATCTTCGCAATCTTTTCATATATCCCCTTTCCAATAGATCTCATAATCACTCCACAATCACAATATAACATCAAATCATCAATTTTAATCATTCTCAGTGGTCCTCGTCCCAATTCTGATTCTCTCGTGCACTGATACTCATCGCCTCAGGTTTTCCAATCAAATAATCACTCGTTTCAAAAAACATAGCAATAAACTCAACCGCATACTTCAGCGCCTTCACCTTCGCATTGTAAACATCATATATCTCCTCATCATATTGTTTATATCGTCCAAGAGCGTTCCCAACACACTTATACACAAACCCTCGAGAGCCACTCTCACTACCGCTCCTCTCCATCATCTTCATAGACATCCTTCGTTCAAACCTTCCTGCCCCTTCAACCAGCCATATCTTTCCATTATTCACATTCTTGCTCAAAACAGTCAGCGCCTTCTGAACAATCCTCTCATGCTCATCAAGCACAGCCTTTACAGAGCTCTTCAACACCAGCGTATACTTCCTCTTGCTCTTCGATACAAACTTCGTGTACTTCTCCTTCCCCTCACTAAACACCACCACTTCATCTATCTCTCCCATAAAGTCCTCCGCCTGTGTGCACAGACTCGATGAAATATGTCCTCCCATCACTTCTCGTATCCTCCGTAGGTCATGCTTGCTGCTCACCTTAAACACCAGCTTTTCACACTTATTCAAAAAATCAAGATATATCTTATCAACCTTCCCACTGCACACAATCACATCCGCACTCAAAGACTCAACCATCTCACGTGTCCTTATATTCTCATCCTTGCTAAACGCTAGTAATTCATCAGCTGTCTTCAGAAGAACAGTTCCTTTCAGCTCAGTCCTGCTAATCTCCAATCCACAGTTATATATCGACGTCCTTCCATTCTTCACACTCTTAACCTCTCCTTCAGGCGCTCTGTTAAACACCATCCCCTCAACAACATAACTATCCTCCATACTTCCGCATCCAACCTTGCATACCCTTATATCCTCACTCTCAAATCCTTTCGTGCATCTCACTCCTTCACTCACTATCCTCTCAAGATGCTCATCCTTCACCACCCCTCGGAGTACCTTCTTTATGCTCTCCACATCTTCAAAGTCAATCTCATGCTCAATCATCAAGCTTCCTGCCATTCCATCAATCTCCTTATACATCTCCCTAAGCATCCCACTCAATAACGCAGGCTTCATTCCCTTGTTAACCCCGATAAGCATCTCAGATAACAATTCAGACACAAGAAGGACAAACAGCTTTGATCCATCTCCAACCACATCCATCTTCTTTACATATTCCTGTAGTAACTTCACAAACGGATGGTTCGCTTTCACACTGTCATATATCACACTCGCCTGCGACGTTACAATAACCTGTCCATAGCTATTCTCCACAAGCTTTACATGCCATGACTTTCCATACAGATTCTTCATCAGTTCACAACCCATCTTTATCCGTGAGCCAACCACATAGTGCTTCGCCTTCTCATCCTGCTGAGAATTCGATATCAGCCCTCCAAGGTGTGTCTGCCCAAAATCCATTCAGGGCTCAAAAATTTTCGCCTTTCATTCATCTCATCCTTCTCCACATACTAGAACAACTCAGAAACCAATAAACCTTTAATCACTATTTCTCGCAACCTTCTTAAACTCGCATCCAGCAGAAACCGTAGCAAGTCCTCCAGAAGACGTCAGGATAATGTCATTGCACTTCCCACACGATATGTTCATCTGAGAATGCGAGTAACAGTGCGTCGTGTTCCTGCACCCTCCACATCTCACAAGCATAAAAAATCCGTTACCTTCTCTGTAAAGACGGTCCTTCTTGTGCGTATACATCACTTGCTCTTTCTCTGGAAACCTCAGATCAGATGCCATTTATTGGGGTCTCAGCAATTTTTTCTTCTCATCAAAACTGCAGCAATACAATACTTTTCAAATAACCCAATATTCATATATGTCTTTATATCATGCTCATTTCATGCATATTATTCTTTACTTATATTTGCTGATTTCATATTTAACACACATATTTTACTTTATTAACTCATCATCACACATTTACTTATGCAAATACTTTTTTCATCTTCAAATTGTTCTTATAGTTCACTATGACATGCTTATTTATTATTTCATACAAACACTTATTTACCTAATTACTTATTTGCTTACTCATCATCATCCCCACTTATCATTCAATTACTTATTTCATGCACATCCTCATTCATTATCACACTCAGCTATTCATTACATCCTTAATTCATTATCACACTCACCTACTATTCACTTATTTACTTATCACACACTCACCTACCTATTTCATATTCACTCATCATCTGGAAATATCACTTCCTCATCACACTGAGCTTCAATATACGGCAGGTAGCTTGTTTTGTCATGCATCTCCTTCTTCTCAACACATCCTTCTTCTACTTCTTCAAGTCCCTTGCATCTTCCCATACAATCCCTAGTTACATAATAGTACTTCACCGTCTTCTTGTTCTTGTTCACATACTGCACATTCATCTCCGTAAGCACCTCCACTACCTCATTGCTGTAGTACCGCAGCCATCTCATTTCATTCTCACAAATCGCTTCTTTATGCACCACATGCACATTGTCATCCACTAGCATCTTTTCAATCATTTTCTCCACTCCTCCATTCAGCTCATTCGTCACCGTCCTTCCAAATAGCTCCTGCAACACAAACTCTCCAGGAACCCTAAACACATCAATCACCAACACCATTCCTAGGGCAAACTCACAAAATACAAACAACTCATAGAAAACCATTTATTCCTCTCACTTCCTAAAAACAGCCTCATTCCACAACCTTGCTGCTTCCTCCATCCTCATCACCGTACTCGGGTGAAGTCCTTCAAACTCACAGAATCGTGGCATCCTTGCCTTCTTTATTCCATTCCTGTGGTCCTTCCTGTTCTGATTATGATTCGTGTGATTCTTCTTCTTAGACATTTCTGTATGAGGGATCAAAATTTTCTTCATTACATTCCATTACTCAAAGCATAGAAACATGCTCATATACACTTCATATATTACAAATCCCATTCAAGCGCTTAGCTTTTCAATCATCCTCGCGCCTTCTTGGACACACACTTCAGTGACCTGAGCAGCTTTGCCATCTCCCTTTCTTCATCAAGCTCCTTGCTAAGGCGACTTATCGTCAGCATCTGCACTCCCTGCCTCTTCTTCATCTCTAGCGACTGCAACCTGTTTGCTTCAATCTCGCCTCTCAGTCTCTCAACCTCCTCTCGTAGTCTTTTATTCACTACCATCTGCGCCTGCTTTTCCTCACTCATCTTATGCATTTCCTGCTCTGCATCAATCCTCCTACGCTCCTGCACACAGTACTTCTCCTTATCATTCACATAAACAACACTTCCGTTCGCTCCTCCAAATCCCATAAGCACCTCTTCCTTAAATCGCGTACATCGCTTCAATGTGTTTATCTCAGATTCATACATACTCATCAGCCCTGCATTGCGCATCTCATTCTCCTTGTAAACACTCTTCTCCGCTTCCAACCTTTCAATCCTCAATGCATCAAGAGCATGCTTTTCAATTAGATTCTGCTGCTTCTCCTCCATCTCTTCATATCTCTTCAAAAGCTTCAAATGCTTCCCTTCAAAATATTCCATCTTCCTTCTTTCCTCTTCAATCGCATCCTTCACTTTCGCCATCATCTCTTTCGTATATCGCTCCTCAAGTACACTCACGCTCCTCTTTCCTTCCTCATTCCATCTCTTCATCTCCTCAGCCATTTTCCTTCTTTCCTCATCTGCATTCTCAATAGCCTTCACTTCCTCTTCAACTTTACTCACCAACCCTTCAAACAGCACATTCCACTCTTCAAACTTCTCAACATATCTCTTAACCTCTTCTTCCTTTTCCCATATACTCTCCTCCATCATCCTGCTCTTTTCTTTATGCATTGCCATCTCATTCATTGCTGCATCACACATCCTGCTCTTCTCTTCAATTCTCGCCTCATACTCCAACATCTGTTTCTTCATCTCTACATTCTTCTCCTCAATAGCTATCACCTCAATCTTCATCTTCTCATTCTCAATCTCCTTCTCAACCGCCTCTTTCTCCATTCTCCTAACCTCTTCCTTATATCCATTCAAAACATTCACATACTGTACATTAAACCCATCAACTATCACACTCAGCTCATTGCTCAGCTCATCAACCTCTTTCTTTACTTGCTTCACACTCCTGCACACAGACAGATCCTTCTCCTGGTCTTTCATCATCTCCTCTCTTCCTCGCTTCTCTATCTCAATCATCTCCTTCAGCATCTCCACTTCACTGCTCAACATCACATTTCTACTCTCCTGCTCAGACACCTGATACTCAACTTCCTTCCTCTTCTTCCTCTCCTCTTCAAGCATTGCATACATCTTTTCTGCTCCAGACACACTCTCTTCACTCACATCATTCATCGCCTTCATCTCCATCAAATCCATGCTCAGCTTCTGATTCTCCCTCTCAAGTCTTTGTATCTCCATTTGCAGACCCTTCCTTACACTGTTAAATCCAGCCTCACGGTCAAATATCTCATCTAACTTCGATTGTTGCAGCATCCTTATCTCCTCACACACATCTTCCTTCTCAGCCATCAACTGCTTATTCATCATCTCTTCTCCTTTCAGCTTCTCACTCATCTCCTTCATACTCTTCTTAAGCCCCTTGATCTTCTCTAATAACGACTCTTGTGTAGCATCCTTAAACATCTTCTCCCTCTGCAGCTGCTCTTCAGCCTCCTCATGTAACTTCTTTTCCTCCTGATACATTCTCTCAAGCTTATCTCCTCTACTCTTCTCATAATCAACCTCGTCCACTGCTTTCTTCCTCATACTCTTCATTTCCTCAACTTTCTTCATCTCTTTCTTCAACTCGTCTTCCAATCGCTCATTCTCTAACTGCACATCTTCAACCTCATCCTTAAGCTTCCTTTGCATCATCTCATGCTCCTTCTTCATTCCCATTAGCTCTTCTCTCCATCTCAATCCATTTGCACATCCAATTCGAAGTTCCACAATCTCTTCTTCAATCGCTTTCTTCTCTTTCCTTAACTCCTCTTCACTTCTCTCTGTCTCTCTCTGCTCCTTTCGAATCTGTTCAATCTCCTCTTCTTTCTCCTTATTCATCCTACCCAGTCTCAAAATCTCTTCTGTACCCTCATTCAACATCCTCTCAACCCTTGCATCATTCTCACTCGACTTGCTGATCAACTCCTCTCGCATCTCCATCATTCTTCTCTCCTGCTCACTTATTACATTCATCTGTCTCATCACCTCATTCTTATACTTTGCTATCTCTTCATATTCTTGAACCTTACTCTTGCACAATCTTTCATACTCACTCTTATATTCTTCCACTCTTCTCTTATTTTCATCTGCATCTTGTCTTGTCTTCAAATTCGTCTCCTTAAGAACCATTTCTTCATTCTCTAGTTCATCTATCCTCCTTCTCAATGCCATCAACAATTCTTCTTTCTCAGCAGAGTATCTCTTTTCTTCCTCAACATTCTTCTCCATCTCTTCCCTTCGCAGCATCTCACGTTTCAGACTCTCTTCTATTCTCACTCCTCGCTCCTTCTCCATCTCTAACTGCCTTACATATTCTTGTATCTCTGCTTCTTTCCCCTTCAGCTCGTCATCCTTCTTCTTAACATCAAGCAGCGGCTTAATCTTCTGATACAATCGCCACCAGCTCCATCGCTGAATCTCACAACACACACGTGCATTCCTCTGTATCACTTCCACTCCATGCATTCTCCTCTTCTCAAGATTGTATCTCCTGTGAACAAGTCTCTTTCTTATCAATGCTTGCATCTCCTTCACTACCTCACTAACCTTGCTTTCTTTCATATCCTCAATATCTGCAAGAACCCCTTGTCTGAAAAACACCTTGCTTATTCCAAGCCTATATTGATTGCTCCCAAGACCCATCCTATCAAGAATTTGTCGACATCCATTCCTGAAATACTCCATACACATCCCTCCATCAAGATACTCATCTCCATCTACACTTCCCATAAGTATCTTGTACCTGCCCACAAACTCTTCATATCTCATACGTGACGGAAACCCTTGTCTACTGATCCTTATGCCCTCAAGAACTCCATTGCATCTCAATTGATCAAGCACAAGTGCATTGCTCAGATATTCCCCACTCTTCTCAAGATTCGGGATAATACATCTTACAAAATGAGGATTAGTCCCCTGCAACTGCTGCATCAACGATCCAAGCTGCTCCTTGTGCTTCTGAGAGACAGTTCGGAAAAATCCCTTCTTTAGTTGTGTTTCATTCAGACTCAGCTTCGACACCATCCCATCCTCAGAAGTCTGTATCAGTGATGTCAATGCTTCAGAGTGCGGATCCTTGTTCTTAGACAACCATTCCTGAACACTATATTCAACATTCCCTGCATAATGGTTCAATATAAACACATCCCTGATCTTATCAACCTCAAACTTATTATGCCTGACACTTCCAGATAATTTTCCAAGAAAAGTCTTCTCAGTAGCCATAGGCATCACACACTCCTCGTCTAAATAGCTTAGAATCCCAATCGGATTGCTCTTCTCAATTAGATCAATCGTAGGTTGTAGATCAAGTCCAAAGTCAATAAAGTCCCATTCAATATCCTCTTGTCTGTATACCTCCTGCTCAAGAATAAACATATGGTGATTGAAAAACTGTTGCAGCTTCTCATTCGTGTAGTTTATGCAGAACTGTTCAAACGAGTTCTTCTCAAATATTTCAAATCCTGCAATATCAAGCACCCCAATAAAACTTCCTTTATGCCTCGAACTAAGTGACAGGTTAATCCTCTCAACAACCCCATCAAACATCTTGTCATATAGAATCCTTGAAAGCCCATCAACTATCTTCACTACCTGCTCCTTGTTCCTTTCATGCATCACATACTCATTGCCGGCCTTAATCATCGGATGTATCAGTCTCTTGATAAACTCCACAAGTGAAATATTCAACAGTCTACATGCCTTCTCTGCAACCTCAAGATTCACAATCTCTGCAACTCCGTCTTTCTCTCCAAACTCAATATTACCAAGATGAAGAATCGCAGACACAATCCTGAAGTATCCCATCTGCTCGTCCTTGTCAATCCTCAAAACATCCATCGCTTCCACAAGCCTCTTGAATTCCTCTCCATCATCAACATCCGGAATCGTGTATCTTGATCCCTTCAGATATCTGTAATCCTTCACTTCTCCATCAAGGAGCAGCAGCTTCTTCATCGCCTCAGAGCTTGCAAGCAGCTGGTAGAAAATATGATAGTTCCTTTCATTTACATTCTGTCCAGTCACCCGAGACTTCTCAAGAAGATACTTTTCAATGTGTGCTCCACATATATTTCCTCCATTGAACTTAATCTTAATGAACTTTCCAAACCTGCTCGAGTTATTGTTCTTCACTGTCTGTGCATTTCCAAACGCCTCAAGAATCGGATTCGCATCTATTATTTGCCTGTCAACATCAACCTCCATCCCCCTGTATCCTGCAACCATCGCAAGAAACTCAACTACCCTCTTGGTATTCTCTGTCTTTCCTGCTCCAGATTCTCCAGTAATCAAGATCGACTGATTCTCTCCATTCGACACCATCAGTCTGTATGCTTCATTTGCAATCGCAAATATGTGTGGCTCAAGCTCGTACTTCTTGCTTAATGTGTATCTCTTCACATCTTTTTCTCCATAGATCCTCAGGCCCCTGTACGGATTTATTGCAAGCAAAAAAAGCCCCGAGTACGTGTATATCCTTCCATTCTGGTACCTGCGCTTAAGATTGTGTAACACACTAGGCTCATTGAGATAACTCAGCTCTGCAAGATCCTCAACCATGTCAAACTTCGGCGGATTCATCCTAAACACATCCTTGCTTCTACATTCAACTATCACCCCACCACAATCCACCTTCACTCCGTCCTCAGACTCCTTCACAATATATCCTCCTGCATACGAATCCTTTTCGTTAGGAATCCAAACCCACTTCCTCTCACTAAATTTCTTCTGTACATCTTCATCAATGCGAATCCTTCTTGCTTCCAAAACATCTTCGTCATCTTCTTTGTTTACTAGTCCCTGCATTTGTGGATCCCTTCGCACACACACAGAAATACCACCCATATTTAAATTTTCCTTGGCATCCCTGCATGCTTATTGACTCAGGAATCACACCTGATATGAGACAGTCACCAGGCCCATTAGACATCGGATCCAGTAGTGATTCAGGCGATACTGTGAGGAATGCAACCACTATCTATATGGTAGACATCGATGGTAGTTCTGATGATAATCCAACTAATCAGTATATTGAAGGCAGCATCGAAAATACTTCCATTAAACAACATGATATTTATGAAGATGATAATGCGCATAATGATACTGATAATTGCATTGATAGTAAACACAGCAGAGCCAGTCATGCAAATCAAAGTTCATTCAATGCAGATGAATACACATATACAGATATCAGGTCAAGAACATACACTCCAAAGAAACTGTGGATAAAAAGAGATGTAGAATATGATCTGGATAGCATGTATTGCGATAGGATCCTGAACAGATTCGCTGTAAATATAAACATGCTAAAGGAAAAAGGCACATACGACAGAAATGTAAATGACGATGCATTCTACTACAACTATAAGACAATTGCTGTTGATCTACAAACACTAAGAACTTCAGGCGAACTCATGGACAAGATGGAATGCAAGCGACTAAGAGCAATGTCACTTCGGCTGATTGAGTATTCAATGAAGTTCAACAGAGACATCGAGAAACTCATTGACATAGCAATCTCTATTGACACACAAGATATCATCAAGGACATGATAAAAGCAAGCATTGCGAAAAAAAAAGGAATAATCGGGCTAATACGAAACATCAGGAACCACATTTCGGAGATCGTGCTCATGGGTGATGCTTGTAAGAACCACATTGATGAATCAAACGCAATCGCATTCCGTGGGATTGAGGGATTCGCCAGCCTGTCAGAAAGTAAAAGCACATAGCATGTGCATTCTCAACAGTGCCACTCCTGAATACCAACTATAGTAAATTCTCAACCTGCATATCTTTTAATTAAAAAACACATCGCACATTCAAAACATAGATCCTATTTGATCAAATAAGTCCTTTGGAAGCATGTCCTTTACTTGATCCTTCATCTTCATCTTCTGCGATAGGTTCATTTTCGACGGATCTCCAAACATATTTTCCATTCCAGGCATTGAGCTGAATTTCTGCATCATTCCGCTGACCTTCTTGAACTGTGAAAGTATCTCTGAAACACCTTCGACAGATGTTCCACTTCCTCTTGCAACTCTTAGAATCCTGTTTGGCTGCTTTTCAAACAGCTCTCCCGTGGAATCAAGCTCAGATCGGCTGAATGAGTCAAAAACATATATCAACTTCTTAAATGTACTCTCATCAGGCATAGAAAGCCCAGAAAATCCAGGAATCATCTGCAGCAGCTTAGACACCGGCCCAAGACTCAGGATCTTCTGGAACTGCTCGTAGAAGTCTCCAATAGTAAAACTTCCCTGCTTCAGCTTCCTCACAACCTCTTTTTCATCTATCCCAAGACTTTCTATCTTCTCAACAAGCCCTTCGACATCGCCCATCCCGAGCATCTTTGATACAAACCTCCTTGCATGGAATACCTCAATGTCCTCCATGCCCTCTCCAGTCCCAACAAATTCAATCGGACATTTAGTTGCTGCAACAGAGCTTATTGCTCCTCCTGCCTTTGTTGTCCCATCAATCTTCGTCAATATAATTGAACCAACATCTACAGCTCTCTTGAATCCAAGCGCTTGGTCCTCCGCAGATTGTCCTATTCCTGCATCCATCACAAACACAATATTGTCCGGGCATATTCCTGCAACTATTTCCTTCATCTCTGTAAACAGTTCGCTCTCCTGTGTGTGTCTACCACTCGTGTCCACAAGGATCAGCTCAAACTTGTCCTTTCTGAACCTCTCAACTCCTGCACATGCAACTTTCACAGGATCTGCATCAGAACTTCCAAAAAATGGTACTTTGATCTTCAATGCATTCTGCTTTACCTGATCAAATGCTCCTGCCCTGAATGTATCTGCACACACAATCCCTACTTTATATCCCTTCTTTCTGTAGAAGTTTGCATATTTGCATATGCTCGTTGTCTTTCCAGATCCCTGCAGACCAACAAACATCACCACATTCCCCTTCCCTTTCCTGATCTCATATCCTTTGCTTTTCGGATCCAGAAGATCAACCAGTTTGTCATAAACTGCATTCTGCACCGCCTTTCCCTTGTTTACTCCAGGTGCGATCGCATCTGTCTTCAGCTTCTGATTCAGTTCTGCCCTTAGATCGCGAACATACTTCGGATTCACATTCGAGAGTATCAGTGAGTTCGATATTTCCTTTATTGCTGCTTCAATCTGCTGGTCTGTTGCTTGCGAATTCACAAGATTCGATAACGCTGCTGTTATTGACTTTCCAAGATCGGCAATCATGTAAGTGTTTCCAGGGTGGCACATTCTAAGATTTATGCAAGTCTTCTCCATACAGGCCAAAGCGCTGAATTTTCATGTCAATAATTTATTTTGTTTGATCGGCATTAGTGCCTTTCAGTAGTGCATTGCTATAGCATAATACACAATCCTATTCCAAAATGTATGTTCTTGTCTCACTCAGCACACTTGCACACGGCCATGACGCTTAGTATCTGTAGTACTTGTGTAAGTCTTCACAAATCTGCTGACTTGCGATCTCTATCTCGCTCCACACAGGTACTGGGTGATCAATGTTCAGCAGACCCTCTTCATATAGCGACCTTTCCTTCGCACGCCTGTTCTGGAACCAGATGTTTATGTTTTTCATCGGAATCCTTGTCTTCATAAACATGTTGTATTTCTCAGCCCTACCAGGATACGGATTCATTCGGAAGGCTTGCTCAAGCATCATGCTTTGCCATTCAGAGAGTATCATTCTAATTCTCTTCGGCCTTTCCTTAGTATCATAGATCTTGGCAATGTCCTTCTTCGAGTCTATGATCTTGTACTCCACCACCTTCCTGTTCATTCTCGGTATTCATTGCCGTGTATTAAAATATAGTTTGATCCTATCAGATGCACTGTACGTTCCTTTTGTACCCTGTGTCCTTTGTAAATACTGTGATTTGCATTCAATTCAATTCTCCTTTCCCTGTAATTCAAGGGGCTTACTAAGATTCATGCCAAGATAATGCTAGGGATAAGGAGTATTGCGCATTATGGCCAATGCATTCAAATCCATGAGATGTGCCGCCCTGATGATCAGTCTTCCAGGTTATCAGGCAGATATTCTACTTCACAACGGATGTCCGTTTGTAGAGATAGGTCTTCCAGAAATAGGATGCAAAGCAACAGCTAAAATTGTACGGGTGTCTTTCACGCAAGTTGTACTGCGCATATTCGAAGTTGATGGAAAAAGATGCAGTTTGGAATATCGTGCGGTGTTTAGACCGGCTGAGTTCGATCCTGAAGAGCACTTGTGTAGTAGATTTACTGTTGGTAGTGTTGTAAGTTGTGTTGTTATTTCATATGGAGATTGTGGAGTGATTGTGAGCATGTAAGTCCATATTTTACTAGCATCCCCAATATGAAGGATGGAAGGAAAATAAGCTTCATGAAGGACATCAAGGTGATGATGTATGGGTATGGAGATGTAAGTGCGCCAAGATACGACACTGCTGAGGCTCTCCATGGATACGTGTTGGATTATTTGAGCATTTTATTGACAAACACTCACAACATGGCACAAGTAAAAGGAAAGACAAAGACAGAAGATTTGCTTTATCATCTCAAGAGAGATAGGAAGAAGTATACCAGGGTCAGGCATCTGCTGATAACAAATGAAGAAATCAAGCTTGCAAAGAAGGCTTTTGAACCGAAGGACTACGAGAAGGATTGAAAAGAGTAATAATTAAAGATAGTTGTTTGACAATGTTTAGATCTGGATGCATTTGTTCTTTACAAGCATTCCTATATGTATTGGCGATTAACACTGATGAATTGATAATAATTCAGGAATCACTTGTGTAATGTTTGTTTGAATACATTGTTTATGCATTGAACACATTACTTGTATATTTAAATATATTACTTGCACATTTTGATACACAAATAAAGCATTATGCAAACCCTTTGAATGTTTCTACTTATTGCTGTAATTATTTCATTGATCATTGTTCTGTATTCTCTTATTAAGAAGTATGGGCGCAGGGAAAGGCTGGCATATGAAGCACATAATACAGAGCTTGAGAAGTACTTTGGAATGAAATCAGATGGAAGCCTGCAGCAAGTGCTTTTGAAGCAGTTGACAAAGGCAGCTGCAGTCTTCTTAGAGAGAGTAACAAAGCTTGAGAAGGACATGGAAGTGATTGGAGGACTGTACGAAAATAGAATGATAAGCGAAGCATACTGGGAGCATATGAACAAGAAAAGCAAGAACTACGAACTGGAAAAGATGTGTATTGAGTCTGAGGCAAACATTCTCAAGCATGGGTATGGAGATGAGATATTCAAGGATGCAAGTAAGGCTGGCTCATCAGGAAGCACAAACAAAAAAATTAAGAATGGCATGGAAGATGCACTTTACCTGAAGAAAAGAGAATTTCTTGAGTCTGAGCTGTTCAAGAGGCTTGAGACCAGAACCGATGTAGTGTAGAAAATCTAGCTCAGTACCTGAGTACTGATCAACCTTAGTATTAAATTCAATTCAACATTTTGTGTTACAAATAACCAAAGCAAGGCAATTGCATAGTAAAGATGCATTTCAATGATTTTAATATTCGCTATTCAGTCTATACGTCAGGATTCTGCTTGAATGAGCATACGGATCCTTGTATATCCCAACAAGACTGTCGCTGTGCTGGAATATCGTCGGTCTCAAGGTAATCAAAATAAACTGTGCGTTGCATGAAAGCATAAATGATATAATCCTCGCAACGTTTTCTTTATCTAATGCAGAATCTATTTCGTCAAACACATAGAAAGGTGCTGGCCTGTATGAATGGAACGAAAACAGCAAAGACAGTGTTGCCATGGTTCGCTCACCCCCAGAAAGTAATCTCATTTCTCTGAAGCGCTTGCTTGGCGGCATCAGGTGGAACCCAACACCTCCTTTGTATGGTTCTGCTTGGTTCTCAAGAACTAAATATGCATTTCCCTCAGATGTGTCCGTTGTGGTAAGTGCCTTGTATATCCTTGAAACCTCCTTATTTACCTTCTCAAAGCATTCAGCAAACATGCCAGTTCGCTTCTTCTTGACATCATTGAATTCGCTCTTTGCTTTAATGGCTGCCTCCTTAAGTCTTTCATACTCGCTGTTGATCTTCATATATTTAGATCGGTCATTCTCTGTGCTTTCCATTCTTTTAGGTGGCGCATGCCTCTCCATCTTCATGTTGATCTCCTCAAATTCTCTTTCGAGCTGCTCTGCATCTCCAGATACCTCAGAAAAGTCAATATTGTCCATCGACATCTCACCCCCAACGTAAGGAATCGCAATCTCCTCCATTGCAGAAAACATCATTATGTTCTTGACTTCTTCTTCAAGGCGCTCTTTTGCAGACATACAGTTCACTGCTTCCTTATCAAGCTCGTTCCGTTTGCATACAAGCTTTCGGAACTCGTTGTTCATGTCCTTAGATTCATTCCGAATCACTTCCATTTCCTTGGCCTTGGCACTTTCATCGCTTTCAAGATCAATAAGTTCTCTACTCATTAGATTCATGTCAATTGCATCACCCTCAATAGTTCTACTCAACCACTTTCTTTCCTCATTCATAATCTCAATTTCTTCTGCAATGCCACTCATCTCTTGGTCCAGTCCTGCAATTCTACTTCTAATCCTAAGCTTCAATCCTTCACATTCAACAAGTCTTCGAGTAAACACATCATTGGATTTAGCCTCTTTGTATTCCTTATAACTTCCAAAATATTTATTAGGAAATACCCCCTCAAACACCTTGGATTCTGTCTCACAAAGTTTATTCCCTAACATCAGCTTCTTTTGCTCAACAGCACAGATCTCTTTGTCTAAATTATTTAAACCTTCCAGTACCTCCTTCTCCTGATGATCAATTTCAATAAGCTTCTTTTCCAACTTATCAATCTCCACATCTATTCTCTTGAGTTCATCCATCTCTTTGCATTTACTTGCATTCCATACCAATATTCTTTCCCTACATATCTCAACATGTGAAAGCTCTGCTTTCATGTCATGAATCTTCTTAAGATCACAAAGAACCTCAGATCTACTCTTCATCAGACTATCAAGCTCATCTTCTTCAAACCGATTCCTCTGACATCCTCCTCCAGTCATAAGGCATCCTCCTCCATGAATATACACTCCGTCTAAACTGCACACACTCATCTTCATTCCCTTTCCATAGCATATGCTCCTTGACACATCCAGGCTATCAGATATCAATTTATCATTAAGCAAGTACATCACAACTTTCTTATACTTCAAATCATATTCCACAGTATCTCTTGCCATGCGCACTCCATTAGTCGCTCTGATATCCTTCAATACATCACCTGTGCCTTTTACATCACTATTCATGCTCTGCAGTGGAAGAAAAGTCATCTTGCATAATCTCTTGTCTCGCACAAAATTAATACAGGACACCGCTGTGGCCTCAGTATCAACCACAACCGATAGGTCGTGACTTCCAAAAAGCATAGATAACGCCACCTCATATCTGTCCTGTGTTGGGCGTATAAGATCAACAACGCATCCATACACTCCCGGAAACATCGTTTTAAGCGTGCCCACTGTTGCCTTGATTATAGACCGCTTGCTATCAATCCTTTTTCTTCCCTTAATCCTAAGAATCTCTCCCAACAATTCAGTAAGTCTTGCATTCTTCTCTTTCTCTTCTTCAGCAAGTCTATCATATTTTGCCTCGTGCATACCAATCTTCTCTCTAAGTCTCTGCTCAGACTCATTAAGATTGTCTATCTTGAATACTAAATTGGATCTTGCTTTCCTTATTTCATTCAGACTGTCCTGGTATTGTTCATTCTTCTCCTTTAACATGTTCAACTTCTCTATGTATTCTCCTTTCAGAATCTTCTTTGGATATTCTTCTAGATCAAGCAAATCCAGCATCTTTATATCACTTCCACACATACTTTGCATTGTCTTTTCTTTTTCATATAGTTCCTCAATCTGTCTTGTACATTCCAATGCCTGCATCCTATCAAGTTCCATCATCTCCAATCTTCCACACTCCTTACAAACCTCTTCAAGCTCTTTATTTCGCTTAGCAATCTCCTTTGTCTTCTCTACGATAAAGATTTGCTTGGCTTTCATTCTGTAATCAATATCCATCATTTGTGCTCTTCTACTCTCCTCATCGTGCTCATTCTTACACACAATCATTTGTTTTTCTTTAATCAGTTCTCGTTGCTTAGAAACTCGTGAATTCGCCTCAAAATACTCTCTGCGCGCTTCATTCATCCTGGATCTATACTGAGCAATCTCCCTCTCTTTGCAATCAATACAACCTTGCACTTCCTTTACTTCTTTATCAATACCTTGCTTCCTCGTGCATATTTCTTTGATATCATTCACCTTACGATACAGCTCATGAATTGTTATCTCCCTCTGCAAACTTGTCTTTCTTGCAATCATCCTTCTAAACTCCTCTTCTTGCTCCTTAACCTCCTCTGCTTCCTTCATCCTTATACACAGATCCTTTCTTTCCTCAAAAAGCATTGCACAGTCACTCAATGCCTTACTCTGTATTCTAGCCTTCTCCTCATATATATCCTTCAACTCACCACTACCACTCATCTCCTCAAATAATCTTGTAATCTCCATCGGTGCCATTCGACCAACCTTTCCAACATCTCCCTGAAAAACCATAAAGTTCCGTGCATCCATCATCACATTCATCTGCTGCAAAGCTTCTTGGAACTTATCATATCCAACACTATCGTCATCAACGGCGTAGCTACTTCGTCCATTTACATCAACACGCCTGTACAACATTCTCGTCCAGCTATTCGTTGCAATATGTAGCGTTACACTTGCATATCCGCTTCCCTCATTGATCACTCCACGCACACTACTTGTTCTCAAGCGCCACGCTCCAACTCCAAGGCAAAACGTGATCGCATCCATCACATTGCTTTTACCAGATCCATTTGGCCCTATTACACACGTCAACCTATCAAAAGGTCCTATCAGGTGCTTTCCACGATACGACTTGAAGTTCTCCACCTCTATTTTCTCCAATCCCATGCTGCCTACACACACATTTTTTTTAACTGTTTTTGAGTTACTTTATGCGTAAATCTATATAGATATACATTTAATACATACCTCTATGAACACTCTTTATATAACTCCATGCATAAACAACTTGGCACACACTCTATTTATGTAACTCCATACATAAGCAATCAGACATACATTCTCTTTATATAAGCAATCAGACACACTCAAAATACAACACAAAACATCAAATAATAAGCATTTAAAATAATAGCTGTGTCCATGGATAACCTTAGAAAGGAAATAGCACTTTCAAAATACACCCTGCAACAAGTACACAAACACCTATAATAACCCCTGCTATCATCCCTAGTATACTGGACTCCTCACGCTCTTTATGCACAATCTCACAGTCGAGCTGATTGATGAAGAAAACCGAGTCCATGATCTTGTACCTGATCACCGAAGCCTCAACAAACGTTCGCAGCATACGGCTATTCTGGCACATGACCTCGTCGGCAATTGCATTGCTCAAATGTAGATTGATCAAATCATCATTTATTTGTGAACTCACTGAGCAGATCCTCTTTATAATTATCGAATTTGTCAGTGTTTCATTAAAGTTGATCGTTCTATAAACTCGCATAAACAGCTCACTTGACTTCGCATCATTGCATTTAAATGCAGGAAGAAGATCAAGTATGTCTTTGAAGCAAACCCTTGGATCCTTTCCTTTCGAGTACAATCCCGGATTTCTCATTTCAAACGGAATCTTTAACTCGTCCATATCTTCGAAGTATTGCTTGAAATACACTCCTACTTCATTTTCAAACTGAATGTACTCTGCTCTGTGCTCTTTGCCTATTAACGCATCTACTCTGGAATCCAAATCGCACAGCATCTCCTCAAACGCCTCAATTGCATATTTTGCATCCTCCTCTGTGTCCAAGACCTGCCTAACGGTTGGATGAAACGGCTGAAGAATGTATCTGCCTGGGACACTTTCATAGACTTCAAGTGGGAAAAGAAAAAATATCCTTGATTTTTCCCTAGTGTTTGTTACAGAAATAAGCATGTTCAACAGAAACTTCACAAGCATCAATGCCGAGTTTTCATATTTACCAATTGATTCATGTACCGATGTTACTTGCTCTACAGACAGCATTTTCTAAGGGTCTAAATTGCATAAACAGCTTTGATAACCGTTACATATTGTATCTCACACACATTCTGCGCAATATTATTATGCATGCAGATGGATACGGAACCCTGTATGACGCTTCATGTGTGTGGGACTTTGGCCGAGTGGTCTAAGGCGTTCGGCTCAAGATCGAATACGGTAATCGTGCAGGGGTTCGAGTCCCCTAGGTCCCATATGTTTTGCACACATTTACAATCATCCACAGAATTCAACATATGCATTTCCGTTTTATTTATACACCCTACAAATGGACAATGCCACATGCCAGGATCCACACAATCATATTTTTCTGGATGCACCTCAGAAGTCAGGCAAAAGGACAGAGGTCGTCGACATATTTGACAGAGGAGGCACTCGTCACGAGGCTGTGGTTCCGTTTGGATACGCTTACACATCACTTCCAACTGTCTTTCAGAGACCATCTTCAAAGACATATCTTTTTGAGCTTGACGACTTCCAAAAGATATCAGTATGCAGCCTGGAAAGAGACGAAAGTGTTCTTGTAAGTGCACACACAAGCTCAGGGAAGACCGTTGTTGCCGAGTATGCAATTGCAATGTCGCTCAAGAGCAAGCAGCGTGTTGTTTACACATCTCCAATCAAAGCTTTATCAAACCAGAAATACAGAGAATTGCTTTCTGAGTTCCAAGACGTGGGCCTAATGACCGGAGATGTCACTATTAATCCTACTGCATCTTGCCTTGTGATGACCACAGAGATTCTTAGAAACATGCTATACAGGGGAGGCGAGGTAGTTAGGGAGATTCATTGGATAATATTTGATGAGATTCACTACATGCGTGACAAAGAGCGTGGCGTTGTATGGGAGGAAACAATCATACTGCTTCCAAAGCACATCCGAATGGTATTTCTGAGCGCTACCATTCCAAATGCATTGGAATTTGCTGAATGGATAAGCTTCATCCAGAACCAGGTCGTACATGTTGTTTACACTGAAAAGCGTGTGACTCCGTTAGTGCATTATTTCAAGTCTGATAAGTTATACAAGATAAAAGACACAAAATTCCACAAATCAAATTTTCTTTCAGCAATGCGATCCACAAGGAAGAGAAAAATCGGATATAAGGATGTCAACAATGCAATCAAGGATGCTTCGCTTCCTGTCGTTGTTTTTTCATTCAGAAGAAAGGATTGTGAGCGCTTTGCTACTCAACTCGATGGAAATTATCTGTCAGATGAGGAGGCTAAGATGGTCCGGATGATCTTTACAAATGCAATTGTATCACTGCGCAAGGAGGATAGGGAGATCCCGATCATTCAGAACATCCTGCCTCTTCTTGCAAGGGGCATTGGAATACATCACTCAGGACTTCTTCCAATAATCAAGGAGGTTGTTGAGATTCTTTTCCAAGAGGGTCTTCTGAAGGTTTTATTTGCAACAGAGACGTTTTCAATTGGACTGAACATGCCTGCCAAGTCTGTTGTGTTTACTGCATTGAAGAAGTATGATGGCGAGCGAACAAGACTGATTAATCCTGGAGAGTACATTCAGATGAGTGGAAGAGCAGGACGCCGAGGACTCGATGAGATGGGTATTGTGATTTGTATCATATCAGAGCCTATCACACAGAAAGAAGTTGACAGATTGCTTTCCCCGTCGTCTGAGAACCTTATTAGTGCATTTAGATTGACATACAATATGATTCTGAATTTAATGAGAGTTGAAGACCTCAACCCATTGTATTTGATTAGCAGAAGTTTTTTCCATTTCCAAGCTTACAAAAAGTCTCTGGGTAAGGAGGCAGAGGTTTTTGAGATGTATGCGCAGCTGGAGCAGATGAAGCCGAATGATGTTGCCAGGATGTACATTGAAAGGGAAACCATGAGGGTTGAACGTAACATGAGCTTGAAGCCAATGATTGGGGAATACTTGAAGAAAGGAAGAGTGGTTGATCTGTTTATTCCGAGAGGCGGCCCATCATTGATTGTGCGAAATGCAATTGTGTCTAAGGTAAATGAAAATGTGCGGTGCATGGTGAATACAGACAAGGGAGTATATATGTGTAATTATCCGTTGCATTATGTGGACTGTGTGTACAACAGCAGAGTAAAACTGAACTTAAAAGTGTTTTCCAGAAAATTTGAGAAGATTTTGATTGATTCAGATCTTGATAAGAATATAGAAGACATTGAGGCAAAGATTGCTGATAAATGTCCTGGATGGAATGGAGATGAGTGTGCCATATGTGGCAATGTGTCTACAAAATGTTTGCTTTCATGCGGATTGGAATTTCTGAATGGAAAGTGTGTGGAAGAAATAGACCTGAATGACTGCAACAATCAAAGAATACCAGGAATATCTGAATGTTCAAGACGGTCTAGATGCAAAGATAAATGCTTATGCAATTCATACACATGTGAACAAGATGTTAGTAATCATGGAGACATGGCAATCCAATTGGAATCAATGGCTGAATGTAAACAATACTTTATAAGCGAAGTTTCAAAAAGAAAATACCTTAGCAAGCTATCTGAGCTAAACCAACTTTATGAGATTTATCACATGAAAGAATGCATGAAAATGATTGAGGTTTTGAAGAAGCTTGAATACTGCGATGACACAACGGTGCTGATCAAGGGGAAAATGGCATGCGAGATTTCTTCTGGTGATGAGCTTGTGCTTACAGAGATGATCCTGAATGGGGATTTTGCTGGGCTTCCTGCCGAGCACTTTATTCCTTTGCTGTCTTGCATTGTGTTTGAGGAGTGGGACTCTGAGAACTTTGTGCTCAGCGATGAAAACAAACGATATTACAAGCTCTTGAGTGACTCTGTTGAAAAGGTATGTAAAGTGCTGAAATCTTGTTCGATAGGTGCTGATCCTGCAGTGTATCTAAAAAGGTTTTCATACGAATTGATGGATGTTGTGAGAATGTGGGTGTGTGGACACACATTTACAGCCATATGCAACAGTACAAGCATCTTTGAAGGAAGCATAATCCGAACCTTCCGAAGACTGGAGGAACTTTTCAGGCAGCTTGGCTGTGCAGCAAGAGTAATAGGAAACACAGATTTGGAAAGCATGTTTGAGTTGGGAATTACCAAGATCAAGCGAGACATAATCTTTGCAAACTCACTTTACATATGAGAAGTTCATAAAATGATGGATAACGAGTATTTCAATAAACCAGATGCTTTTATTTAAATGTATTCTCAGAAGGCATATACATGCTTTCTATCTTCTCCATTATAATTTCAAATAATTCTGTTGGCTAAACTTATTATGCTTATGCATCGATTCAAGACATCCTCTTGATAAACATCAAAAATAACTTTTCTGCATCAACTTCAAAACATGAGATTGCATAAGGAATTTTGAAAAGCTCACATAGTTCAGGCTTACAGACACCAACAGTCCCAATCAGTTCACCGTTTACAATCACCTGTGCGGCTTGATTCTTTAGATACCTTGTATCATCCTCATATGCACAATACACATACTTGTTAACTCCACACTTTTCTAAAATAAGTGAAAGCGGTCCTTGAACCTCTTCAAGCCCGGCTCGCCCTCCAGAATACATTGCTGCAAGCATTCTACCATTCCTTGCTCCACACTCCCATGCATTGTTCATAAAAACAACATCAGAAACCTCAAAAACTTTGAAAGGAATCTTTACATGTAGATTCGACGCAATAACCTTCATCAGCCCAGGAATAAGTGATGTACGGACCTCTTCATACCCAAAAGACTTGGGATTCTTTACTGCCACAGCTCGTTCCCTCTCTATCATATTCTCTTTATTAGACAATAAACTCAATGTCAGACACTCATCAAACCCCATCGATGCAAACTCAAGCCTAAGCTTGTCGCAAAACTTATTCAACGCATCCTCACGCCCTATGCAATGTGTAAGCGGAAACTTCCTTTCAAAATTATTGAATCCATATGCAATTGCAACATCCTCAAGCAGATCACACTTGTGAAGAACATCAGATCGCATGTCATCCACACTCACCTCAAGGCTTCCCTCATCAATAACTCTCACACGATGCATCATCCTCTCCAAACATTCTTTAGATTGCTCTACAGTTAGATTCAGGCCAAGCCCTTTGTTTATCTCTTCAAGCATGAGCTTATGCACTCTATTAAATTCAACTGGTGTCCTAATCGTCGTTTCTCTGCCTACAATCTCAACACTTTCAACACTCTCCCCTCTAAATGCACCTATAATCAACCTGAGCATTGTGTTAACTCTGTTGAAATCAGCCCCTGTCACTTCCACAAACACATTCTTTGTCTTTTCATCTATCTTACTTCTTTCACTATTGATTATTGGCGGCACAGACATCACTCCTTTTGCATCCTCAAAACATACATACTTGTCGTTACTCTCAATTAACTTCAAATACTTGCCAATCTTGCTCCCTTGTCCAAAGTACTCTTCCATCTCATCTCCTCGAATCTCCTTGTCTCCATTCAGTGGTGTAAACACAATATTCTCAGGCATTATACTCTTATACACAATCTGACCTTCCAGTTTATCAAAATCATGGGTTCCAACAGATGCTAGCTTCCTATTCCTACCAATCGTCAGATGAAGCTTCTCCTGGAACTCAATAAAACTTCTGTATATCCTCTCGTTTCCAAAGTCAATGCCTCGTATTACTGCGCATGCTATCCATGGTCTTTCGCATCCTCCTTCATTCTCCACTCTCAGTTGTCCTGCTAATATATTGATTGGCTCATACACACACTTCGAAAAAAATACCTTAAGTGCCTGGCACAGTCCTTCTGAGCATAGCAAGTCATATCTATTGGCCGGAACCTCAATCCTGTACATAATCCGTCCGTCCTCCTTGACAACCCCGTCCATCTCCAGCCCATACTCAAACAGAATCTTCTCAAAACTCTCATCATCAATCTCCATCTCAAGATATTCCTCAAGGCTTTCTTTCTCTGCCAGAATCGTAGGCATATTGGGGCCTGCTTTTTACCTGTATTTCACAACACATGCCTGTAATCAACTTCTTGTATGCTGTCTCTATGCATAAATTCATTAAACCCCTGTAATGAAGATACGAGTCGGACTGCTTGTCGGATACAACGGCAGTGCATACCACGGCTTACAGCTCAATAACGACCTTCACACAATAGAAAAGACAATTGCACAATCCCTACTAAAAACAGGCGCCATAACGCAACAGAACGCTGAAGATCCAAGGAAAATCCATATGAAGTCATCTTCAAGGACAGACAAGGGCGTTCATGCTGCATTCAACCTCGTTTCTGCCAAAATATCCGTTCCAATAACACCTGAGTTCGTAAACAGTCTTAGAGACGCATTATTGCAAGAATCCATCCATCTATATGATATAGTGCGTCTTCCAAAAAGCATTATACCATCCAAGCAAGCAGACTCCAGGATCTATGAATATGTCGTACCTACCTTCTTTCTTATGCAAAGCAGCTTTTCTCAAGAAGTCCATGAAATGCAAAAATCTGATATTTTAAAAGAAAAGTTTGGAGTATGGAGAGACTATCCAGAAAGTTTGGTGGACCAAATCGTCGGATACACTTCGCTCAAAGAAGACATTCAGGTTTTCAACGAGATCCTTCAGAAATACCTGGGCACACAGGACTTCCACAACTTCACAAAGCAAAACACAGACAAGGGAACAAAAAGATATATCCGATCAATCGTAGTCTCTGATCCATACACATCTGACGGTATAGAATATGTTAAACTCGAAATCACTGGACAGAGCTTTTTGTTGCATCAAATCAGGAAGATGGTGTTTTTTGCAATGCTGCTGTGCAGATACCAAAGAAATAACATTGACATCAAGTTTAGCATGGCATTTAGCAATCAGAGCATTCATGTTCCAAAAAGTCCTTCGCAGTATCTTCTTCTTGATAAGCCAATCTTCCACAGGTTAAGAAAAGGCTCATCAATAGAATGCATTGAAGTGGATGAATCACAGCGAGAAGAGTACAAGAAGACAGTGATTTATCCAGAAATCTATAAGAGGAAAAATCTGATTGGGTTCTTTGCTTCTCTTGACTCAGTTAGGTTCCACCGGGAAAATATGGTCTTTTTGGATTGAACCGATTTCCTTGCAAACTAAAATTAAAAGTTGCTTCACTAATTTGCTTCTATTCGTCTCATGATGCATAGATGCGCTGGATGCTGATTTTACACATCCAACAGCATAATCACATGTGAATTGATTGCCAGTTTCTAATGAATATGTGGTCATCTTAACAAACTCATCAAAGATGGTCTTGTATCGATATTTTTTACTATGTCTGTATGATGTTGTCTCCAGTTGTTGATCAAAAGAATGTGTCTCTTTCTCATCAACAAGCATAATCTTGAATCTTCTATCTACATATCTGCATGAAATCGCTTTTCTTTTTATGCATACATCAATTTCGCATTCCATCTCAAAACTTGTTCGCTCCAGTAGCACAACTTCATGCCGAGCTGCAGATATCACATGCAGCTGCACTTCAATGCATGACTCAGATAATGTAACTTCAAGCATCATATTGCTCTGTTCATATATGTGCAACCACTTCTGTCTCTGAACACCTTGTGAACTAAACTGTGAGTGCTGAACTACCTCTCCAAACAGCTCAATGTTTGCTGCACACATCGACATTGCACACTCTTCATCCACCTTCCTCATCGAATACTTCAATACCTTCCACACATACTTCATTCATGCATTCAACACAATATGCTTATAAAACAATAATTTATTCAAACACAGTTATTATCATCGACTCTTACTCCTCTTGAGCAGGGACATCTTGAGACGCGACTTTCCTATGCATTGCTCAATCACAATACATTCGTTGCTGCTAAGGTATGGAACAAAATACACAAGAATCGTATCATACAGAAATTCCCTCTTCATATCAACAAGTATCCTCATTCCTCTGAATATCACTTTGTCTCTATCAGCTCCTTTCTTCAGTGCTGCGCATTTCGATGCAACCATCTTTCCAACACTACTTATTTGATTCCCTTCTTCAACTCGTGCAAGATACTTGAAGTATCCAGAAACAAGGTTTCCCCTTGACTTCGACCTATTCAGAAACTCACTCACTAGCTCTGCATCGCACACTTCGAAAAAAATGTCACAATGATCAATCAAAAGCTCTTCCTCAATCAGCTTGAATAATGAAATACAAGACTGTTTATCAACAAATATATTCTTTGATTCTGTGTTGAGCAGAATAGACAACTTGCTATAAATACTCTTGAGCCATCTCCCCTTACCAATGCATTCTGCTTCCATCCCAAGCACTCCAAGCTCAGCACATCTTTGCTTAAAAAAAATCAAAAAATCACATAATACATCAGAGTTTGATACATCTCTCAGTTCGTATTGCTCTATCTTTATTCCATCCTCTGACATAATGTTCCATAATGCTGCATAGCACTTAATCTCTGTACTATATTCATTATCAATGTATGTAGAAACATCAAATGACCTAATCAGGCAACGCATAAACATCGTTCCTTCTTGTCTTAATAGCTCAACAGATTGCCACACCAGTGAATAAAAAACAGATTCAAGCTTCTTAAGCAAATCAACAAATGCACATATAATTCTTTCACTTGCATATCTAACACATAGCTCCCTTGCTTTTACTAAAATCTTATCAGTCACATCAGGTCTTTTGCTAAATACCCCAGTATCCATCAATGTAAGAGACTCAATTACCTCAATCAAATTTTCTTCGTTATCTTTTGTAACATCAAGCATCTCACAATGCTTCTCAACATCAGTAACTTCATTAGAAAGCACTTTTAACATCTTCAAGTAGCACAATACACGTGATTCACAGCACACGCTTCTTCGTCGTAGAAAGTCCAGTACAAAGCTGCTAAAAATATCCACATCCTCCGGCGTGTGTGCAATGCATGAACATACAAATATCGATGCATTGCATAAGAGTTCATGCACTCCTTTGTAATTAGAGAGTTGACACTCTTTTATTATCTCAGATGTCTCCTCATTCATTATCTTTGTTATCACCTTCTTCAATACTTCACCTTCATTGCATTCATCAACAACTGCCAAAATCCGAAGCATATCTGTCTTCAAAAGCATTCCATGCACATAAAGAATCATGCATAACATCCTTCCATCGTTCTTCAATCCAGGATTCTTGTCATCCAATGCAATCTCTACAATCCTATCCTTGAATCTTGACACAAGCTGGCACACATCTATATTCTTCTCAACAAGCTTAGTTATTAGCCTTACTCCTCTCCTACGCACCATATCGTTCTTATCGCTGAGTGCCCATCCGAGATACTTCAGGTAATGTGCAGATGCAAAAACACTCGGTGCACTCAAAACCCACTCATACATCCACTCAACACACAGCGTCCTTATGTTCGGATCAACATCCCTGAATCGCACTAAAAACACTTCGTCGTACATTTCCTCAACAATCCCAAAACACTTGCCTTCCACAATCAGCCGGTGTATTCTAATAAGCATCAGATATGTTGATACATATCTTGTAGCTCTGTTCTTATCTTTCGTCATCTCAATTATTGAGCTTGTACTATAATTAGAGACTGAATTTACTATTCTGCACAACTTCTTGATCTTTGCATGACTGATGTATGTAGCATTAATAATTCGTGTAATCTCATCAGTACAATCATCCATTGCCTTCAGTCTATTTATCAACACATCAGGTGTAAATACGTCCAGTGGACAACCTTGAAGTGCACTGTTATTACTTTGCTCACACGCCATGCTATCAGCCATATTATCTGATCCATTTTCTTTGTCCATCAAGGCTCTGTCAAAAATATTTTTATGCAACTATGCTCTGCATAAATCGCTCCACAGCATCCCTGGTGTTTGTTATGACGCTCATGCTTCCAGAGCAAGAAGATATGATGGGCCACTTTGCGGACCCTGTGTCTTTTATTAACGCATATACACATGTTTATGAGAAGCAGAAGGGTGTTCCTGTGAAGATTGGTTTGCAGGACATTCTTTACTATGAATGGTTTGAGCAAGCATTGCTTGAGATGGTGCTTGAGCGAGTGTTTTCTAAGGATGGCGGTGAGCCAAGAGTTGTTGAAGCTGAAGATGCACTTGAATCATTCAGACAGCACAGATTTTTTGACGAGGAGTTTTATAATGTGGCGACTTTAGTTATAATCAAAGGAGTGGCTATGCTTCTTGATAGGATTGATCAAGAGGTTTGCCAACGAAGCTTTGTGAATGTAAGGTATTTGTATTTTTACACAATTATGCCTGTTGACCTTACTCGGATACTGATTGAACCATGCCTTGAATGCATTGAACAACCAAAAGTGCTGATGCAAACGATGCTTGAAGTTAAGAAAAGCGTAGAAGATGTGAATATGCAACTCAATGAGGTGGATGTATCTTTTCTTGCAGATGATGCAAGATTAAGCTGCAGAATAAATCTGTCAGATGTACTTCTTGGACCTGCAAGAATCAAACACTACAGCCTAAACAATATCTATGGATCTGTCTTTGATTTGGTTCTTGTGAGAGCAGCAGGAATGACTTCAGAGAACGCATATTTATATGTGATGGAGGTTTATAGCGAATATATTACTTTTGAAATCGGACCTGAGGAGTTGGTAGAATGCCTTAAAGAGTATTTGAATAAACTAATGACGGGATACTGATAACTGTACAAGATATAATAAATATGGTTTAGCATAAATGGTGGTGTTGATTTATTGTGTGAAAATGGTCCCTGTAAATGAGCAAAAGAAGGCTTGATGAGGATGAAAGCACTGAAGTGTCTGGAGAGGGAAGTCTGAACTTTAGTGTGGTGCATGAACTTGATAGCGAGGACATGGAGCGTATTGAAGACGATTCCTACATGCTTGATGGTGCATCCGTTTCTGAGGTTGCTGATCATTCTGATATTGAGGAGTATATAGAGCATGATGCAAGAATCTTTGGATATGAACGGAGAGAAGACTATAATGGCCATGAAATGCAGAATGGAAGAATGCATATGGATAATGCACAGAGTTATGATGTAGGAAGCGTTTTGAAGGCTCAGGAAGTATCGAGTGACTTTTTTGATCAAGAATTCTTTAGAAGTGATCTGGAGACAAGGTTTGTTAATTTCTTTGGTACGTTTGGCAGTAAGAAGTATGTGAAGAAGATCAGACAGATGTGTTCTGAAAATATGGAGAGCATTGAGGTGAATTATCTTGATGTTGAACAGGAGTCTAGTGACTTGGTAAGGTTATTGGATCAGCATGCAGAGCGAACGATTGAAGTGATGAATGTAGCGCTTGAGAGAGTTGTCAAGATGCACTTTCCAAACTATTATATGATCAAGTCGAAGATTCATGCCAGGATCACAGGGCTTCCTGTTGTTGAAGGGATCCGAGCACTGAGGAACAATCATCTTGGAAAGCTTGTCAGGGTTAGCGGAGTGGTGACGCGTAGAAGTGGAGTATTTCCACATTACTCGATTATGAAGTTTAATTGCCTGAAGTGTAAGTCAGTGTTTGGCCCGTTCATTGCATCTGTGTTCAAGCCAACGCATTGTTTTGAATGCCAATCTAAAGGGCCTTTTTCTGTAGATACGACAGAAACAATATACAAAGATTTCCAGAAGCTTACGATTCAGGAGATTCCTGGGAGTGTTCCACCAGGGTCACTTCCGCGATCGAAAGACGTGTTGCTGTTCTACGACCTGATTGACTGCGCAAAGCCTGGGGAGGAGATTGAAGTGACCGGCGTTTATAAGAACGGCTTTAATGTGTCTCTAAATATTAAGAATGGATTTCCTGTATTTTTTACTGTTATTGAGGCCAGCTCGGTGAGTAAAGACGAGGGTGTGTCTGAGATGACAGATGAAGATATAAGGGAGATCAGAAGAATGGGGATGCATCCAGACATCCGAAGGATTGTAGTGAACTCGATAGCGCCTTCTGTATATGGGCAAGAGGAAGTGAAGAGAGCAGTTGCACTAGCGATGTTTGGAGGAGTTGCAAAGGAAAGCAGGAGCCACCGGATCCGTGGAGACATCAATGTGCTTCTTCTAGGAGATCCAGGGATGGCAAAGTCACAGTTTCTAAGGTATGTTGAGAACACATCGCATAGGGCAGTACTATCTACAGGGCAGGGAGCGTCTGGAGTAGGACTTACTGCATCGGTTAGGAAAGATCCTGTTGTCAAGGAGTGGACGCTTGAGGGAGGGGCACTTGTGCTAGCCGATAGAGGCGTATGCCTGATTGATGAGTTTGACAAGATGAACGAGCATGATAGAACAAGCATTCATGAAGCAATGGAGCAGCAGTCGATATCTATATCGAAGGCGGGGATAGTTGCTACGCTGCATGCAAGATGCAGTGTGATAGCAGCTGCGAATCCTATTCGTGGGCGATACAATGCATCACTGGCATTTACACAGAATGTGAATCTGAGCGATCCAATTGTGTCCAGGTTTGATATACTTTGTGTGATAAAGGATGTTGTAGACTGTGTTGAGGACGAGCGAACGGCACGATTTATAATAGAATCGCATAGAGGAGGTAAAAGCAAGATTAGTGGATTTGATGCGACAAAAAAAATTATGAGCCAGGAGTTGCTAAGGAAGTATATAATGTATGCAAGAAGCAATGTTCAGCCAGCCTTTCACGATGTGGACATGGAGAAGATATCGAGCCTGTATTCGGAGCTTAGGAAGGAGGGGCTGTCTTCTGGATTACCTGTGACTGTCAGGCATGTTGAGAGCATTGTGAGAATAAGCGAAGCATTTGCAAAGATGCGCCTAAGTGCAAGTGTGAATGTGGAAGATGTTGATGAAGCGATTTCTGTAGTGCTTGATTCATTTATGGGTGCACAGAAGCATTCGATACACAAGAGCCTAAGAAAGAAGTTTATGCGATATTTCAACAAAAGCAATGCAGATGTACTTGTGTTTTTGTTGAAAGAAGTGTTTAGTGAGAAGATGAAGGCATTCCACAATCAAAGCGTTACAGTTGATGAGTTTGAGAGACGGGCGCAATCATTTGGATTTACAGTTCCTGAAGGCTTCTATGGATCTGAAGTGTTCAAAGAGCATGGATTTAAGCTGAACAGAGAGTCAAGGATGCTATCGAGAAATAATGGTTAGAGAATGCTTCCAATATAATTGTATGAGCTATATGTGACAGAAGTAAATAGTTTTGTGATTGGTTTTGTATTTATTGATGATTTTTGTTATATGTGGAATGCTTGTTTTCCATTTTGAATGCGCCACTTCCATACTGCATGGCCTTCTTAGGAACGTTTGCAGCATTATCAAAGCCGTATCTTCTCAGCACTTCACGGATGATCAGTTTGTTCAATCCTGAACCAAATATCATGTTATCGCTGATGCTTAGCGAGTATTGTATTAGCTTAGAGTCAAGAAATGGATATCTACATTCTATCTGGTTGTCTGACATAACACGGTTATCTCTACAGAGATTGTGATGCGAAATAGTCAGTAAATCAAATAGCATTGAGTCTCTGAATTCACATTTTGTGTATCTGCTGTATCCTCCAAACAGTTCATCAGCACCTGATCCAGCATATGCCACACTGCTGTACTTCCTAGCTTCCTTTGCACTGAAGAACAGAGTGGCTGCTATGTTGAAGTCCATCGGCTTGGTTTTTGGATAAATAAGTTCATAGATATGTGTTTCTGCTTCTCTGAGCATTTTGATGCCAACGTCGTTTTCTATGAACACAAATGTGCGCTGTTTGAACATTAAGCAAAGCTCCTCGTATCTCATTTTCCCTGTATCTCTGTCTGATGACTGTCCGAATGATGTATTTATCAGGTATATCTTTTGTTTAGGTGCTGCAGAATGGTGCATAAAAACGGCAAGAAGCATCGAATCTACACCTCCACTGAAAAATATGCATATATCACCGCTTACTATCCTGTGCATTACTGAATTGTGGAATATCTGGATAAACTCATTTACTTCATCCTTTGCTTGCAGATTATTCTCTAATGCATACTTGCCGATGAATTCATGATCATTGAGTATTTCTAGGTGCTTCTTAAGATATGCATATTCAGAATGCTTCTCGATTGTGATGTATTTTGAGATTGAATTTATCTTTGAGATGTATGCATTGACTAGTGTGCTGCTGTGCTTAAGCCAGCTGTCGAGTGTCCCAGATCTTCTATTATATGAGTAAATACACATCGGATCTATTTCGTTGGAGTAGTGTGTATGTGATAAACAGAATGGATTGAGTGTGTATCCCAGACTTGTTGTTCCCACGTCGTCTTTCATGAAGAATACTGTGTCTCTTACTGCAAGTATGACGGTTGTTTCATTTTCGTACTTACTGAGTTTTTCATGTATTGTTTCTATGGTTTTTCTTGCAATGCCGTATATGCATTTCTGCATACTTGATTGTTTCATGCTATCAAGAGAATTTTCAAGTGTATGTATCAGGCTCATCATCCATTCATTACTATTCTGAATGCTATTGTATATTCTGTGATTGTGAATAAGGACGATGCCGTTGTTTGTTATGTTTATGACGGATCCAAATGCTAATTTACTATGTGTTAATGCACATGATTCTGATGATATGTGTTTGCATATTTGTGTCTGAGATTTATGCATGAACCATAATATTTCCGTGTTCATTGAATGCTTGTTCATAGCGAGTGACATTTGATGAAGGCCAAATACACAGAGTAATTCACAAATGCAGGCAAGCAAACAACACTAAGCACCCTTATGGCATCGTTTGTCAGAAGTGCAAGGCATGGAAGTGCAGTTGAAAAAATATCTAGTGGGATAGAGGGACTGAATCAGGTGCTGGGAGAGTATGCATCAAGAGGATTAATGATGATGATTGTGGAGGATGAGAACTCATCAGCTCATTCTGTGATGCTCAGGATTTTTTTATCTGAAGGTGTTGCAGCCAATGAAGAGATACTAGCTGTTTCGAAGGAGGAGGATGAGATGTGGATATACAACACTGGAATGTGTGCTGATAATGTTTCTGTTGATAAAATGGTAATAGCATGGAGATATTCTGGAGTGCCATCCAGGGAGTGTAGGTCGCAATTCAATCTATCGAGCAAGCGCAGAATTGATGGAAAAGACAACGTGCTTTGCAAGAAAGATGCAACACTTGAAGAGATTTTGAGGATTGCAGAAAGCAAAGAGAAGCTGAGGATTGTGATTTTTTCATTGATGTCACCGCTCTGGATGTGTGACGGATACAAAAGCAAGGATACGATAGAGTTTATGCACAGGCTCAAGAAGTGTGTGAGAATTAATAAGCACGTGTGTATTGTATCTGTCCCAGTGTTTTTATGTCCTGAAATGAATTTACTTCCTTTTTTTGATGTGGTTGCTGAGGAAGACTCGAATATTTTCAGTGGATTTTGCCCGAACTACAATGTGATCTTGACGTTTACAAAGATGAAAGGCTACGGGTGCTTGTATACTAACACTCTTGAGAGTCTTAAATATGGAGTGAAGATAAGAAAGAGCGGCATATGCGTGGAAAGCATTGACATACCGCCTGAAGATGGTGAAGTGCAGGATATGCAATGTAGCAAAAGGGAGTTTTAGTTGACATGCAAGGATATTTGTAATGTGAATCTAGTAAATCTAGCAAATCTTGCAATTGTGAGCTAGTTGGCGTTTGTGATATGCATGGTTAAGTGAGTGTTTGAATTAATGTTTTTGATAAGCATGGTTAAGTGGTGCTTAAGTCAATGTTTGTGAAGATTCGATATATTTTTGTGATTTTTTGAAGCCGTTTGAAATGATATATTTGCTAGAGACTGCGGTTGGATATGCATTGCTTGACAGTGTTGAAGGGCAAGGAAATGCAGAGTTGCTTGGTGTATATAGATTCAAGGACAGTGATGAGGCGATGGAGTCATCGAGATGTCTGATCCAAGGAACAGTACCCTCGAGTTTAGAAAGTTTCATCAGTTCTATTGAGTCGAAGAAAAAGGAGATTCTGGGGGTGAATGACCAGAAGCTTGTTGAACCGCTGCATAAGAAGATGGATAGAAAGGTTGTGTATGTGAACGATGATGTTCTGAGGAGCGCACGATCTGAAGCATATAAGTACTTTGGAATGAGTATTTCTGAGTATTCTGAAAGGGTTGTGTGCATTGCACATAAGATATGTATGGGAAAGATCCGAATGGTGCCTGAGAAGATTGATACAATGGTGATACAATCGGTGAATCTGTTGTGTGACATGGACAAGGACATTAATCTACACTGCATGAGGTTGAAGGAGTGGTACGGAATACACTTTCCAGAGCTACAGAGCGTATTTGAAGGCAACAAGGAGTATCTTGTGGCGGTGATTGAAATTGGTAGAAAGGAGAGCATTGATGAGGAGAAAATGAAGAGGCTTGAAGAGATGATTGGAGATCGAGCGGAGCGAGTGAAAAAGCTTGCTGAAAGCAGCATGGGTGTTGCCATGGACGAGAGTGACATGCAGAACATTCTGGATGATGCAAGGAGTGTACTAAAGAGCTTTGAGTTTCGAGATGAGCTAGAGAAGTACATTTGTGTGAAGATGCAAGGGTTAGCGCCGAACCTGATGGCATTGATTGGGGATGTGATGGGAGCACAGATGATAAGTAAGGCAGGATCGCTGTCAAGCCTTGCAAAGATGGCGGGATCCACAATACAGATGATGGGAGCGGAGAAGGCACTGTTCCAAGCACTGAAGGCGGAGTCAAACACACCGAAGTATGGAATTATATACGGAAGTTCATTGGTTGGACAAACTCCTTCGCAGCATAAGGCCAAGATAGCAAGGAGCCTGGCATCGAAGATTGGCTTGGCAGCTAGGATTGATATGTATGGAGATGACACGCATAAGAACCATGGTACACATATGAGGGAGCAGATTATGAAAAGAATTAAGGATCTGGAGAGCCGAGGAGGGAAGAGTAGAAAATCTGTGAGCAGGCCGAAACATGAGATTAAGCCGAATTTCTATGATGACTCAAAAGATGTTAAGAAGGTTAAGTCAAAATGATTTTATTAAAGACGATTGATTATAAGTGAATATGATATTTATATTGATACTACATAGTTATGTGCTTTTGTTGTGAAACATGCATAATCATGAGAATGGAATCAACATATCAAATGCCTTTTTGTTCTGAACAAGCAGTGTCTTGAAGTCTTCAAAATTCAACGTGTTTTTTGAGTAATCAATTGAATTGAAGATGTTTTCGGTTACACTTGAGGGATCAAGGCCGAGCTCGAGTGTCTTTGAGGTCATTTCAATTATGCTCTGGATTACACAAAGCATTTCTTGCCTTGAAACAACGCCATCACCATCAGTGTCATAGAACCTGAATATCCAGCGAAGTCTTTCGTGATCGCTTCCCTTGACTAAAATACTATATGCAATCATGAGCTCATGGAAGTCTATGGCACAGCTTTCACTGATGTTGATGGTCTCGAAAAGCCTCTTTGAAAAGGCCTCTGGAGAACCAAATGGAAAATATCCGCGGAACATGTCCTCGAGGTTCTTTGCAGTTATGTACCCGGTTGGATATGCCTTTTTGAATGCAACCAGCCATTGATGTAGATCGTTTGTAGGGAAGTGCGAAAACTGCCTGAGATCGCTGTCCATGTCTTCTGACATTGTGCTTACGCTTGAGCCCATAGGGTAGGTGTTTTGATTGTAGATCACGCATAGCGGAGCCAAACAAAACATATGCCAAGAAGCACCCCATGAGAGGGATTGTGTATGTGTGCTTTGCACTTTTGTGTACAGTGAGATGCTCAAGGATTCAGAAGATCTTGAAGCCTGGAGCCAGGGAAGAGTATTGGGCAGTATTTGGAGAGAATGGACTAGAGCTCAGCATCAAACTGAACCAATACTCTAGTCAGCCGGTGTTCTACAGGATTGTTAAACCGAATGATTTACCTGAAGACAGCGATGATGACTGGGAAGAGTTGAATGAGGCATTTGATCAGAAGTATACTATGCATGGAACATACAGGATAGATGTTGATAATAGGGGAGATGAGAATGCATCTATTAGTGTGTACACGAATGTGATGGTTTCTGATGGATTGGACAATGACAATCTGGCAATCAAGAACCTGTTTGTTGATATTGAGGGAAAGTTGATGTCTTTATACAATACGAATATGCGATTAAAGACGATCCAGGAGCGAAATATTACTGAAGCAAGGAGGATAAGTAAGGGATTGTACATTATGTTTGTGATTCCAATTATATATGTAGGAATAGGATTTGCAAAGCTACATGCAATGAAGTCAATGTTTTCTCCAAAGAAAGGTTCGAAGATATGAATTGAATGAAGAACCTGGACGATTTATGATTTGAATTGAGTATCTGTTTGGTTTAATATGAGATATATATGCATTACAAGGCGGTGTGCTATAAATTCAATGATTACGAATGATTCTTATTAAATATCATATTGAATGCAAATAGTGTATGATGAGTGAATGATATGCAATGTGAGTTTTATGTGCCCTAATGGGTGAGGCTGCCATACAAGATAACGATGTACCTATGAGAGAGAATCCCAAGCAGTTTCTATGTAGGATGGAAGGGAAGCGAGTGAATGTTGTTTTGAAATGGGGACAATGCTATGAAGGAAGGTTTGTTTCGTCAGACAACTACTTTAACATTCTTCTTGAAGAGTGTGTTGAGAATAATGTGGGATGTGTTTGTGAGATTGGAGAAGTATCGATTAGATGCAATAACATCAAGAGTGTGCATGAGTTATGAACGGCATGAATTATCAAAATGCAAATTTATTGTTGGCCCATGTCGTTTAGGATAGATTTTGAAGGCAGCTCGGACATAGGAGCGTATATTTCGCTTACTAACACTTACTGCATAGTTGGACGAGGTCGGAGCAGCAATGTGCTTAAGTTTCTGCATGAGAATGTAGCAATGCCTATAGTTGAGACAAGTATCAATGGAATACGTAGTGTTGGATCACAGTGTAGGGGAAATAAGCATGGGCTTGTGGTGCCGAACACGATGAGTGACCAGGAGCTTATTCATATGCGTAACTCACTTCCTGAGAATGTGGTGGTGAGGAGGATAGACGAGAGACTGAATGCGCTTGGTAATGTGATACTGTGCAATGATTATGTGGCAATTATACATGCAGATTTGGATGCAGAGACTGAAGAAGTGATCAGAGACGTGCTTCGTGTTCCTGTGTATCGGCAGAACATTGGACAAGAGCCGCTTGTAGGGACATTTGGAGTAATGAATAATCAGGGAATGTTGGTGCATCCTGAAACAAGTCAGGAAAGCCTGAAAGAGCTGAGTGAGTTACTTGAGGTAAATGTTGTTGCAGGGACAGTGAATGCAGGAGGTCCGTGTGTTGGAGGAGGTCTTGTGGTGAATGACTGGACATGTATTGCTGGGGCTAAGACAACAAATGTTGAGATGGCAGTTATTGAAGGTGTGTTTGATCTTGTGGGTGATCTTGACCTGGAAGCAAGAAGACGAGCGATTGTAGATGCAATTGTGCGATAGTACTGCAGCTATCTGAGCTATTAAATCTTATTGATATGATTTCATTCATTTTTATTGATGATAAGTACTGGATTTACATTTATTAACATCCCAGAAATTTAATGATAGGTATTGGATTTACATTTATTAACATTCCAAAAGTTAATGATAGGTACTGAGTCATCTTGATCATAAGATGATATTTTTGTGATTTAAATTTACAGAAACTTTTATGTTCTGCATTACTGGTATGCACATATGAAGTGATCATGATGATTAATCTTTGTTGTCTTTAATGGTATTTACAATGCCTGAATCAGCGATGCCTTTGATTACTGAGTGTTTTCCCTTTAGTTTGTTAGGTGGAATTTCAAACGAGCTTGCAGTGGTGTATTCGCCCTCCTCAAGCTTGTCCATGAAATCATCAAACTCTCTTTCCTCATCAGACATTACATAGTATGTCCTTTTCTTTTCCTTCTCGTTTGGCACGCTTTCACATTTGTTTGTTTTCTGCGGGCTTCTCAAGACATCTATACAGTCTTTTGTGCTCTGCTTGTTCATTGCATAGACGTGTTGCTTCATTATATGCGGATCCACAGTTGAGCAAAGCTGTTTATCATCCAGTTCCTGAATTGAAGTGCTTTTGTTTGGTTCTTCCTTTGGCTTACTTATATCTCCTATATTCCAGTCGTGTTCCATAGATGTCTCAACACATCCGATACACTGACCGTCAAGAATGGCTGACCTGAGCCTGTTTTTCTCTGCATAAACCCTTCTTGCAGCATTGAACCTTAGATCTTCACAAAAATCAACAGGGGATGTGTATCCATGCATCCTGTATGTGTCGAGCACATCCCTGTATATTTGTTTCCACCTCTTGGGATGGATATACGAATACATTGCTGTAATGTACCTTGTTATTGATGCTTCGCTATCGATCCCGTATATATCTACAGCCTTACAAACAACAAGTTTTTCTGTTGATGTGAAATGTTTTCTGTACTCAGGCACCATGTATTAGGGAGTACGCATGAATCAATTCAATTTGATTCAAATAGCAACATCATGCCATTGTCATCATGCATGAATAAGCAAACAAAAGTAAACACATTCACTAATGCACTTATGCAACATGATATTTGCATACGTATTGCCCTAATCATGCATGTTAGCAAGGAAAGAATGCCACCAGAGCACTTGAGAAGAACAATGAATGTACTAAAAAGCACATGCCCGGCATCGATGGGTGCAATGAGATACATACCGTATGCACTTCACAATCTTTTGAGATCGATGCCTATGCCATGGGAGCCTCTCAGGTATGTGCCTGTGTTGTATCATGTATCTGGTGTAATTACTTTTGTTACAGATAAGCGAAGAACTGATGTGTATGAGTATAAGAAGATGTGGAGCGTAGTAAGCATGAGATGTTCCGAGGAGTCTAAGAAGCGTGGAGGGATCCGTGTTCTGAGTTATCCTGTATTTGACGATGAGCAAGAAATCATAAGTTATGGAAGCATTATTGGGATGCCTGTTCCAAAGGGTGTAGAATGTGAGGAAGCAACTGAAAGCTTTTTTTCTGAACAAGGCCGAAGATATTTGTTTAATAGTAAGTCATTTGCTGTAGCAAGGAAAATTGGTGTTTGGATTGAGGGAGGTCCGCATGTTAACAAAAAGCAGTTAGAAGTCATGGTCATGGGAAGAACACCAGGATTAGAAAGAGTGGCGTATCCGTATATGTACAATAAATATGTTAGGCTGCCTTGCATGGAACGATTGCATATGAAGATTGAGTGTGGCTTGAATGCTAGAGAAATAGGATATGGTGATTTACAGAAGAGTCAGTATAAAAAGGGATTAGGAGCATATAAATCAGGATTAGATGAACGTGTGCATATGATACAGTCAGGAAAAGGAAGCAGACATCCTGTCGACATTCCTTTAATGAAAGGTATTTGCTTTCGTGAGGTTGCTGATGGAAAGCCAAGTGTAAAGGCTGTTATGAAGGGATATGCAAAGAACATGGAAAGGAAGCAACAAAGAAGGAAGTGCTCAACGAATGTATTGAAAGGATTGAGAAACACAAGATATTTCCAGAAAACAGAGATTGATTGGGTAGAAGCAGGTCTACAAGTACTTAGTCAAGGACATCTGATGCTTAGTGAGATCTTGAGGAGGAAGAAGTTGAGCTATCTTTTTCTTGATTGGAACTTCAATCTGAAACCTGTGCGTACACTCACGACGAAGGAAAGGAAGAAATCAAGAGTTGGGATGTCTTATCATCTTCTGAGGGAAATGCTCAAGTTTGTGAAGCATGTTGTTGATTTGCATGTTGTATTTAGACAGGGACTGATTGACTGCTATGAATTGATGAATAATTTAGATTATGTGATGTGTAATGCAGGAATACTTACTGGAATGTATAGGTATAAATACAGGATTATGCGGCAGATAAAGCGAAGCAAGGAGATGCATGATGTTGCAGAATATGCTGGAGTGTGTAGCTGGGCAGAACAATGGAGGACGTGGTGCTTTATGCTTCGTGGACACATTCCGCTACTTGAGAGATGTGTTTGCGGATTGATACAGAGGATAGCTGAAGGAAGGGAGTATAGAGCGAAGCCATTATCTAAGCAAAGAAGCGAGAGCGGATATGATGTAGCATTGAAGAGAAGGATAGTTGGAGAGGTGTCGTGTATTTTGCATCCTAAGCAAATAAAGAAGCTTTTGCAACATTTTGGTGAAGCATGGAGGTGTTGGAAGGCAAATGTGCCGTATCATCTTGTGCATGAGCATTTGAAGGAGCTGGAAATGGAATATGAAAAGAGCGATGGTAATCATATGGGATCTGGTAGAGAAAGCCTGAGGATGATTGATGAAGCGAATAAAATAGATGTGAAGAGTGGAGTTAATGAAGAGTTTTTGAGAGTCAAGGCAGGAGCGTTGGTGTGCAAACTGAATACAGGCAGTACAAGTGTTAATGAAGACATGGCTGTGTTTTCAGAAGGATTTGTAAACGATCTGAGTGTGCGAGGTGAAGCAGCAGGAATGAAATATCGGAAGGAGATATTTGAGTTGCAAGGAGTGATTGAGAAGTACATTCGATTGAAGGCGGAGTGGTATATTGAGAGTACTGTGAATGATGTGAACGATGGAAAGAAGGAGGAGAAGAAGCGTCTTGGACGGATTTCTAGATTGTACATGAAGGAGCAGATTGTTGAGCAGGCAGAGTATTTGAAGAATCCGTATTTAAATCCAGTTAATGCGGTTGCTGTTTACAGGCTTGCAGCAGAGTATTTTAAGAGCAAAGAGACTGGGAAGATAGGATTTCCTGATAGGAATGAGGAGAATTTTCTGAGGATAGCGATTGACAAAGTCAAAAGTAATGCAACGGTGGAGGAAATTGAGTTTTTTGATTCGATGTTAGATAATGCTGAGGAGACAGTGTTTAAGATTAAGAGAGCATTGATAACGCAAAGGTCGTTTAAGGAGGTTGAGGTTGGACTGAGGAAGCATGGAAACGGAGCGATTGAATGTTATGGAGTTTGCCCTGGAGAGAGATTGACAGATGCATTTCTGTGTGCGTATTTGTTTTATGAGGCAGAAAGACTCGGAATGTTTCCTGACTTCATTAAGCCTGGAGATGAGTTGGATATGAAATGTTTGATAGACTTTTGCAATGAGATTGGGCAGATTGATACAAATGGTAAGACTGTGGTGCTATATGAAGGAAGGTATAAGGATGTGATGAAGAGGATTGACAACAATCTTCTGTCGAAGCTTTTGAAGCTTGTGATTGATCCTGTACTTGTGGATTATATGATCAGCCGCAACAATTGTAGAATATGTTATAAGGACATGTCGTATACAAACCATGTTGGATATATTAGCGGATTTCAGTTTTATGCGTTTTTGCATAAGTTTTATATGTTTGTGATTGATTTATGTGTTCTGGGAGAGGACATTATGCAGCCTCCAGGGGGGATGATCAAGAAATACCTGAGATGGATGGATGATATATATGTTGTGCTTGAGATGGATGATGAGGATGTTAGTATGCTGATTGAAGAGTACGGGGAGGATGTTGAGACTGTGAGCATGAGAAATAATTACTTTGATGATGACAAAAAGATTGATAACAAGATGAATAAGATGATTAGTGGATGTGTGCATGTAGAGATGGCTACTAGAATGCATCCTTCACTTGGAAGAATAGATTTTAGAGGATGCAGTGTGTTTCCTGTGATACGACTGAGCATGATTGGAGTTGATGTATCTATTTCTGAGACAAGGATTGATGAGAAAGGATCATGGAAGCTATCGAATGGAAAGTATGCGAATTTGGCAGTTAGTGAGGAGAGTGTGCAGGATTTTGAGGGAGGTATTCAACATTTGGTGAGCACGAGTGGATCAGCAACGTTTTTGAAAGTGGCCAAGAGATGGAATACGTTAATAATAGGGTTTGTGATGCGCTTCAGGGAGTGTATATATGGAAGACGAGGGCTTGAAGCCAAGTTGAAGAAGGCTGAGGAGCAGATTAGAAGTGTTATTAAGCGAGGGATGAACAGCAAGATGCCAATAAGGTTTCCAGCAGTGATGTTTTATTCACCGAAGGAGATGGGAGGTCTTGGGATGATAAGCGCAGGAGGTGTTGAGACTGGATCTAAGGAAGCACCAACAGCAGTTATTCCTGGAATAATGGAGTATGCGAAGAGATGGGAGGATGAGTTTGAAGAATCTGAAGCGGTATGGATGGAGTATGCAAGGACAGGCAAAATAGATGCAAGCAAAGGGATTCCTAGGATGGGCACATTGTTACAAAGAAGTAAGGTGCTTTTGTATGATAGAGGATTTAGGATGTGGAATGTGTTTAAGAGACATTTCTGCACAAAACCGGACTGGTTTTGGTTTACTGATGTAAGGCATGATGGGAGGTTATGGGATATTGAGAAGTATCCACAGGATGTTCTGCAAGCGATGGGAGGGATAGACGAGGTTATGAAGCATACGTTATTTGGAGCAACATATTTCCGGCACTTTAGTAAAGTGTTTTGGGAAGAGACGATTATAGATGGAAACAGAAGGATGACGAAGGCACAGAAGCTTGGATTGAATCAAGTTCCCAACAAAAGGTTTATGCTGTGGTGGTCACCTACGATAAACAGAGGAGATGTGTATGTTGGATATCAGGTGCAGCTTGAGCAGACAGGGATTTTCATGCATGGGAAGCTGCCTACGTTGAAGATGTCATTTGTGCAGATTTTCAGAAATGGACTATGGAAGCGAATCCATGAGAGTATTGTAGAAGATCTGATTGATGTGTTTAGGAAGTACTGTGGAGCTAAGAAGATCCAAGGGCATTCGAAGAAGAGCTATCGTGCTGGAAGTAGCAGCGCGGACATTCTGCTTGAAGGAGATTTTTTTGTTTTAGATGTGTTGTGTATATCTGAGCTTATGAATGAGAGAAGTATTGGATCTGAAGAGTTGAAGAATGTGGACGGGCTTTGGATAGATGTGCAGTTGAGATGGGGAGATTATGAAAGGAATGATTGTCATAAGTATTCAAAAAGTAGATTTTTTGAGGGAGTGAGTGATCCATTGACAAAGTATCCTGGAAAGTATGGCATGGTGATTGTTATTGATTTGTGTTACAACACATGGAGTGTGTATGGGAATATGAATGAAGAACTAGCGATTGTTCTGAAGAGATCTTTTGCTACGATAATTGAGAAGAATTCAATGCTAATTGTACTGAGAGAGAGGATCAGGAAAGCACTACAGCTTTATACATCTGATGTTGAGATTGTGCGTAGTAGTGGAGATCTTTTTAGTTCAGGAATGATTATTGATAGCAGATGCCTGGGAAGGAAGCAAAGAGCGGTGTTTGCATTTGATCCAGGTAATGGGAATTTGTACTTCAAGAGTTATTGTCTGAATGGCAAGAAGATCCGAGAGGCAAAGCAGCTTGCAGCGAAAGATGTGATTTCGCTTGTACACGATCTCAACAGGAAAAGTGTGTCTGTTACAGATGATATGATTGATGCGGTTGAGAATGTGATTGTAGATTATCCTTCTGTTGTTGTAAGGTCCTTGTGCTCTGGAATTCCATTTTCGAATGTGATGATGCTTGGGAATACTGATGCGAGTGAAAAGATGCAAAGTGTTAATTTGTATGGAGGATGGAAAGAAACAAGTAATTTTACGAATTTCTGCAGGTTGCTGCTTGTGATGCAGGGACTTGAAGTTGATGATAAGAAAGTGATTGGAATGGGAATAGACAAGATGTGGCCAGTGCTTACAGACAAGGAGTGGATTGAGTGTGAGATGAGACTGAAGGATTTGATTGTTGAAAAGCATTGCAATGTGTATGGAATTGATTCTCAAAGATTGACTGCTGGAGAGACACGAGATATTGTGTTTGGGATAGGAATTAATGGAACGAATGTAAGGACAGATACAAAGGTTGATGTGGGAGTAGCGAGAGAAGTAGAGTTGAGCTCCAATATGAAGGATAGGACAGATAGTGTGATTTTTTTTGGAGAAGGAAATGGATGGAGAAAATATTATCTATGCTTTGAGGAGGAGCAGAAAGGAATGCAAGGATTGAATAACAGATATAAGATTGGCAATGATGAACATGGAAAGTGTATGGAAGATGCATGTTATTTTAAATATGATGAAATGATTTCTATGAGCTTGATTGAAGAGTTTATTGAGATAATGGATCCACATGTGCCTATGTTTGCACTGGTGGTGATGATTGAAGGAAGAGTGTCATTTGGACTGATTCCACAGTTTTTGTCATCTGATGAGATATGTTCTGTGAAGTATGTTCCTGAGTGTGTTATTTTAGGGATTATCGTGAATAGAAGAAGGATGGAAGAAGTTGAGAGAATAGTTGAAAGGTATGATATTAGGGATCCATTGGTGATATTCGCTGGTAAAGAAGTTAAGGCTGAGAGAAGGATCCGAGGAGAGTGGAGTGAAGTGCAAATTAATCTAGTGGAGGATTCTGGAGTGTTTTATGCGCCAGAGATGTGGAATTATAACTTCTGCCGACATCTTTATGATGATGGATTGAAGTATGAATGGAAAATGAGAACTCCGAGTGTATTTTATGATGGGTTTTCACGAGTTGGGCACTTTTGTAGGTTTTGGAAGGAGCCAGAAGCGAGAGCTGATGCAGAAGAAGAATGTAATTAAATGTATGTGCTGAAGATAGAGGTTGAATAAACAAAACTGAATGATCCCTTGAGATGATTGACATAAACCTGATCAGAGATGATAGTACACGATGCAAGGTGATAGAAAGTGAGAAGAAACGGTTTAGAGATGGAAGGGCAGTTGACGAGGCGCATGAACTTGATAGGAAAAGAATAAGGATGAACTTTGAGCTTGATGAGATAAACAAGAAAGTGAATAAACTTAATCGGGAGATCAAGCAGCACTTCAAGGATGGCGGGAAAAAAGAAGATAGTGAGGTATGTAGCCGTGTGGAGGAGTCTGAGAGACTGTGTAATGAAGCTGATGATCTGAAGGAGCAAGTGAAGGGGGTCGAGATGAACTTGGCAAGGGTGATGAAAGGAATAGGAAATTTGGTGTTTGATGAGGTTTTTGTTAGCAATGATGAAGAGAACAATATGGTGGTTGGGTCTTACAGGAGTGAAAGGCGACTTGAGCAGAATCCTGAGCCTTTTTCTGTGCTTATGAAGGATTATACTTATGCAGCGGCTGGAGCAAAGGTGGTTGGACACCGTGGATATTATTTGTCTGGTGCGATGGCAAAGTTAGCGCAAGCGCTTGGAAGATATGCGATTGACTTTCTTGAGAAACATGGATATGTGTATATACAGACGCCTGTGATGCTGAGAAGAGACGTTATGGCAAGGACGTCGCAGCTAAGTGATTTTGACGATCAGCTGTATAAGGTTGAGGATGACATGTACTTAATAGCAACGTCTGAGCAATCGCTATCTGCGCTGTATATGGAGGAAAGAATTGTTCCTCAGGATCTTCCGAAAAAGTTTTGTGGACAATCTCTTTGCTTCAGAAAAGAGGCAGGTGCACATGGAAAGGACAATGCAGGATTATTCCGAGTTCATCAGTTTGAGAAGATTGAGCAGTTTATTGTGTGTGGGCCTGAAGAGTCTGAAAAGCATCATAAAGATATGATGAGGATATGCGAAGAGTTTTACCAATCACTTGATATAAGCTACAATGTAGTGAGTATTGTATCAGGTGCGCTTAATGATGCAGCAGCAGTCAAGTATGATCTCGAAGCGTTTTTCCCATGCTCTGGTAAGTACCGGGAGTTGGTTTCATGCTCTAATTGCACAGATTATCAATCACGTGAGCTTGACATAAGGTATGGGATTGGAAAGGACAACAAGCGTAAGGTGTACGTGCATTTGCTGAATGGAACGATGTGTGCTATTCAGAGGACACTTTGCTGCATTGTAGAGAACTACCAGTGTGCAGAGGGAGTAATGATTCCGAAGGTTCTACAAGGATATTTTGGAGGCAGTATTATCAGCAACACACCAAATAAATGAGATTAGCATAATGGATCTGCATAAAGAGCATGTGCATTGACTAATGATTTACTAATGATAAGATAGTTATGCAAATAGTCTTGTGAATTGGTGGCTTGTTCATTGGAAACCAAAAATTTTACCCCATGAAGCAGGAGAATGCGTCTTGCAGTGTGTCTGGGAGAAGCACCAGGAAGTTTTTTGTTGATTGCACAAAGCCAGCTGAAGACAGTTTGATTTCACCTACTGAGATGCAAGCGTTTCTACAGCAGAAGATCAAATGCAGGATTGGAAAGAAGGAGAACCTTCTCAAGGTGTCAGTGACCGGAAATGTTGTTGAGGTGTCAGTAACCGGCGGGTTTATTGGCAAGCAAGGATTAAAGTGGCAAGCAAAAAGGTTTTTGCACATGAAGAGGTTGCTCTCGTTTGTGAAAGTTTTTGCAAAGGGCGATGATGGATTTGAGTTCCGTTATATCAATGAAGAGAGCAATGAACAGGAATAAACTGATGATTTATTTTAATTTTATTGGTTTGAGAACTCAAATGTTTTTTATGAGTATGAATTGAAATATGTTGATTTGTGCATAGGCTCTACCCTTTGAATGAGTGTTTTGTTTACTAATGACTTTAATGAGGAAATCTACCAGATTCTCAGGTATTATTCTGGCAAGTGTTTGTCATTGATGATTTCAGGAGGCTCTATACTGAAGTGTCTTGATGATTGCAGGTACGAGCAGCTGGATACGTCCAAATGGGATATTTTTTACTCTGATGAGCGAGAAGATCAGGAGCAGTTGAATCATACAGCAGCTTGTGGATTCTTGAACAGAATAAATGCAAAAGTGCATCCGATAGACACATCTGTGCCACTGGAGAAAGCTGCCATTGAATACGCAAATGTTCTGAATGGGATTGTGATTGATGTATGTTTGCTAGGGATAGGTGGGGATGGACATATTTGTTCTTTACTGCCTGAATGCCCTGAACTTGATTCCTTGCTTTATGTGACTGCTTTGGAGGGAGATTTTACAGTGTCACCCAAAAGAGTGACTATTACACCAAGGTACATCAATGAAAAGGTTAAGGAGCTGATATTTGTAGTTCCTGGTAGCAAGGAGAAGAAGATTGAGCAGCCTGATAAAAGCATATTGGCAAGAATCAACAAGGATTATGTTGTTATATTGAAAAGATGATTGAGTTATGCAGTGTCATTCAATAAATGATGAGTGTTGGCGGATATGTACCAGATGAATGACGGATTATATGAAAATACCATTATATTTAGGGATTGTATTGAAAGTATTGATAGAACAAATGTAATCAATAAAATTTAATAAATGATGCTTACCAATTCACTTCATATCTCGATATATTAGAAATGATGAATACATTGCATGGTTAAACTGGATGTATTTATATCTTATCATATGCAATCAAGTATAGCCTTATCTTAAATAATTTTATATAATCCAATGATACATAACTTTATCTTATACAATCACATAACATTCATGTACACCTAATACAACTTTAGATGTCCTGAGATTGGTGTAAGTTGATCTCGAAGCGCAGGTCCAAGAACTACAACCGTATTTGCTCCTGGAGGCACCTGTGTTCTGCCTGCATCATACACAGCATGGTGACGAATCCCTTTTAATTCCGTATCCTTTATAATCTGCTCTATTTGAGCACTGCTGCCCTTCAACACGATCTTTGCCTCTCCATTCCTCTTCCACTCCTTTCGTAACTCATTGTTTCTGAACAAATATGTCATCACCTTAGACATCCCGTGGCACACTTGAGAAAGCACCTTTCCCTTTTCCATCTTGTAATCGCTATTCACTATTATAACCAAGCCATACTCTCCCTTCTCAACGCATCCACTATTCTTTTCATTATCTGTAGTTATGGCTAGGTATCCTAAAATAAAGTCAACAAAAAGCTTCATACCTACACACACTACAAATGTGATTAGAATCAGCAACATATTGCTAACAATTACATTCCTTGCCCCACTGAACGAATCTTTTAGCAAACCAATGACTGATCTGTAAGTCAATATGATCGACATGATAAACTCATTATGCATACAAGGGCATGTTGTATAGCACATGATTCATCAAAGTTTGATAACAATCCCAAACGCCACATCATCAGATACACAAATTCATATGTATTTAAAACTCTAGTATCTTTTATTTACTCTAAATTTATCTTTTTTACACAGGCTCCTGTGTGTTCGATCATCCATAGCAACATATCCCTGTGGACTGCACATCTCAGGATACTTCCTGTAAAACTTCTTGTATCCTCCTTCCATAACATATATTTCAGGAACACTCAAGCGCGGATATGGATTCTTCATCCTATCCATGTTTCTAAGGCACTGTGCAAGTCTCGGTGCTCTTATTGAGGAAAACTCACAGTGAAAAATCAGCACCTTTGGACTCCTCAGCAATGTGGCAACCTCTCGTGATGTGCTTATGTTTATTGCATTAACTATGTGCCCTCCGTCATATTCATATGCGAACCTGCAATCAATAACCTGGTACTCTATATCATATAAACCCTCAATCACCTGTTTTGCAACATCAACAGATATTCTTTGGATGCTGTCACTCTTTCCATATCCAAGGGTAGGCAGGGAAGCCTGTTCTTCACTTCCAAAGTCGTTCCAGAAATCGACTTCTTGCTTCTTCTTCATAGTAGATGCAAACGATGTTATTCTATCCATCTTTCTCATTTTATGTGTGCATTTCCCCCTATTCGTAACCTCTTCTAATGAGCCCTTAGGTAGCCTCTCTTCAAGCATACTTGACTCCTCAAACGGATTGTTTCCAAGTCCTTCAAACTGTACATCATCACTGGACGACCAAAAAAACTCCCTAAATGGTTTGGAACACATCGAATCGGTCGGCAACATACATGCATCACTCTCACTCGAGGCAAACAACAGGCCATCCATCCGTCCAGGGTGTTGTTTGACAGAACGCACAATATAAACTCATTACGACATAAATTAATGACACAATCATTGTCATGCTTGATTATGCAATTACAGCAATTTGTAGGCAAATACTCTAGCTGAAGTAAATAACACAGTATCAATGATGCAAGTAGCAGAAAACGTCATCAAAATACTTAAGACATACCTTGTGAAACGTACAATCAAACACGAAAATATTTGAACCCCGGAACAATACGAAAGATGATAGAGAATTATCTTGAAAAGCTGTTCAGATGTAGCCTACTGACTGAGCTGGAAATAAAACACCTTTGTGAGATGGCAGCAGAAGTTTTCATGAAAGAAGAGAATGTGGTAAGTGTAAAGGCACCTGTTACTGTATGTGGGGATGTACATGGGCAATTCTACGATCTGATGGAGCTTTTTAAGGTAGGAGGTCTTCCGCCGTACACAAACTTTCTGTTTATGGGGGATTATGTGGACCGAGGATACCATTCAGTCGAGACAATTTCAATACTGCTGTGCCTGAAAGTGAAGTATCCGGACAGGGTGTGGCTATTGAGAGGTAATCACGAGAGCAGGCAGATAACACAGGTTTATGGATTTTACGATGAGTGTGTCAGAAAATATGGAACATCTTTAGTGTGGAGAAGCCTCACAGATCTTTTTGATTACTTGCCTGTAGCAGCGGTTGTTGGCAACGACACATTCTGCTGTCATGGAGGACTAAGTCCATCCTTTGAGACTCTAGATCAGCTGAAGAGCATTGACAGGAAGGTTGAGGTGCCTCACGAAGGGCCTATGTGTGATCTGCTCTGGTCTGATCCTGATGAACGACCTGGATGGGGCCCATCACCCAGAGGAGCAGGATACACTTTTGGAAGAGATATAACTGAATCGTTTAACGAGAGAAACGGATTGAAGATGATATGTAGGGCACACCAGCTGGTGATGAATGGATACAACTGGAGCCATGAGAAAGGATGTGTGACAATATTCAGTGCACCGAATTATTGCTACAGATGCGGCAATCTCGCTACCCTAATGGAAATGGATGAATACGGATCATACAGCTTTACCCAGTTTGAGCCGTCTCCAACAAAAGTGGAGATGCTTGTATCCACAAAGATTCCTGACTATTTCCTGTGAATCACCTAGATCGATTTATCAACAACTAAACTTATTAGAACTTGTTATTGTGTTGTTTATTATTGAGATAATTTGAATTATATACATGATTTTATTTCATTAGCGCACAGCATGAACTTCTATGCTTGCATAAGGCTTGTGACTCTATATAAACTAAATATACTTTACATTTGAATTGGATTAAAAATAATCTATTACCCAGTGGATATTAGACTGAGATTTTCTTTCATTTGCTTTATGGAATTGATGAAAGACGCTCTTTCTACACTGACCTTAAACACACTAATTATAACATAATGGGATTCATCAACATCCACATTAGATACACACACATCCAACATATCACTCTTGTTTAGTAACAGCAGTCTCCTTGTTGTCAGTATCAATTGGCACTTTGTATTGAAAGTACCAAATGACGCATCAATAAATCTTTCCTCCGCTGATCTTTTGATCATCATCGAGAATATGTAAAATCCTTGGCACAGGCCTTCATCATATCCATATTCATCAATATAAGGTCTTGGATATTGAATTCTAAGTACTTTTCCATCAACACACATCTTTATGGTCTCAGAAACATTTGCAACAAGATCCGCAACACCAACAATTGGCTTGGTAAATGCACCAATAAAACCTTTACCCAGTCCCTTCATAACCCCAGAAACTCCGCGTGATGCTCCTCGGATAGGAGCAGTTGCTATTCCTGTCACTCCGTGCGATATTGCCTTAATCAATCCACCAGTTTCCTTGTATATTGCTGCAACTACACCTTTGTGGTTTTTGCTCGGTACCATAAGGTTGCCATCATGAGTATAAGGACACCATATGCTCTTTCTTTTTTGTGCATCAAACGTCACAAGTGTGACACCAGCACTTACACTTCTTGAAAACTTTCCAACCGTATTAGAAACTCCAAAAACTGTGTTTTTCAGTAGGCTCTTTCCTCCCCTTACAATCCCACGTGTAGTGCCTGTACCTCCAGACACAGACTCGGCAAGCAATCCCTTCATACCCATTGACACCGATTCAGTAAGACTTCCAATATTTCCAATAATATCAAGATGTGCAAAAACTCTGCATAAATTGCTCTTGAACTGTGCAAGATAAAAATCACTAATCATGTTGATAAGTCTGTCAGTAGACGTATGCATTTCATCCTCCCACATTCCGTCTATCTCCATAGAAAAGTCACTGATGCTGTTTATCAAAAAACCTAGCACGCTTGAGACAAACCCTGATTCTACATCTTTCAGGAAGTTTATCTTCATCTCCATCTGTTCAATCTTCATCCTGGATATTCTGATCCATGTCTGTGCATTCGTTTTTTGTGCATATCGATGAATTTCATAAACATCAAATATTTTCACAATCTTCTTCACAAGCATTTCTTCAATATTCAATGCAAACTCTCTGATACTGCAGTGAATCTCAGAAACCGCAATACAATGCACAGATCTATCTATTTCAAATCTTAATGATGCAAAGACTTCTTCTATTCTTCGTCTTCCTATGCGTTTGGATTTCTTAAGAGGATAAACAATCACAGGAAATACACAGAACAGTGCCTGGTTATCGATCTGTACACTGCCAACCTGTAAATCAACCTCAAAATTCTCATATACAAATGCTTCTCCAAGTAAGTGCACAACTCCATATCTAAGTTTCACCAATATTCTTGTATTCACTAAATTCACACATAATACTTCTGTACCTTCCACATCCATAAGTGAAATACTCGTCTCAGCTGCATCAAACACTATACTTGCTCCAATATTCCTTAAGTCTTGTAAGTCTTCACATATATGTACAACCCTACATCTGATTGTCTCAAATACACATACAGTTATTGCAGAAATCCTTAAGGTTCCATTCTTATTCAACTGAATCGGTATCTTTGTTCCGTATATCTCCAAAACAATAATCGGCTCAAACATCATACTTTCTAATGCATACCAGCAAATACTCCTGCTGCTAACAACATGCTCTGCAATCCCACGGTCCTGAACAAACTTCACTTCAAGCTGTGTACTGTTGCATATTGCATAAGGCCATTCACTTTCCTCTATCACAGTAAATATCTGCTGCTTATTGTCCATCATCCGACTGATACCGAATAACACATTCTCTGAAACCTTAAGACTGAAGTGTCTCTTCGCTACAATATCTGCAGGAACATACACATTCTCTCCATTCATGTATATTCTACTCCCACTTTCTGCTGCAAATAGAAACATTCCGTCTGATATCATCTTCATAAAGCCTGTACTCTTTGCTTCCACATTCAAATACTCATTCTCAGACACTATCAATAGTCTGAACCTCGTGTTATTTACAAGCACACATGCGTGTCTTATCTCAATTTCTTTTACTTCTTGAATTTGCCTGAATTCAACAATAACATTCATCTGTCTAGGTTGCATTCCAATTCTGCATTCCTTGCCTTTTACAATCCCTTGAACATCTATCAAATCATTACTGTGGCTTCTTGCATCCTCATCTAATTCATTCACCATTTTTTCTGTATTCATATTCACCTGCTTTACATCATTACAAATCATCAAATCATCAGCGCCCACTGTCTTCTTCAATAATACTACCTCAGCAATACACACTTTATCTATAGCAATCGGCACATCAAGTCTATATCCGCCAATCTCCATATCACGGATTGTCAGTATTAGATCTGCGCATGTCTTTCCCTTTTGATACACACATCCATTAATCATTACATCCCTACTCAAGTTATTGATTACCACAGTGTATGGGCATATGACAATCCTGGTCTTGCACATAAGATCATGCTTTCCAAAAAACTCATCAATCACACAGCTTTCTTTCTTTATCATCAATCGCTTACCCCACATTCTAATAAGCTCTCCTTCACTAAACACTTTTGCACTCTTTCCACTCTCTACATCAAGTACACTAAGCAACGAATACTCACTTGCATCAATCCCATATACATTTCTGCTTTCTCCATCACTTAGACTAAATAAAATATTCTTTCTGATTAGTCCATCCTCAAGTTCTTCTACAACGTGCTTTTCATTTGTCCATAGCGCAAGATCCAACGCAAACCCTGCTTTATTAACTATCTCAAAAACAGGATATACAATCATAATCACCAAGCCAGGTACACTCTCATTCCTTGAAAAAATATCTACTCCAACGTTAATCTCTCTATCCATCATGCATCTCCATCCAATCCCTTGCTCTACATTTCCCATATTCATTCTTCCAATCACATTATATTTTGTTCCAAGTCCTATCTCTAGAACAAAGTCACCACATAAACACACAGTATGCATCGCTCCATCTTGCATCTCAATCTCAACCACATGCTCATTTGAGTACCTTATCCTTACACAAACTGCCAATTCACACTGATTAACAACAGTCAGTGAATGGACAATCGTCACAATAATCAAATCATCCTTCTGATCAACACTCAAAATACACCTTTGCCCATCAATATCGATACTTGTTTGTCCAATACATACTTCTAAATATCCTCCACTACTTCCTTCTTCATTAGTTATTCTTATACCCTGTTCACAGTTCCAAACCTCAAGATCACAAACCTCACCTGCTTCAACTTTCAAATCACCTCTCATTACACTAGCTATCAGTATCATTCCAGTTACATTTTTTACTCGAACCTTTCTATATCCCATCTTGTTTTTTGTAAATCCTTGAAATACATCAAAAATCGTCTCAAAACCATATTTGCTTGCCGAAACCCTCAATCTATTCACTGGATTCACACTTACTCCATCACATCCACCACCAATAACATAAACATTTTCCTCAACAACAGGTACAAACCTTCGTTTATCACACTCATACATCTCAGTACTACATACAACTCTGCCACTCAATTTCAACTCTCTATCAATCTTAAGATACCCAATAGGCACACAAATCTTCATCAATCCTTTATACATCAATCCTTCCACTCCCATTATAATCACTCCAACTTCTTCTCCATGAGCCTCAATTTTCAAAATTTCACAAGCTTTCAGGCAATCTCGAAGGAACATCCACATCGTGTCAATAGCCATGCTTGCATCACAGCATCCACCCTGCACACTCAGCACAAACCCTCCTTTCTTTCCCCTCCTCTTCCTGTACTCCACTATACTTTCTGTTCCAAACGCAGTCTTGTAGTACATCTTGCATCCTCCATCATATCTAACTTCTCTTAACTTTATTACCTGAATGTTGTTTCCATAGCAAAGTATTACATTCTCAATATTTACATTCATAATCTCAAAAAAAACCAACTTACTATCAAGTATCTCACTATACATCCATACATCTGCAAATGCATAAAATACACCTGCAATCATATGAATTTCAATGCCAATATCCATCCTCTTACAGCACACTAGCAATTTACCTTCCTCATTAGCAGCGTGTATTCCATTCAATCTAACCGAATGCATATCTTCTGTTTTCATTTCCAGCACACTTACTTCTGCATCCCAGCGATTAGCATTCATCTTAACCATCAATACACCATTAACATTCAATCTATCCTGATTAGATGTTATCCAAACACATGTATCTAGCATAATCTCTACATCTCTGTCAACATTATAACCATGGATTTTTGTATCCTTCCCTTTCATCTCTACCTCATCTAACATCTCCATCACACATCCATGCATACTTGCAAAAGCATTCACAACTTTCTTGCTTACTTCTCCATGTATCTTCACACTAATCCTGCTGATATTTCCCAATACCAATCCATCAACAAGCTCAAAAGCAACTCCTTGATCACAACACTCAGATCCAATATCTTCATAGATAATCACACTCATCGGCATCACATTCATTCCAAACTCTCCAGCCTTGCAATTCAACTCAGGCATTCGTATCACCAATCCTTCAAAATTCACTTGTACATTCCTTATCCACACATCCTTCCCTGCCATACTATACTCCTTCACATATCCTGCTCCATATATTCTCCAGGCAAATTTATAAACTTTCATCAGCTTATACAAATCTTCTTTGTTAAACTCCAATTTCACCTCATCACCTCTCAATGATTCCCCATAAATCAATCCATTTACACATAACATACTGGCATTCATCCATATTGTCACTTTCTTCACATATCCATCTTTGAATTCATCAACATCAATTTTCAACTGCATTCTCCTCCCACTCAATCGAATCCTCAATCTTTCAATATTCACAACAACTCTCAATCCCTGAAATCCTCCTCCCATCATTACATTCATTTTCCTCAGCATTCTTGTATACCCTCCACGGATTCTCAGGTACTCAACATCCACAAAAACAGACTCATGTAAGCGCACACTCATCTTCATTTTAGGCACACAAAACACTCTTCGACCATCTCCATCAACTAATTTAAATCCATACACATTCCAAAACATCAAGCTTCCTCCGTTTCCTCCAATCCTTGCCTTCTCCACTTCAATAACACCTTCGCTCACATTGATCTTTATAGTGTCGGAACACACCTCAAAGTTAGGAACAATAAAACCTGAAGGAAACATCATTCCATCTCGAGCCTTTCCAGCAGGCACCTCATGCATGTACAAGTCCATCATCGACGTCTTCACATAAAAAACTCCATCTACATACAATACGCTTACCTCTATGCTGTTGGAAAGCGGTATCCTTGCCTCAGTAACACTGTCTGCCACACTTGCAATCACAGAAGATATGCGCAACGACCCAACTCTTCGTCGAGCTATTGAATCGTCCAGATATGACACACTCACATTCTCAGACACTACACTATGTCGTTTGCCCTCTCCTGCATCAATCAGTCTCAGAATGTCAAATTCTGCAGTAACCATCCTTATCTTCACATTCACACGGAATCTACGAGCAAATCCATAAGCCATGTATGAAGGCGGTAAAGCATTCCTCACAATTCTTGCAAACATACCAAGTACATGAATCAACTCCTTTTGGTATCCATATAGCATCCATCGGTTTATATATCCATTCAGGCACATTTCAGCTCCTTCATATGCTAAAACACACTTACCTTCAATAAAATGAGACGCCAATTCACAGTAAGGCTCATGTCCATTCTTGCGTGCATCAATAAAGTATCCCTTTGATTCATTTACCTTAAATCTCATACTTGATCCTGATAAAAAATCTTTAGAGCTGGCACTTACTTCAGAAAGTATCATCAGAACACCTTGTCCCTCATCATCAACAAATTCAAACACACACTTTTCCAGAAGCACATTCAACTGCATCTTTACTGGGTTTCCTTCTTGTGCATGGATACTCTGCTCATAGAACAAACTTTTCCATGACATGTTCTTCAATCGATTGGACCTTATCCTTCTAATCCTCAGCAGTCGCTCAAGGCACATCTCTCTTTCATATGCATTCTTCCTTTCTATTTCTCTTTGTGTTAATTCGTGTTTATCTAAAAGGTTTGTGTACTCTCTGACCTTAACCACTAGATCAGGTATGTCATCAATCAATACGCCTCTCGACTCAATTATTCTGATTTGTAATCTAACAAGGCATTCAAGCATTCTGATGATGGCAGGCTGATCATCATCCACAGCATCGTTCATTTGATTAAGCCCATTCGCATCCCTTATCATCTTGAGCAGCATTTTGTATTCATCGTGCATTCTAAAAAGCTTCCATCTAACGCCATCATCTTCATAATCTCTCACCCTGGCCATGATCTCTTGAACAACCGTTTGTCTTGTCTTGATGCTAAGCTCACTAATGCGTGTTTCAATGCAAGGTTTTTCATTAATCATGCTTATTATAGAAAATACATCAAAAGGCTGGATGATAGCTAGAAGCCCAGTCGTCTCAATTCCAGCAATATCAAGTCTCTTTAGATTACTGCCTTTGCACTCCTCACTGCTGATATGCTTTGCATTGAATGAAGCCTGCCTGATACTAATGCCCATAGGCACTCCACTCACATATTCAATGCTTATGTTTTCTATTAATACACGAGGCCCATTTCCAATCATCAGGTCTGCAAACAAAACCGAATTGCCGTCATCGTCAGAAAAAAGATTCAATTGGTCAAGTCTTCTCATGACCTCGTACACCTCAAGTGCACTACATTCCTGACACAGTCCTCCATCTGCAAAGCACCAGCAAAAATCTGTCTTTCCAAGCTTAATTTCAACATCGCGGATGTGGATCTCAACAGGATGCCTGTTAAAGCTCTTCCATGGAACCTTAATATGAAGCTTTCCAATACTATTGCAGATCACCCTTCCCTTGAAGATCCTAGATATCACACACGGCTTGATCCTGAGATTCGTGACTGAGACATGTCCTTTGAATATCCCAAGCTCTATCTGGTGCCTGTCTATGTTCTCAACATAGCTGCCGAGCACCCTGTTCAACATCCTCAAGAGAATCCTCTTGAGCATTTAGGGATCAAAACAAACACTCCATGTACTACAATCAGGTTTGTATCGTTTTGTATGCATTATTAGTTATAAGATGTTTATGTTTATTTACTCATGCAAATGGCCTCCCGATCAGAAAACTTCGATTACCTGTTCAAAATCGTATTAATTGGAGACTCTGCCGTAGGAAAGACAAATCTGCTCTCGAGGCTGACTCGCAACGAGTTTATCCACGACTCAAAGGCAACAATAGGCGTAGAGTTTGGTACACTCACATTTAAGATAGGCAACGATGTCATAAAGGCACAGATATGGGACACAGCAGGCCAAGAGCGCTACCAGGCAATAGTGCAGGCGTATTACAGAGGAACATCGGGTGCAGTCATTGTATACGACACAACAAACAAAGACAGTCTTAAGAAGGCAACAGACCTGTGGTTGTCACAACTCCGAGACTTCTCTCCAAACGACATTCCAATCATGCTTGTGGGAAACAAAGCTGACCTAGAGGTTGAGCGAGAGGTCGATACACAAATTGCAAGAGACGAGGCTGTTGCAAACGGCCTTTCATTCTTCGAAACATCGGCAATGACTGGAGACAATGTCAAAGAGGCATTCTTCGAGCTGGTGTCTGCAATCCACAAGCGAGCAAAGATGCAAAGATGCACTGCAGACAAGAAAAAACTGAAAAGCGCTAAATTTGATACTGAATGTCTCAAGGACCCAGCCCGTGAATCTAAAGCAGGATGCTGTTGGAATTAAAGCGCATGAATCTGAAGTATAACACAGAAAGTACCGGTATAGATATGTTGTCATTAATAGGAGCAATGTATTCGACCAACCCAATCAATAAAAAGTATTCCATTCTAATGTGATTTCCATAGAGAATAAAATATACTACTAATGCAAGCAATATGCCTGAAGCCATGCCATAGATGGATTTTGATTTCTTCCCAAGTAGCTGTCCAGTCACTGAAGCCGCTGTATCTAGAAAACATATCGATATTAACGAGCATACATACTCTTCATCTTTTATGAACAGCCTGGGATATACACACGCAGCAAGGAGATATGCATGAGAAACAACAGTTGCTCCACGATCGTTATTGCTAAGAAACATTATTAAATGCGTATTGATGTACCTTGAAGACGATAAAATCGCCATTAGTAGAAGAAGACCTTCTGCAAGTACAAAAGACAATTCGTCCTGCTTGTAAAACACAAAAAACGCACAGACATGGAATAGCTTTCTTCTCCAATTCGTACCAATCGTTGCTGGAAAAGCAAGTTGTATGATTACACACATGCATGATATTCCCAACATTCTTGCCGCTGCGATCCATTCAGAACAGATTCTTATGCAAACAAGATTGATGTATGCATAAACATCAGCTATTATGAGTATATCAGATATCTTGTCAAGTATGCTCTTGCTGGAGTTACAAATAAATGCATACTTTATACCTTGAAAAAACATACCTGAATGTCTTAATTCTATACATTGCACAATTGCAGGTATTGTAGCAGCTTCTAATGCAGTGAATGATTTCCCATGTGTATTCAATGCACTTACTTCAGCCAATAAGTCAACCATGCAACAAACCCATTTCATGTGATCTGAAATACACATCATGTAATGGGAAGCAGTTACTGAAACTATTTATGTGGTGTGTTTCTTTTGTTTGATATAGATCACATGCGATTATTCATTGTGCCCGTTTGCATGGCAGCATTCGGTGTATCCACCGCAAGATCCATACTGTATGATATTCAGTACAATAATCATTCAGGTTTTAAGCTTAGTTTCATAAGTAGACTGGATCTGCTTGCATTTGCAGACATGGCTGCAAACACATATTCAAAAAGCAGCATGAACAATGAGTTAGCTTCATTTGGATATGGTAGCAATAGATTACGTGCAAAGGCATTTGCACATGGCACTGGTGTGGTTGTGGCATTCAAGGGAACAAGTCCGATATTCATGGGAATAGAAACAGGACGAACATCAAAAGCAGACAAACTTATTGATAAGGTGCTGTACTCAATATGTAGCACACATGAATGTGAGAAGCAGAAGCTTAAGGACCTGGAAAGAATCGGATATCTTGCAGATGCACTTCAAATAGTGCAAGCTGTTGCAAATATGTATCCTGGAATGAACTTGACTCTTACTGGGCACTCAATGGGTGGTACAATTGCATCTCTTGCAGCAGCTATACTTAATCTCCCTGCAATAGTTTTTTCTTCGCCTGGGGATGCATACATAGCAAAGATCCTTGGTATTGAAGTGGAGAAGAGTACAAATCAGAGCATCATCCATGTTGGAATGTGTAATGATGCAGTGTTCAAAGGTAAATGCAACAGAGCGTATGGTCCATGCGGAGTGTTTGGATATAGAATTCAGACAAAGTGCCATCTTGGTACTACATTCTGTATACACAGCCATGGATGGAATAGTGTGTTGTATCATCCGATCGATGTTATCAAAAGCAAGCTTACATCTTTTGAAGATATTGTATTGACCAACATCCATGCAAAACGCTGTGTCTATGTTTAATAGCATAGAAAGTAGCTAAGAATCAAACAGATCAGTGTTATGCTTATTTAAGAGTGGTTTGGTTTGCTTGCATTTGGATTCTGAAAAACATGTGCTATAGAATCATTCAATATGTTCAAAAGCATATAGAGCGCAATAAAATATTTTATTAGATACTCTCAAGGAGCTTAAATTCCTTCTGTGGCGTAGACTTCTTGATACATCCAAGAACCACATATGACTTTGTCTTCGAAAGTGGCCTGGTCTCACCACAAATCACACTGTCTCCAACACTTATCATCCCCTCAAAGCATGGTGACATGTGCACCGACAGATTAGTGTGTCGTCTGCTATACCTCTTATATTTCTTGCTGTAGTGCAGATAGTTCACCACCACCACTATTGTCTTCTCGGCCTTCATTTTCTTAACCACAGCCCTGATAATCCTTCCATGGACATTGACATCTCCTGTAAATGGACATTTCTTGTCAATGTAATTCCTTGTGAGTGCAGTCTCAGGCGCCTTGTATCCACATACTTCCGCACGAACCTTCCTAACCGTCTTTTCATTGTCAGAGCCATACGGATTTACATACACTCCAGTCTGTCGAGGAAAAATCTTTAGCGATTTTTCAAGGTCTGCCATTTGTAGGGTGCAAATTTTGACAAAATATTTTGGTTCTCCACACAGGCCAATTGCATTTACTGCATTACTTCATCTTCAGTTCATGCATTAACTCGCTTAGACAGTGCTCATACAACACAAAATGATGGAGGTTTCGATTGTGCATCGGATTGATATATAAATCACCGGGTTTCAAACCCAGAAAACAACATGGCAGCAGGCAAAGGACACTTCTCAACGGGCATCCTTCTGAAAGACTACAAGCGGATCCAAGAAAGTCCCAACGAGTACTACAGCGTGGGGCTTGTAGACGAAAACATATACACATGGGAGGTGCTAATTTTTGGGCCAAGAAAGACACCATATGAAAATGGGATATTCAAGGCGGTGATGCTCTTTCCTGCAAACTATCCAGACTCACCACCCACGTTTCGCTTCTGTTCAAGAATGTGGCATCCAAATATAGATGAAAATGGGAATGTTTGCATATCGATTCTCCACGATGCAGGAGAGGACAAATATGGCTATGAATCTCTTGGCGACAGATGGCTTCCAGTGAGGACACCAGAGAGCATTATAATCAGTATCATAACGCTCCTAACGTCTCCAAACTGTGAAAGTCCAGCAAACGTAGATGCAGCAAGGCAATTTAGAGAAAATGAGAAAGAGTACAAAAGAGAAGTCATAAAGCTTACAGCAATGACACTGGAAATGAATGATGACTAGACTGAGTATATTGATTTAAAAATATCCGGTAATACATTTACTCAAACTAATCATACAAATAGCTCTATCAATATCAAATTAAGTCTAAAATAAATATTTATCTGTTTTTATGATTAGTATTTGGTATGCATTTTTGAATGCACGACTCTTTGCAAGTGAAGCAACCCTACTGCACGTTGATGAATCAAAATGAATCAATAAGATCGGTTATTAGGTCACTGGCACTTGCAATCAGCAGCTCTGAAGCTTCTGAAATGATTTATAAACATAGAAATAACGCTCGGAGAATAGCAAGAATCCCGTTTGCTATTCACACCAAAAAGCAGTATTCATGCTTCAAAGTGCTGACAATCGTTGACTGTGATATTCTAATGCTGGTTGAGGATGATAAATGTAAAACAGAAGAAACTGAATGCAAATACATATGGATAGAGATTGAATTAAACTACAACTACTTCACATACACCGAGGTACTTGAAAAGCTGCTTCCTGCTGGTGTCCAAGTGCCTTCGTCATTTGAGATAGTGGGAAACATTGCACACCTGAACTTAGATGAACAGCAGATGAACCATAGACATACAATTGGAAAAGTCATTCATGAAAAGACTGGAATGACAGTGATAACCAAAATTGGAAACATATCAAACGAGTTCAGGTCTTTTGATCTTGAAGTCATAGGAGGAGAACCCAATCTACAAACTGTACACAGGGAAGGAGGAGTTCTATTTTGCATTGACTACAAGAATGTTTATTGGTGCTCTAAGCTGCAGAATGAAAGGCTCGAGATACTGAAGATGTTTATGCCTGGAGAGACTGTTTGTGATCTTTTCTGTGGGGTTGGACCAGTATCTTTGAGGGCGCTTAAGAACGGATGTAAGGTATATGCAAATGATCTGAATCCACATGCTATTGAATGCATGAATGCATCAATAAAAACCAATAAACTCAACAGTAGCAATATTGAGGTATTCAACCTTAGTGCTGATGAGTTTCTGAGTGTAGTTGAAGGAAGAAAGGTTGATCACTTTTTCTTGAATCTTCCTGAGCATAGTCTGGAATACCTTAAACGAATTAGTACATGGAACACTAGTGCTCTTGTACATTGCTACTTCTTCAGTAGAAACGACGAGGATGTTGAAAAATATATTTTCAAGACGATTGGCCTACAAATATCAAAAGATTTGCTGAGGATTGTAAGAAAGGTATCTCCATCAAAAAGCATGTACAAGCTTGAAGTTTCATGTGAGATTTTGCGAGCTGGATTTACAGATTGATATTAAATACCATCAGGTGTTTGAAGATACATATATATTTGGAACAGGTAGACTATACCTTGTTAATTGTGTTATTGCAATGTGGTAGGCACTCGACAAATACACATCTATAAATGCTAGAGCTTTCATTTATACGAAGGGTTTTGCAATGAACCAATCGGGAGTAGAAAGCCCCTTTGAAAAAAATAAAAAGAAAATTAGTTGGACACAGGATGGATGTGAGGGAAGAGGGAAGCCCTACAAATCCTCAATTCCATGAAAGAATGAGTGCACTTAGGTTTCTGAAGGCATTCATACTAATGGAGGCGGGACTTAGTTTTATGAAGATATCTACTGGGTTAACAGTGCTGGCACTCACCAGACATGAGACATGTGAAATGCCTCTGAAATTTTTCTTGTTGGTGTATGTGGTAATGACGATTGCCAGATTTGGGATCTTTTTATCGAAGAATCTAGCGTTTTTCAGAATAAACAGGATACCGGAGTACAGGGAGGATGCGGATGCTAATCTGCTGTCGAACTTTACAGAGATTCTACTGTTATTTTGGTACTTAATTGGGTTTGGATGGCTGCAGGAGTGCAAGAACTGTAATGTGACAAACCCACTGCTGTACTACACGTCTGCAGTATTCATCACACTTGGATTCGTGGCATTCATAGCGCCGCTGCTTGCAATTATGCTGCTGTTGTTTTTGATAACATTTATCAAGCCAAAGTTACAGGAGATATTGTACAAGGACCAAAACGACCTGTCAGACGACACTTATCATTGCACCATATGTTTTGATAACTACGTGCCAGGCACTAAGCTGAAGCTGCTGCCGTGTGGGCATCATTTCCACCAGGAGTGCATTGATGAATGGCTTGATCTAAAGGACACATGTCCACTGTGCAAAAAGAACATCAATCTGCTGTATGATCTGATCGATCCGCCCATGTATGAGGTATGAGTAATCTATACAGCACTCGGTTAATTGTATGCGAATGAAGTTTGCTCCATAAAGCACACAAACACTTGTCAAATAAATCTTTAGAAAATACATCTAGAAAACTGTTTATAAGCATACTTTTACTTATATCAATGCGCAAGCATATCAACTATTACCTCAGATTATTATCTGCACATAAACCAGCCTTACTATTTTTGAATAGGCATTGTGTTTTCAATCAAGAATTTGTGGCCTGGTAAACCAATCATGAAAGGCTCTAATGATTCTCTAATTCTGAGGTTGATTTTATTCAGATGTTCAATTTCTTCATCATTAATCAGGCACATGTCAATCATCTTGAGCTGATATGGAACAAGTGTAAGATTTGTAACATCGTTAAATCCACTATCAGCACCAGTTATACTTACTAGATTCTCAATTCTTATTCCATATTCCCCTTCCTTGTAGTATCCTGGCTCAATAGAAAAAACCATTCCTGGAATCAATGTCTCATTGCTATTACTTGATATGCTGGGTGGCGATTCATGCACACACAAGAAATGTCCAACTCCATGTCCCGTCGCGTGACCATAATCCAGTCCTTCCTTCATTAGGTCCATTCTAGACAAGGTGTCAAGTGATGATGCAGGCATACTGGCCTTGAACCTCATCTGCATTGCTCTCAGCTGTCCCTTCAGAACAAGTGTATAATTTCTTTTCTGTTCACTATTAGGCACTCCAAAATGCATTGTTCTTGTTGTATCTGTTGTTCCAAATACATATTGAGATCCGCTATCAATCAAGATAAGTTCACTCCTATGAAGCACCTTGGATCCAGCTTTGTGATGCACAATCGCTCCGTTAGGTCCTCCCCCAACAATCGTACCAAAGCTCGGCTGCACATATCCACCAAACTCCTTTTTTATCTCATCTAGTTTATCTGCAACCTTCTCTTCTGTTATACCTTCATCAAGATTCTCGTCTATCCACTCAAATAGCCTTGTAAGAGCTATTCCATCATAAGTATACGCCAGGTAAAATCCTGCAATCTCTACATCAGTCTTGATTGACTGGAGTTGTCTTATGCTTCCTGTATACTCAACATTCTCAAACATACTTCGTACATATACATTACATCTTCCAGACACAAGCACTTCCCCATCAACACGTCGAGCATGCTCTTCAAACCTATCGTATGGATGAACTTCAACATCATCAATATCAAGCTTCCAATTCACAAACAGTTTCACAATATCTGCAGAAATCAAGCAATACGAATAAAAAACCGGGTTATACATTATGTCAGATCCTCTCAGATTAAACACCCATGCAATCGTATCAAGATCAGTTATAACAAGCGTCTTCCCTCCAATAATATCTTGTATCTTCTGCAACTTCAATTTATATGTCATTCCAACAACACTTGTACTTTTCTCACTAATTTCATGTTCAAGCTTTCTTTTATAATCTTCATTATTGCACATCTTCACTAGCTGCATCTGATACTCACAAATCATCTTGTCTTCAATGCTATACACTTCATTGAATATCCTGGATGGTCTGTTATTCCATAAACAATCAACCAAATCAACATCAACGTTCATAAGCTTCACTCCTTTCTTTGTAAGCTTTTTCTCAAGATCATCATACATCTTAGAACTTATAAGCTTTGCACACACACCCACCCGCTTGTTTTCACACATAGACTCAATGTATTCTTCAATTCTCTCGTCCTCTCCCATCCTCTTCAGTTTATAAGCTTTCATTTCATTCATGGCTTGTATGTAATACCTTGAGTCTGTATACAGCACCGAACTCTTGCATGTCACTGCAATTCCATTTGATCCAGAAAATCCAGTCAAGAACCTGATTCTCTCATCTCCCTTCCCTATGTATTCATTCAGATGTTCATCAGATGTAAAATTAAGATACACAGACACACCAATCTCTGTCATTAACTCAAATATACCATTGTCACATTCTCCATCCTGTGCACTTATGCTTCCATTGTGCTTTGGTAATTCAGTTCTTGCTTCCATGCCCATCCAGGGATTCAAAGTTAAAGTCTTCTCATCAACAAAAACACATCGCATTACCTAGTCATTTATTAAAACAGATACAAACAATCAATGCTTCTTTATCTTGCACAATACTAGGACTCACGCATTACCAATTACTCAGGCTTCATTGCAGGGAAAAAAATAACATCCTTTATGTTAGCTGCATTCGTCAGGTACATCACCAAGCGATCAACTCCAAGTCCCCATCCTCCAGTGGGCGGTAAGCCATACTCAAGAGCATTGCAAAAATCCTCATCAAGCATCATTGCCTCCTCGTCTCCAGCATTTTGGTCATTTGCCTGCTGCACAAATCTTTCTCTCTGCTCAAACGGATTATTGAGCTCTGTATATGCGTTGCAGATCTCCTTGCTGTTGATAAAAAGCTCAAAGCGCTCAGTAAGACCAGCTTTAGATCTATGCCTCTTTGCAAGCGGAGACATCACCACTGGATAATCTTTGATAAATGTCGGACTCACACACTGAGGCTCAATCACATGCCCAATAAGCTTGTCAAGAACCCTTGCAAGTGTCTGTGGCTTCTCAACTACAACGTTCTCCTTAACACACACTTCTAGAAGCTTCTCAAGTGTTTCCTTGTCTTCAAGATTCTCTCCAGTAATCTGCAATCCAAGCTTTTCATTAAGTTCTTCAAGAATACTTATTCTTCTAAATGGCCTACTAAATGAAATTTCAACAGGCTTTACTTCCTCTCCACGTTTCTTAGGCTCATATCTTATCACATCAGTTCCAAATAGTTCATGAACCAGTCCAGAAAGCATCTCCTCAGTCATTTCCATAGTGTCGTTGTAGTCCGCATATGCCATGTAAAACTCGCATGATGTAAATTCAGGATTATGCGTCAGGTCAATTCCTTCATTTCTGAACTGCTTGCCCATCTCATATACTCTATCAAGCCCTCCAATCACAAGCTTCTTGAGATACAGCTCGGGAGAAACTCTCATATATAGATCAAGCTTCAATTCGTTGTGGTGTGTAATAAATGGCTTTGCTGCTGCTCCCCCAGGAATCAGGTTCATCATCGGTGTCTCAACCTCAAGAAATCCCCTGGCATCTAAAAACGTCCGCACATACTTTACTATCCTTGTCCTCATTTCAAACCTTTCCCTCGACTCTTTGTTCATCAAAAGATCAATGTGCCTTTTCCTGTATATTGTTTCTGCATCTTTCAATCCAAAGTGCTCGGTAGGAATCGTTCGCATGCATGGTGAAAGAATATCAAGGTCACTCACAAACACAGACTGCTCCAATGTCTTTGTCTTTCCAGGATTCCCCACAAATCCAATGACATCGCCTCTCTTTACAAATCTTGCAACATTGCTTCGTTTTGTACCTTGATCCTTGATATCAGCAACAAGCTGCATTGACTCACCTCCAGAGACTACATAAAAAAAGCAAAATTTCGAATGCATGCGTATGCTCATAATCCTTCCTGCTGACTTCACAACTTCAGTTCCCACAAATGATGTTGATTCTTTACCTGCCATTTCAAGTATCTCCCTAAAGTTGTGACTCACTTCAAACTTGTGAGGATACATTTCGTTACCATTACAAATCTCTGTCTTGATTGCACCTGATCTCTGTACATAAAATTCCTCTTCAGAAAGCTCTACGCCTTTATCTTCATGATTAGCCATGGGGTCACATTGTCTTGACGTTTTACCCTTATGCATAGAAAGACACACAAAAGCAACAAGAAAATCGTTAAGGCCTTGAAAAATGCAGGATACAAAGAGCCATTCCGTTTGATAGTTGAGGAGCAGTTCATTGCAGAAATTAACAGGTCAATGCTCAGGCTAAAGCACATCACAGACATATTTAAGAGCCAACCAAGACTTGGCGTTACAAAATGCGCATACAAAGCATATCAAAAGTTAAGAAAGACAGATAGGAACGACTTCTGTAGGTATATTGAAGTGATGAACTGTGGACATGAACAAACAGAGTCCTCATTTGATTGCATACAAGAATTAATACAGAATGCAAACAAGAAGAAGTGGTACATCTTGGCAAGCAATTCATATCAGATAACAGAAGGAATTGCAAAGAAGAAAAGATTACCCATTATTACATGTACGAAGGGAGGTCTTGAAATAAAGGCTGACTTTGAGATTGTTCCTGTTGATACTGGAATTAACTCTGGTGTCAGTGCTGATGAAATCGCACGTCTTGACATGGCTCTGTACAATGACATAAACCAGTACTCCATTAATCCATAAAGGATTCTGAACTAAATTATCCAGGAATAAATAATACTTATCAATAATAACTGCTAGTTTATTTCTGAAGAGATTTGCACATTTCAACGGTTTCAGTGCACAATCTGAACCTAGAAAGAATTGCATTGATCGCCCTACTGAGGTCCTTTGCTCTATGTGCAGACAAGTTTATCACAATATGATTGTCATGATGTGAATACTCTACATTCGCCTTATTGACTTCGGCATCTTCATTACATATTGCGATAGAAACCAGCTCTGGAGATTCACAAGGCAGCTCAAGAAGCGCTTTAAACACCATGGGCAGGCCGATTTGTTTGCATTTGTAGCGAGTCCCTGGAAATGGCATTGAACAGATACGCTAGTCTTGCACTACACACAGCAGGTATCTATGCATTTTTCATTGTATTTGGAGTGTTTGGAGAGAAAATAGCCACAGGCACATACGCAGGCAGGAGATACAAGTCAATACTCTTTCCTATACTACCTCAAAGTTTCGGAGGAATCTTATTTGGGAGATACATGATGAGGAGATATTATATGGGGAAGAATGGAGGAAAGATGTGCAAGCGCTTGATGCTGAACTACGTGTGTTTGGCACTTTTGAGCATACTGTCTTTGAGTCTTGGCATTCTGTCTCTAAAGTATCTTAGCTATCCTACGCTTGTGATAGCAAAGTCATGCAAACTTGTGCCTATTGCATTGATAAATATCCTGGTGTATAGGCGAAGGATGAGCTACAGAAAGTGCCTGTCTCTGTGTCTTGTTTCTGTATGTGTAGTGTTATTTTCGCTTCTTGATGGCAGTAAGCGTAGTGGAAGCGGGACGAGTGTGCTTGGAGGGATGATTCTTGTTCTAAGTCTAGCAGCTGATGGGTTTATTAACTCGCAGCAAGACTATGCATTTGCAGAGTTTAAGGTATCACCGTTTGATATGATGTACTATACGAATGTGTTTAGGTTTTTAATTGCACTTGTACTTGCGTTGAAGTATAACAGCATTTGGTACACTATTGAGTTTGTGAGGGCTGCACCTGCGATGGGCACTGACCTACTATTGCATTCGACATTTAATGTGATTGGACAGAGTGTGGTGTACTCGATGGTGCAGAAGCATGGATCGTTGAATCTGACGATGGTGAATGTCACTCGGAAGATGTTGTCTATTTTTGTTTCGTTGGTTGTATTTGGACACACGGTGAGCAGAATGCAGATTGCATGTGTTGTAGGAGTGGTGGCATCAATAGGACTAGAGATTATTGAGCCCAAATCAAAGAAACAGAGTACAGAAGAGAAAGAGAAAAATGAATAAGACAGCATTGCAGACCTTATCTTGTATGAATGAATGCGACAATTGATGGAACATCTATAAATGAATGTAGTAATTGATGGTATTATTACAGAAGAATGTGACAATAGATGAATCAATATGATAATGGATGATGAGAATAAACAAAATGCCTATGAATGTCTAATGCATGTAATTGAATAAATTGCATAAGAATTGTGAATGATTTGAATTTTTTTCAGTTTAACCCCTGTGATGTCTCTGTAGTTGAGCATGAGGTGTAAGCTGAGTGTGAGATAGGAGGCATTGCAACACTTTGTGATGAGAACGTTTGTGTATACTTAGTAGTATTATGTGTCATAGTTACTCTGAAAGTGTTTTATTGTAATGTATTTTTAGTTAGTGATATTGAATCCCCGTGATGAGGCCGAATGTACATTTGAAGAAGATTCTTGCAGTGGATGTGTCTAATGATCTTCCTTATGCCAAGGCAGAGATATGCCTGTTTAACATTGCAAGATTAGTGAGGAGAGCAAAGGAGAGAGATGTGAGGATGTGTGGAGTAAGAAAGATGTGTGGACTTTTGCATTCGAAAGACAGGATGGTGAAGCTTCTGGCATTGAAGCATCTTGAAAGGATTCGTGAGCATGTGGATGAGATAGACACGCATGTTCTACACATGTTTTACTCTACAGACAGAATGATCAATGACATTGTAGTTAGGTATGTTGGAGTGTTTTCACGGTTTTTCAAGGACAATGATGCGGTGTTTTATCATGTGTGCAAATCTGAAAGCAAATATCGCAAGATGGCAATGCAAGCGCTTATAGAGCAATCATGCAGATACAGAAGATATGGGGAAGGATTAAATGGAGATGATAGACGGATGGAGGTGATTGATGAGGTTTTTAGGAATGTACCAGAAGAGTACTTTGGTAAATGCAGCCTTAGTGAGCTTGTGATGCTTGCAGTAAGGTATCCCTGTCTTGTGAAATATTTGAAATTCAGCAGTGATTTTTTGCTGAATGAGCTGAAGAATCCAGATAAATACACGCGTAGTGCGTTGCGAAAGATGAAGGATGTGTTTGGAGCTGAGGACTGTGTAAGTACGGAATGGGATAAGTTTTGGAAGATTGTTAGATTGATGAGGAATGGAGATTTTGGAAGTGGAATCAGGATGTTGAGCGAGATGAGCAAGCTTGGAATTAGTAGGAAGTTCAAGGCGATGTTTTTGATGTATGTGCGAAGGATGATGAATGTGATGGAAATGCACGATGAAAAGGAGGTTGTGATCTGTGATGAGTTTGAAATGCAAGTGTACGGGATGAAATGCAATGGAGTGTACAGGATGATGAACAGGATGTTTAAGAAAGGGATGCGACGAATGAAGATGGCGTGTAAATGAGTGAGTGGTAGGGAGTGTAATGGTTGAGTGAATGTGATACTGATTAAGTGTGAATGATATGAATAAGAGTGATAATGTTGAGCATGTGAAATAAAACTAAGTAAGTAAAGGCAAGGACCCCTAGATGGAAGATGAGGTAAAATTTGTGGAGAGCGATTTTAAGCATGAATTTACGGAAGTGAGTTCTGAGGATGTAATGTTTCCAAAGTATAGAATAAAGTACATTGAACAGACAGAGAAATACATTGTGAAGGCTCTTGAGAAGAAGAAGATAAGCTGTACAATTGATTTTGAAAGGAATGTGATTAGTGTGCTGACGAATGCAAACACAAGGGATCCGTTTATATTTATAAAAGCAGTGAATTTTGTGAAGCTTGTTGGGCGTGGTGTTAGAGTGGAGGAGGCGATGAAGGTGCTTGAAGACGAGTATTTCTGTGAGGTGATTGACATCAAGAATCTTGCAGGATCTGAGAAGGTTTTTGAGAAACGACGCGATCGATTGATAGGGCCGAAGGAGATGACGTTGGAGGCCATACAGAAGGTGACTGGATGCTATGTGCTTGTGCATGGGAAAACAGTGAGTGTAGTGGGAAGCTTTCGTGGGGTTGAAGAAGTGAAGGATATAGTGATTAGCTGTATGGACAACATTCACCCGATATATAAGATCAAGAGACTGATTGAGAAGAGGAAGCTTGAAGGTGAGGATGGAAAGAAATGTGAGGATTGGGAGAGGTATCTTCCACAAGCCACAAAGAAGGGGAATAGCGGAGGCAGTAAGATGAAGAAGAAGATAGGCCGAGTGTCTGGAGGAATGCCAGACTGTGAACCAAGAAGGAAGGATGATATTGAAATGGAGACTGGAGAGTACTTTGTTGGGGCTGATGAAGCTAAGAAGGAAACAAGAAGAAGAGAAGAAAGAAAATGCAAAGAAACAAAGAGAAGAAAAGAGATTGAGAAGTACATTGTACCAGATGAAGATGAATAGAGCATGAATGAATGGTAGCTATGCTTGGAAGACTGATTACAGGTTATTTATTAAACAAGCTGTGAAAACAGAAGATGCAAAGCGTAGTAAATAAATAAGATTGATGGAATTTTCGAGTGTTGGTGATGAGTTGAGTGTTGGTGATGAAGTAAATAGCTGTATGGCGAATGAACGAATGGATCAATTATGCGTGGTGAATGATCTAGACGTGTATAAAACAACGTTTTGTTGGTGGACGGGGTGTGCAGGAGATGCAATAGATGAGACACTGGAGTTTTGTGTGCCTTTCACTGAGGATAAGCACGAGGATTGGGTTCATGAGTTTAAAAGATGCAAATGCAGCGGCATTAAAGCACTAATAAAGATGAACAAGAATCTCAATGGCATTAAGGCATGTGATCATGGAAGCATCACTACTAATGAAGATAATATGAAAACACTACATCGATTCACAAAGAATGCAGTTGAGTTTCAAGTAAGTAACTGTGTTTATTCAGCACTAGCAACCAACTTCTATATCAACAGTGATGATTCAGATAGCGAAGACCTAAACAGCTTACGTTTTGGTAATCGTCATTACTTCCAATAGATTACTAAACCATTTAAATAATAAAAGACTACAATAAACAAACGATTTATTATCAAAGCAGGAAAAATCCTGCTGTTAGCTCAAGTGCAGTTTCCAACTTATTCTCTAATTTGTCTTTAGATGAATATTCAGGAAGAAGTAGTGTGTTAAAACATGTCTGAGAAGATGGGAGCCTGTCTGTATCGCAACCGTTTCTCATAATCACAAGTTTTAGTGATACAGACCCTGAGACAGGTATTCTATCATTACCTGTGATGAACTGCAGAAGCTTTTTTCTCTTCTTCTTGTCAAATGCTTCAAATATCTCCCAGAAGTGCACAATCACCGGCGACTCCTCAGTAAACCCAGAGTATGTGGTTGCTGACCGGATCTCTTTGATGTCAAACCCATTCGATCCCATCATTATCTTCTCAAGCTCCTTTGGATTCAGATATACAAGCTTACATTTCTCCATGACAGAGTAAAATCCTTTCTTCAGTGCCTCAAACTGCGGCCTTACAAGAACATCTGTATAAAATTCAGAGTATTTCTCTATAAATAAGCCTATGTTATCCTCAGTCAATCTTATGTTTTCTCCATTCTCAACAAGAGCGTGTATTAGAACATTGCCTTCTTCGTAGTATTCCGAAACAAACCGTAGATCGAGAAAGTCAATTTCCTCCTTAGAGAGCATTCTCAGCTTCTTTAGAGACATAGAAACATCTGGAGATATCTCCTCAAGATCCTCAATCGTTGGTTTCTTTTCAAGTAGCTTCTTGAAAAAAAGCCTGGGAAAAGGAATGCTCAGAACAATGTTGTTGTAGAGTGCTATTGCAATAATCCTACCAACAGCCTCATACTCGCACATATCTTTTGCTCCAGCCTTGATCCAGATCTTGTTTTCAACATGTTCAAACAGCTTATTGTCTTCTCGGATTTCATGACTCAACAGCTGGAAGTATTCCTTGCGTATACCTCCAGAGTCTACTCCTTCTTCGTTTCTAAACGTTGTCCTAAGCTGCTTCCTTGCATCCTGAGGATTTAAATGCTTGAAAATCTCAATACTGTCTCTATATACAGTTTCCCTATCAACTGTAACAAACAGATAAGGATCTATGTGTCCTTCAAAAAGCGATTTGAAGAACGAATCTTGCAGTGAGCTCTTCATTCTATCATTGCTCTCACACTTAATAAGTTCTGCTTTGATGTGCACAGGAAGAATAAACGGAAATTCCAATGCACTCTTGGACTTCGCACGCAGGTGCTTGAATTCCTCACGAAAATCCATCCTTTCACAGAACTCGTAGAGATAAAATCTCTTATGACTTAGGGCTTCAAAATCCTCATTTATGCAGTACAACACACGCAGCACACTTAGCATCTCATTAATTCTTGTGTCTTCCCTGCATTCTGTGCTTACCGATGAGTTCAAGCCATGAGACACTTCATTGACCAGCATTGCAAGATCGGATCTTGTAAGCCTTGGAGGATACACACACATTGTTTTCTTTGTCTTGGCGTGTTTGTTTGTATAACTGCACACAATTCCTTCGCACAAACTCGTTCCCTTCGCCATTTCTTCATACACACATTTTATATTCTGTAAAATGTTGCATAAAACCGTGTAATTTATGCTTCCAAGCTTCCAATGCTTGTTAAACATTCCATACATTCTTAAAATAATCATTCCGAGCGTAAACTGAGGCGCTTCTTCATACTTCCTAACAAGCAATTGAAATACAGCTCCAATAAGGTAAATATCCTCAGCAGAAGCTGCATTTTTATTCGAAAGCAGCTCACAAATCGAATGATCTGCTCCTTCAGGTATACAAAGCTCCTCTTCAATCATCTCGTCTATTTTTATGCATCCAAACTCGTTCATGCACGCTCCTTCATCACAACACTCCTTTTCAGAAGCTCCATAATCATCTGCTTCTTCATCACTTTCCATCACATTGCACATCATTCTATTTGGTTCATGCTTGCATTTAATCTTACTTGATTCATGCTTGCATTTTCCATAGCATTTACAAACACCCAGCAACAACTCATTATCCCCTGCATTATTACTTCCAAACTGAACATGTTTCCTAGATCCTACAACCTTCAAACACACAAAAAAGAAAAAAATCAGAACCTTGCTCTTTTTTCTCAGTAAATCATCCTCTACATATCGATCAGCTACTCTATCCATATTCTTACATAGAAACAATTCTCCATATTCAGATAGTGTTTCAGATACTCTCTCCACAAGCTCATCCTCAAGCTTTGCATTGCAAAACACTCCGCCACAAACAGCATTCTCGCATCCATTTACAAGCTGCTGTCTATACTCCTCTTGAAGATGTAAGCTCATGTGCCTTAGGGATCCTACACGTCTAAATATATACTGTGCTCTCCCTTTCCATATTTTCAAAAAGGAGGTCAATTAAATTGTCTTGCAAGCATAAAAGGAGTGAAAGCAGTTGCAGCAGTCACTTCATTTGAACAGCCTAAACCTCTTGAGATACTCTACTGTCTGTTTAATTTCGTGCCTGTTGTATGGACGTGTGGATATACATGTTGTAATGTTTTCAGGATGTTCTATCCACACTGTGTGATCAATATTATGTGTCAAGAAATGTTCTAGTATTCCATCAATGTCACTTTGCTCGATCTAAATTACACTGGTTAAATTAGCATTACACTTACTCTTAAAATAATTTTTTTCATTGATCCAATATCAGCAACATACATGACGGTGTCTGCACATCTTCTATATGTTTCTATAGAACACACGCTTGAATGACATGCCTGTGCAATCAATGCGCCGGTAGAGAATCCTTTCAAGTCACCTCTTAGCAGAATGTATTGTGCAATATCCATTGGGGTTAAGCAGATGCACATGCAAACATTTGGTGTTTACAAATCGTTTACTTGATGCAATGAGTGCCAACAGTCTGTGATTTGCAATTGCTGCATAGGCAGCTAGTACACACTCGCATTGGTTGTTTGGATATAAAAAGTAACGGAGATCATCCCCTGTGATGAAGGAGAGCGTAAAAAACACCGGAAGGCTGTATGTAATGAAAACTGTTGTTCTCAAGTATGTTCTTGGATCTCCAGTTGTGAGGGTTATGATACTGCCAGTGGTGTTGCTGATGCTAGTTGTTGCATATGGCGACATTACTGTGCAGCAGATTCTAGCAGATATACAGGATGAGACAAAAGACACACATTCAAACAGCAATCAGAACATTAAGGCATATGTGCTTGTTGCATTAACATCGTATGCATTTGGGCTTGTGTCGTTAATGATTATGTCTAGCTATGTGGAGACGATATGCAGGGTTTACATTGTTGATCAATACCGGGATCACATCTCAATGTCGTTTCCGGACTTCAAGCGCCTTGGAGTTGGAAACATGATTTCATTTATGAACAGAAAGGTGGGATCGCTACGGGATGTCCTTGAATCGATAGTGAAGTATTTTATCATAGGAGTGTGCTACATAACGATGACAATGATGAAGATTGGATCGAAGCTTGAATGGTATTATATGATGCTCATGATTATTGTGTCTGTGATATATGGAGTGTCTGTGTTTTTTGTGAACTACTACAGAAGCATTATCCGGCCAAAGCTGAACAGGGAGATTGATCTGTCAAGAAGGAAGGTTTATAACAACTTGATGAATCACGATATAATCAAGTCGTACAACAACGAGGAAGAAGAGGCGAATGATCTGCACAGGTCGATGGAGATGCTGACTAAGTACGCAAAGATGTTCTGGGGATGGCATCAGGTGGGCAACTTTGTTGGAGAGAACATATTTACTGTTGCGATGTTTGCGATTACGATGTACTTTGCAATGGGGGAGGCAAGCAAGATTAAGTCTAAGGATTATATGCTAATGATTTCACTGAGCAATCAGCTGAGGATATATTGTGTGGAGATCAGCAATAGCTTTGGATCGATACTAATGAACCTGACGAACATAGCACAGACGAGAAGCGAAGAGGAAAAGCCCGACATGCAAGAGTATGGATACTACAAGGATTGTCTTGAGACATCTATTCAGATAGTTGATGCAAATGTGTGTGTTGATGGAAAGAAGCTTGTTGAAGGATTGAATATGGAGATACGGATGGGAGAGAAGATTGGAATTACAGGGGGGAATGGAAGTGGTAAGACGTCGTTTGCAAGGGCGTTGCTGGGGTTTTTCGATTATTCAGGAAGTATTCTTGTGGATGGGGTGGAATTGAGGACTCTTAGCAAGAAGGGATTGAGGAGAATGATATCTTATTCACCACAAGAGCTGCAACTGTTTGATGACACTGTTATGAACAACATTAATGACGGGAATCTTGAGATGGGCAGAGAAGAGATTGTTGAGCATTGCAAGATGTATGGAGTTGATGAGATGTTTCAGAGTTTTGAGAAAGGATATGACACGTTTGTTGGAATGGGTGGAAAGAGACTGAGTGGTGGGCAGAAGCAAAGAGTAAGCCTGATGCGAGCAGTTGTGAAGGATGCATCTGTGTATGTTTTTGATCAGATGACATCACATCTTGATAAAGAAACAGAGATAAATCTTGTGGACATGATCATGAAGAACCTTGCAGACAAGACGGTGATAATGATTATGCAGAATGCAGATGTGTTTGAGAAGTTCGACAGGATATATAGATTTACATCGCCAGAGGGCCACTGATGAATTGTTTGTTATTGATAAGAGTTATAGCCTAGCAAGAGAGGAGATGAGAGTACCCCTTGTGCTATGAATTTGAGTGGGAGTGTTTTTGAGGAGAATGTAGAGATGAAGTTGAAGAGTATATGTAATGCGGATTGTGATTGTAAGGATTTTATTGTTTACCAGGGCACTTTATATTGCCTGACGAGTAGAAACACGATTTTTGTGCCATCTGAGAGGGAAGAGTATGAATTTTATGGTGAGATGTACAGAATGTTTGCTTATGAGCATTACATATACCTGGTGTTTAGGTGTTCAAGAGTTTTTGTTTTTGACGTTGTTTGCAGGGAAGTTGTATGCAAGATGAGTGGAAGAGGTTCAAGAGTAGTCAAGGCGGTTGTTGATGGAAGTATGCTTTACATGCTATGTGAACAAGGGAAGATGCATATGATGTCTATTAAGGACATGAAGTGTGTTGAGGATGAAAGATATGATGATATGAGCACGAATAGAAACATTATTGTGAACTTTACTGTGTATGAGTCGATGATACTCTGTGCAACAGCGAGTGGAGAGATTCTGAGTGATGGCAGAGCTGTTATTAAGGTGATTGATGGGATTGATGGGATGACCTTGTGCGGAGAGTATTTGTATGTTGCTAGTGGAAGTGGACGCTTGCTGAAGTACGATGTGAATAAATGGAGACTTGTTCAGAGGATTGATGGAGCAAAGGTGGATGTGGTTGGAGATGACTTTATGGTGATTGGAGATGCAATAGCGGATCTTCGGATGATGAGGATGATAAGGATGCCAGTGAGTATAAGAAGGATGATCAGGACTGGTGGAGAAATATATATGCAGACGCAATCTGAGATCGGTGTCTGGGAGGTTATTAAAGGAAGTTAGTATGAATGTTTTTGAGTGATTTTTTTACTGGAGTAAGGCCTTCGAAATGGTGAATCCGAAGTTCAAGAAGCAGCATGGACAGCACATACTGAAGAATCTTGGAGTGGTTGACACGGTGATTGAGAGAGCAAGGATTAAACCCACAGATACAGTGCTAGAGATTGGAGGAGGGACTGGGAATCTTACGATGAAGCTGCTTCAGAAGGCAAAGAAGGTGATATGTTATGAAATAGATCCCAGGCTTGCAGCTGAGCTTGTGAAGAAGGTGAATGCCACTCCTGGGATGGCACAGAAGTTCCAGCTGTTTGTTGGAGATGCATTGAAGCATGACTTTCCACATTTTGACTTGTGCATTACTAATCTTCCATATCAGATTAGTAGTCCATTTGTATTCAAGTTGCTGAGATATGACTTCAAATGTGCGTTTGTGATGTTCCAGAGGGAGTTTGCAGAGCGATTGGTTGCACGGCCTGGGAGTTCTTCATACTGTAGATTGTCTGTTGGAGTGCAGATGCTTGCACAGGTGGATCATGTAATCAAAGTGTCTAAAAATAGCTTTGTTCCGCCACCAAAAGTGGAGTCGAGTTTTGTAAGGATTGAGCCAAAGACACCAAAACCTCCGATTGAGTTTGAAGAGTTTGACCGATTTCTGAAGATATGCTTTCTTAGGAAGAACAAGACGCTCAAGGCAAACTTCAAGGCATCGAATCTCGTTTCGATGATAAAGAGAAATGAAGGAATGGAAAATACATCACCAGATGAAGTATTTGAAAGCGTATTGAGTAAGGCAGGGTTGTGTGGAGTCAGAGCAGCAAAGATGGACGTGGAGGATTTCCTTGCGCTAATGCTTGAGTTTAGGAAAGTGGGAATATTTTTCTGAAGAGCTACGTTTGCTTTGCTAACGATATGAATGAGACATTGGTATACACAATAAATATTCATACTAAGAGTCTAGAGATTGTATCTGGATAAAATAAATTGAGAAGTTTGGTCTGTGCAAGATTAATAAACAAATAAGCTAGAAGATTGTATGCAGGGATAATGTTTATGTGTGAGTATACGTTACAAAAGAATAATTGATCGTGTTTTTGAATCCCCGGTATTTAATGAGGTTAAAAAATGCTCCCGGCGAGATTCGAACTCGCGGCCTTGGCATATCCTAGCGTTATGCCCAATTCTTTTGTACAGCCTTTCAGCATATAAGTACCACGCTCTAACCAGCTGAGCTACGGGAGCCTATTTGCTGAAACCAAACAACTGCAATTACTACACCATAATAAACATAACGCAAAGGGCGAAAACTAATGAATTACATGCACATGAACAAACACTACTGTTGATATTGAATTGATGAGAAGCTCATTATATACGATTCAATGCATTTGAATCAAATATGTTGTATTGAATTTCGGTATTTCTATGCATTACAAGCATCTGTTCCATTCAGGTTTATACAGACGTTATATTCAAATGGGTCCATAACATCGAAAAAAATTGCACCCTTCAAATGGCACAAGCTGAAATAAAGATTCCAGAGGCATTTGTCGATCTGTTGATACGCAGTCACGGACATCTTGGAGGAGTGAAGGCAACAGAGAACTTCGATAGGTATGTTTATGGAACAAGAGAACGCGACAACATCAAGATCATTGCTATAAATGCGATGTGGGAGAAGCTAATTCTTGCAGCAAGGGTATTTTGCAGCTTGAGCTATCCGTCCGATGTTGCTGTGTTGTCCACAAAGGCGTTTGGCAGGAAGCCTGTGATGAAGTTCTGCCAGGCTGTAGGTGCGACAGCGATTACGGGAAGATTTGTTCCTGGATCGTTTACGAACTCTGTGGTGAAGAGGAAGTATAATCCAAGGATACTGATCGTTTCTGATGCATATGCAGATAAGCAGGCGATAGCAGAGTCATTTCACTGCAATCTGCCAATTATTGCATTTACAAGCACAGACAACTCTCTGCGTGGGGTTGAAGTTGCGATTCCGATGAACAACAGGTCGCCTAATGCAATAGGAACAGGGTTTTTTATTCTTTCGCGACTGATTAATTATATGAAGACAGGGGCTGAGCTTGATCGGGACATGAAGGAGGTGGAACTGTTTTTCTTTAGAGATAGTGTTGAGCTTGAGCAGCTTGCAGAGGAGCAGAATCTTGTGGATGCGCCTGAAGGTGCAATGCAAGGTGGAAGCGATGCAATGTCAGGAAGGATGCCTGAGGAGTGGAATGGATTCTAACTGTTCTAGTATTAAAAGCATCCAATTAACTTTGTTTTGTAGTATTGTATAATTGTTATTAAGAGAGTCCCTGAATGAGAAGTATCCATGTGAGTCAGCTGAGGGCAGGATCGTTCAGTTTGGAAAGCTTGGTCGATGAAATGGTTGTTATTGAGGAAGAAAGCCTCAAGCAGACACGTGAAGGCCTTGTGGATGTTCTGAAGGATCTAGAGGGAATCCGTGAAGGGTTGCTGTTTAAGAGGGAAAGGCTTGGGCAGAAGATAAGATCGATTGAGGAAGGAGTAAAATTAGACAAGATTGATGAGTTGGTGGCAGAGATAAATGGATTGAGCATGGAGCCGCTTGGGACATCGAGAGAGATTCTTGAGAGGAATAGAGAGATATTGAACCTGAAAGAGATTAGAAGGGCTGTGCAATATGCAGTAGAGATTGGAAAGGGAAACTTTTCTGTTATTGAAGGACTTTGCACAAGCGATGATGAACAAGACTGGAGATTCCTATGCTTCTTGCTTGCTAACATTGGAGATGTAGGAGAAGGAAGCCAGGAGATTCTAAGGTACAATAAGGTAGTTGAGGAGAAGATGCTTGAAGTGTTTGAAGAAGGGAGAAAGAGCAATAACAAGACAGCCATGAGATCTGCATACAATGCACTGGAAGAAATGGACAAAGGCATTTCGCTCATAAATGTGTATTTGTATTCTTTTGAGTTATTTAAAAAGCCAGTTAGCATGAAATGCAATGAAGAGGATGTGCTTGATCTTGACTTTTATGTGGGTGAAGGCAACATGTTCACAAGTCTTGTTGACATGGCCAGAGAAACGTATGAAAATGACTTCCGGAATCTTGAGGAGATATTCCCAAACACTAAAAAGGCATACGGCGTGATTCACAAGAAAGTGTATGAGGATGTTTTATACAAAGGGCTTCGTGATTGGCTTGACGGATTGAGTCCATGCATGTTTTTGCTAAGTCTTGAGGGATGCTGTAAGAACATAAAGGTTCTTGGATCTGTGATTGAGGAGATTGATAGTAAGTTTGATAGCGAGCGCGCCATGCAGGATCTTATTTCTCAATATGTTACATGTGCGATTGAGAACGAAAAGCGTGTGTTTGATGAGATTTACGAGGCGATTGTAAAGAAGAAGAGATGTAGGATCACATATATTGTTCTTGGCACAGAAGTTGGCATGAGCGACGATCTTATTTTTGGATTTAAGCAGCTGCTGGATGTGATGAGCTTTGCATTTGAGAGAGCCAACAGACTGTATGGAGAGGTTGGAAAGGATGATCTTGAGGAGTACTTCTCAAGACGAATGGGTGAGTTTGTAGGAGTGGTGTACGGATCGATCAAAGAGAAGCTGAAGGCTGTGAAGATATTGAAGTACATGTATCTTGTGAGTAAGAAGTACTTTGCAGACAGGTTTTGGAAGTTGAAGACATTCCGTAGTAGAATTGATGAGAATCTCAATGAGGCTTTTGAAGAGCATATCAGGAGCTGTAGAATAAGAATTGGAGCCAGGATTAAGGAGGAAAGGTTTGTTGAGAAAGGAAGGAGTATTAGAGTGATTGAGATAGCAAGATATGAGTTTGACAAGGCATCTGAAATGTCCATAAAGGGAAAGCACTACAGAGTATTGGTGGGGAAGGTTTTATATTCAGTATATCATTTTTTGTATAATCAGGTTGTACAAATGGTTTTTGATGAATTACAATCCGCAAATGTTGTGGAGTATGTCTCAGACATTATTGAGTTTGCGATGGGCATTGGATGTGTTGAGGCTGTGCCTCGACTTGGATACCTGAAAGACCTGTGTATGCTTATTGCAGTGCCTAGAGATGGGCTTGAATCACTATATGAAACTCTTCTTGGCAGAGTATCAGAAAGTGAAATGCAACGAATCTTGAGGTGTAGAAAGGATAGAGGCCATGTAAACAGCAAAACAAACATTATGGAAATGGATATGGGTGATAGGGATGAAGACACTGATTGATTACAATTTGATATGTATCTATATTCCAAAATGTTCAATGATTGTGAAATGTTTATTTTATTGCATGTTTGTCTATTCAATTCCAAAATGCTCGATGATTGTCTATTCAATTCCAAAAAGTAATCTTGTAATAAAGTTCTGTTTTGTAATTTCAGACGTCTGCAGACTTGCCTTTGCAGCAAAAATAATCTTTGTCCAAATAGAAACGTCTCTGTATCTGAGCTGTACATATGGATGTGAATCTAGAATCACGAGACTGTACATACTGCATTGCGATGTGTCAACAAATACAAAGTCAATGAAGTTCTTTGAAAACTCTAATAATTCCAGAAACATCCTTAAGAGCACAGAAATAACATGAAAGCACATGATGTTAAGCATGATCAAAAGACAAAATGAAAAAACAAGCACAGACATGAATATCTGGTCTGTGTTGAGCATTACTGAATCAGTTCGCTTCTTGAGTGGGTTATAGCTGCAGTTATTGAACAATTGAATTGCATCCACCAAGAGACTCATAAGTCCTCTATATACAGACGACAATACAAAAACATAGAATGAGATTGGCATTTTGTATATTCCTGCCACAAACACAAGTGGCGATCCTGTGAGCATCAATCCTTTCTGAATATTGCAGCATATTTTGAGAAATTCGCCAAATGTTCTTTTTATGCTCATGCCTTTCTGTGCAACTACCGAAAGCTGCATTACATAATCTGATGCATATGCTGGAGCCTTTGAAAGTACTAGGATAATTTGAGTTCTGAAGACATGCAGTATGACTGGGATTACAAAGCTGCATATACGTCTTTTATTCAGAGCAAATATTTTTTCTGTACTTCTGTGAATCTGATTGTTAGACATACTACTGAGCATGTGCCTTGAAGCAACAAAAAAGTCGTGTTTATCCAGCACTGGCGAAATCTCAATAAATTTAACATTCTCATCAACACAATACACACTCTCCAGATACACTATTTCTCCACTCTTGACTTTGGCAACTATTTCATTGGATTCAATGAAGGTGGTATCAGCCTCCTTCCGAACAACAGTATCGCATCCATTGCTACACCATGGAGAATTGAGCACAAGGCATCGTCCTCCAATAACCTGTTGATTCACCTTAGTTTTGCCTGTATTCAAAAACACCACATATTGTATCCTCATTACAAGCCACACGCTCAGATCAAAATATCAACTCATCCCAATCAACACTTTATTAAAATTACGACCCATTCATCCTGATTCCATTCTCAATTCTGTTTCTCCTCAGGTCCTTGAGTGCAATTACTGCCTTCGCAAGCTCAGAAACATAGCAATACGACAAACTCTCATCAAGAGATCTATCAAGTCTTGGTGCCGCATAAACAATCTCTTGGCAAAGACCAATAATCTCTTGGCTCATGCAAATCTTACCTTCAACAACATCTTCAAGATACTGGCCTATTTCATCCAGAACATCTCCATACACCACAAGAGACTCTTTTATCTCCGCAATCTTTGCTGCTGTCGATCCACTCGCCTCTTCTCGGATGTCCCGAATAAGATGCTCAACACCAATCTCCTCGGCTTCCTCGGCTTCTATGCTACAATTCACATGCATAAACTCCTCTTGCTCATCTAACTTGAATGCCTGTACAGGCAAATCACTTCCTTCCTGATGCACATTGATAATAACAAGAAACGGATCAGGCGCAAACCTCATCAGTGACCTCGATATTTCCAGGTCGTTTCCATACATCTTTGGCCCCGTGTGATACCATCCAATAATCTTCAGCTTGTGATTCACCTTATGGAATAAATCAAACATACTCATTATGTAAGACGTATCAATAAACCATCCCGTCTTATCTTCCTCAAAAATACAAGCAAAACTCTCTGTAATGTGAATCCCATCCTCATCATTGCCCAGCAGAATCCCTGCAACCCTCTTCGTTCCCTTCCTCTTGTAATGATCAACTGCAGAGAGCAGCACTAGTGGATGCACTACCACACACACATCACTCATCAATGGGTACCTTCAAAATCTAAAAAAACTATAAACAAACAAATGCATCTAAACAAGCCAATGCCCATTCTACATCCACTCTACAAAACTTCCATTCATTCATTTATTCTTCATCTTCCTTTCCCTCCTATTCTTCTTTTCTGCCTCTCTATCAATCGCAAGCTTGCAGATCATTCCCATCGATCCTAGCACAAGAATGAGCGACCCAAACGAAAGCAATGGCGAATCACTCCCAGACAGTCTTCCTACCGCATGAACAACCAGTGGTGATACAAACATCACGCCTACACAGATAAACAACTTTGTGTAGAACCTTCGTTTCTCTGCAATCATTTCACTTTAGGGCTTCTTTCTATTCTTTCCTTTGTTCCATGATGACTTTCTTTATCAACCCTTCAAATACATCATTCATGCATCCTCCTCAGTCTCCTGATACTCCATTAAACAATTCTTTCGTCATTCCAGGCTCTGTTTCAATAAATTCAGCAACTGCTCTACTTACTGCATCAGCTAGTCTAAACTCATGATCTCCAAATAAACATCTAATTCCACTATACTTACTTCCAATCTTCTGTAACACTAAGTAATGAATTCTACATTTGTTTCCTTTTACTACCCTTTCAGCAAATGCTGCATTCTTGCCAAGAACCTTTCTTATCATCTTTATAAAGCCATTAGGAATATCAAGCAAACCCTCCATATCACTATCACACACAAGGAGTGCTATGGAAATCATTTCAGAAATCATTCTTCTTCTCTTATCAAGTGCATGCTTCAGATTTATACTGTTTTTCATTCCACAATAGATTGCATGCTTCAAGCGCCACTTCAGTTCATCACACATCACTTCAGTAACTACAAGCTTTATTATACTAATGTATTCATTAATTACAGATACTCCATCTCCATCAACCACATCAATCAAGTTGTTCATACCACTCAATACAAGCATATCTAGGCTAGCATTTGCTTTCTCCTCAGCTTCACATTCGTCAAAATACTTCATTAAAACAGCACTAGCATATCTCCACAATTCCACAGATTCCTTTTTCACTGCATTTGCATGTGCCATACTTCGATCACATAATAAAGTCCTTTTTAGCATATCCACAACTGCATTGTCTACAGTCACATTCTTTAAATATGTTCTATCCAATCCTCCATTTTGCAATCCAAGAAGCATTACAATTGCTCTTGTACAAGCATCATTCATATCTGCCTTTCCATGGCATGCAATGCATTCTAAAGTGTAAGCAAGTTTCGTTCTGATATTCGCTATTCTTCTTCTATTCACTTCAGGAATTTCATCTGCATGCTCCAACTCATGAAAAGCCTCATTGATCTTCCACATATACTTGCCCATTGTAACACTCATTCGAACAGCTCCTTCTATTGCTTTCGTCATCTCCTCAATCCTTTCACAATGATGCATTATTATGCTTCTACATCTCTTAATGGCCACTCTTCTCAACTCTGCTATAATAAATTCTTTTTCATGTACATCTAGAGCATCACTAAACCTACTCTTATCAACTATTCTCAATATAACACATTCATAATACTTTTCAATCGCATTCTTACTCTTATTAATAATATAACCTGAATTAATGTTGGAATATCCATTTATGGTTTCTTCAATCATTTCATACTCAATATGCTCATTAGCATCATTATTTTCAACACACTTTTCCATGTCAGTGCCATTAAATGCAGTCAGTCTCTCACAAAACAATCTACTAAATTCCCTCTTCCCCTTTTCACCCAGAAATATTTTCTCATTATTATCAAATAGTTCATCATCATTCATGATATCTTCATAATACACAAAGAAAAAAAAACTTCTCAGGATATCTCCAAATTCAACATATTTCATCTGTTCATTCTTAATATATTCATCTTTATGATTTTCATCTATATTCTTGATATCATCTTGTACATTCAATCTGCCAATTTCGATTGCATCTTTTCTATTCTTCATGTTATCTTGTGCATTCACTTTGTTGATTCCTGATGGATCTTTTACATTCTTCATGTTATCTTTGATATTGGTCAACACATTCAATATGCATATGTCCCATCTCTCACGCTGTTCATTGCATCTAGCAATATATCTGGAAATCACATGAATCACATAGCTCTTCAAATTCACAATCTTCTTCAAGCCACTATCACTCATACACAAGCTACAATCTGCATATTCTATTCTTTCTGGCCAGTACATGCAAACAATCCTTTCCACTCTTTTGTCATAATACGAATTGTAACTATTCATACTTTTATAGAATCCAAAAAACTCTCGAATAGTTGCAATACTCAAATCAATCTTAGTCAATTCATCAATCATCTGATCACCAGGCGAATTGTGTGCGTTTATACATAGTCCAAATCTCAGCTCATCACGCAGTATACACAAATCTTTCATCTCATATTCATTCAGTCCGCATGATTTTTCCAGTGATCCTGCACACTCAAGAATATCTCGGATAGCTCCAAGATACAGGCATTCGCTGCAATCTGCACATCTGCTATTCAAGATACAGAATTCAGTCTGTTTCAACTCAGAAAGATCAACAAATCCACATCCAATCACTTGCTTTTGCATCCAGGCATTCCCATCTATACAATCACATCTCTTCTGCATCACATAATTTGCTACTTCTCTCTTTCTATCAAAATATCTCTGCATCATCACTACACTTCGTACTCCAATCATTATGGAACATATCAAAACAGTTAAAAACACAAATATTCTGGATTTATTCATGTTCAGCATAACTGCCATTCAAACACGCCAAGGGTACAATTTTCATTCCATCAAACGCTCTCACTTAACAAAATCTCTCTATTCACCATTATTAGTTGTTAACTATTGCTAGTTATTCACCATTATTAACTCTAACTATCTCATCTCATACTGATCCTTCAAAAAAAGGCATCGTAGTCGCTTTCTCTTTCATCTACTTCGTGCTGTATATCATCAACTGTCTGAAGTGACAGCTTCTGCATCATCGAGCTCTGGCTAGGTGCCTGAAGTGCCTGATCTCCAGATCTCTTGAGTCTGGCAAGCTCGTTTCCCAAAAACACATCCATTTCATTTCCAAAGCCAAGCACTCCTGGATTCTGCCCGGCTCCACCAAGATCATCAATGCTTGTTCTAAACACCCGTGATAGAACCTCCATCAATCCATTCATCATTCTCTCCTGCCTCTCTATTTTCTCCTTGCATACTGATAACTCCGCATAGAGCTCCTGGTTCTGCGAATACAAGCACTCAACTATCTCCTTCATAGATGCACTTCCAACACTCGCCTTCATGTCGTTTGCCTTCTTTCTTCGTATAAGCCTCAGTGACTCATCAAGTCCAAGCAAATCCTCCCTTCCCTTCCTGAAGTTGCTGTTGTAATAGATGTCCTCTTCCTCAATGTCCTTCGACTTCACAAATCCATAGCTATTCAGCATGCGAATAAACGTTCCAAACTCCCTCGTCTTCGATATAAGAGGCAACGTCTCCTTAATAAATACATCCCTATCGAAAATATGGATCTTGAGCCCGTCTGGCGTCCAGCAGATCCCTCTATACTTGTCATCATCAACAACCCTGTACAGCTTCACTATGAACTTTGGTATTACGTCAAAGTTGAAATTTGCCTTTATCTTGTCCATCTAGAAATCAGGCCATGTAACAGGCCGTTTTTAATGCATCGCACTTATTAAAGGAGTTGTGCTCCTGCAGCATTTGCAATCACTTCGCGATCATTCGCCTACGCATCATTGGCATATCATGAAACATCGGCACTTGATAACAAGCTCATGACACAATGTCTATGATCAACAATATATCAGACCTGGGATTCTACAGCGTTCCATTGCTCACACAGTCAATTCCCGGGCTTTTAATTTCACTCGGAGGATTGATCATGACAGGCTCGGCATTGGCGCAGGCTTCGCAAAACACCAGTCTCGATGGAATTCCAATCCTTCTGCAAACAAACTGCATCCTGGCATTCAAGGGAAACATCGAGCTCATCTTTGCTCTCTACCTCTCATCGCTGAGCCAGTCATCAGTGTTCAGCTACAAAAAATACTTCAGGTACATATTCGATAACTCAAACCTTGTAATCGCGCAATCTGCAGTCATAGGCTTGGTTATCGGCCTGCTTGGCATTATCAGCAACCTCCTGATAGGAGAAACAGACACAGGGATAAACGTTGTGGTGCTTACTGCATCGCTAATCTCATGCATCATAAGCTCAATACTGTTCATAATGCTTCTTGTCACTTCAATAGAAGCATCAAAACTCTTTGAAATCAATCCAGATAACATCATCCTTCCAACAATATCATCATTGGGTGATTACATAAATGTCCGTACATTGATATACCTTGCAACCTGGCTCAAAACCATTCCCATTCCATCGTGCCTTGCATACCTTCTTGTCTCATCATCGATAATTCCATTCTGCCTGTGCTTTGCACTCATCAGCAAGAAAAGATTACCGCTGCAATCAATAGAGGTTCTGCTGACAACATACGCAATCAGCACTATCAGCGGATATGTTCTTGAAAGCTTCAGAAAGGTGTTTCCAATTTTGACTCCTTCGTTTCCGGTGTTCAGTGGAATGTCCGTGTCAATTGCATTCATTTACTTGCATAAGATATTCACATCAATCAACAATCAGACAGTCCACAACAGCAAGGAATCGCATGCAACACTGGTTTTGATATCCATTCTAATGTCTGCCATATACCTTGCGGCTTCATCAATCATGGGGTTGAACTATCCATACTGCTTCTACATTCTCTTTACACTGTTCTTTATCGTCCAGGTCACAATCCTTCTGAAGGCCGTCACATTCCTGATCGAGTACCTTGATAAATACGAGGACGACACAGGCGTTCTTGCACTTCCACTGATCACATCAATCTCAGATGTACTTGCAACGATTTTCCTGCTAACAATATCTGTAATCCTGCTAATACTCAACACAAACAATACCATTTATTAAAACACATCCATAGAGCTTCTTCATATATAGAGTTTCATTCACATACTTCATGATTATACTCACCAAACTTCATGCCACATACTCATCAAGCTTTATGATTATACTCACTAAAACTTATCAATATACTTCATTAACATAACCAAATATACTCACTAAGCATAGCCAAACATACTTAATATACCAGATTTCATCAGCGTACCAATATATTCATATAATTCGGTTGTTCAATAAATGCCTCATATAGTATATACAACGAACCAATAATATACAATACTGCAATAACACTGCATCCTATTTTCAGAAGCAGTATATCTTTCTCAACATTCTTCTTGAACAGCGATCCAATCGGCATAAAAAACATCGCAAAAATTAACGTCACATTTCTGAATCGGTGCGAGTTACCACTGCTCGCTGCAATAAAGTCATCAATGCGTCTTCTATACACTACATAGTCTGCAATTATAGCAATCAGCATGAATGAAATAAATATCAACGAAAAAATGAATTGAATCATATCCGACCGCTTATCTTTTGTAAAAAGCTTTCTAGCCAGCACGCAGATGTAGAGGCCTCCAGCCTGTGCTGTTTTATTAAGCATTGAGTCTTTTGTGTAGAAAAGTTTGTGCTTCTCATCTGTTCTGATCTGTTTGGAGTATATATAAAACAACACAATAATGGAAATAAACTCACACAAGAACGACAGGTTCCGAATGCTTGCTATGTCCAAAACACGGCTGGGCATTTCCCACTCTTCGTACATTTCTATCAGCATTAGCAAGAAGTAATACATAAGCAGCAACAGTTGCACTGTCAGAATCCCTGCCTTCAATATCATATTAAGCTCTGTTTTGTGTAGTACATAGTTTGCTGCAACTAATATAATGACCTGTATTATGATCATCACATCACCAGCATTAACTGTAACATACTTCGTGTCAATCACTATCTTCATAAAACTTCGATCCCATGCCAATCCGCTGTTTATATGCCGTACAAGAAATTAGCCAAACACTTTCAGCGCAATCGCATATTCATAAATAACTATTCAAATACATTCTCATATCAATCTCAGAGCATACATATATCAATCTCCAATACATTCACATCGTATATATTTATCGCAATCTTCTTTCAATCTCTTCCACAAACGATTCTTGTAGTTGATCTGAACATGCTCTGAACTTAGATACATTCAATTCAGTTGGATATTTCATCAACAAGCCTTCAACTAATAGCATATAGAACTCATCTACCGGGCTCGTGCAAAGAATCTTCAATGACACTTCATATGCCACATGAAAAGACGGCACATTCTCAATCACCTTCTTGACAATACTCTTATCAAACTTTCTTACAACTATGATACGTACAAGAACAGGTGTGCTCAGAATCAATTTGTGAACCACATTCCTCAGAACACTTCGTTTGGGCTTGCTGCTCAGAATCCTCTCAATATGGATAGTCTTCACTAGAACATCCAGATTCGGCACACATCCAACAAATCGGTGCCGTCGCCTTAGAAAATACATCGATGCTGAAACATAACCGCATAAAATCTTCTTGTCGCTTGGAATATGCAAAGGATCCTTGAGCATGCATATCCTGTTTGGATGCATATTTCCGGTTTCAAACATCACTTCTGGATAGAAGTCAGTCAATGCATGCAGGTACTCTTGGATTTGTGGAAACGATGAGTACAGAAATGCTTTGTGCAGTGTCTTGAATTTTACTCCAGATTTATGCAGGGAGATAAGTCCTTCGTCATACGACATCTTCAATGCACGCATAAATGCATGAACCGATTGATACACAGCACTAACATTGCATAGGCTTTCTTGGTTCATACTTTCTACAATCATAATGCTTATCGGAGTAATCTTTGAATGCCTGATTAGTACCGACTTTTTCGACTCAGGAACCTTACATAATACATGTTGAATAAACTCCCTGTCTGTATTAGCAATCCTTCTATTACTACACTCAAACATCAGTAGAAACTTCAAAAGAGCCGTGTACTCTCTACTACTCCATTTGTTTTTATCGACACGTGACTCCCATTGCCTTGAATCATGAGTATAAACGCTTCTTCCAATCAGTCTGTTTACAATGTAGTTTACCATCCGATTGCTCTGCATCAGTATCTCAAAGCGTGGCTTACATGAAATATCCTTACATTCTTCATGAAAAAGTAACCTAATTATGAAGTTCATGCATGAATTACCAGATTTGATAATCTTTGATATGATTTTACATGTCTGTGGGTGACCACGCTCAGCACACAGCTTCTTAATGTATTCCTTGTTCACTATAAGACTCATAGGACAGGGTGTGTAAAGATATGCATAAGCAATTACGCTAGAACCCACAGAGTCATGAGCATAAACCATCAGGCAATCGAAAGAATTCTTAATATGCCAAAGGATGCAAAAATTAACCAGAAGGAACAACTAGAAATAGCTAGAATGTTCGTAAATGGAGTTCCACTAACAATTCCAATACATAAAGTTGCAGAGCTCGCAAGAATGTTCGTTTCTTGCACCAAGCGAATGTATTTGAACGAGGTAAAGAAATACCTCCAGGAAAACAACAGTGAGCTTTATGCCGAATATGCAAACATGTTCTGTAATAACCCAGGCGTCTTCGAGGCATTTGGGATAAAAAGTGAGCATCGAGGCGTACTTGTTAAGAATGAAGCAATCCAAGTGACAAGTCTCAAACCACGTATTATTCTAAGTAAAAAGAGCAGATCAACTGCATGCAAAAGAAAGATACGCAAAGGCACACAGGATGCTGCTCTTCGTAAACTCGTTAATCAAAGGAACGCCTCGTCCCAGTACAAAAAGAAGATTAACAAAATATACAAAGAAATAAAGAAAGAATAATCCATTTATATTATAAAAATCAGTCTTATACAAAATTATATAACACCATACTTCTTCCAAGGCATGTCTTCATCACCCAGATCTTCAGCTTCATCTTCAGACTCGCTTGGTATCACCAGCATCCTTCTTGGCGCTTTAGTCATTTCTGGATTCTTCGGCTTTGCTTTCTCCCTTTGTTCTGCAACATCTGTGGAGAATGCAGTGGTAGACTTTTTACCACTTGCTTTTGGTTTACATACCTTGGACTGCTTAGACGTCTTATCTGCCTTAGGCTTTACTTCAAACGATTTACTGGCCTTTACCGATGTCCTTGGCCTCGACTTGCCATTCCTTGCACTCTTGTTCAACTCATTATCATACTCTCTTGCCTCTTCCTCAACCATCTTCACATACTCTCTTTCAAAAATTTCAAGATCATCGAGCCACAGCTCCTTTTCAGTCTTCTTCATCAGACTCTCGTATTGATCAAGCTTTCTTTTGTGCTCCTCATTCAGTTTGTCTATCCTTTCTATCGTCAGGCTTAACACAGTCATGCCAAGCAGATACTCATACTCATCCATCCTCGCATACCCTCTTGCATCAAGATCCGCAACTACATCGTTTCTTCTCCTCTTATTGATAACAAGCGTTCCTTCAACAACCTCTTTGATAAATCGCACTCTGTTCTCCAACCTCATAAGCTCCTCCTTCATAACGTTCAGCATATTCTCCTTCCTCATGAAGTAGTGCCTTAGTCGTACTCCATAGAACTCCTTCAGAATCTCCTCCGGAGTAGAATACTTTTTAATCCGCTGGTTCTCATCAAAACACACCATATTATTCGTTGTAATTCCACTGCTAAGTTTCATTTTCTTCACATGCTTCACCATCTTCACATCAAAATGCACACTCTTCTCTGTATGATACTCCTTAAAGTCCTTCACCAATCCACTCTGCATCAGAGACTCAAGATACTCCTTGTAATTCAACGTCCATACGCCAACAGGTAATTCAGTAATCCTCATATCAATATCCCCATCACTTACTCCATATATTACAAATCTTCCATCACCGGCCTTCTCAATCTCTCCTCTGAAGTTTCTGTAGTGCGGTATCATCTCCTTTACCTCCTCTCCTCGGATCATCCTTCTAATGTTCTCAACTATATCAATCGGACTGAAGTTCGGAATCGACGTACTCCACCCAGTCCCTATTCCCTCTCCTCCATTCACTAGAACCATTGGAATAATGGGTACATAGAACTCTGGCTCAATCTGCAAGTTATCGTCGTTTAGGTACTTCAGAATCGCATCATCATTCTCGTTGAATATCAGGCGAGTAAGTGGCGACAAAGACGTGAATATATACCTTGCACTTGCTGCATCTCTCCCTCCTTGCAGTCTGCTTCCAAACTGCCCTATTGGCAAAAGCAGATTGATGTTATTTGATCCGACAAAGTCCTGTGCAAGATTCACTATAGTCGAACATAATGACTGCTCCCCGTGGTGGTATGCAGACTGCTCAGAAACGTATCCCACAAGCTGTGCAACCTTAATCTCACTCCTTAGCTTCCTCTTGAAACAACTAAAAATCACTTTCCTCTGTCCAGGCTTCAACCCATCAATAACACTCGGTATCGATCTTACATTGTCTGCCATCGAAAACAAAATCAACTCTCTATTCACAAAATCACATATCGATATCTGTGTCTTCGACTGATCAAGAAACGTACCAGGCACATAATTAAACAGCCATGTCTTTCTTGCATCCGCCTTCTTCTTGTTAAATGCCAAGTCAATCGACTCCTTGTCATCATCAACAAGCGGTGTAAACGACTTCACATGCACCGGCAAATTGCTAAAATACTGTTTTGCATCCGCACTCGTCGAAGTTCCAAGTCCTTTGTAATACTTCACGTCCCAGCCTTCTTCAGTCTTCTTAAATTCCTCATACTCTGGAAGTGTAAAAAAATCCTTTACCACTCCTCTCTTGCTTGCCCTGATAATCGGTGTAATAAACTCAAGCAGAAATCCAGAAATCCTTAACAACGATGGATAAAAATGATCCATAAAATTGATTATAAGCCCCTTAATGTGGCTTCCGTCATGATCCTGATCCGTCATTATCATAACATGTCCATACCTCAGAGTGCTTACATCCTCATACACCTTATTGTGCTGCAGTCCAAGAATCTTCTTTATGCTTGATATCTCTACATTATCCATTATCTGCTTGTGCGATGCTTCTCGTACATTCAGCAACTTTCCTCTCAATGGAAATACTCCATATGTGTCTCTCCCAACAATACTAAGTCCTGCAACAGCTAAAGTCTTGGCAGAGTCTCCTTCAGTTAAGATTAACGTGCACTCCTTAGATCTGCTTGTGCCTGCAAGGTTCGCATCCTCAAGCTTTGGAATGCCCGAAAGTCTCGATGTCTTCGTTCCATCGCTCTTCTTGAGCTGCTGGCTCTGTTTGGCCTTTGCAAAAGATGCAATCTTTTCCAGGATCCCAGTGCCTTTCATGATATTCTTCACAAACTCAGACATCGGCTCGCATTTGGATCCAAACGCACTAGCCCTCAGTGTAAGGTTCTCCTTAGTCTGCGAGTCAAACGCAGGATTCTCAATAAGACAGTTGATAAACACAAACATAGACGACTTCACCAAGAAAGGCTTAATAACAAGTCCTTTCTCCTTCTTAAGAATACTCTCAATGATCGGCCCCACAAGCCTCTCAACGACATGGTTCACATGGCTTCCTCCCTTTGTCGTGCATATTCCATTCACAAACGAAACCTGTTGAAACTGATCCTCACTTGTGGTAAAAGCCAACTCCCAGCGATCGTTGATCACCTGATGCACCACATCAGTATCCGGCGGTAGATATAACTTCACATACGACTTAAATCCCTGGACATTAATTTTCTCATCGTTCAGAAAGATTCTCACATTCTTCACAATTCCTCCAAGATCATATACCCTCTTCTTAAGCAAGCTAACCATGTCATCATCCAATCTATTCATCTTGAACCGCTTTAGGTCTGGTTTAAATGTGATTTTTGTAAAGTCCTCTTTTGTGTATCTGCCTATTTCAGGCTCGTCCTTCATTCCCATGTTGTTTCTGTACACTTGCTTGTAGTACTTCTTCACCTCTGCATCAGATGTCTCGACAATAAACTCCTTACTGAATATATTGCACAGCTTTGCCCCATATCCATTTCTTCCCCCTGTCACCTTCTTTTCATCATCATTGTAGTTCGAAGACGTCAGAAGGTTTCCAAATATCAACTCAGGCACATACACATTCTCCTCCTTATGGATCCTTATTGGAATACCTTTTCCGTTGTTATACACAGATATTGTGTTTTCCTCCACATCAATTGTAACCTTGATTGTGTCCATCCTGGGATCTCTGATTTTGTTGTCGGCTGCATTCACTATTATCTCGTCAAATATCTTGTACAATCCAGGGACATACTCAATGGTCTTCAGAATCATCGATTTGCTTTTTTCGTCCCACACATACATCTGCTGGGTCTCCTTCTCTACAGATCCGATGTATGTATCTGGCCGCAGTAGGATATGCTCAACCGGTGTCTTTTTCTGATAGGTTTCCTCAATGCTTTTCATCTGTTTTGAAGGATATGCAAATGCCCTTTTTTTGTGTACTGGGTTGAACTGAAGAGCATAATTAATTCACTGTATAAAAACATAATAAAGTTTACTTAATGTTGCATATAACTTATGCAAGTAGCATAAATAGAGTTGCATCAATATTTTATTATATATCTGCAGGATGTTGTCAATATAAAAGTTCACAAGATCTTGTAGTAGACATATACCAGTGAGTAGGTAATATTGAATAACATGCACTCATGAATAAGTAACCTTGAATATAATCGCATATCAATAGATAATATTAAATAACATATAATGATGAATAAATAACCTTGAATATAATCGCATATCAATAGGTAATATTGAATAGTTTATTTATGGATCAATATCATTTCTGAATCATATCAGGAGACAATGTATAACAGCAGCATTTGTATATCTATACTTTTATTCCAATCCAAGGTTCAAATCAAACTTCTTGAAAAGCATTCTGAATCGCTTTCTTCCAGCACTTGATGCTGTTATCTGCTTCTGTCGCTTTGTGCCCGCTTGTAAATACTTAAGTCGTATGAGGTAGTGATAAATTTCAAATACAGAGTCGACAAGATCTGCAATTCTGCGGTTGGCAAACAACAGATTGTGCATTTCATCACATCGCCCTAGACCACGCACCTTGAGATACTGAACAGTCTCTGAAAAATTCTCGAGGACTTTCTCTATATTTTCATCTATTGCAGTAACAAGATCTATTCTGTCCATGAAGCTGGGATATGTAGAATGAAAAAAATTGCCCCAGAATGATCTTTGTACCGAACATGATTGTTGTAGTGACGAAGGGGAAGAATGCAGGTAAGAAGGCGGTAATTATAAAACACCTTGAAGGAAAATATGTGCTGACTGCATGTGTCGTCAGGATTCCCAAGGAGTCTGAGGATCACGAGCCGAAATGGATGAAGAGAAAGAATGCAAAGCTCTATGTCATTCTGAAGAAGTACAGTATCAAGCATTTGATAGCAACAAGATACAAAGCAGATATAGGCTTGAGTGTTGCGGATTTCAATGGGATTGATGAAAGCGAGGAAACGAAGAAGGCACTTACTGAGAGGACAAAGGATATAATGATAAGTGCGCTTAAGGAGAACAAGGCGAAGTTTCTGTTTACAACCTTGAGCTTTTAGCTATTAAACAATTCTTAGTATTTGAGTGTCTTAGTGTGTTTTTGAATGACATTAACTTACAGGCAGTGCCTGTAAGAAGCAAAAAAGCCCATTAGTATTCAGGAAATCTGTTTATGCAAGAATATTAATTCTGATGATGCATGAAATGCAAGGCATTTTTGTTTTGATGAGAATAAATGTGCAAACAAATTAAAGATCGACGACCCTGAGTAGTAGTAGAATGGAGATCGACCTAAATATTGCAGATATTGAGGCTTCTAAAGATACATATGACTTCCTGTTATTGGCATATGATGATAAAGAAGTGATGGTTGAGAGGAGCATAACGATAGTTTTCAAGAGGTTTCACGATACGATAATCGGTGAAAGTAGGATTATGTTGATGAAGAAATCGTTTCCATGGGATGTTTGCAACGGAGTTGTTTTACTGAGCAACTCTTTTCTGAGGCATGGCGAGGAGGGATGCGAGTATACATCAGAGATATTGCATGGAAAATACCATGACAAGGTAAATAGTTATGATGTGTATAAAAGAGAGGTTGTTGGTGCAGTAAGGTATTGGTTTTCGAGACGGATATGTGAAAGCAACGAGTTGAGCAGCGGGACAAGTGACGAAGGATTTGTTAAGAAGATGTTTGAGTATTTCATGAGTGATGACAAAGCAGGAGCAATTATTAGCATTAAGAAGCTGATGGACTATATCAACAGCGGAAGCAATAGCTGCAAGATAAGTATCTTTTTTGGAGGGATCCTTGTTGAAAAATCGATGTCAGATATGAATGCAAGGTTCACAAGGAATGTTGATTTGGTTCTTGAGAAGAGTGAGGAGAATCTTCCAAAGATGTTTGAGTCTTTCTATATTGATGAAGTGGGCAATTTACCTGATGAGTATGGAAATAAATGCAGAAGAAACCCACTGTTCAAAATAAGTATGAATGAGTACGATAGACATCGAGAGGATAGACCGATGTGTATGTCGAATATCCTTTCTAGTGATGGATACATAGTATGTGATATGGATATCCTGCGTGGAATCAAAAGACTGTTATATTTTACAGTGTGCTCTTATGCAATTAGTTGGCCTGGGATGTTCTTGAAACCTCAGGCACAGGTTGATAATAATATACAAGTAGACCGAAGAGCTGTGCTGAGGATTCTTGGGATAGATGACTCTGACCTAATGAAGGTATGCTTGGATGTATCTGAGGTGGTGCAGCATGTTGTATTCTATGATAGAGAGCATATGAGAATGGTAATCTCATTCAAAGGGACTACGAACTCTGAGGATGCAATAGAAGACATAAACTGTGAATACACGAGATTTAGTAATGGATTTGCACACAATGGATTTTTAAGGCTTTCGATGCTATTTATCAATAGTCACATTGATGCAATCAAGCAGATGCTGGAAGCGATGAATTGTAATAGACTTTTATTATCTGGACATTCGCTTGGTGGAGCGATTGCAGTGATGACTAAAATAATTGTAGAGGAGAAGAAATTACTATCTGGAGTGAATGTGGAGGCAATGGGGTTTTCAGCACCACCGGTTGTGTCTGAGGAGATAGCAAGCAGATACACGGATGGGATTGCGGTGATAAACTATGGAAATGATATTATTCCGAGGATGAGCTTTGGAAGCATTCTTGACCTGAAGTTTCTGTGTTGCTCAATAGGCAAGAGGTATGGGCCGTTTGACTTTGGTAAAAGCATTGAGAAGGATATTGATGCAGTGGCTGAGCACCTTGGAACAACAAGGATGCACCCGAAGCTGTACTTTGCAGGAGAGATTGTGCATTTGAAGAGGATCAGATGCTCACTTGATGAGAATGAAAGCCCGATTGTTGTGTTTAAGAAGGTGAGTATGAGTTTCTTTGAGAGCATTGTGTTGATAAAGCATGCACCGAAGCACCACATGGTAAGCCATATTGAGAGTGTGATTGATGAAGGAATCGAGGTTCTTGAAAGGAAGCATGACGCATGAATATATGTGTAGAAGAAGATGAATATAGATGAGATTAGAGTGCTTTGTATATTTGTTAACGCGTGTTGGAGATGATGAGCCTGTGAGTTTATTATATTAACGAGAGATTATAGATTTAAGGTATAGCGTATATTAATGCAATGTGTCGACTTAAGGTGTGTGTAGTATGTATATTATGTGTAAGTATAATATCTAATGTTTAGAATATATTGAGGATGAAGTGCGAAGTAAGTTTAATAGGTGTTATGCATATAAATGCTACAGTGATGTTATACAATGCTTAATATTAAGATATGTAATGCATAATGTTTAAACCTAAGACATGCTACGCAAATGTGTAAGATTAAGGTGTATTTTCAAGAATTGCCGAAAAACAAACCCCTGAAATGGATGAAGACTTGGGGATGATAGCCGAGAGGATACGAGACAGCGATAAGGAGATACAAAACAATGCTATTGGGATGTTGTTCGGAATAGCAAAGTCGTCGCATTCAAGATCTGTGGATGTGGTGAATTTCCAGCACCTTGCAGACAGCCTAATGATGTTTGAGGAGGTATGCAAAGAGATCAGTGGAGAGAATAGAAGAAAATTATGTGACATAATCAGTGCAATATGTGTTATTGATGACGAAAGGAAGCTTTTGAGATATCGCGTGGATGGGAATGTGATTGATCTTGAGGAGTGGGGGCATTTATATGTAAAGAAGCTCGTTGAGTGTATTTTGAATGCCAAGAGCGGGAAGATAGAGTTTGTGTTTGAGGAGACAAGAGATGTAAGTCTGAAGTGCGTAGAGTTTCTTTTCAGACACAATGCAGAGTTTGAAGCGATTGACTTTTTGGTGGAGATAGAGTGGATTGGATTAGTTGAGAAATATGTTGATGAGCACAACTATAGAAGAGTGGTGCTTTATCTTGAAGAGATGGGTTTGTTTGTTGATGTTGAGGAAGTCCTTTCTGGAATATATATGAAGATGGGTGATTGTACGAGACATGTTGTATGGATGCTGAGGCATCATAGGAAAGGTAGTGCAATTGATTATGTGAAAGGAATGAGCAAAGGAGAATATAAGACACAATGCCTGTATATGCTTGCAAAATGCAATTTGTACTATGAGAGTGATGATGTAGATGAAAGATATATCCTGTCGAATAGCCATGTGAAAGATTTGTATAGGAGTGTTGTGATGGAGCTGGAGATGGACAAACCAAGCAAGATAGAGTCAATATTAAGGGGATTTAAACCTGACAAGGATAGCAAGCAGCTTGCATCTGTTGCAATGGCAAATGGATTTATCCACATGGGATATGGACGTGACCCGATGTTTTTACCACACGAAGGAGACATCCGGGTTCCTCTGGATTACGAGGCGATTCTTGGCGGAAACCAATCTGAGCTCATCTGTGTGTTTGGATCGATCGGGGTGATTGAGTCATGGAATTCTGAGAAGGTAATGGAGGTTCTACAGGAGCACATTTTCTGCGACGGATCGTACAGGAAGACGGGAAGCTTGTTGGGCCTTGCACTCTCAGGCAATAGAAATTTTGAGGAGTGGCCGGCAATTCTTACGCTTTTACAAGGAAATTTGCAGCAGCAAGGATGTGCACATATACTTGCAACATTGCTAGGGATAGAGTCTATGTATTGTGGGACGCAATCTGAGGAAATACGTGAAATGTTACAGCCACTAATGTTTTCAGACAGCAGTGAGGTTGTGTTTTTTACTTCATTCGTACTTGGAAGTGTATTCTGTGGATGTGCAGACGAGGATCTTACATCTCTAATGATACAGGTGTTTGTTGATAAAAGCAAGGAATCAGAGACTCAGTTCTTTAAATTCCTAATGCTTGGGCTTGCGTTTCTGTTTTACAGTAGGAAGGATGTTGAGTGTGGAGTGATTGAAATAGATTGTCCACTCAGCAAACATGCAGCAGTATTAGTCAGAGGGTTCCAGCATGCATACAGTGGAGACTCTGCAGTGATTGAGTCAATACTAACTGATTCATTTACTGGTGACACTGATGCATTACTTGAGTCGCTTGGACTCCTAAGCTGTGCTCTTGTATCAGCAGGAGATGAAATATCCAGTCAATCAGTCACTGGGATAATATCATCATCACTACTCTTGGATTCATCACACTTGAGGAATGTACTTCCACTATGTTATAGTATTCTGTATCCTTCTAATCCACAGGGGAATGTTCTTGATCTGCTTGAGAAGTTCCTGAACATTGGAGAGACGAATTGTGTGATTTCCACATTGCTTTCGCTTGGACTTATTGGGGCAGGCACAATGAATGGCCGTATATCAAAGATTCTTGAGCAGCAGTATTCGTACTATTATAAAGATTCGAAGATTCTCGCGATTCTTAAGATTGCGCAAGGACTGTTATCGTTGGGAAAGGGGATGCTAAGCATCTCTCCATTGCATTTTGACAAGGCAACGCCTGTTTCTAAGAGTTTAATAGGATTGTTCTCAACAGTGTTTATGTTTCTGGACTCATCAAGTAGTCCTCTGGTATCTTCCCACACGTATCTATTCTTTTTGATATCTCAGGCATGCACACCGAAGTATGTAGTGTGTTCTGAAAAGATTGGAATCCGAGTGGGGCTTCCGGTGAACACTGTCGGTATAGTTGGAGAGCCTCGGAGACTCTCGTCAATTCAAACGCACACAACGCCTGTAGTGTTAAATGAAAAGATGAGGGCAGAGACCGACGATGCCGTTTGTACATCATACATTGAAGACGTATTGGTTCTCAAGGCGAAGAATTAAATGATGTTTGTTGTGGTTCTGTATTGATTTTCATATCATGGTTGTGGTTGTTGGCCAAGAAGGTATTCTTAAGAAACTCAAGCTGGACTTTGTTTGTTACCAGATGTGCACGAAGACTTCTGAGGCATATAAATGTGTTTATGAACATGTCCAGTGTGAGTGCTTCTGCCTTCTTCAAAATATCATACATAATGAATGTCCCAGTTCTTCCTACTCCTGCAATGCAATGTACAAGAACAGTTTCTGTACGGATTGCATCAAAGTATCTATGGAAAAAGTCCATCTCATCAGGAGGCAGGACTGAAAAGTCAACCCAGTTTATGTATCTCAGTCTCCTTATCAGTTTGTCTTTGATCGCGTAAACTTCATCGACAAATATCTCTCTTCCTTCAAACTCGACTATCTTTCGCTCATGCAAGCACTCTTCATCAAAGTATTTTGTATCATTTATCAATGACACAACCAATCTTGTGTTTGATTTTATCAGTAGATATATGAAGACATCCTTTTTGTTATCCAGTGGATTCTGAGCAGCTATATATAATGTCCCAGCAGTAGGAACAAACGACGCATTGACATATTCATCAAGGTTGTATGTGTCTGATACTTCTTTGTTATAAGGTGTGCATCCAGACCTGTCATATTCTGTTCTTGGCAACTTGAATGATGCTGATAGCGAGTCCATGAGTGAAATAACATTCTCGAGTCTATTGCCTTCTATTTCACATCTGATGTATTCATAACTCTCTGTTAATAATTTCTTCAATTTGTTCTTCTCATCCATGGGTTATGACTGGAATGTTGTATTGGTTAGATCAGGTTTAGTTATCCATTTGCTTGATGAAGTATGATGAAGTAGATTGCTTTTGTAATGTACTATCTATATAATGCATTATTCATTAACTGTGCAGAAATAAGTATATATGCTATGTATTATGCACATCTTGCTTTGCTATACATTATTTATGAACAATAAACCAGTTACTTATAATTATGCGCTCAATTGAGTAATGTACGAGCAGATATTCAAAACAGATATGTATCACATAGTGGCATATATGTCTAGTCGCTCAGGACTGCCTTCTAGTAACGGATGCATTTACTTTTCGTCAACTGTGCAAATCAACTTTCCAAAAGGCTTTGTTCACAAGGAAAATAATATGCTTTTCTGCAAAGCCAATGCACAGGGATGCAACTCATATCTCAAGGCCTTGTCAATCAAACACATCACAAGTTCATTATCAGGATTCCGTGTTCTTCGCAACCTCTTTCCAAGTATTTTTGATACAAGCTTCATCCACAGAATAAATGTGCAGCATCACATCTACCAACACCGACAGGTAATCATGGAGTCTTCAATCAAGATACTTGGTTCAAAACTCGTTAATGAAATCAATTTGTGGAGCAAGATCAACTGGACATATGGCTGTGCAGATCAACAAGGCGTAACTAATGATAATGGAGATACCACAGACGATCACAGCTGGTGCATGAGTGATTAATATCATTCACATAAACAAATGTTTACAACACCATACAACTAAATGCTGTACAAAGACCAAATGAACACTTGTGTTTAAGAAATATCTATTTAATTATACGGATCATCACAATACACACAGAAACTCAGTGTGCCATGAATAAAGCTGTTACATTCCCTACAAAACGTGTTTCTGCATCCCTCGCACATCCACTCACACTCAATTCCACAAATGCTGCACATTCCATTGCTTGCACAAACAAAAGGCTTCAGTGGATACAAAAACCTTAGTGATTTGGAAAGACTTAATGTGGACACAAGCTGTGTACTGCATATGGGACAGTGAATCGGTAGTGAGCATACAATTGTGTTGCATACTGGACATTCATATCCAAACATCTTCATTTCCAGGTGGCAAGCACATACGCTTGGCTCCTCCAGAATCAACGGAAACCCTATCTTTGCCAGGCTTAGCTTGGTTCCGTTATAATCTGATGGATGGTGAAATCTTGCCATGATTGCTGAAAAGTGGTTCATGTCAATTGGAACATAAAATCCTCCTTCTGTTGCTTTTGATATCGACTTATATAACGCAACCTCTCCGCATAAGCTTATGAAATGCACTTTTATGCTGTACGCCTTCATTTTTGAAAGCACCTCTGTATACCCATGAGGATCCCTAGTTGATGTGCTTGCAACTATCACCAGAATTTCCTTGACATATGTCGAGTTTTTCATGATCTCAACAGATCCTTCAAGTCCATTAAGTAGCGAAAACCACTTACATCCTGTTTGTCCAAGAAATGAATGAATATCTATGTCGACACTACTAACGTACTTTACACAAACATCACGCACACTAAGAAACGATAGCACAGAAAGAGGATTTTCGGTGTAAAATGAGGGAACAAACTCTTCAAGTGCTTTTACTATGTTTGCTCTGAATGAAGGAAGAAAGTCTATCTTGTCAATGGCCTCAGAAACATCTACTACAATGTGCAGGTGTCTTATTATTCCCTTTCTATTGTTGCTGTATGAAGCATCGGCCTCCATAATGGCCTCGTTGATTTTGCTCTGTGGACCTTCTTCCCATGTCCTTTTGTATTCCTGTTCCCATGAAAACTGCTTTGCCATGGCCTCAATGTGCCTGGCTGTTTTGTGCTGCAAGGCCATTTTGGGCGGATGCATTGAGAATGCAAACTTAAAAAAATGTATTCATGGGGGTTTGATGAAGATGGAGAATGTGAAGAGGATTGAAGATGAGATAAGAAATGATGATGAGAAGAAGAAGGAGGACACAATAATGCTGTCTGAAGATCGTGTTGATGCACCATGTCTTCATAGAAAAAGGAAAATCACACCGATCTGTGTGCAGAAGAAAAAGTGTGTTCTAGAAAATACGTCTAAAGAGGAGGCAGCTAAGTTAATATGCAGTAAATGCAGCAAAAAGCTAAAGCTGACAAATAACTATAGCTGTAGATGTGGAAATATGTATTGTGCAAATCATAGATTCCATGATCAGCATGACTGCACATTTGATTACAAGGCAATTGCGATCGCAAAGCTGAAGCTACAAAATCCAAAGCTAAATGAGAAGAAGATAAGCGATTGATTGATAAATGGCATGTGATAAGCAAATTATTGGCCCTCCAGTAACTGGTTTGCTTATTTGAACACATCGAAAGAGCAGTGAATATATAGAGCGATGTGAGTGCTTGGGCCATTTGTATATCTGGATATGCCTGCAGATCTAAATCTGGTGCTGTTGTCTTCTAAGTAACCTGAAGCATCTGTGTACTAATCCTAATGAAGTTATATTCCATTTGAATTTGTCTTTACTTTATTAAAGTGCCCATGCATAGGATGCTGTTTAATTATGGCCATGGCAATATATTATGACTTTATTCTAGGACCTGAATGTTTATGCCATCGAGGAAATTTGTGAGTGGAACACTAAAGTTGATTGCATTTATAATCTATCCTATTGTTGAGCTGTATCAGTACTTTGTGTTCATTGGGCTGCTTTGTATGGAGGAGAGGGGCGTGCTTTCATGGACAATACTTGTTGCATACATTGCGTACCATCTTCTTCTGGCATATAAATCAATGTTCTACATGCGCCTGCTGGTTACTGAAGATAAAAGCACATTAGATATATTTCCGGATCTTCCATGCGATGAGAGCAACCTTGAGATCAGAAACATAAACAGCTTTGTTGAGGAGAGGATAATGAAAGACAATCTTTCTCGAATCAAGATATGCGGCAAGTGCAAGACATACAAACCACCAAGAGCCCATCATTGCAATGTATGCAAGCGATGCTATCTTAAATATGATCACCACTGCCTGATGCTTGGTGTGTGTATTGGGTTTCACAACTACAAGTTTTTCTATCAGTTTTTGTTCATGAACTTGGTGACATGCTTGTTTCTGATCATTTTTGTATCTGTGTATATGACTGTGTCTGGATGGATAGCATTCCAACGATTGGTCAACTATATTATCCTGCTCAGTCTGACATCTGTTGAGCTTGTATTTATATCTTCATTGCTGGTATTCCACACATGGCTGATAGGAATGAATGAGACGACAATAGAGCATTATGTCATTGATGACTATATCAGCGGTGATCATACATTTGGACATGTTTTCCAGGAAGGCCCAATAACATCGCTATCAACAAGTACAGATAGGCAGGTTCTGAATCCATACAACCTTGGACTTGGCCAGAACTGGAAGCAAGTCTTTGGGAATAGCTTTAGACACTGGCTTATGCCCACATACTCAACACCAGGAAACGGAGTATCTTTCCCAAAAAATTACAACAAATACTATGAGTTTCTTTATTAAACATTTACATGCTTATATTGTTTATTCTATGAAACATTCCGATATTTCCTATTCATGCTGATCTATTGCTATCAATGTTAATAGCAGATAAGTTATTTGAGAAGTATTTCCCAACAATCCTTGCATATGCCTTGGATGTGTAGAAAACATCCACAAACACAATAAACCGATCTCTACGTTTAAAAAACCGGCTGTCTGGATGGATCCACACTATCTCACCGCTGTTGACATGCCTGTAACTTCCATCTCCCACTCTCTCACATGCATTGTGTTGATAAGCACGGCTAAAAACACTCTCAACCATCTCAATGTCTCCGTCCTTGCATCTTCTTAACGATCCAAATGTTTGCCTTGCAACTTCCATACACTTCATAGACACTCCATGTTTTACACAATATTGCTTCCTGTCCTCGCTGTCAATATATCCCTCAAACAGCTTGATAAGAAACTCCAAGTCACTCTTACACTCAATCTCCTTGCATTTCAGAAAGCTGTATCCTTCTTGGCCTGCCAAAGAAACAACAATCGATCCAAAGTATCCAACACCACTCTCAATTGTCTGTTGATAAAAATGCGCTAGATGTGTATCAAAAGGATGTCTCAGTACAGTCCTGCCATATCCCGTCACCTTCATCTTTATTCTAGAAACATCTTCATTTCCTATTCCATCAACTTCAATGCATCTCTTGGCTACAAGAAATTTAATTGCATTCACAATGTTTGCACATGTAGGATAGTCTAGAAACTCAAAGGTCAATGGATTCTTGCCATGGCTCAAAAGCTGCAGCACTACTTGAGATAGATCAGACCTGCATATTTCAGGTGTCTGCTGATTTGGCATTTCTTCATATGCACTTTCAGTATACAATCTGTAACACACCCCAGGCCCTGTTCTGTTGCATCTTCCCAGTCGTTGGTTTGCTGACTCTTTTGATATTGCTTGAATTCCAAAATAGTTCATCGCATCGTAGATCTTCACCTTCACAAGCCCTGTGTCAATCACATATCCAACTCCAGGTATTGTTAACGACACCTCACATATGTTTGTTGATAGAATAACCTTGATCAGCTTCGACTCCTCATATATCTTGCTCTGCTCATTGTCCCCAAGTGCTGAAAACACCTTGTAAACCTTCACAACAGGAATCCTTCTCAGCATCAAACACAGCTCATTAATATCTTCTTCACCAGGAAGAAACACAAGAATGTCTCTGCCATTCACATCTTCTATGCCATGGCATCCACTTACTATCTTCTTGATCCTGCAATATGCCTCTACCAAATAGTCGCTTGTGCTTTCCTGTAAATACTCTGTTCTAACTGGATGTGGTGTTCCTGATATCTCCAGAACATTTGCATCAAAATACCTGCATATCTTCTTCACATCAACCGTTGCACTCATCAGTATAATCTTTCCACTCATTCTGCCAATCATGCTTCTTATCAGTCCAAGAATAATATCTGTTCGTATCGACCGCTCATGCACCTCATCAATAATCACATAATCAAACTCATACTTGTCCATTTCGTTTAGAAAACTCCCGTCTGTGTATATCACTACTCTTGCATTCTTTAGTCCATGCTTACTGAACCGCATCTTGTATCCAACATTCGCTATCACCTCAGACAGTGTCTTGTACAGCGACATAACAGCCATTCTTCGTGGCTCAACTATCGCTATCCTTGATCCTTCAGACGATAACAAATACGGAATGTATGTCGACTTACCACATCCAGTCGGTCCTTTGATCACGCAAATCTTCGATTTCTCGACTACTTCAATTATCTTATCCTTATGCTTTTCTATCGGTAAGTAGTATCCATACAAAGACATCAAGGGTTTCAGTTTCATTCAAAGATGTCAAGAGGCTTATTCTTATTCTTACTTATACTCTATTACATCATATCCAAACTATATCAATACTTCACCGATGCTCCACCATATATCACTTCTACGTATCACTCATCACATCCAATTCAATATGTTGAAACACATTACTATTTTCTATCACATTCATTTAAATCTTTTATCTTCTATCACACACTACTCACCTTCATATGCAGATACGCATCTTTCATATAAAAAAATCTTACATTTTGCAATCATGCGTAAAACATCCATCTTTCCAATACATTCTTGTATTCTGTATTCAATTTCAGATTCTTTCCTGCATATATCGCCATGCCCATACATCTGCAATATTTCAATCGCTGCACTCTTCCACGTCACATCAATACCACTTGATGCTTCTTCAACATCTTCAATCTTAAAGTCCACAATCTCAAGTGTGTATCTTGCTGAAACTTGTACACTTTCCAACGAAAATCTTGAAAACTTCTTCCCCATTCGTGCCAATTCCTTGAGTATCTCAATAACCTGATATGCATGATAAACAACCACAGACGGATATGCATTACATAACACATCAAGGCACATCTTCAGTGTTCCAAAGCACTGCTCATATATAACAAAGCTTCTATCATTTATGTTTTTGATTGAAAATACAGGAATATATTCAGGTGCAATCTCAGAAATAATGGAGGCTTCTGACCCAAACATCTTCTTGAGAACAAGTGTTGTCTTATTCATCTGTAATATATGTGTTGTATCTTCATAAATGCATACAACTTCATATGCATAATTATTAATCATGCTTTTGATATAATACGCACAGTCCTCAGCAATCAGTTTGTTTCCCACTTGTAGATTCATTTTCGCATCAGCACGCTCCATGTTCATTATAATGTTAGGCGCTGCTTCTTCATCTTTCGTCTCTTCTTCATTGCATGAATATCCAAAATACACCCATTCATTCTCTGATTCAATTTGCACATTCTCTCGATCACAAATGCATGAAAGTGCTCTGAACTCCTCAAAGGACATTTCTTCGTCTCCACGCACAAAAAGTATTCTATTATAAGATAGCTTCTCTTCATACGCATTCCAAGCCTTTCCAAATACAAAGAATCCCTTTGGATTCATCAATGCACTTATATCATTCTCAGAATGCTTGCTATCATCCTCAGGCAGACTGTCCATTTCCATTCGTAGAACATCGGCATCGTATGCATTGCAATTCACCCCAATCTCTATTACATGTCTGCACATCCAACTCCTTCCAATACTTTCAAAATACCTCGAGAGCTCAAGATAGATCCAGTGATAATACTGCGATATCTTTTTGTGCTTCATCAAAAACAGCACTGCTGGGCTTTTGCAAATGCTGTAGTAGCGCTTCCAGAGCGAAATATACAACGGATTGTTTTTAAAGTATGGGCAATCAATGTACCTCTGCAACACTTCCTCAAGCTCTTCATCAGGCACTGCATCAAGATCCATTATTTATTACAGGGTATGCTGTCACTGTTATTCCAGCTCGAGAGTCATGTATATACAACACCAAATAAATACTCACACATTTAATGTTTAGATTAGCCGCATAATGCATTGATTGTGGTGCAATTCAGTAATACATCATGGTTACTCTTCTGACACATCTTTCAAAAGACATGCGCAAAAATCTCCCATGGCATTGCTTCACACTGAAAATCCTGCCAATGTGGCCATTCTTTGTGACAACTGCTTTTCAGACATCACCTATGCACAACACATAAGATGTTGTGATTGTATAACAGATCTGTGCATAAATTGCTTTGTAAATCAGGTAGAAACCATACATCATAGCAAATACCATTATTACAGAACTATTTCACAGATGAACAGGCAAATAGGTACAAATGAATGGACACTACTTGAAGAGACTCTGTTTGTCGAAGGACTTGAGATATTTGGAATAGGAAATTGGATAGAGATTGAAAAGTATGTTGGTAGACGTAGAGAAATAAAACAGCACTTCTATAAACTGCTTGGAATACAGGACGATGATGAATGCACAGATGCTCGATGTAAACAAAGCAATCCATACCGAGGATGTATCTCTTCATACATGCCACTTAGAAAAGACTTTGAGATGGAATATCTGAATGATCAGGAAGCCATCATTACGAACCTCAGAACAGACAATAAAACAGGGAAAATGCTTGCACAGGCAATGCTTGATTCGTATGTAAAGATTGTGATGTTCAGAAAGCGCTGGAAATATGCAATATTTGAGAAGATGATGGTTGATTTGAATCAAATCAAGAAAAGTAGAAGCATAGCAAATGAAATGGATATGCATGAAATCAAATGTATTGCACCTTACATGACAAAAAAAGACTTCAATACGTTTTTCAATGGAATTTATATCGAGAAGTATCTGTATAGAATGTTGATGAAGAAATCAATACCAAGAAAGAATCACAGCATGGACACGTGTCCCAATGCATCAGCATGTGTTACATCTAAACGCAGGCAGCTTTCAAGAGATGCATTTCTTAGTGAGAATGAAAAGAAACTCTGTAAATCCATAGAAATACCATTTGACAAAGATATGAACTACAAGACTATTGCCATTAATCATATGGTCAATAAAACAAGACTTTCGATTGAGGACCTTAAAACGGTCTTTCAGAGTCATGCTGATGCAGAAAAGGCATATCAATTGCTACATGACCAAGGATGAATCTGGAAGAAATCAAACCAGAATAATATATTCGCGTTTATTGGAAGCCAGGTGTTCTATTCCTTGTTTCTTTAAAGAAGCAAATTATCAATCCAATGAACACCAGCATGCATACAGTGTAGAACGAAAACACAATGTTTCCATGTGCCTTATGCAGTGGATAGAAGATTGCAAGGATTCCATATGCAGAGATCCAATTCAAAGACACAGCCAGTAGACCTGCAGGGCTTGAGTAACTCAACGGGAATATTTCAGCGGTTATGAACCATGGGATTGAGCTCAATCCAAGGTTGTATCCCAACATGAATAAAAGTGCTGCTATTGCCGGATACATGTTCATTGTCAGCATTGTTGTCGATATGCTTATTACCATTGAACTGATTATGATCATTGGCTTTCTTCCAACTTTGTCCACGTAGTTTGCGAATATGATTGTGGTGAACACAGAAAAGAGCGAGGCAAGAATTGTCATGGTGTCTGCTGAATACATGTACTTGCCGTTTGAAAACAAGTCTCTGAGGAAGAGTGTTATGTAGTCCACCCCGCTGAGATGTTGTGATATATGCACAAGGACTGCAAGAAATATTGATCTCTTTGCACATCTCTTCTCAAGGAGATCTATTACGGACTTTGAAGCCTCGCTTCTGCTTAAGCGCGGATCTCGTACACCATTGAGCACAATGAAGTTCAGTGAGGCAATTATGATGGCTATGCAGCTGGGAATCCACCATGTACGCATTCCATTTATGCATGCAAGGACATTTCCAAGTGTTATTCCCACAATGATCCCAAGTGAATGGAAAGACAGTAGAAACCCTCTGTTTTTTTCAGGTGCTATCATTGAGATGTAAGGTGAGACTACGGCACATGCTATTCCAGATGCAAGCCCTAGTATAAAGCGTCCAAAAAACACTAACACAAAGCTCTGAGATATAAGAAAGCTCAAGTATCCGAGTGCATATAGGAAGTTGTTCATCCTCAGCGTCATCTTGAAGTTTGGCTTGTACATGTTTATTGCAATGTTCGAAACAAGACATCCAAGGAAGATGGCGCCAGAAGTATGTCCCCACCTTGTATCCATTTCTGCATCGTTCATTGTAGAGCTCCACACCGACATGACTCTGGAATGCATTGAGCCCATTATTGTCAACGACACTCCAAAAAGCATGGACGACATGGAAGCTACCACTGAGGAGTAGTACACTGCATTTGACATTGACTGTTTTTCTACTGTGCTGTTATTTCTGCTTTTCAAATGCCATGCTTGATTTTTTATGCTGTCGCTGGTGATTTCCATATGCTCAGGGTGTGTTTTGTATAGGCAATAAATAAATATTTGAGCATATGCAGTTTTCATGTTTGCATTAATTCACAGGCTGATGTTTTATGATGTTATGCATTAGTTGATAATAATGCATTAATGCACATATATGGATGATGGCTTACTATGTTGTTTTGATGCTGATGAGCAACAGGTGCTTGAATGGATAGTGTCTACAGGTATTGAGAATGTGTTTGATAGAGTGAATGATGGATCTGTGAAGATGACACACATTTTATTTAAATGTATTGTTAGAGTGTGTTTAGGAAATGTGTTGAGAACGCTTCCTAGATCAACAGATTTATTGTATGAGGCTGGCATAGCACGAGGTAATGAAACGATCACTGGTGAAATTGATGTAGATACCATGTATGGCTTGACGCATGTAAATGATGTTTTAAAAGACGGATCATTTTTGTCTAAAGTATCGCTTAAGCTGATTGTGGCAGCGATGAGAAAGACTCCCAGAAAGGCTGTTGAGGGTGTATTTGATACAAATGACATATATGGATTGATTCGAATGATCAGATCTGATGATCCTAAGGAACGAATGCATATTTGCCAGGTGATTATTGGTGCTTGTCTGTGTTCAACACATGCAACAGCAATAAAATTGGCGGTTTTTAACGAGATTGTGAGTTTTATTGAGGGGATGCGTGTAAATACGGGGATTGATGATTTGCTCAAGATTATGTGTGTGATTGTGTCTGAAAAGAAATATGAATCACAGGAAGTTTATGTATTTTATTTTGAAGCAATACTGAAGCTAGCAGGAAGTCAACGATGCCAAGGAGTGAGTCAGATAGGAAGTGTGATTAGAGCATTCCACAGAGAATATCCAAGGCTTGTACTTCTAGGACTGAAGTATTTCAGAAAAGTATTTGGTGTTATGTGCTCTACCAGCAAGGTTATGGTTGTTTATGTTGTGAGTGATGTAATACAATCCATGAGTCATGAGAAGCATTTAGAGATGAGTGATGTGATATATGAGCTCATTAGCCTGTTTTTTTGTTCTGAACATTATCTTGTTATTGAGATGGCAGCAGATATGGTGTTAGCGAATGCAACTGGCGTATTGTATAAGAATAGAAAGGAATTTATTCCGAAGGTCTTTGAATCAGTTTATAGAGCATCTAAGAGGAGTTGGCATATAGAATGTGTTAGCAAAGTGCTGAGGAGTCTTCAGGCTGTTTTTTGGATGGACAATGGCATGTTTGAAATGTGCCTCAAGAAATACAACAAAAAGAGATGGGAGAGTGGAGTTCACAGCGTGGATGGAAGTAACAATCAATGAGATGGTTGGTATGTTTGTAAGATTAAAAGAATGTAAAAGACATGCTCCAGCAGGGATTCGAACCCTAGACCTTTGCGTTATTAGCACAACGCTCTAACCAGCTGAGCTACTGGAGCTACTGTTTAGAGTGGTGTTTGTCACACTCCTGCAAGTTGATGTATGATCACATTATTCTAAAAAGTAGTTATTCAGGTAATTTTATGTATGTAAACGATTATTATGTATTCTAAGATTCTAAAGTAATTATGTTAACCAAATACTCAATAATCACTAAATCATGTTAACCAACTACTCAATATCATCACATACCCATGGTTGTGCATGAGCAGTAAGTACACCGAGAAAACAATTCCAGAGCCAGAAGACATATGCCTGACATCAACTGAATTCTTAGAAGTGCTTGGTTCAAAATATAAAGCTGAAATACAGCGAGAGTACAATCTCGTTCAGTTCAGCAATAATCCTTCTAAATACGAAAGACAAGGCTTGAATGCATATCTTGAGCCAGACACAGTCACTCAAGAAGAGATCGTTATCCCTTCGATGCATAGAGAAGAGTTGGAACGAATGGCATGCGAATCAAGAATATCAGTGGGAATTGATAAACTCAATAAAGATCCTGGAATAATGATTATCTTGGTCAAAGGCACACAAACAGCAATAGCATCTTTCAAGAGACTGCTTGGCAGTATCCACAACCACTTGCCAAACGAAATAAAAGACACCGACACATTCAAACTCATTGACATCCCATACATAATGGAAGACTCCATCATTGGAAAGAACGGCACAAACATATACAAAATCCAGAGAGACTTCAATGTTGCATTGAGAATCATCAGCGGTGAGCCATCATATAAAACTCTTCTTGTTTCTGGAGAAAACATTGCAAATGTGCAGGACGCATGCAAGTGTATTATGGACATACTGTACAAGAATGCTAATTAAACTCATTTATTTTGTTTAGAAATCATTTACTCAAATAAATCCTATTGTCGCATGCAAAGGCTCGAGCAGAGCATTCTCAACAGAACCTCCACTTGTTTCCACACTCACATGTCACAAACGTGGTCATGGGCTCATCTCCAGATCTTGTCTGCAACTGTCTATACGAACACTTTCTCTCTCCACATCTACTGCACTTGAAAAGATCCGTTTCTGCCTTCTGTGTTGGAATCTGGCATTCATAAAGGCTATCTTCCATCATCTTCTCCTCTTCACTGCGTAGATTCTCACTTTTCATTTCGTCAGCGCTCATCTCCACATACCTTGCAGGTAGAATCTCTCCTTCATACACCCTCCTGCAAAGCGTTGGATTGTTCTTGTCCTTGAGATTCAAACACTTGCTTCTTACCAGCTTTGCTATTTCCCCCGCCTCCTTCTTAAATATTTCAGTTGTTATTTGCTTTGAAAGCAATGCAGCAGTCTTACTACTGCACTCGGGAATATTTGCTCTAAATGCATCGAAAAACAGTTTAATAGACCTATCCTTTTGAATATCCCCTGTGTTCACCTCCTTGAGAGCCAACGAAGGATCTTCTACAGATTCAGCACCACCTTCAGTGCGTGTCTTAGCACTATCCCCTCGACTCTCAGCATACTTGCTTTCCATCAATTGCTGTATCTTCTTAGACTCTGTCAATCCAATTAACTTCTTAAGATCAGCTGCACTCATGCCCTGTACATTAGAAAGCACTGTCTCAAGACCTTCGACATTATTGGCATTAATAAGCCTCTTGATCTCTTCAAAATCTACTGTCTGATCCATAAGGGCTGCATGCCAATCAAATTTATACCTCATATCTTATCTACTCTTGAGTTGTAAATTGGAAGTCAGTTATAACATCTCTTGTAAAATTACATTATGTGCTTGTATCACATATTAACTATAAATCAAAATGCTCTTTTTAACCGCTTCTTCAACCTCAATGCAAATGCTACCAGGGAATACGATGTTGCAAACAAAGCCATTTCCTTCCAGTGCAGAAGCACATTCATTGCACGTGGTGCTATGTATTCACGTAACTTTATGCAATTCAACACAGATACAGACAAACGCATGAAAAGATTCATAATAAACATCTTTTCTCTTACAGACACTGTATATGTGCCAGACATGATCTTCAATGCAACCTCTAATCCTCTGAATTGTACAGTTCCCCATATTCTGCATTTTTCGCATCCAAGTCCTGCTAATGTATTTATCATTTCATCTATTCTATGTAAAGTTGCATCAATGTCTTTAGGTATATGCCTCCAGTTTATTTCGGTGCTGTTTATTGATTTTATTATTTCTACAAGCTCTGTTTCAGAATACTGATTGTCATTTGTATCCATGATAATCGATCCAACTGCTTTTCTTACAAGCATGTATGTCAGGTATAACTTGAGCCTGTATATGTTTTTGAATCTTTTGATGAACAGTGATGGGTTTGGAACATACCACCGCAAAAACTGCTTGTGGAAAGCACAGAGATGTGTGGTAATAGAAAACTGAATGCCGCTGAGCGCAATATTCAGAAATTCATCTTGGGATGCAATTCTCCACAACATTTGCCAAACTTGAGATGCACTACCATTGTATCCGGTGTATGCTTCGGTCTGATGCAACAAGTTTACATATTCGCCATCAAGCACGGAATGTTTTTCAGCCAAGCATGAAAGAAGCGTGCATTTTGGCTCATTTAATGATGGTTTTGGAATTTCCGAGACTCTGAGAAGAGAATACTGCTGCTTTGAAACCAATGATCTAAGACGGGTGTATGTAGACTGATTTATGCTTTGAATGTGTTTATCTGTACTGTCGATGCGGATTGAGAATATGCGAATGCAGAATGTACAGAGTATAATTGCAAATGGAATCATTTAGGGATGCACAAATGCAATGGAATGTTTTGTTTGTGAATGAATAATGGAATTGTAATGTTTATACAAATGATTCTCTAAGGGATATAATAGAGCATATAGACATGTATGAGGAAAGAGAAATGCAATCATTAGTGAGTAAGATAATGTGTAAACATGCATGAACAAACAATGAGTGAGTAAGATAATGTGATGGAAAACAATCTTTCATTCCGATGGAATCTGAACATGTGGCACATTGTACATGTGCCCGGCTAGCTCAGTCGGTAGAGCATTAGACTCTTAATCTAAGGGTCGCGGGTTCGAGCCCCGCGCTGGGCGCTTCTTTTTGCACATTAACTGTATAACATGAACTTGTATATCAATCAATCTTCACACTTCTCCTCAGCAGCATAACCTATAATCATTGTGTAGAACCTACATACTTGTATTTGTTTATATTGTGCAAACATCATTTTGTAACTCTTCGATTTATTAAAACAACATATAAATAATCAACAGTTGTTTTATTCATTGTCGTTTGTACTTGGCCTTACCCTACACCTGATTCTTTCATTATTGTAGTATCTCCCATACATGTTCATAAACACATTCCTTGCATCCATAGAAGTCTTACAGACAACATGTATTCCAATATCACTCTTGACAACTTCTGTTACTTCTCCAAACATACAGCACTCGTCGCGTAAATCATCTAAACCAATATCAGCTAGAAAAACAACTGTATTTCCATCACATATACTGTCTTGACATTGTGCATTACATGGCTCAACTACAATCCTTCTGTGAGCAAGTGGAAAATTGTTCATCAACAGGCATTTATCTGTAAACGTATCAAATTTCAAAAGAAATGCATCTCTGTCTACATAGAAGTACTTAATGCATCCAAACACCTCAAATAGTTCCAGTATGTCCTTGAATCTAATCTTAGGATGTAGATTGGATACTCGGATTGTTCCTGCACTTCCCATGTGGGATCTGCCTTATGAAATTAATGCATATCAGCAACGCATTGTTACTGAAAATGCAACAATTTCTAAAATATTACACATAATATTACAAGCCTTCTCATACAAATACATAATGGAAGAATCCATGATAGATCCTGAAGAATATAATCAAATGCCTGAAGATATTCTTGAGTATATTTATGACACATCGGAGATAAAAGATATTGAACATTACCAAAAGTCTCTTGAAAAGCTTATGGAAATTTCGCGGAAGATAGAACAGGAACTTGAATCATACCATGAAAATGAGAGAAAGTGAGTTGTAAAATAAACTTTATAGGTTTTATTGTTTAATATGTTTTTCATGCATTCCAGATTGATAATTGCTGTCAATTCTGCTGCGCTTTCAACTTCTTCAATATTTTCTTTGGCATTGGATCAAAGCCATTGATGTGAAGTGAGTATGTATCTTGGATATTCTCAACATACTTAGCAAGAATCTGCTTGTCCTTATCAGATCTGAAATTGAACAAGAGTTCCACGCTTTCTTTCAATGCCATTGGCTTCGAATCCATCATTGTACTAACAAACGATGGATAGTGCGTAGGAACAACAAAGCACACCTGATGTACACGCCCATTATAAACTGCTGAAAGATCTGAAAACAACAGGACATAAAACTCGGGTCCTAGCGCACACCTTATTGGACTTGGTGCAACAGTGCAGAACTCTGCGTGGAAGTGATCGCCTACATAAATCATTGAAAAAATTACCCTAGGGAATGGGAGAAATAAAGCTTTTTGAGAAGTATAGCTATGAGGAGGTGAAAGTTGAGAATATTTCATTAAAACCATACATAAACCTGACACGTCAAGGGATAGTACCACATGCAACAACGAAAATAACGAAGGGCAAGATGGGCAAGGCAAAGATGCCGATTGCAGAGCGCTTTGTGTGCTCACTAATGAGACATGGGAGAAACAGCGGAAAGAAGATGCTTGCAATACATGTGTTTGAAGATGCATGCTTTATGATTCATGCGATGACTGGAAAGAATCCGTTACAGGTGCTGGTTGATGCGATTGTGAATTCAGGGCCAAGGGAAGACACTGCAAGGATAGGACGCGCAGGATCGATGAGGAGGACGTCTGTGGATGTGTCATCACTGAAGAGGATTAGCATGGCAATAGCAAACATTGCAACTGGAATCCGCGGATCAGCGTTCAGGAACAGGAAGACACTGACCGAGGTGATTGCTGACGAGCTGATTGCAGCATCTACGAACTCGCAGAATTCATATGCGATCAAGAAGAAGGAGGAGATTGAAAGGATAGCAAAGTCTAATCGTTAAATCGTTTATTTTATTTGAGATGTTTTGTATTGTTATGGTTTCAGGTTTGATTGGAACATATGATGATTTTGTTTGTAGTAAACAACCCTTTATGGACGCACTAGCAAGGACTTTTTTGCATAACATTGCAAGACTGAGACCAATTGTAACAGTTGGCTGTGCAATAAGCTCATCATATGCTCTGTGTGAAAATGGAATTGATGCAAATCTGTCGGACATGCTGCTTCCTGGGCTTCTTATGTTTTTTGGACCGGGCTTATGTGCAAACATTGTTTACAAGGAGGCAAAGATAACACGAATGGGACTTGTGTCATATTTCATTGGAGTTGCAATATTCTCTATGTTTTCTAGAATGAGGATTCTGAAGCCAGCAACCGCGATTTTCCCAGTTATAGGCAGAGGCTTGATGTATGTTGGATTGAAGAACAATAAGCATCCGTTCCATCTTGTTGTTGGCTGGCTGCTTGCAATAGAAATATCTGTGGCTTTGATTCAAAAGATGCTATTCAATAAGAAAATGAGGATTTCAGGTGATAAGATGGGTGAGACATTTTTCTTGATTGCAGGGCTTGGTGTTGGGCGTCTCTATCGCCTTCCAAATTACACAATGATGGTTATGGTTGCTCTTATCTCTGTTGGTCCACTCATGCAGACACTTGTGTCGTTTACAGTGAGCAATCGCCAGAAAAAGTCATCAGCATCCCTGAGCAGCCCATCATCGAGCGTACAAAATGCACATCCCAAGGTCAAGGTTGCCAAGAGAAAGACTGCAACAAAACCCAAAAACATTTAGTTACAGACAAAGCAAACAGAATAAAGCGGTTTTAATATCCTAATCATAAATTGCAAATCCCAAATCTTTTGCATATTCTTTGAAGCACCTTCTGCAGAGACCCAGACTTCTAATTATCCCACGGTAGGTGAAACACGCCACACAGCTCCTGGAGCCTTTTCCTTTTCCCATAGCTACGTGTGAGTAGTTTCCCTTTGCCTGTGGCTTCTTGACTGGAATGTCGAACCTCACTGATCCAATTGATTCGGGCGTTAAAGTGTTGATTGCAGGCATTGGGGGTAATTTTTTTGTATACTTTGTGCCTGATATGATAGAAATGAGCAATAATGAGTGATGTAAAGCGTATACAGTTGATGTGTAATAATGGTATGTAGTTGATGCATAATTTATGAAGTTATCAGTATGCAATAGATTCTTATTTAATGTGTAGTAATGAATGATGAATGAATAGTTGATAGTAATGTGTAGCTAATGGATATGCAGTAGATGTACAGCTAATCAGTATGAGACAATGAGTTAATGCGTAGTAATGCATAGTAATCAATATCAGTCAGTGAGTAGTAATGCGTGTTTCAAAGCATATACCACAGGCACATGAGGTAAACAAATGAGCTTGCTTCCAAACAAACAAGTCGATGAGAATCTTCTTCCAAAGCTTGGGAAGTACTTGGCAATACTCTGTGTGGTTCTACTTATGATACACACATACAGGGCAATGAAGAAGTGGATAAAGAACCGTCTTGAGCTTGATACATCAAGTAACCTATCTGAGAACGATAAAATATGATTGGTACATTATGGCAGTGACGACCGAGTCGTGTTAAAATGAACAAAAACTTTTTTTGTTTAGACGGTAGATGGGATGGCTGGTGATGCAAAAAGCAATGGTTGCTCTAGTTTTTGGCTTAGTTGCAGCAATACGCGACTTAGGAGTGGAGGTAAGTAAGATAGAAAATGCAGTCAGGAGTGGAAAGGTTTCTGAAGCAAAAGTGATGTTTGATGAACTGATGAGTGAGTTTGGAGGAAATGATGTGCTTGAAAAGAAGCACGTGGATCTTTTGATGCAGAGTGGAGACTACAAGACCGTGGTTAGTAGATATGGGCAAAATAGTAAAATGCTTACGGACGTTGTCAAGGCAGAAAGAAATCAATCTATATTGAACAGCAACAATGTAAAACTGATCGCCTCACTGATAAATGAAGCACCATATAGCATAGATGTTCTGAAGGCATACATCAAGATGTGTCTCATTGAAGAGAAGTTTCAGGAGGTTAGGAAGTTTGTTAAGAAGGCGAGTGTTCTATTTCCAGAGGATGTTGAGCTGAAGAGTTTGCAAATGCAGTTGTTTTTCTTGACTCGGATGCCAGCAGCAGGAATACACATGATGCGCGAAATAGGAAATGCAGACATGTCGAGGAAGATTGAACGTTTGTTTGATGAATATACAAGAATAATTGACGGCAATATGACAAGCAAGGTCACATATGTACAGATGAAAGAATTGCTGAAACGTATTGAAGAAGCAGAATTTTCAATTAATTTCTTTCCAAGCATATTTATGCAATTAAAGCTGGATGTGTTATTTGGAATGTGCAAAAATGGAATTGAGGACGATTTTATCAACTTTGTATCAGGAGAGTTCGATGTAAGTAAAGGTAAACCCGTAGGAATATCTCTAAAGCCATTATCTGCAAGGATCGAAACATTGCAGAAGAAGAGAGGAGATGATGAAGTAATGTATTTGTACGTGATTTCACAAGCGCTTGAAGGGAACATCGACCAAGCAGAAGCGATATGCCGTTCACATACATTCAAGTATGGACCCATGAAACGAGAAGCAATGAGAAAGGTTGCATCAATAAAGAGTAAGATAGAAGATGCAAAGGCAAAGAAAGAAAGAGAAAGATCGCAAAGAGAAAGGCAAAGAAGCAGACATATGTCTCAAGGGAATCAGAACGATATTTTGGGATACTACAAAGCATTGGGGCTTAATCCTGGACCAAAGACAACAGATGTAGAGATCAAAAGAGCATACAAAAAGATGGTTGTTAATGGAATGAAGAATAAGGGCGAGGCAGAAAAGAAGAAATGGGAAGATACACACAAGGTAATCAACAAGGCACTTGGGGTTCTTACCAATAAGGAAAAACGCGAGATGTATGATAGAGGGATAGACCCTGACAACCCTCAACGACTTAACGGATCCGGGCATTTTGGAGAAGACATATTTAATGAGTTTTTTAAGAAAGGTTTCGGTAATTTTGAGTTTTTTGAGTTTTCTCCAAATGGCGGACGAAGAGGAAACACAAGAACAACGTATTTTTATTTCTAAATAAAAGATTCTGAAAATTCCATTCGATACTCTCTTTCATGCCAAATCAGTTACAAATATGTTTTTGCCAAGCTTTCAAGCCCCAGGATGTTGAATAAAGTAAAGACGAATGATGCAAGAGCATGCACAGAAAGCTATCTTGCAAAGTTATACATCAGTCAGCCAATATCTCTTCCAGATGACATCAGCAAATATGTTCTTAATCCAATAAATGTCGAGGGAGAAATCGCATATCTTGAGAAGTACATAGATGCAAGCGATGCTGATCTTACAAGAATCATTTTCATCATTGAGGTGCTTGGAAAGTGTGCCCGCAAGCATTCCGAATTTAGGACGTACATGAAGGTCATAACAAAAATACTTGAAAAGTACAAAGAATACCAGTACTCTATATTCTGCTTAAGAATCATTAAGCTGATTGTATCATCAAGGTTCTACACGCCTATCTCGTTCTATCTGATAAGGATACTAAAAGATGCAATATCCTCACGGAATATTGTTGCATCTAACAAGAAAGTAGATTACGATTCAATCAAGCCGAATCAAGAGAGAACGAAGAGCGAAGAGCATCAGATGTTTGTGATAACAGAGGTAAATTCGCTCATCATCATGCATTTGTCCACATTCTCAAAGAACATTGGGTTTCCTGAGCTTTCTGCTCTAGTCATCAATGAGCTAAAGAAGCTAAAGATTGGCATATACAGAGAAATGATTGAAAACATAATTGCCTGTATTGCAAAGCAAAGAGATCATGTCATTGAGAAGAGAAGTAAGCTTAAACTGAACGGAATCGATGGAAAAGCCATTGCATTGTTTGAAAGCACTGTTGAAAGAACACTACAGTAAAGCCGATAAAGTACAATTTTATAACCTTCTGAATAAATCAATTATTTCACTTGATGATCTTCCTTTAGATACACATCCATGCTCTTCATTTCTGCTCAAATCTGTGGGTTCCTGTGCTTCTATTCCACTTGAAGTTTTATTTAGGTTGCTGTGTATAATATTCTTATTCATATTGTGGTCATCTTCATTCATAGATATGTCATTCTGTTTATCTTTGATGCTTGTAACATTACTGTATTTATCGATTGTATTGGAAGAGTTGCTGTATTTATCATCTGCATTATAAGAGTTGTTGTATCTACCAATCTTATCATACGATTTACTTTCCTTGTCATCTGGCTCTATACATTCGTTCTCTAAGTCTTCAAAAGAATCAACATAAACAAGATATTTCTGCATTTCCATGTCGTTTTCAACAGAAAGCACAAACGAACTTTCTATAACCTTCTTCTCAGAGTCATACAAGCTGACTTTCTTTCCTTTCAAACTTACAAATCCATCGAGCCATAGCTTTTGCTTCTTGTGCTTCTGAGATGTGTATGTGCATCTTATCATCCTGGGTCTCTTAGAATTCTAAAACTATCACTCAACTTTGTTCAAATAAATCTATACAAATACATTCATATAATTACGTTCATACAAATACATTTATGCAGGCACATTCATCCATTCACACATTAATATCAGCAAAAATAGGTTCATTACTGCTACACATAAAAAACCTCACCGGCATTTCATTCACAAAAATCTCAAATCCTTCCATGTTCCTCTCTACTCTAATCACTTCATTTCCAGATACCACAAAAAACACCTCCGGCAATCCATCTTCAAGGTTCTCCCCACTGTATCTCAGCACACTGCAACAAGAATTTCTACTAACTATAACATCAACCAACATCCTTGAAAGATAAACCACTACATCTCCAAACACACTTTGCATCTTCCTCCCTTCTCTCAACTCCTCAATCACATACTTGCATATTTCATCACTCCTTGCGCATTCTTCGTATTTATCAGCACATACTTCAATCTCAATTCCATTTTTATGCATATTCTGTTCCATCGACTGCTCCATAAAGTATTCCTTAACCATCTCAACATCATCATCTCCCTTAGGTGGCATCCAGCACTCTAGTCGCATCTCCATATACACTACTGTACATCTCAGTCCTTTAGGTTTCCACTCTTGTGGATACACATATGATCCTTCGTTATCCAGCACAATGTAATCCAATTCATTGACATACATCCTAACTTCTCCATCTATCAATCTCAATGGCAAACCAGTGTTTTCAGCCTTCTGCCAAATCACTTCTTCTCTTTTTATTGCATTCTTTAAACACTCAATCCCTTTCCTTATGATATTCATGCATGACTCCAATATCACTTGCTTAAATTCACATGCATTCTCACTCCTGCTCTTGACTTTATGCACCGACAATACATCCTTTTCAATCAGTTCATACACAGCTGCACCAGTCTCCGCTTCAATTCTGGAATTACTCAACATCCTAAGCAGTTCATCCTCATCAGCCTGGCATTTCTGCTCACAACGTACCTTCGCGCTGTAGTACTCCATCAATCTGTCCCACACCTCTGCTAGGCTGTTTTTCTCAGTGCTGTAGCACACTCCATCTTCCTTTGCAACAACTATTCTTTTCTCAATAGGATACTCTGCCGAATTCAATCGCATCAGGGCCACATTCCCATCATATTTCACATCTCTTCGCCATTCTCAAAAATTCGATTAACCAAACCATATTTATTAAACACCTCTAGCAATCATATTAACAATATCAGGTGTCTGTTGGCATATCCAGACATCTCTTCTCCAAGTCCAAGAATTCCGCATAACCTGAATAACATCCTTGCCATCTCCCCATCCCCTGTATTTTCAACCACATCACATGCAAGCTTAAACACCTTCTCAACTACATATCTGAGTTCCTTAATATCTACATCCATGCTAATCAATGGCGTCGATCTCAACGTCAGCATACTTGGATTTCTTTTGAAAATATAGAAGCTCTTCAATCCCCTCATCATTCCAATTTGCCTAGTGCTTTCCCTTTTCTCATAGTATTCAATTATCTCAAAATACGTGTCAATATCCCCATCTGCAAGAATCGCTTCCACTATGATCTCGTTAATAAGATCAACCACCATCGCTTCATCATCAATCAGGTAGTACAGCTTTATGAGCTTCTTCTTCTCATTCTTTGCCTTTAGAATCTCAACAACCCTCTGATTGATCTTCTTGTCCAAATACAGGCATGCTCCATCATCCATCCCAAGAACATCATACATGTCCATCTTCACTATCATCTCAGGAACAACTTCGTAGTATCCATCAACTACATGCTTCAGTGAACTCAGTAGCTCTACTTTCCTTCGCGTTGAAGAAAATCTCGATGCTGCCAGGAACACAAAGTCAACAAACACCATCTTGTTGTTACATCTGCTACATAACGTCTTCATCAGAAAATAAGACGGCACCACTGCAAAGTCTCCACGGAACACTAGCTCCATTGCCTTGTCATAATCCTTGAGCATCACACATGCAAGTAGCAATCCTTTTGGATTTTGATAATTCTTAAATAACCCTAGAACCTCCTTGACTCCTCCAAGCTCATTAATCGATATCAGGTGCATCCACACAAAATCTTCAACGCTTCCAATCACGCTTGCATCAACCCCTCGATTGCTTCCATCCATCATTCCTAGTAGAAACGCCTTGAAAAGATCATCCCCACTTCCAATCTTCACAGTAACACTGGGCTTCATCTTGGTAACAAGCCATCCACTAAAGCTTGTCTTGAAGCGGTGTGAAATATGTTCAAAAAACACAGAGAAACGCTCCAGAAGTCTTTTTACACTATCAGTAAGCCCACATCTAAACAATGTGTAAAGCTCTGCAAACACATATCTTCCTTCATATACCTCAAGTTTATATTCCTCCTTCCCATATCTAAGCTTTACAAATGTGCATATCTTCTCCTCTACATCTTTTAATGGGCTTGAGACTTTATCTGCATTCTCCCTCAAAAACCTGTCGACATATCTCAGATACTCATCTCCAAGGAATTGGATTTCCTGCTCAAAATTCTCAGAGGTTTTAAGCCTTCTCAAAAACATGTGTATGTCAAAAAGCATTGGATCCTCAAAGTACCTGTCTTTACCGGTAATTCCATGGGAAAGTTGTTCATCAGCATCTGCAGGATCCTTATCAAACACTAGCTCCAAGTCACCTACTTTTCCTGCAATCTTGCCTTGCCCAACCACAAAAAGGTCGTTTTCCTTTTTTATCTGATTAATGCGTCGTTCAACATCCTTTATAAATGCTTTTGTGGCCATTTTTTCATGCTCCTTTTGCTTCAATTTTAACTTTTCATGCAAAACTCCATTTACAACATCATTCACATCAAATTGTTGTTGTTTAGGCTTTAAAACATTCCTGAACGCAGTGGGTTCTGCCGTTACTTTGTACTTGGCAAGCTTTTGTTGCTTCTTTTTCAGACATGCTATCAACTGTGTGTAGCTGTATATCCTTGTGGGTTTTATCACAAGAGGAGCATTCAGGCATTCGTTGTCCATGGGCTTACAAGTACGGCAAAAATTTCACCCCACATGAGCATCTTCAGCCATATTGACCTTGGGGCTACTGAAGAAAAAGGCGACGATGCCAAACGAACGATTCTTGCAGGAACAGACATGATAGCAGAGATCCTGAAAACAACCCTTGGGCCAAAGGGGATGCTGAAAATGCTGAAGGGGCAGAATGTAAGTGTTACAAATGATGGAGCTTTTATTCTGAAGAATCTTATGATTGACAGTGCATCTGCAAGAATATTGGTTGATTGTAGTGTTGGACAAGACTGGGAGGAGGGAGATGGAACAACATCAGTGGCAATTCTTGCAAGTTTGCTTGTTAAAGAGGCAAGTAAGTTGAGTGTGCATCCCACACGAATTCTTCGAGGATACCGAATGGCACAGGAGAAGTGTGAAAACATATTACAGGGAATGAGTTTTGAACCAACAAGGGATGACTTGATGAAAATTGTTTGGACCACGTTGTGTTCTAAGGTTGTGAAGTACGACATTGAGAAGTTTTGTAGCATGTGTGTGAATGCCGTTGAGAGACTTGAGGGAAGGAACGATCTGGGACTGATTCAGATTATCAAATGTGCAGGGAAGCTTGAGGATTCATATCTTGATGATGGATTTATTCTGAAGAAGGATGTAATGGTAGAAGAGGTGAGCAATCCTCGGATTTTGATTGCAAACACAAGCATGGATCATGATAAGATCAAGGTTTTTGGTGCAAAGATTAACGTGAGCTCTGTGAGCGAACTGGAGGAGCTGGAGAATGCAGAGAAGGCAAAGATTAGAGATAAGGTTGATAGGATATCGAGGAGCAAGGCGGATGTGTTTATCAACAGGCAATTGATATACGACTATCCGGATCAACTACTGAGAATGAAGGGAATACAGCCAATAGAGCATGCGGACTTTGATGGAGTGGAGAGATTGAGCAATGTGCTTGGAGGAAAGATATTGAGCACATTTGAGTCGATGGATGAGTCGTGCTACGGAACATGTAAAAGTGTCAAGAATGTGGAGATTGGGGGAGAACGGGCAGTAAGGTTTGAAGGAGTGAGTAATGGAGCAAGTACAATAGTCCTGTTTGGATCATCGAAGGAGATGCTGGATGAGGCAGAAAGAAGTATACACGATGCATTATGTGTGTTGATGAAGATTAACGAAAATCCAAGAGCTGTGTATGGGGGAGGAGCCAGTGAGATGTCAATGGCGGTTGGACTGAACAAGTATGCCATGGAGGTAGCAGGCGCTGAAAGCGATGCAATCATTTCGTTCTCGAATGCTCTGCAACAGATTCCAAAGATACTTTCTGAAAATGGAGGACATGATGGAGAAGAGACGAAGGCGAGTCTAAGAGCTGAGCATAACTCGGGAAACTCAAGCTATGGCGTTAATGTGAAAGATGGGAGTGTTTGCTGCATGAAAGAGATTGGTATAATTGACAGCTTTCGGATTAAGAAGAGAATCATAATGGCTGCATCTGAGGTAGCACAGATGATAGTGAAGTGTGATGGTATTGCAAAGCGTAAGCCTAGAGAAAGAACAAGAGAATAAAACGTATTTATTTTAAACTCAGTTGATAATTGATATTTTACTTTAGTGGTTGATAATTGATACCTTGCTTTATTTTATAATTATCTGATTGCTACTTTACTTTAGTGATTAATAATTACTACTTTACTTGGTGGTTGATATTTTACTTGATAATTATCTGATTAACAACACACTTGATAACTGATGAATACCTTGCTTGATAACTGATGATTCTCTACTTAATACATTTACTATCATAACTGATAATCATTTATTTGATAACTTACTATCATAATTGTTCAAACCAAATTCAGGTCATTTAAAAAGTTCAATAGCTGTGCTATAAACATGTGAGGTAGGAATATAGACATATCCTTTAGGCCTTTCAAGCACCAGGTACCAGAATGACATATCCTTCACAACTCCATCATACTTATCAATTTTGATTTTATCTCCAACTCCAAAAGGGCATGTTGCAAATGCGATTGCACCCTTATAGAGGTCGTCTGTCAAGACCTTTGGAGCAATAACGCTCAGTGGCCTAAGCATCGCCATCGTGAATGCAAGCTTTGGAACCACTTCACAAGACTTATTTTTACCAAACCTAGGAAACGGAAAGCCAAGAATAAAACTTTTTATCATCTGATGGGACACACTTTACACACAAATTAAATCATCAATCATAACTTTTATCAAACCGGATCTAATATTCTATAGAAATGGACTTATTATTATTCTTATACTCTTGCTTATTATTCATACAATAAATCTATTTTAAACTCCTGTTTATCATCCTCATCCCAAAATGCATCAACCATTTTCATTATATTCTCAATACTTTGCAGTGCATCTTTATTGTCTGCTTCATTTTTTCTCGTTTCATTCATTTCATAGCCAGAATTTGTCTCATCACTTTCAACACAATCACTTAAGATTTGTTGCATGGGTATTCTATACACATAATACTTCATATTGCATTATCTCCACACCTCAAACTTACCTTCATACACTTCCAATACACGTGTCTTTTCTATTCCCAAAATTCTCAAGTTACATAACGCTTCTATATTTTCTATCTGCTCAAGATTCACATTCTCCCCAAGAAGTAAAACCTCTACACTTCTGGGTATCTTCAAGCAGTCAACACTTAAGATATCATTGTTCTGTAGATCAAGAGTCTTCAGCAAACACAGTTCATCCAGTCCCTCCACTTCTCTTATCTGGTTACTCCCAAGATAAAGCTCAACAAGATTCTTGCAGCCATCAAGATTCTCAATCCTGCATATCTCGTTAGCTGCCATGTCAAGCTTTCGAAGCATCGGCAGCTCTATCCCATGTATCATAGGTATATCATTAGAAATCAGATACAACTCCTCAAGATTCATAATAGGTATATTTACCGTCGAAATTAGGTTATAGCTTAGATCTAGAATCTTTAGATTAGGAACATTCTCAAGATCATTTATCTCTGCTATCCTATTATCAGAAAGATCAAGATACTCCATCGACTCCACACGATTTAATGCCATCTCAGATATCTTGTTCCTGTGTAGATCCACAACCTTAACACATCCAGATATCTCGGGAATCTTCTCTATCTGTCTATGCACAATATACATCTTCTCGTCCATCCTAAGGGCTGAATCCCGTTCATTTACGCTCCTCACACTCAAAAATATTTTCTCAAACCAGTTTATTCAATCAAGAGCTGCATAAAGCACATTCGCATACTTTATCTTATACACAAGGCAAATGTCCTTTGGCATCAAGGTAACTCTCTTCGCATGTAAAACACATCTATAAGCATCCTCCACCAGATTGGTCAGAAAATTCTCTACTGCCTCCTGAAACGCAACAACTGCAGATCCCTGGAATCTCATGCCCTCATTCCCCTTGCATAGCTCTCTCATCATCCTTTGGAACGGCCTCTTCCTAATCAAAAGATCCGTGCTCTTCTGGTACTTTCTGATCTCCTTCAATGCAAGTGCACCAGCCTTAAACCTTGACCTTCGGGGCACCACAGCTTGGCCAGATGATGAAGGCACAGATTTCATTGCAAGTCCCTTCCTGGGTGCTTTACCTCCAAGAGCTTTCGAAGCAGTTTGTTTTGTCCTAGACATCAAATCCTTGTCTGCCAAATCTATTTATAATTTTATTTACCGGGAGATTTCCGCGCCAAATCTGTTCAACATAATCTGTTGTTGCATGGCTGTTCAGATCATAAGCATAAATACCATCGCTAAACATTCTACATAGACTATTAATACGCGCTATTCAAGCATGTTTCTTCTCCAAATCAATCACTCTCCAGATAATTCAATATAATGCATCAAAACCCATAATTCAGGCTTCACTTTCAAAATAACCTGGAAATCACACATATCTTTACATAGGTCTTAAAGTCCCGCCAAAAATAAAGCTATATAATGACAAACACAATCCCCTCCAATGAATTCGCAAAGCATATCTGCAAAGGGAAAGAGTAAGGCTGCAAAGGGAATTGCAAAGAGACACAGAAAACAGGCATCTGCTGCAGACAGCATCTCAAAGCCAGCAATAAGAAGAATCGCCAGGCGTGCAGGTGTAAAGAGAGTCGGAGGCGGCTGCTTCAAGGAAATAAACAATGCTGGCAGAGCATACATCAAGGACGTCCTCTCCATTGCATTTGTTTATGCTACACATGCAAAAAGAAAGACAATCACATGTGCAGATATTCTTTATTCTCTTAAACGAATGGGTGTCAAGTACATGGGATACTAATTGTCTTAATAAACCTGATGCTGTCAATCACTCTTAACCAGTTCATTCATATCTATCTACCTCTTTACATAACACATTACAACACTTAGATTTATTTGCTTCTGCAACAAATATTCAACCTCAATCTTTGAAACCTAAGACTACTGCTTTAATTCAATCCAGCTACCAATTAAACATCCTTAGATTCTCAAGTCTCTCACTAAGAGGAATCAATTCTTTCTTCACCTTGGTTCGCATGTAGAAGATGGGACAGTCCCTATTAACACATAGAACTTGTCCATGAATACTTCCCTGGCACCTTTGACATTCTACCCAACAACTATTCAGTCTTTCCTTCTTCTCCTCAACCTCATTCTGCATCCTCTGCAAGTGCACATGAAAGTCATCAACACATCCTTCGCACAACACCTTGCCTGTAGATTTGCATCCAACACATGTCGTTGCTGCTTTCACAAATGCATTCATCGGGCCATGCACAGAAACTGATGAGATTGCCAATGTGTGGTCTCCCTTAAAAAGCTCAGAAACATTATCCATAATCGGCTCAAATATTCTGCTCAAAGGTTTCGATAGTTGTTGATCAATATAATATTCGGTATCAATCGGAAGGTCATTCTCAAGCACATATACAGGATCCTCGCTCTTCTCATATGCCGCCATCTTCTTCCCCTTCCTAACTATCACATATGGCACCCGATCTCCAAGCACCGGTGCAGTACTCTCGTCCCTTTCTTTCAGTTTCTTTGCAAGTTCTACATGCGCTTGCTTCGTTTCATACTTATCTCCTGTTTTGGTAAGCGACTTCGAAATCACAAGCAGGCTCAGATCCACTCTTCCTTGATGCAAATCTCTTATCACATTCTTCACCAGCACCTTTGCTGCTTCTACATCTCTTAGGTACAAAATCTTCTCAAGTACTGACTCTACAACGTCTCTTACAAGCTCACAGTTGTCTCTTCTTACTGTTTCAATCCCTCTTGTGTCAATTTTGCTCGGACTGTCAGGACTCGAATACATTAGTCCTGCATATCTCTTCTTGTTAATCAGTAGATACGGACAATACACCTTCTCAAATTCCAAACACACCGGCTTCACAAACTTACTCGAGACCATTTCACTTATTTCCTTACTCATCTCAAAAACCTTCTTCATGTCAGGTTCATTGAAGCTAATCATCACAGAATCGGTGTCTCCATATATTACCACACTGTCATGGCTGTATCCACTCGCTTTACAAAACGTCTGCTCAATCAGTTTCTTCACATACGTTATCATCTCTCTGCCCAGTCCAGTTACACTCTGTGATATCTCAAAGCATGGCAGCTTTCCTGTGCTAGCCCCTGTAAATCCATATATCGAGTTTGCACACAACTTCATTGCTAACTGTCTGCCATTCAGACACACTTTTATTTCCTCATCCTTCTCTTCCTCCATTGCCTTTCTTATTGTTCTTCTAGATGCTAGCAGATCTGCCAGAATCCTGGGCAGTAGTCCTTTCTTTGTTTCTGTGTTACAAAAGTAATCTCCCGTGGGCGTCTCAACTCCCCCAACCTTTCCATATTGCTCCTTCGTTAGCAAGGTCGTGTAACACAGGTTCTTACTGATCATTATAGATGGATACAACGAACTAAAGTCCATCACAGACACTGGCTTGTCGTAAAAACCTCGGATAGGATCCATCACAAACCCTCCCTCAAATCCTCGATTCTGCTCAAATGATTCAATAACAGGAACAACATATCCTTCCTTGCTTGCCATCCTGTATATCAATGAAAACATCTTGATAGATATTCCACGGCTAAAGAAATATTCAATCGGAACACCAGTGACTCTCGAGAGCTCTGTGTAGTTCACTAAGACACTCAGCTTGTTGAACAAGCGAAGTGTTAGTAGGGTGTCTCTCAAACAATATGATGCTATTCTCCGTCTACTGTCCTTGTCTCCTGCTTGCAGTACTCCAATAGAAGAGTACGGCACATCTTCCTTCTGCTCTTTTAGAAAGTGTATGCTGACAGAGTTTAACGAATAGCTTCTCAGCTTGAAGTCTCTTCGTATCACAAGCATCATATCAATTACCAATCGCCCTCCAATGTCAACCTCAGTCGTCATGATCGATCCAAACATATTGCCAGACATCGTTGTATCTCTTATCTTGGCCTTCTTACCAAGTCTCCCAATAAATGAAAATCCTTCTATACCCACTGCCTCTCCTCTATCTAGGATGTATGGAATATCAAATCCCTTGATGTTGTATCCAGTAATTATATCAGGATCAGCCTCCATAAAGTACTTTTTCCATCCTTCAAGAAGCTCTTTCTCTGTATCATACCAATGTACGTTTGCGCCTGGAATTCCAGTCGTCTCTTTCAGACAGAAGATATCTTGTGTCATCTGATCTTTACTTCCATACAGACTCACAGTGTTTCCAATTTGTATAATTGGATCAACCTTAGACGAAGGAAACCCATTACTGCCTACACACTCAATATCAATGCTTAGGATCTTGAGTGGAGGAAGCTTCACGTAACTGCCTTCTGGCGCAAGACATTCTATTGATTCATATGATGCCGCTACTGTCAATGGCTTTGCATCTACTACTTCATACTGCCTTATTTTGATATAACTCATTCCCACCATTCCAAGATCACACATAAACCTCATCACAAATGGAATGTTGCTTTCATACATTCTGAACACAACTCTTTCTTTGTTCACAATTATCCCTTGCTCAAGCACTGTCTTAACACTTGTAAATATATGAGGTGTATTGAACGTCAGCTTGTAGAAGCGTGATTTCGTGTCTGAATATCCAAGGATACTTTGTTTAAACACAGCCTCAACTTCTAAGATCATTCCTTTTATGTCAAGCTTCTTGATTGAATTCATTATGTCATTCTCTTTGTACTCCTTTCCGTTAGCACTCTCAATATATATATACGGATAGAAGTTCCTGATAAGTACTTGCGCTGGCTCACCTGTAGCTGTAGATCCGAATACAATAAACACCGGATGCGCATAGCTCAGTCCTGTGTCATCCATGTAAAACTCCACGTGTGTTTGAAAAACAATCAAGTTCTCTGTCATTCAGGGAATCCAAAATCTAATTTATTTCACTTCATCATGCGCAGCATCATAAAAAAGATGCATTTTCGATTTGCATAATCATTCAAAATCGTGATTATTCAACTCTGATTTATACTAAATCTTTAATGTTTGCATTAATCATGCAGTGGCATTACATGTATTCTGCATTACTTTGACTCATGAAATTTCCTGTCTCCCTCAAACATGCTTTCAATATTCAGCTTGAGTTTATTCAGCGCATAGTTTGGAGCATATTGCTTCTTTATGCATGTTTGTTGATTCTCATTTCCCTCATGGATTGCTTTACTTACTATATTTATATATCCATATTCATTCATGCTGCCTGTATTGCGTACTCCATCGAATGCACACATAATTGCAGGGCAAGCTACTACAAATGTATCTGTGTAACCTACTCGATATACATTCATATCGATCCTAAACACACTTGCATACCCATGGATGAGCTGCTGCACAAACTTAACAAATGGCACATTTTGAAAGAACAGCATGCGGCTCTTGTATACAACAGGCGTAAAGAGAAGGTTGTAAAAATGATCAAAGAGATCAAAGCAACAAGAAACATAGAGATGCTTCTTGATTTGCTGAAGAGCGATGCAGATAAATGTGAAGACCTACAAGAATTTCTCTGCCGTGAATTTAGAAGAGCCATTCGGCTCAATAACCCAGACAGAGTCAGTTCAATAATTGAATGTTTTGTAATAGTTGGGTTTGGTCAAGAAGACTTGAGAGAAAGTTTAAGGCATGCACTTATTGAGCATCTTGATGATTTGTGTTCGAAGATTGTAGAAAGGAACGTTTGTGCAAATATTGAAGTGTTTGAGAAGCTCAACAAGTACGACATGTGTGATGGAATGGTGATAAGCAAGTATATCAAGCAGAAGATTGACGTGGAGATAGCAGCTTACATGGATATTCGATTGTTGGATATGCCTGCAAAAGTCGATAGATGGCTGAACGAGATGAAAGTTATCAGTAATTACAAGCCTGAGGTAATTGAATTGTACAGAGAGATGGAGATTAGATATTTATTGATGAGCCTTGAAGTTATTGTAGGTAAAAACACTGATATGTATACGGCGGAAGATGTGGAGTATCTAATTAAAAAGATAGTCAAGCGAAGCATAACCATGGGTGTTGATATTAAGGAAGATATTGACAGGTTAATAAGAGCATCTGGGATCGGACTTGATGAGGAGATAATTAAGACAATAAAAAAGATTTTGGATAATGCAGAAGAATGAGATGTGCAGAAGGATTAATAAGTAAGCATATAAATAAAAGTGTAATATGAATAGTTACATAAATAAATGTATGAATAAAGATCTGATATGAATGATTATATGAATAAAGATGTAATCTGAATAATTGTAATGTTGTAGAACTTTAGATGTTCTATATGAGTTAATGTGTTGCATAAACTGTCCCTTTGTGTTTTGAATGGATTACAATGCTGAGGAATATGAAAAGACACTTGTTGAGAAGTATCTTGAGAAGGCAGCAAACTCAAGAATGAATGAGATTGAGGAGAAGGCGAAGAGATACAAGGATAGCGGAGATTTGGAAAAAATGAATCTGTGTGAGGAAGAGCTTGAGCAGATTAAGCGAAGCTTAGTGGCAGAAAAGCAGGCACTGACATGCAGAGAAAGCAAACAGGAAAGTTTGGAAGCAAAAGAAGTGTTTGATTTTGAGTGGAAAGGTTGTTCTGATGATTCAGACATCAAATTGTTTGAGGAGAAGTGTAAGAATGCAATAGAAGTATTCTGCAAGAAACATGGACTATCTAATGACGTATTTGATAAGTATATTCAAAAACATTCTGAAGAGCACGAAGGTTTTGCTGTGCCAAGCTTTCTCTGGGAAAGTCTGTTTGTATATCAGCAGGAAGGAGTGAAGTGGATGTTAAATCTTTACAAAGCTAAGAAGGGAGGGATTCTTGCTGATGATATGGGCCTAGGAAAGACATTTCAGCTAATAGTTTTTTTAACGGCGCTGTTTAGGAATGAAGCAGCTGGAAAGGCATTAATTGTATGCCCAGCCACAATTGTTTTACAGTGGGTGAGCGAGTGGAAAAAGTTCTATCCATTTATGCGAATTTTTACTGGAGGAGTGGATAGTGAGAAGAATGGAGTGCATGTGATGTCATACGAGAAGTTCAAAATGATTGCAGGGAGTGAGGAATGTGATGTGTTAGTTCTGGATGAAGGGCATAGAATAAAGAATAAGAATGCACAGGTGAGTCTTGCAGCGAAGAGGATGAAGTCTGTATGTAGGTTGATTCTTTCTGGAACGCCAATACAAAACAATCTAAGGGAGCTGTGGTCGATGTTTGATTTTGTGAATCCGGGGCTTCTTGGATCGCACAGTGCATTCAATGAAGAATTTGAAGAGGTGATAAGCAAGGGAGGATACAAGAATGCAAGTAATATTCAGGTTGAAAGAGCATACAAACACAGTTTGATGCTAAGGTCACTTATTGAGCCTTACATATTACGAAGAACAAAGGCACAAGTGTCTCATCGACTACCTTCAAAACAGGATAAGATTGTGTTCTGTTCATTGACATCTTTACAGACTGATTTGTACAAGAAGGTGCTTAGATCAAAGCATATAATGAATGTTCTAACAGGAAAGGCGAATCTTTTGAGTGGAATTACGTTACTACGCAAAGTGTGTAATCATCCTAGGCTGCTTTTTACTGATGACAATACAAGACATGATGGAATGCATGATCAAGATCCAAGTAAACATAAAATAGAGCAATTTGAGCTTGATTATGATTATCAGGATGAGTCGTTGGATGTAAACGCTTGTAATGGAAAGTCTAATGGATATGCGTTGGTTGAGTCGGCATGTAAGATGAAGATTCTGATGGATTTTTTGAAGAAGTGGAAGAAGAGTGGAAACAAGGTATTGATCTTTTCACAGACGATACGGATGTTGGATATTATAGAGAAATGTATTGATGGATATATGTACATGAGGATGGATGGGTCAACATCAACGCAAGACAGACGGAGTCTTGTTGAGCAATTCAACAATGATGAGAATGTTTTTATATTTCTGTTGACAACGCGAGTGGGAGGTCTTGGACTGAACCTTACTGGAGCATCAAGGGTTGTGATATATGATCCGGATTGGAATCCATCAACAGATACACAAGCAAAGGAAAGGGCATGGAGGTATGGACAGAAGAAAGACGTGGAGATATATAGGTTTGTATGCAAAGACACTATTGAGGAGAAGGTGTATCAGAAGCAGATATTCAAGGATATGCTTGGAAAGAAGGTGTTGAGTGATCCAAGACTAAGCAGGTTCTTCAATAAGTCGTGCATTGATGATTTGTTTAGCTTTGATGGCACAGATGAGGTTGTTGAGATAAAGGCACATGAGGAGCATGGAGAAGAGGGTGAAGAGGAGGGTGTATTAAAGGGAGTGCGGGACAAGGACGAAGAGCTGTTTCTACGGATGAAGGTTTTGAATAGCAAGAGTGTTTTGAGTGGAAGTGAAATGCTTGAGTACATCCGTTTGAGAGAGGAAGCCATGAGATGACCGGATGATGATGATCGGTTGCTAAGTAATAAAGTAAATTAGATTGTTAATAGATTAGTATAGATGAATATCAATAGGAAGTATGAATTGAATGATGTATAGATCATAGTGTGTGACGGTATAAATACCAGGATGTGTTTGTGAATGGTTACGGCCATATCCACTGAAATGCACCGGAACTCGTCAGATCTCCGAAGTTAAGCCTGTGCGAGCCTGGTTAGTACTGAGTTGGGAGACCACTCGGGAATCCTGGGTGCCGTAATCTTTTGTCATTTTTTGTTTTATTTTGTATAACGCATGTGCTACATAATCCTATTCATTGTGCTTATAATGCAATCTAGCTCATTAATCGAAATATGTATTAGGCATCGACTGGATATTTGTATTCTATTTACTCTTACTTCATATCCTGTTCATCATGTCGGTGTATGTAATAAAGTTTCTGAGCATACACATTGTTGCTGTGCATATAGCCCATGGAGCTGTCCTGTCTTGGCTCTAAGGCTTCTCCAGAAACAGCTAGTGCTCTCAGGCACATGATCTACGATCAGCTCAACGAACATAGAGCTAAGCATAGAGAAAAATTCGTTGGAAGTCACCCAATAACGCTGACACTTGAAAACATCAATCTTCTGCTTACTGAGGATTTCCTTGTATGTGAGAAGTCTGATGGTGTCAGAGCATTGTTGCTGATCATCAATTACATGGATAAGAACAGAGCATATCTATATGACAGGAAAAATGATTTCTATGAGCTTGATATTCGCATTCCATTCAATTCAACCGTTCTTATTGATGGTGAGGTCTTTCTTGAATCAAACACAATCAACACATATGCAATATTCGATTGCTTGATATACGAAGGCGTCTCACAAATCTCTAAGAACTTATACAAAAGACTGGGATACGCACAGATGTTTCTTGAGGCCATGTATAAAGAATACGAAACATCCAAGAGCGTTCCGAAAGATGATGATAGAAAACGAGTACATATTCAGATCACAAATGAGTCTCCTCCAATTTGCTTCTATGTCAAGCAGATGCTCAAGGGATATGGCTTCTGGGAAATATACAAGAAGATTCCTGAACTCAAGCATGGAAACGACGGACTTATTTTCACACCGGTTAATGAGGCTTATTGTGTAGGAAAGCGAGGTGAAATACTTAAGTGGAAGCCTGCTTCGTTAAATACAATGGATTTCAAGATGGTAAGGCACAGCAAAGACAGTAACATCTATGATCTGATTTGTATAGGAAAACGTGGCAAGGAAATGGTGTTTGATCAGTTCTTAAGCACTAACATTCATGAGTCTAACTTGGATGGAGTGATTGGTGAGTTTTTATATGATGCTGACGGATACTATTGGGATTTCGATGAACTTGTTCTAAGGAAAGGCGGGTGGAAACTGTACAAAACAAGACTTGATAAAGACTCCCCAAACAACATAAAAGTGGTCTGTAATATCTTAGAAAGTCTTAAAGACGATCTTAGCATTGAAAAACTATCTTCATTCTATACTCCTATGCGTGAAAATAGCAAGGCAAGAGAGATACAAGGACATCGTACTGTTGCCTGATGCTGAATGTTATATTATTCTGCTCAATTAAGTCTGATTTGCAGCATACTTGTATATTACAAATTTGCAGTGTATCTTACAAACAACACTATTGTATATATCTTTGCACTCCACGAGAGGTTCATATGTCTAAAAAAATTGCCCCGCCACACAAATGGTAGGTGATCAATCGCTTTGGTAATTTTAGGGATCAAGAAAAACAGCTTTAATCAAGACACGACTCATGAGAGCACTCAAGAGGAACAGAGAAATGCCAGCATGGAAACGATCCATGCCTGAGCACCGTGGAGAATTCAACAGGTCCAGAAGACACTGGAAATCCGGAAAACTCAAAATTTATTGAGAATAAACTTGATTTCTAACACACTTATATTTGTGTAACATGAGTTTTAATCGATCATGACAATATGTAAATCTGAAAGAGAATTAGTCATCACTCATTGTTGCTTCATATCTTTTACGTTTTTCATTTACTATCTCCTTTAAGCCGCCTTTCTTTTTATATTCAGGATGCGTAGGATCTATGGAAAAGTTGTCGTCTTTGAATAATGCTTCAAACCTCTCGTCTAAAGGATCAAACACAAATCCAGTACATTCATCGTCTTGATTAGCCTTGGGAATCAGAACCTGCTTCTTTCCAGGTTCCTTTGCAACAGAGATCTTTTTCTTTTTTGACTTTGATTTGGTGTAAATACTGTTGAAGTCGTCTTCATCTTCAAGTAGTTCATCATCATTAGACTCTTCCTTTTGTATATAGTTGTCTCGTTTTATCTCATCCTCTTCATCCTCTGACATCTCTATAAGCATAGATACCTTTTCATAGTCTATCTCATTGTCTTCAAATAGCATCTTCATCTCTTCAGTAGATTCGCTGTCTAAATAATCGCATTCCATTCCATTTGCTGTGTATACCGCATTCAGTCTTCTTTTTGCACATCCACCAGTGCCAGTACTTGGAAATTCATCACAGACATTCCTAACCACAAACTTTTCAGAAATGAATCTCAAATCAAAAAATGTCCCAGAATTTTCATACTCAATGCCATCGCATGCTTTATACACACAAATCGCATCCTGAACGTCTTTAAACTCAATAATTGCAAAATAATATTTTCTAATATCAGTATTATCACCGTTTGTATACACATCGTCATCTCCAAGTACATTCCTTCCAAGCTCAGTCTTGCATAACTTAACACACACCGGTGATGAATGATGTAGAAATGAACTAAACGCATAAAAAATGTTTTTAACACTCAATATCTTCCAGTTCATCTCTAGACATGCAATCCTTTTCTGCACCCCTCTCTCTATAGTGTTACTTCCATTCTTTTCTTCCTTGTCCTTCAGTGAATTCGTCTTCCCCATATACTGTTGTTTTTTGTTTGCAATAAATACACAGACTTAACAGTTTAGCATATACTTACTATTTGGATATCTGCTTTCAATCTACATAGTGCGAGCATATTCAGTTATGCCAACAATCAACAGTTTTGTTACACATTCATCCACATACTGTGTATATGTAAAGATACATTCATACTGTGATATCAACTGACATATGCATTGGTATGTAATAACAAATCATATCAATTGCATCAATAAACATTTACCTAAGAATCATGCAAAAATGTTATCCACAGCATGACTAAACAGGCACAAGATATTGAGGAATGCAATAAAAAGGCAAAAATCGAATGCATGTCGCATCAAAACCGCAATGCTGTGAACAAAAGAAACATGAAGGACATAATTGACCTGATAGATCTTTCTAGAAGCAACAGTAAAACAGACATCGTTACCAAATACATAAACTTTGTTTCTGAGTTTGTACTACACAAGGCGAAGCAAATATGCAACCTCAGAGGTGGAAAAACAGTTTCTGCAAACGACATAAAAGAAACAATCATCTCAGAAAGTTTATTTTTTCTATCTGATGTTGAAGCATTATCAAATAAACAGCATGATTAATTAGTTCTAAATTATCAGTTTCTTTAAATCCCCTTGTTATTCTTTCTCTTCATCATCTTCTGATGGTGGATATACTCCCTTTGATCAATACTACGGAGTTCTATTCCATTGTTGTCTCTAATCACCTTAGGCTTGTACTTGTAATCCTTCTTGAAGTACAGAACTTCCTTTCCATTTGCATTTCCAACACTTACTTTTGTAAGAGTGGAATGTCCACAATTTTTACAGAAATCCATACATTCACTAAAAACACTGTAGCATGCATAACATCTGGTTTTATATGTTCTTCTAGAAAAATCACGGTCTTCATAAGATCCATAGTGTGCAAGTGCATTTTTGATTCCATTGTCATGAGTCAAGCAGCACACATCGATACTATTCAAACTACCTGGACCTAGCCATTGCGAAGACATCTCATCCATCAGCTCTAGAGTCAATGCAACCACATCCACATCCGTTGCGCTTAGATTTGAGACTGTGCTTTTGAGATACTCATTGACCTTCGCTATATACTCATCAGAAGGATCTCGTGTTTCAATCATGAAAGAAAATAAATCAATATACATTCTTGATTGTGCATTCTTGAGCTCTGTCTTCACTGAGCTTGTGATGTATCCTTTGGTTATTTTTTCAATCGGTATATGCCTTTCCAATATGTATCCTGTGTCTATAACAGCAAGCATGCTGGGTAACTTTTTGTTATACAAAATTACATTGCATCAAAAGCCTCAGTATCATTGTAGCATATTATAAGTTCGATTCCAACAACATTATAATTCATAAATCAGTTCGTTTTGTAATGCTTGCGTATTTGTTCTAATAAATGTGATGATTTGCATCAATTTAAGATTATACAAACTGGAATGAGTGGTGCATGTGAAAACGCAATGAAGTGGTTTAAGTATTTCATACCATATTTGGGATTTCATAATCGATCAGATAAAAGTTTTCATAGAAACCGTTGCAAGCTTGCATGAACCAGAAAGTCTTGCATATTGCATCTTTGTGCATGGAAATCATAAAGGATCCAGACAACTGCCTGAGGAAGATAGGCGAGGTTCTTGTAGAAGCAAATAAAGACACATCTGATGAGACAAGGGGACTTGTGTATTTATCTGTGTTGAAAGTATTCAAGGCCATTATTCCATTGTACAAGGTACGAACTCTAAAGGATGTTGTCAAGGATAAAAGAGAAAGCATGCACCTGAAAGAGCATGATAAAGCGCTTCTTAAATGGTACACAGATTATGTCAAGATACTGATGGGAGATAAGTCTGATGCGAGCTACGTTTCCCTGTGTGAGCTTTTGAAGCATTTTGATCACTTCAACTGCACAGATAAGATTGTATCGAGGATTCTTGAGGGATCTATGGGAACTGGGCCAGTGCCTGAGATGTGCTGTGAAACAATCAGATTGAAGCTACAAGATGATTGGACCGGAGAGCTGATAATTGTGATAATCAACCAAATGCTCGATTATGACTACAATCCTGTTGTTCTGGAGTATCTTTTAAACGTCCCACTTGTGGAGAAATCACTGAAGTCTGACAAGCAAAGAGCCTCTGACTATTGGAGAGAGAACAGACCTGCATCTAAAAGAAGCGAGAAAGAAACTATCTTTGTTAGGAAGCGGGTGTTTGACAAAAAGCTAAGGAAAGTAGAAAAGGAAAGATTAATCGCACAGTCAGAAGCAAGAGATGAAGAGGACATTGAAGGCAGAATTGAGGAGATAAACAATTGCAAAAAGATACATGATGCAATTCTCAGGGTTTATTTTACTGTTCTTAAAAGCAACAGGTACGATTGCTACAAAAGCATATTTTTAGGGCTTACAAAATACAAGAACATTATTCGTCCGGAGTTTATGGAAGGACTTTATTTTCTGCTGTGTAACAATCTGGACAAGCTGTGTTCAGATTCAACGATTCAGGCAGTGAAGTGCGTGATGATTCTTTATGGCTCTGAAGGATATGACTTTGAAAAACTTGTTAATGCAATGTATAGGGTGATATACCCGATGAATATGGAAGCAATCTGCATTCCTGAGGTTGTGAAGGCAGTCAGGCTTTTATTTGTGCACAAAAAACAACCTTCTCACAGAGCACGAGTTTTTGCACGAAGGCTTATGCTGTACGGATGTGCTAGATTCGCACCTGAACTAGGAAAACTGGCTAAGGAAATTTCCATAGTCTATGACTTTGAGTTTTCAGAAGCGAGCAGCTCATTAGTTAGAGATGTTGATCCTGAGTGCACAAAGGTCGACTATGTTCCTGAAGCTCCGTTCTTTGAGCACTTCCTTTTAAAGCAGATAATATGATTGTGCGATTTATGGCTATTGCATGACGATACATAGATCGCTGATAATAAATCAAATAAACAGATTATAAAACTTACAGATTTATGGTATTCAAACTACGTGTAGTACATAAAATTGGCTTATCCAATCCATTGAAATCACCAGAAATCAATATCTAATTAGAATCAATAAACTAAGGACATGTTATATTAGCATTTATTATCTATAAAACCAAGTGCATGACTCGTAATGCATAAACTTGCTCAAAACCTTTGATTCATGGCTCTTTCTACCTCAGCCTTTACATGTGCATCCAGTGAAAAGTTCTTGACTTGCTGGCCACAAACATAACATCTTCTATCCACAATCACGCATTGATCACACAGAACATGCCCACAATTGGTTTTCATTGGATTTGTTAGAAGACAGTGGCAAGATGGGCACTTCAATCTCTCTGGAATACCAACCATAGGCTTTGTGTGCTGTTTATATTTCTTCCACTCTTGTGTCTGTGGCTGTGCCTTAACATACCCCCCCTCAGAAGTTACCAGCATTGCTGTATTTGATGAAGCTCCTTCTCCAGACACTGGCACAAGAAAATCCTTTGGAATCCCAGAGGGCTTGCGTATCCTCAGGATATCAAATGCCTTGTCTTGATTTGTATGACAATTCTGGATGTAATGCCCCTTCTGCCCACACCTGAAACACACATAACTTTCTGGAATAGCCTTATTGTATTTGTGCACATTATGATGCTGCCCCTGTGGCTCAGTTCTCTTTTCTTTGACATTATAGCCTCCTTTAGACATCCATAATGGAATCCTGTCAACTATCACATGGCTGTTCATTGTAATCACATGATACTCGTCATTTACCTCCTCACAAGTATCACAATCAAAAAACAAAAGATCAAAATCTTTGGATACCATCTTCCTCTGATTAATTATCTCATACTTCAGCTCCCATAGCGGAAGCCCTGTGCCTTGAAAGGATATTCTTGAAAAGTTCTTATTTGACCGGAATCTGTAATTTATCACCGAAGTCATAGGGGATTTAGAGCACTTAATTATAAACATCATATAGACAGGTTTTATTCTTCTTCATTCATTAATCTTCATCGGCTGAAATGTCTTTATACTTATCAACAAAGTGTTGAATGTCGTGCATCTCGAGCCTTTTCAGATTTCCTTCTGTTTGTAAAGACATTACTCCAACCTCAATGTCAAACGCTTTGTCCTTAGACGGATCATGTGCAATGTAAAGCATCTTGATACCTGTCTCCACCATCTGTTCAATGCTCATTCCATCAATATCGAGCTTTTCAAGCTCTGTCTTGATTCTCCTTGTTCCCTTTCCTAAGCATGATGCCTTGTATGAAACAGTCCTTCCCGTACAGTCTGTATGCAAAAGCGAAAATTTTCCTTCTTTGTACACACTGCATAATGCATTCACTCCAAGAACTCGCAGGTTAATGTTTCTTGTGAAGTAGTGGAATAGTCGATTAAGATACATCTTCATAAATCCTGCTGATGGCACTTCTCCAACATCATCCTTATGCCTAAATACATCGCCTTTTATGGCATGAGGTACATAGAACATATCAGACATCACTCCGCTGCACACCATCATCACAGAATCGCTTACTTTATTTATTCTCTCATCTGACTCCAACACATACAAAGCAGATACCTTTGGCTTTTCCACTACAAACACAATCCCATTCGCATTTTTAATTCCAATGCATGTATCTCCTGCATCAGCAGCCTTTTGTGCATATGATAGTTGACTGATCTGTCCTGTTGGTGTGTATATCGTGCAGAAATCCAGACTAGACATCCTAGGGTAACCTTGATTGTTTTTATTGTAGATGCAAGATTCACACATTTAGATTAATAGCGCTTCTTGATAATTCGCATGCATATTGCTACATTCTAAAATTCAAATCACACAGCATATCTTTTACATTCTACACTTATACTCTAACATTCAAATAATCATAAGATCTGGATTATAGGCTGATTGTTTGTTGCTCATGCACTCTATGTTAATACTATGCATAGATTACTCATTCATTCCATATAAGCATTACTTATACACTCTATGCCAATATTATATCCACTTCCAGACATACTGAACACAGTTACTAAATGACATCTCATATATAATCTTAATACTGTCTTTTCATTTGCATTTTCATTTGGTGTCTTTTTAATGTAGCAGAGATATGCAAAGCAGCGTGTCAATAGTATGCAGTGCATGCATAGTTTATAGCAAAAATATTTTAGATATGCCATAATTGAATAAATGAATACAAAGTACTTGAAGATAGAATCCAGTGAAGATATTTGTAAGGGAGAAATGGTGGCACATGTATACAGGAGGATATCTAAATGCATCATGCAATCTATAAACGAATCATTTCCGCACGAGATGATGTCGGAACTGAGCGATGATGCAGAAAAGCACTTTTTTGAAGAGATTGAAAGGCCACATTCTCTGAGACAAAGCCTTGACATCGAAAACACACTTGTAATATGCATCAATGGAGTGGAAAAGGCAGTGAGAATCAATCACGGAGTTTTCAAAAGCAACCATCAGTTTATTTTGGATTTTCACGATTTTTTGAAGGAATTGGAGGCCTTTGCAGAAATGTTAAAAGTTGAGATTGGTCGTGTAAGCACAGTTGTGTTTGTTGAGTTTCTCATTGACAGCTTCTGCATGTTTGGAAGTCTTGAGAACGCGATCAATCTCTTCAGGCCCATGAAGAGCACAGCAATACAAAGATCAGGACTGGAGAGTGAAAGAATGCTAAGGATGGTATTTCTGCTCCAACAAATATCTGGTGGTATGAGATTGTTTCTATCATTCCATGTGTTTGCTGTATCGATATACCACGGAAACAAGTACATCGAGATGCTCATAGGCAATGAGCTTGAGAGAATGATATCTGAAGTGCATGCGTGCAAAGAAAAATTAATAGGAAGCAAAACACCAGAGTTTAATAGATACACAAGAATCAAGACAATGATCAATGCACTGTATTTGCTATTCGATATATTTGACCTTGACAATGTATCGCTCAAAAACATTTTCTGTACATTGACTGTTTTTCTGTCAGCAAAGAAGTGTGCAGACGTAGTGAAGTTTTTGGGTCCAAACGATCTATTTGTATGCACGGTCAGGTCGGTGTGTGGAGATCTTATTCCAATGAATACATTGATGATGACATGCAAAGTAAAGTTGAACATGAAGTATAAAGCAAATGCACTGGGCGTGTCTATGGATTACATATATAGCTGGCTGTATTTGCCTTATTTTTCAATGCTAATGCCCAGGTACATAATGCTCTCCAAGATTCCCAAAAAGAGTCTACAGGTGCTCGGAAGACCAATAGAAATGGCATCCAGTAAAATCACCATGGAGTTCATAAAAGATAAAAAGAACTCTGAGCATACGCAAAGTCCAATGTATTCTCCACTCAGCAAAAGACTTAGCAGTGGAATAAACCATAGAATAGAAAAGCTCAAGAGTAAGCGAAAGCTCGAATTCAATTAGACCAACTCATTAAGATACACGGCAAACACATTAAATTATTCAAATAAACCAAAATATTGTTAAGTATAAAACAGTAGCTATGTGCATTTACTATTCTCGGATCTGCATAATTTTGTATAACCCGCTTTTTTCGAAGGCTTTTGATGACATCGACTCAATCATGCGTTTGGATATGCTCACACCTCGTTCTCTACATGTCTTAATGATAAACATCTTTGAGTTCTCAAGCACATTAGCAACAAACTTCTGGTTTATGAAGTCCATCCTCTTGAGATGTAGCACAAGCTTTTTCCCACAGAGCAGAAATATGTCGTAGATATTCTCATATGTCTTCAGGTTGGTGCGGTCAATGTACATCTTGGACATTCTGTTCCGAAGCATATTGCCAATCTTCATAGCAACGCCTTGTCCAGGATGATGTACAGCATGTGTAATAGAAAACATCATATAAGGATCCGCAACACAGGGTTTTACACAGAATCCATTCGCATATATCTTCATGCCACACCATATTACAGGTTTATCTATTATTCTCAGATCGCTTTTATGCATAATTGCATCTGTTATCCAATCTGAATGTTTCATATACTTCTCAATTCCAAAGTTCGACTCAATCTTCTGGCTGCTGAGATTCATTCCAAGATGAGATATTGATTGGAATACCTGAAGAAAGCGCAGGATCTCGTCAAGAGATGGGGAAATCACAAGAAAGTCATCGACATACCTAACTAGCATCCCATCCTTCAGAATCGCATTGAAATACAACTCATCAATCTTATTGTAATACAGACTGCAAAGTAATGTAGACGCAATTGATCCTTGTGGAATCCCTGTTCTCTGAACAAAGTGCTTTCCATGATATCTTATTACATTCTTGTTTATAACCTTAGCAATTGCATTACACACCTCCTCCTTCCTTAACACTCGCTGTCCTGCATTCTCCTTCACCAATTTGTTTCTGAGTTTTACTCCACAAGCATCTTCTACAAGTGTATTAGCAGTCATTATGTTATTAGACGCCTTGTAAATTTGTCTGCATCGTACTTCTATGCCAGCTGCTTCAAGCGCCGATATATTACTTATATAATACGTGCTTTTATTGATTGTGTCCTTTACAATCCTCATAACATGTTCTTGAGGAATGCTGTCAAAGCATCCTGAGACATCAACCTTCAGAATATATGCCTCTCCTCTCACACTAGATAGATACGGCGCAAGCTTTTCATACATTCCAGCTTGATTAATAACTGAATTCCCTAGGTTTCCATAACATTCATTCCTAAGAATACAAAACTCCGGATAAACACGGCTGTTAATCGATTGCTTCCCATCTCTAGCCTTTGACATGTTACACACTACACGCATACCATTAGCTTTTGGAATACATCTTAGTTCAGAATACAGGTATGGTTTGCATGGCTCTATAGTCTCAAACCTGTCCAGAAAGCTGCTTATATGCATACTTGAAAAGTATCTCCAGCTGCTCCTTGGAAAATAGTATACCTTGAACTTCGAAAATGATGTTTCGGTCGAATAAAAATACTTCGACATAACTGCCACAAATATGTTTTCTGTGATATATGTCAGGAATCTATTCACAATCCTGGATCGAACACAGAACTCATGTCTTGTACATTTAACGCTTCTGAAGAACTTGAAGCGGGATATTTTGAAATATTTCATCATTTCTGTATTTGATATATTTTCGTACCTATTTCTATGAACGAGTAGAGATATCCTTGACTTGAGTATCCTGAACGACTCAAAATCAAATACATTTGCAAATAACTTCTTTGATATAAGAAATAAAAAATCAACAAGCTTTGAATACTTGATACTGCATTCCATAATGCCTGTTTTGTTTTCAATATTTATCTCACAATGGAAGTATGATTTAAACATCGGCGATAAAGGTAGATGCGCTACACTTCTCTCGATTTTCTGAAGAACATGCATCACATCTGTCTGCATGGTCTTGTATTTATGCAAGTTATGCTCTTGAAAAATATATTCAAATGCCTTTACAGCCACAAAACTCACAACTCTTATGTGCTTATGGAATATCGTATCTCTGTTAATGCGCATATTCACAGGTTTTTGATACATCTTATACAAGCTACTAAAGTCACCTGCAAGAAGAACATAAACGTTGTTGGCTTTCTGAACAAGTGTGCATTCTGTAAGTAAATGCACTGCCAATTGATCTCCAATTGCATTTATAACGCATGTCCATTCATGCGACTTGAGCATATTAGAAGACACAAATGGTGAAGTACAGAGAATCTTACCTGGATCTGCCTCATCTGTAGATAGAATGTATCCAGAACACAATTGATTGCTCATTCCTCTATCAACAAGACATCTCACTGCTTTTGAAATTAAACTAACGCAGCTTTGTGTGCATTCAAACGATGTAATATTTGGCACACATGAGGACTTGACATATATCGTATCTACTACGTCTGGAAGATGCTCAGTGATGTATTCTGATAGGAACGATCTAAGCGTCTGAAAATGAAGGCTTTTGAGCAAATTTAACATTACATGGGACATGCAAATCCAACATTTCACAAGATATATGCAGACATACCTGAATAAATTTGCAACAGACGCATATTGAGCATCAATTGTCTAGATGATGGCGGGAAGACTCAAAACATGATGCTATTGTGTGTATTATTATGAGTAATGCAAACAAGCCCTAGAATGTTGAAGAATTTCCCCAGGAAGAGGAAGATTTTTAGAATATCAGAGATGAAGGAGTTTGAGGATCTTAAGGCCAGACTTGATGTGGGATGCTCTGAACAAAGCGACTCGTCGGTGGCATTCACGTATGATGCAGATTTGAATTATGCATTCCAGCAAATATCCGAGAGTGAGCACCTGGCAGATAAGATTCTAAAATGCAAGGAAAGCTTCTTGAATGGAGTTGGAGACGAAAGCTATATTAATTCTGGATTTGAGTCGATAGGATCAAGAATCCAAAAGGACTGCACTAAAAACAATCAACTACAGTCATGTAGAGGCGCTGATAGGGATGCTTTTAGATATGAAGCACTTTCTGCATCACAAAAACTCGAGCTAAGCAGGTTCTGTTGGAAAGCATTTAGTAAGAAGCGCTCGAATGTTCTGTTTAACTGGGTAGGATGTTTCCAGAGTAAGGGCAGAGTTGGTGGGGGAAAGACAATCAACTACAAAGTGTTTGATATTATTAAGTCATTAGAGGAGCGGGCCACGAATACAAGGTTTATATTCAGGTACGAACCTGACAAAAGTGGCGCAATTAAGATAGCAAATAGCCTTCATGAGAATAGAAGCATTGATGCCAATAGAGTGGATGTGTTTGTACTTGCAAATGCATTGAAGAATTATATCAGGGAGCACCTTGACGGGCTTGTACCGATTGAAGTTTTTGAGAAGATCAAGGGCTGCATTCGTATGAACGACAGATACACTAGAGAGGCACTTTTTTCTTATATTCCTTTTGTTTTTTGTGATGTTGAACGAAGTCTTTTAATGGCGTTATTTGGATTGCTTAAGAAGGTGAGCGATAATTTTGAGCAGACAGAGATGTCGATTGACTCACTTCTGGGACTGTTTAGTCTTGTGTTGCATCCGCAGGCTGCATTTACGACGCTGGACGATCTTGAATATGTACAGATGATTACCAAAGAGCTGTACAACCTGGACTTTGGGGGTTTGCCTCAGGCTGTGGTTGTGCATGAACTAGTTTTTGTGTAGAGTTGAGTTACAAATTGCCGTACTAAAAAGATGTGATTTATTTCTTTCTTTGTAAAGCATGTGTGATGTTGTATTTACTGAAAAAACAAACACATTTTTGGCCCAGATGACGCAGGAAGAGAAAGAGTGGGAGAAGGTACAGGAGAAGACATTTACGAAGTGGGTGAATGATAAGCTGATTAAGAGCGGAAACAAAGGAATAGAGAATATATTTAAGGATCTGTGTGATGGAGTGAAGCTAGCACGATTGTTAATGGCACTTCAGGAAGAGAGTGTAGAGTACAATTCTGAACCTTACACTAGGATACAGAAGATGGAGAATGTGGAAAGGATTCTTATGTTTATTAAGAGGAAGAATGTGAAACTTATTAACATTGGGCCTGAAGACATTGTTGACGGGAATCCGAAGCTTATACTTGGGCTTATTTGGTCTTTGATATCGAGGATGGCAATTGCAGACATAGCACTGACTGGGGATCTTTCGATACGAAGTGAGCTATTGAGATGGTGTAAGGAGGTGACGAGTGGATACAAAGGCGTGAGAATAAACGACTTTTCGCGAAGCTGGCAGGACGGGATTGCATTTAATGCAATAATTCATAAATTCAGACCGGATCTTATCTGTAATTTTGAAGAGCTTGAAGGGCTTGGGAGTGTGTATAATTTACAGCAGGCATTTAAGGTTGCTGAACAGCACCTAGGGATAAAGCGACTGCTTGATGTTGAGGATGTGGCAGATGTTGCTATTCCTGATGAGAGGAGTGTGATGACATATGTTGCAGGATATTATGAAAGGTTTAAGGAGTATGAGCAAGAGAAGCGTTTTTTTAATAAGATGATGAAGGTGTTGAGCATGACTGACTGGTCGATTCAATCAAGGAATTTGTATGAAATCAAAGCAAAAGGATTGCAGGGATTGATAAAGGAATTAGTTTTACAGAGGAATGAGGTTTGTTCAATGATTAGAAAGCTTGATGAATCGTTCTCAAGGTTATTGGAGATGAACACAAATGCAATACAAGAAGCAGCAGGGCTTAGATCTCTACTTGGAAGTCTGAGTGTGATTCATGAAGCTTATATGATGAAGAAGTATATTCCTCCAGATGAGGTGAAGCCTGAGAGATTGGAATTCCCAAGGCTTGAGCTACGCAAGATTGCAGATAGCATTGGGATGAAGAAGATATTTGATAATTCACTGCAGAATGAGATGGACGGATTGAATGATATGCTTGATAAGTTTAAGGAAGGATTTTCAGAGGATAAAGGAGTACAAAAGCAGATGGAGAATGCCATTGAGCTAAAGAATGCACTGGATGAAATGAAATGCATACATCAAGCTACAAATGATCATCACGATAAGCTAAAGGACGTGGTTGAGAAGAAGATTGAGGTTCTGAAGAAAGTGGATGACAGAAGTATGGAGCGAATAAAGATGCTCGGGAAAGCAAAGGAACTTTTTACAAAGACTCTTGGAAATGATGAGTATGGAATAAGCATATCGGGCATGTGCTGGTGCATGAACCAAATGGGACTTTCTGTGGATGAGAGCATGATTCCGTTTGGAAATCCTGAAGGCAAGATATGTCTAGATGATTATCTATTGATAGTGAATGAGACATATAACAGCTCGTTTGACTTGATAGAGCTAAAGAAGGCCTTCAATGTGTTTAGTAAAAATGGCATACTTGATCTTACGATGCTTGGGGTTGATGCAAACAACCTCAAGAACATTTACCATATCAACAGAAACGAGCGAAACCTTGATGTTAATGAGTTCTTTGAGAAGTTCATTGAAAATTAAATTGAGTTTGATCAACTTTATTTTATCTTGTGTATTTTACTCCTTACTGGCCTTTCCATTCCAAACTCATTGTAAAGAGCAGTTGGATATTCAATATCAATGAAGTATATGATGCCATTGAATCGTTTGTAATATGCAGGAATGGAGCCAAAACACAGCCCGATTTTTACGCCTCCTTCTTTGGTTGAGGTATCTGGAACATCTAAGTAGATAAATCCTTTTGCATCCTTATTGTTATACTCCTGTACATGTATCAATGCTTTATTACATGCAAATACATATACGCATGCCTGATCCTGAGAGGATGTGCATATGGCTCCTCCAGAGTTTATATATGACTGTCTGTATTTCGAATTTCTTATATATTGCTGGTTACAAATAACTAAAGGCTTCTTTCCAGAATGTAGCAGTAGTCTTGCAAGAATGTATCCTACACATGAAAAAACATCATCTCCTGCAATAAATATTTCAACCTTCTCAGTAGAACTTCCGAAGTATGTCGAAAACACACGATATGCCTGTCTTGCTGCAATTGACGAGAACTCTTCTTCAAGTGGCCCAAAGTGTGAAAATGCTCGGCTCATCATTCCGTAATAGATGCTTTCTGTTGTTTCTGGCGCATATCTTCCATCCTTTCCATTTATTCCAATCTTTTCTGAGGCACTACAGTTATCTTCATTCTCTATGCATCCATCTTCAGCCTTCTTGTGTAGACTCTTAATCCCTTGCTCTCTTTCTGAATCCACGTCAGATCCTCCTCGGCTCACACTGCATGATTCAGAAACACTTCTGCTGGCCACCGCTACTTGTTCAGGCAGTGCTAGAAACACATCCTCCATTCCACGTTTATCCTCCGTCTTGCTATCTCTCCTTGGCTTATAGTGTCCTTCTTTAACAATCTCAAGCTTTAGAACATCCTCAATAAAAACCTCCCTCACATCTCCTCCTCCATCAACCACTAGCTTTCCTGTATCCTCATCCACAGTCTTCAATATTCCACTCACAATCCCTTTCGATGTCTCAAATAATAGCTGTGTGCCAATATATTCATCCATTCAGGGTTTGCATTCAATAAATAATATCAGGCTCGTTCATTTTCCTTACTTAAACCAAACTATTGTTCAATAAACATCGTTTATTTATCTCCACCCACTACTTCTTCTGCTATTCCTTTTACTTCAGCCAGGCACTCCTTCAAAAATAAAAAGGCTTTTCTTGGGATCTCTTCACCAACTGCTTCCATCAGAAGTTCATGGTTATCCATTCTCCTCACAACTTCTTGCTTCAAGCTCACAAGCTTCTCCCGAAGCTCAGCATTCCTCCCCTCCATTGTATCTATAAACATATCGAGCTCTTCTTTATCAAGCTTCTTGACAACATTCTTTATGTCTTTGTCAGAAAGCATCTCCACCTGTATCTTGAACTTTTCCTTAATCTCCTCCATTATCCCACCTAGGCCACTCGATTAATTCAACTCATAAAACATTCCAAATTTAGATCGTTCATCTCAACACTTCTTCAATCTTTTCAGGTCTCATATCATCTAAAATAATGCTGAATCGTAAAAATCGATTTGTTATATCTTCGATCCCTCTCAAGAACATACAAAAAGTCTTTCATCGTAATAGTCCTGTTATGAACCTTTCGATCCAATGCTTTTTCATCAAATGGCGAATATATAGAATTGAATGACGTGTTCTCTTCATTCATTCTAACATCCTCAGCACTCATCCATGACTTCTGCTGTATTCCTAGCGCTGCCAATGCAACTGTATTGCTCATTCGTTTTTTAATCACCAGATCCTCTCTCTCCTGAATCGTCCTCTTCACCTTCTTCTTTCCTTCTTCTTCTCCTTTCTTAATCATAAACTTCTCCATCTCCGCCTTCTCAATTTGCTCAAGACACCAAAGCTGCCTACTCAAATCATTGTTTATCCTGATAATAAACTCAGACAAATTATACTCCACCCTGTTCCTGCTTGCCCTTTCCATCTTCTCAATAAAATCAATCATCTTTCGCTTGATCACCTGGAAAAGCAGTAGCAATGACTCTTCCCCAATCATCACCTTCCTCGAGCTTCCTGCTCTCATCACAAATTCCCTAAATAATTGCACATTCAGTAAAGTGTTCATCTGGCCGTTTATATCCTCATCATCGTACTCTCCAAAGTTCACATTCGTTTCCGCATCTCTTACTATTTGGTCTGCTTCCTCCTTAAGATCAACTCCAGAGTACTGAATGATATCCTGTAGGTGTTCCGTCTTTATTTCCTCTTGCTCCTTGCTTGGTCCAGCTCCAGCTCCAGCGCTAGCATTGTTTGAAAACAGGCTTTCAAATTGATCTTTGCTCAGTGCTCCCCTACACACCCCAAAAAACTGAGACGCACATATTTCCTTGCGAACAGTACTGAAATACGCTGCCTCTATAATCTTCTTCTTATCAAGAGGAAGTTTATCAAACGCCTCCTTGTTCATCCTAAGGGTACAAAAAACACCGGTTCTCATGATCCATGCATAAATCGCATTCTAGTCAATCGCTTTATTCCAATCATGTTGTATTCAATCACTTTATTCCAATCATGCTCAATATATCAGTACATCCTTTAAATACTTGGCACTTACGCTTTTTACTCTATCTCCATGCATTCTAAACCACTGCTCCGCACAGTCAGGATCAATTTGCTTAACAAACATATAACAAACTGCAGAAAGCTCAGAGTCATCATGTATCATCCCCTTCAATTTCTCGAGCGACATCTTCACGCTTTCAACTTCTCCGAATACCCTTAATGCATTAAACACCACTGAAAACATATAAACAGCACATAATGCCTCCTGCCTCTCCACTAGCCTGGGATATAATACTCCACACACAAACTCATTGTAAGAGTAATCCCAGTCCATATAGTGACACAAAGCTCTAATAGAATACATCCGCGGAAATATCGCTTCATTGATCTCGCCATCTTCAAATGCATGTATATCACCAATCAAATCGCTACATATATCTCCTAGAGGCTTTACATCTGTATGATTGCCGAAATTTGCAGATATCCTGGCATAGTATCTGACGAGATTCGGACTGTCTGAATACATCTCACTATCAATGTCACATTGATGCATCACAATGTTCGACACCGTTTCTCCAAGTACATCGCTATGAATCCCTTGGTTGTTAAACACCGCAGAAACAATAAAAGGCATCCTTGAAAAATCGTCAACCAGCAAAATGATATCATGTGCAATAACAAGCTTGTGGTTGTATTCCATCTCTGCGCAAAGAAGATTAAATGCCGAACATAGAGTGTTCAGATCATACACGTTTAGGTTCACCATCAGATGTCTAGTAACCTTTTCAACATACTGCTTGATGCAGCAGCGAAACATTTTCTTTGACTTCCCATCTGATCTACTAATCAATCCAAAAGAATGCATATCTCTGCAATATGCTATGAATGAATCAACCGTAAATGCTTCTTTAAAAGGTTTTTGTGCTTTTTTTGATTTGAATATGCCTTCAACATCTTCCTCAAAAGACACATTCCTATCGTCCATTTTCTTTATGTACTCATTTTCAGCTTTGCTTTCGCAGTAGTACTCATTTTTTTCCAAGCATTCTGAAATAATATTTTTGCATTCTGAACGCTCCTGCTGTTTACTAGAATCTTCTGTTTCTTTGACTTTTTTTACTTCAGCAACAAGTGCACTGATCACTATCTCTTGGCTTTCAATCTTTCTTTCAAGCTCAGCTATTCTTTCAAGCGCTTGCTTCAGATTCTCAATCATTTCTTAGGCTACAAGCCCTAGCAAAATCATCTTCTCATATACACGTCTAGAGCCCAATAACAAATAGATCAGCAGACAGATTGTGCAAGCTCTTAAGCTGCATAACCTCATCTGCATTTGCTTCATCGTCCGGCCTCATTACGTGCCATTTGATATTAATTGAAGATAGAATCTCTCCAAGAACCTTCCTTATCTTCTCTCCTACAATTTTTGATGACCGGCCAATATCAACTTGCCATTGCAGCACAGGCCTGGATTCGCTTGATGATAAATGCTTCAGATTCACAAATCCATTAGAATGCAGCATCATAAGCGCTTTCTTAACCGATCTAGCACATATGAGAGATTTAAGCGCAATATCCTTGTCTTCCAGCTCTTTGTGATGAATCATCATGTTGAACAGTCTTAGAGCATGCTTGTTGGTGTTTGTCAGTATTCTGCAGAAACAGTCTATAATCAGAATCTTTCGCTCCTCATCAACATCTCTGAAATACATATCGGAGCCATCCATGCTCTTTTTCAATAATCCACTGTTACAGAAGTATTTTATGCAAGAAATGACATCGCTTCTACTTATGTCAAAACAAATGCTTTGATCAAGATTGCCCATTACTGCATCAATCGTTACAAGATTGCATTTCAAGATAGATGCATATATATCCTTTGATTTTCTCAAATACTTCCTCTGAATAAACCTCTGCATCTTATTTCTTGCAACTATGCTATCAAGAACATCAAAGTCAACCATCACAAATACTTTGCCATTCAGTACCTTATTCTTTTTGCTTACACTAACATCATTTTCATCATCAGTACACTTCGAGGCATTCTTAACAATACATCTCGATCCCATTGAAAACAAACTGGCTTCCTTTTTACCCAGCATACATACAATGCCCTCATCCACAAGGCTCTGGATCGCATCTTGCGCTGCTGTATTGCATTCTATTTCAACAAACCCAGCAATAAGTATTTCAACGAACCGATTTGTAATATCTGGTCCAAACATGTCTTCTACGGCACAGTAGTAAGTAGAGTATAGCAATCTACGATAGATCATTTCTTTAGCCAAGGAATAGTACACTTCCTTTTCATACACGAAGTATCTCACAAATCGTCGCTGAATCAAGAAGGAAAGGCCATTTATCACTTGATTATTAGACAAAGATGTGTTTGATGATATGCTCTTACTCGTGCTTTCATTTTTTTTCATCAGGAAGTTGCCTATTTTCTGTGGAATCGTTCCGTAATCTGCTAATAGCTCGTCTACAAGCTTTGGCATGCCTTCGAGCACAGCAAAGTTTTTCAATCACAATATCAATTGAGCATACACATTGCAGCTCAACAAGCATACACAACAATCTGAACAATGCATAAAATGCAATTATCACACTTCATTGGATATCATTAGATATCAAATCAAGCAAAACTCTGGCCTGGATATCTGCATGAAAAATCACATGGTACATCAAAAAGATAAAGATGCGCCAGATGTCATCAAATCATCCACCGGTCTTCCAAATAGGATGGATTGGACAACTAGAGTAAGTGACGATCCATTCGATATACTCTCCAACTCAATATACAAACAGCAAATCAAAATGCCTGAGAGTAGCCTTCACACACGCACAGAGATAGAAGACTCTGTCTTTGAATCAATGCTAATAAAGAGCAAAACCAACATAAATCATGCGGAAAAGAAACATAAACATGCAATACTTGCATCAGCCATGCTTCTCACTGAAGAAAGCATAAACTTTCAGGAAAAGAAGATGTACAAATTCCCATTTGATATGGAGACACGGAACGATGGATCCTTGCTTTTCAAGAAGATGTATCTAGAGTATCTTATAGCACTGAAGTCAGTATTCAAGATGTACAAAAGAACCAGGCTACCGTTTTACATGAAGATCAAAAATGACTTTTTAATGTTTGGAGACGATTTAAGAATCACTACAGGAATGAAGCATGAACTGAGCAAAAACGAAATAGACTTCAATGAGCATAACGACTATTTAATTGTCAAAGAAATAGATATGTGCCTAGTTTTTGACTGTATAATCAATGCACCCGTCTCATCGTCATTTATAATTCCTTTTATTCTTTCTGAAGGCCAATTCGATAATGGGATTCTGTTTTCTATAAGATTACACAACAGATGCATAGTTAAGGAAGACTCAAGAACTCTGCACTCATACGAGCTTATTGGTCCGTTATGGGCAGATGATTACTCAGCTCTACTGAGATATTCCAATAACAGTGCACATGCAAAACAGCTTTGATGCTCGTTTCAATTCATTCTTAACCTCCCAAGAGCTTTAAACACAAAATAAACAAACCCTGATGGGCAAAATAAAGCTGAATTTCCGATTAAGCTTTCTTATACTGCTGCTTGCATTTACATATGTGTCCTCATTTGCAAAATATGTGTCTCCAACTGATTCCGATATTAGATCTGTTTACACATATTCAATGCTTGTGCTGTCTATGCTTTCAGTTCTATATCTCATCCTCTCAATCGCATATAGAGGACACGTGATCTATGACACACAAACAATTAAGTTGATAGAAGAGTGCCAGAACAAGAAGTTCTGCAAGAAATGTATAAACTACAGGCCAGAACGGGCACATCATTGCTCTTCATGCGGTCACTGTATTAAGAAAATGGATCATCATTGCTTCTGGATAAATAATTGTGTGAACTACGATAACCAAGGACACTTTATCAGATTCTTATTGTTTTCTGCATTAGCCAACTTTGTTGTTTTTCTTTCTGCAGCTGCAAAGTGTGTTCAGATCCTTGTATATGGGATCTCCTTGGAGTCAAAGAAAGATTATTACATCCTGATACTTTGTGGAATGTCTTCTATGGTTCTGACTGTAATAACCAGTATTTTCCTGTATTTGCAGATGAGGTTGGCTATTCTGAACATTACATTTATTGAAGAGCTTAAGCAGAATGATCTAAGTAGATTTCAAGGCATCAGTTCATCCAAATCTCCGTACGATAGAGGAGTGCTTGGTAATCTTATGGATGTATTGGGACCTGTACGTACACTGTTCTTGATAGGACCGTTTGAAAACGGAATGATATTTCCCGAGACATCACCCAGACATCCATCATTTCATGAGTACTATGTATAATACAATCGTAACAATGTTACTTCAATAATTACCAGTAATTGAGTACTCAATTGTACATATCATAGATAATATTAAAATCAACTCTGTCATAAGAAGGTATTTTCATTTCATGGCATTCATTCAGGTATTTGGAATATATCTCTATTTTGGAAAGCTTTTTGCTGTTTGATATCAGAGACCGAATGGTTTCATGATGAAAATTGCCTGGCTGATCTGAGAATCCGTTTTTATCTATCTGAATGTCCTGAAGTGCAATATTTGTATGATTGCAGGTTTTTATTGAACTGTCAATGGTTGATGGATTGCCTAAAATTTGTGATTCAGCAATCAAAATCTTTTCAGCTATAACATCCTGTATATGCTTGAATAACGACCTAAGGTCACCCGAAGGCCCAAACCTTCTTGAAATCATTTTGATTAAGGTGTTGTTTAGAATCTCCTCGGTATACTGTTCAGTTACTTTTTGCTTCAAAATTAACTCCATGTCTAGTGAAGTGTATGGCTTGAAGAACAATGCCTCAGAAGGCATTCTCAAATTGTTCGATAGCGTTATTATCTTTCTGTTTTTCTTTCTTAGATATGCCATCATTTGTAAACACTCATTATTTCTTTCGTGATAATATTTATCAAACTCATCAATAACCACAACTAAGCTTGTGCTTTTCTTTATAATCTCAAAAATGTTCTTCTCAGTATAATAATTTATGTACATAAACTCACACTTTAGAGTATTTGTAGTAACGTGTGTCTTTCCTGTTCCTGGATTTCCACATATGTGAAGAACAAGCTTTTCGGACTTAACAAATGAATTTATTGCACACATCTCCTCAATTCTCAAGTATATTTGGTTAGTGTGTCTTGCAAACGAGTTATATAGTCTTCTAAGATTTTCTATCGCCATTCTTGGATTAGGGCATAATTAAGTATCAAATGTAGCATCAGACGCCCTGCAATGGAAGTTACAAAAAATGAAAGGGAGATGGAGGCTCGTAGCAAAGGATTCGGAATGTACCTGAGACTTAAAAAGATGCCACAGGGTGTCATTATTGAAGACGACATACATACATATTTTGCAAAGAAATTAAATAGCGAGGGAGAAGTAGTAGATACATTACTTGGAATCATAGAGATACTAAGAATAAGTGCACCCAAGTGCTTTCTAAGCAAGGACGAAATGAACAGATTCTTTGGATTGCTGATAAAAATTCTTCCTAGTGAAAAGATAAACTTAGAGAATTTCATTGAATACAGGATGTCAAGTCTACTCACAGACAAAGGATTGATTATGAAGCTTGTTAGGTTAATAGGATGTGTTTCTGGGGCAGCAAAGCAATACTTGAAGGAGATGATTATTGTGTTAATAGAGGAAAAGCCTGAAAGCATAGTGAAGGAAATAATCAAAATACTTCTTGGACATATTGCGAGAGATGAAAGCATAAATAGTGTGATTGAAGCTACCAAAGAAGCATCGATGCCTATTGTTGAAATATTGATGGAAGGATTTGATGATAAGAAATATGTTGATATATATTCGAGTCTTACATTGAATAAAAGCCTGTGTATAAGAAATATAAGAGGATGCAACAAAGTTAAGTACTTGAAGTCTGCAGTGTGTGGGCAGAATTTTGAAAAGCTGTTTAGTATTTATGGAGCAGATAGAAGTAAAGAGGTAATTATGCTACTTGCTGATAACTGTAGTTATATCAATAGAGATGCATTTAATAGAATGATAAACAATAATGATGAGAATGTAAGAATCAAACTGTTGGAAAAGATAACGTTTGATGATATTGCTTTGAATGGCTTGGAGATGCATGAGCGAGTACTTGATTTGAGTGACTGTGTTAGAAGCCGAGTTTTTGAGGTATTTAACGAAGGAGTTTGTAAATACAAAGAGTGTTTGATAAATTCTATTTGTGATTGTAAGCGAAAGCCTGAGTTAGAAGATATTGATGGAAATTCAAAATGTTTATTAAGATTTGTAGAGTTTATATTGAAAGGAATGTTCACGGGAAGAAAGCAGGAATATGTTAATGTAATGATCAGAGCAGAACTGCCATGGAAGGTTTATTTCCAATTGTGTGCCTTCAAGGGATTGCATGAATTTCTTGAGTTATCAAATGGAAAACTTAAGACTAATAATGAAGACTTTCCAATCAATACAGAAGAAAGAAGGTTTTATATCAAATATTTCTTTTGTGGATCGGTACCTGACTGTGAGATCATGAAGCTAATAGAGGTTGATGTTTTATCTGCGCTGGAATACTTGAAATACAGAAATATACATGAATATGCAGATATTTTAATATCAAAGCTAATTACATATAGAAACAGAAGCAGCGATGTGATTGTAATGATTGATGATTTGAAACCATATTTATATGAGAAGAAATGGCATTTAGCGCCAAGGTCAGATACAGAGCTTTTAATTTATGCACACTCAAAGTATGTCACTCAATACATTGATTATGTTCAGCAACAGGAAGTTTCATTTGCAATGCTATATTTCTTATCTTGTATGAAACTACCTATTGATGTTCTTGGACCGCTAGTGCTAAATTATAAGGGTAGCTGCGAGGAGCATGTGGAAATACAATTGGCATATAACGATAGAAGAATGTTAAAAGAGCGCATAGGATATTTCATGAATTCAAAACTAAGTGAGAGTCTGAAAAGGAGATTGTTGAGTAGTAGAAGCTTTGTTGGATCCATGATATATTTTGTGAATACTGGGCAAGTTGCAATAAGGAATATGGAGTTTTTTGTCTGGTCTATTTATCTTATTTGCATGGATTGTAACAATGCATCTAAAGCTAGGGAAATATACGAAACTTATGTCATGAAAGTGGATATAGAAACATTCAATAAGTTTTATACTGTATGCTCAAAGTTAAAGAATATGTCACCACGATATGCTGATAGTGATTATGCAGAAAAAGACTTGCTTACAAGCAGTAGCCAGCAGATGCTACAGCTGATATGCAATACAATTATATCAGTACGAGCAGGCGAGATTGTTGAAGTACATGCTGATTTGCATATGTTCTACGAAAGCGCTGGATCCATATAGTATATGAGATTTAACAACGTTTATTGTATTCTTTGTTATAGCAGTTGAATGAACACAACATTTTTTCAATCACGAATGTATTTCCATCGCCTATTGAACTGATATTATAGCCAAGATATGGTTGCATTGTAAACAACTGGTTACACACATCACATGTTTTAATATCTGGATACCTCCGTGATATCCAGGGATCGCATCTGTACTTCATATTTAGACATTTGCTGTAGCACACCTCAAGCAATCGAGGATTTGATGCAAGCTTGTTTTCGTGATAAATAAACGGATTATCGCCGACTCTGATGACTGTGATATTTGGGAATGTCTTGAAGAACTTCAAAGGAATGCATGAAAGCAGATTGTCGCTTACATCTATTATTGAAATAGATGAAACGTGATTTCTAAACTGGTTTGGCTCGATCTTTTTGATTTTGTTTGATTTGAGATTGAGGTACCTGAGTGTGGGGATGGTTATTATATGGCTTGGGAATTCAGAGATGCAGTTATCACTAAAGTCCAACTTTTCTATGCTGCACAGATGCGATATGCTTTGGTTGATGATTTCCAGTTTGTTTTTGAACACAGGCAGTATCCTGAGCCTCTTAAGATTGCTGATATCTGGAAGTTCAGTGAGGCAGTTGGATCCCAGGCCGAGCTCTTCTAACTGCAATAGGTTATTTATTCGGTCAGGGAGTTTTTGAAGCTTGTTATTCGACAGGTTTAGCCAGTTCAGGTTTCTTAGCTCGCAGAACTCTTCAGGAAGCACAGAAATTTCGTTGTTTGACAAATCTATCTTGATTAAATTTATCAGCAATCTAATATCCTTGGGAATATCCCGGATCTTGTTTGAAAAAAAACCAAACTTCCTTAGATTTGTCATTTTAAATATGCACCTGGGAATTTCCGAAAAATTGTTTTCACTGAGTCCCAGGCCAGAGACCTTTCTCAGATTTGCCAGCTCGTCCGGAAGTGTTTTTAACCTATTTCTTGTAAGGTCGATCCATGTCAGTCCAGATAGAGATCCCAGTTCTGGATGTATTTCTTCGATCCTGTTATCGTTTAGTGCAAGTCTACTTAGCGTCTTAAGCTCTCGTATTGTCTCTGGAATTCTTCTTATTTTGTTGTCGGACAGAATCAGCCAATTAATGGATGCAGCATATGCAGCCTTTGGAATCTCATGGTATCCTTGTTTCGAGTAGTCTGCACTTGTAACTTCTGCCATTATTTGCATGTTTCCAATTTCTTTTATTTTTGCTGATCAACGCTTGTTTCAGAATGCTATAAATAATGCTGTAATTCAACGATCCTTAAACGCTCCTGATGGCTTTAATAAAGCCAATCTTATGCAAGGTGAAACATGTTTCTCTCAGTTTATGCGCATTTGAGAGTTGAGAAACCTTATTGTGTCAAGATGCTCAAAAATATAAGCATTTGATGGCATATGCGCCACAGATGGGGAATGTGAGCAGCAACATCAGTAAAAACCCTATAGTTGCCAGGTCAAACTCAAGTGCTCCAGGAGTGTTGAGATTATACAACCTGGGAGATCATATATTTCCATACAAAGCTTCCCATGGAACAGAAGTTTATCCAAGCATCCACCTGGCAACAAAGATCAATGAGTCCGAAAAGCTACTTTCAAAGCATCTCTTGCTTTCACCAAGGCTGGAAGAGATCACAAGCAGGGAGATGGACATATACTACAACATTATAAACAGAGATAGCATTGTTGACGATATTCTGGCAAAGAGCGACCAAACAATGCCACTGCATTATAATCCAGTGGAGGATGGCAATCAGATGTACATGTGTAGGCAGTTTGTGGTTGAGTTGACTGAAGAAATAGCAGATGCAAAGGATCTTCGGATTCTACAGGCATGCTGCAACTATCTAACAAGGATTCCCAGGCAAATCGGATCTCTTGTCAATCTCAAGGTTCTTGTTCTCTCTAAAAATAGAATCCGAAGTCTTCCAGAAGACATTGGCCTCCTAAAGAGCCTGAAAGAACTCAATCTATCTCAAAACATGCTATCTGATCTTCCAAGAGGGACTTCTTCTCTCAAAATACTGAATGCGCTTCATATAGACAATAACATGTTTACTGCTTTACCAATAGTGATTGGAAGGCTTCATGGACTGAAGTATTTGAATGTATCCAACAACAGGATTCAAAGCATCCCACTTGAAATCCTGAAGCTTCCGTTTTTAATAGAACTGATGACCAATTCGTGTGACTTTGATACCAGAGATGCAGTTGAATGTGTTGGACAACCCACTCTCAAAGAAACATGCTCCAGACATCTGATAAGAAACAATCTGAACGTTTATAGAGATATTAATGGGCCATTGGCAAGGTATCTTTTATCAGTACAAGAGTGCTCGTTCTGTGGAGGACCATTCTTTGAGCAATACTATCTGCATAGAAGCATGCAGATGTTTGACTCTGAAAGAATTCCTGTTGTATACAAGATCTGCTCAAGACATTATAGCAAACATGAAGATAGAATTGCAGCTTTATTCCTTGGGTCTTTGAGAACATATCCAGAGAAATTGATAAAAGAAAACATGCCGTTCGTAAGCGAGCTGTTTAATACATTTGGATATAGTATAGAGCAGACGAGTGTGCTTGAGCAAGGCCTGAATAGCATAGGCTCAAGTACGATGCCTCTTATCTGTCTTTCGAGATACAATGAGCATAGGCAAGAAGATATCATTGAATAGCTAGGGATACAAATTAATTATATTCTGAGCCGTATTCTAATCCAATCGCGCTGCATATTGTATATAAATCTATTTATTTATTATAGCTGTTCTATTCATGATGAGCTTTAAAATCGGTTATCAAGGCACAGATATAACCGATCACCAAGGATCATCCCAATCTGATAGCGGAGCTTCTTTGTCTATTATATTGATGGCTGCATCGTTAGAATCATTATTTAATGAGCTAGGGCCATTTAGAACTGTCTGGCTTAAGCTTGCGGCCAAGAGTTTTTCGTCAATAGTCTTTTGCTTGAACATATTGGTTATATTTGCGATCTTCCACTCATGGCTGATTATTTCACTCTTATGCTCCTTAAGATGTCGAAGTATCTTTTCTATCAATAAAAAGACATCTGTCTGTACTTGTCTATCAGAAAGATGCCCACATAGAAGTGGCAGCAACTCCGTAGTCATTCTGAAGTTGTCAAAACTCTCATAGAAGTTTTCTATTGCAGATATCACCACATTCTTGTACTTCGACTGAACCAAATACTTGCACAAGATCTTATATATTGCATCTGTTTTTTTGAATACATGTTTTGAAGATTGTAGAAATGCAATAACATGCATCATTCCTCGCTCATCTGATACATAATCATGCATTACGCCAAGAATCTCCATCTGTTGTTTTTGAGACAGCAGTTGGATATTGTCTCTGATAAACACAATTGTCTCCTCCCTAAGCAGCTTGTCCTTGCACTTTATCCCAAGAGATAAACTACTTGCAATCGGATCGAGCGTTGATATTTCTGTAATATATTTTCCAGAGTTCCTTAGTAGAGAGAACCTGACATTTGTATCAAGCATCTGAAAGAGTGGAATTAAGAGCTTATCAATATCACACATATCCATATTCAGTATAAAATCCACAACATGCAGCTTAAGCTCTTTTGAGCACTTTTCGTTGATGTCCCCAAGAACCATCCATGCTATTCTATGCTTGTATATACCAACAAACATCGCTTTGTTTTTTCTTACATTCTCCATGAACTGCATCTTCTGATTAGTGGTGTATGCTCGATAGCCAAAGAACGCAACTTCCATGTCAAAAAACATATCAGAGCCAAATCCCTTATTAATGATGAAATCTGCAAATGATGCATTTATTCCAAGCAGCTTACTTATAAGACTGCTGAACATAATGGAGTCTTCTCCAAACTCGTTGCTTTCTTTACTTCTTTCGAATCCTCCAAGAACAATCCCACCCTCTTCAGTGAAGAAGAGGCTTTCTTTCTGAATGTTTCTGTGAATCACGCCACACCTGGAATGAATAAAATCCAATGCTTCTGCGATCTTGAAGAAGATGTACTTGTTAAATTCTAGTGTTTCTCTTTTGAATATAAAGTCAAATGGAAGAAGGCGCTTTGTGACAATATATTTCTTGTCGAGGTTCAACTTGTATATGTTGATGATTACATCATGTTTAACTTTCTTCAGGAATAGGCATTGCTCCAAAGGCTGAAAGAATACGATCTTTGTGGCATTTTTGTTTTCAAATACTACGTTGTACATTGAGTATGTGCTTGTTTTGTGTGCCAGTGTTTCTGTCTTTGCATTGATTGACAGGAGTTTTTTCAGAAACATCTAGGTTGTTTAGGGATGGCTTGTGTGACTTAGGAGCTTTATATTCGCCTGATGTTTGATTTTCGATTTGAAAGTGACGTATAAAAACAAACAAAGGGTCGGGGATTTGCATGAGATCTACTTACAAGGTTGTGTTTCTAGGAAGTTCAAATGTGGGGAAGACAACTCTAATGTCGCAGTATCTGCATCAGGAGGTCCAGAAATCGTATGGTCCCACGATTGGTCTGGATTTTGTTAGTACAACGATAGTTGTTGGAGGATATAAGGTTCGACTGCAGCTGTGGGACACGGCTGGACAGGAAAGATTCAACTCCATCATTCCAAACTACACGAGAAACTCGTTCCTTGCGATAATTGTGTTTGATGTGAAGGATGTGTCGTCCTTTGAGAAGATAGACCATTGGATAAATACTCTCGTGAAGACAAATGATGAATCAGGTACTAAAATCAAAGTCTTAATAGTGGGGAACAAAAAAGACATGGCTGATGAGGCAACACTTGAGCGATATAGAGAGATTGGTGCTAAAAAAGCAAGGAAGTACGATGGAGAATATGTGTGTACTTCGGCAATGAGGCGCGAAGGGATTGAAGAGCTTGTGAACGCGGTTGACAGGCTTATTGAGGAGGATTTAAAGAGTCCTGAGGAAGATGCGGTTTATTCTGAGTCTGTGAGGTTTCCAAGGTTGAGGAAAGGATGTTGCTAGGAGATTGCTGTTTGGTTAAGTTATTGGCATGATGCTGTGTTAGATTAAACTTTTGCCCTGTGCAGATGGATGTTTGTTTTGATGTTTTGGCGGGCCTAGTAAGTGCTATTTAGAATATGAGCAAAATTTAATCCATGGAAAACAACAAGTTGAAGGTCAGCACTGATGAGGATGATTTCTGGGGAATATTGAGTGGAAGCGATGGGTCTGAGGAAGACGAGATCAGCGTGCTATTTAAGTCAAAAGTGTCAGAGAAGGTTGTTGAGAGTGATCAAGATGTATGCAGGGAAGTGGAAAGTAGCGAGGCGATAGAAGATCAGTATTCATGCAGGGAAGACCAAGCAACTGAAATAATGCAACAAATGCAAGTAAGTGATGAGATGGAGAGTCAAGACATATGCAATGAAGAACAACCGAGTGAGATAATCGAAGAGCAAGATATATCCAGTGAAGATCAAGCAAGTGAGATAATGGAAGAAATGGAAACCAATGAGATAATACAAACAAACTTTGCGATCAAACAAATTATAAGTGAAGAAGTAGATATTGAAGCTATGGATGATATGAACGTTGAAGTGTGTTTGGAGCGGTTGGATGATGCGGAGAAGAATACAGAAACTATCATTGAGTCTTTATATGAGGAGAATGATGCAATTGATATGGCATGGACAAAAGTAACTAAAAAGATGAATGTAGATGTTGAAGATAGCCAAAAGACATGTTCAGTTGATGACATGGGTCTTATTTGGGATGACGATGAAGAGTTTGTTTTTGGAGCAAGCACGGATAGCATGAAGATTATTGAGCAGAATAAGGTAATTAATGAGCCTCAGAAGATGGAAGTAGATTATGAGTATATAATTGATTCGAATGATAAATACAAAATGATGAACGAAGTATGCGAGAGTATGCATGAAGAACCGATTTACAATGCATTAATGAATGAGAATGACGAAATGTACCACGATGAAGCTAAGGAAGAGAGTGTTGTAGAGCTTGATATAAACAATGAAGAGAATGGAATACAAGCAAGTGATGAGGATATTCATGGAAATCAGGATGTTGGAGTAAATGATAAATATAATGAGCATGATACAGTAAATGCAATACAAACAGAAATTAAAGATGATGTATTGAATAAGCATGATGAGATTTGGAATGCGAGCAATAATAAGTGTATCCGCACTGTGCCTTCATGCAAGAAAATGAATATTATGATGCCTAAGCCGTTAGTGAAGTTTATTTGTGGGACGGTCTTTACAGTGTGGAAATCATCGCAGAAGAGATTTAACATGCAAGGAGAGGCTGTTATGACAAGCATCAATGTTTCTCAATGTTATCGACTTGATTATGTTATACGAGGTATAAAGCGGTCTGAGTTTGAAGCTAGGATGAATGAAGAGAGTGTTAGAGAGTACAGAGATATTTATAGTCTTTTGAGACTCAAAAACCCATGTGTAGAATCTATTGCAAATATTGTGTGGAGCATGAAACCTGTATATTGTGAAAGTGATATTTGTTGGAAAGTGGAAGCAGAATGCATAAATGAGTTTTTCAGACTATGTTTTGTTGACGAGGACAAGGCGTTTGAATATGCTTTGGAGAAGGAGATGTGGGGTTTTGGGATTATGCTGCCTAACAGAGGGCAAGAGATGAAGAAGAAGGCTATTGAGAGAATGATGAAACCTTCATGCATTCCGCTTGTATCTGCTGCAATAGGTGAACCGTATTCATGCTTGAAGGTGTCTGGAGAATGGAAGAAGTACATCAGGGAAGTTCTGCAGCTCAAAAACTGTGAGGTCTGCCACAACTTTATTATGGAAGTGTATAATTGTGGAGTAACAGATGCATTGTTTGTGGTGCTTGCATGCCACATTGTTGGTATAGCTGATGCAAGTAAATATCTGTGGATGTTTAGCAAGAACTTTGATGCAATAGGAGCATTATGCTATGCCGAGGGTGTCGGTAAGCCTATACAGGATCTTGATATTTTAAAATATGAATTTGTTTGTGTGGGAATGGAGTTTGACAAGGTTAGAGCTGAGGAATATTTTAATGCAAACAAAAAATGTTTTAGGAAAGAGCTGGCAGCTAATTTTGGACCTCAACTTGACAGTAAGTGGAGCTTTGGATTGAAGAGTGTCTTTGATTTTGGAATCAAAAAGATTCTTAATGTGGATAGCTTTGAAGAGAGTCCATCAGAGATACCGATCAGGCACGGAGGGTTACAAATGCCAATGGCTAAAAGTTGCTTTAATGGAAACTCTTTATCATTGAAAGAGATTGAGAAATCCTTACATGTATATGATGAGCAAGAAAGTGTTGGCTTGATTGGAACGGAACAGAGTACTTGCAGCAATGAAAAAATAGTAGAAGAGAGTTCAAAGAGACCTGCAGCCTTGACTAGTAATAACGAGAATGTGCCATTACAAACGCCTTGTGTATCTAGTCAAAGTAAAATTGAAAGTAAGAACGAAAAAGATAAGTTATTTGTGGATGAGAGTCCAAAAAGCTTTGCGGATTTTTTTGACGAGCAGAATGCAGCTTGTCCGGAAGATTTGAAAGATGCAGGAGCGTTTCTTTCTAAGTATGCAATTGAGGAGGATACAGTAGAAACAAAGGAAGAGAAGGCTCCGAAGAAGGCTGGAGGATCTTCATTTTTTGGGTTTCTGAGTATGTTTAAGAAGGAATCTATTCACAAGGTTAACATTGATGTTGATGATGATTTCAAGTATGATCCAATCGAGAAGAAGTGGGTTGGTGGAACAACGAAGACAAATGGAGGAGAGACACCGGTGATGAGATCAAGATCGATACCGAAGCCTAGTTCTGGAGGAGCAAGTGAACAATCCACAGAGAAGGCTGATGAAAGTGTAATATTTGCTTATGCTAACAGACGAAGAGTGGATGGGAAGGGAATTCCAGGGACATTTAATAGAGATGTTGATGGATGATGTTGTAGAGTGTGAAGATAAATTTAGTGATTGTTAAGTTATTGTTGTTTAAATTTATTGATTTTATGCATAATGTGGATGGGGTATGGAAATGGCAATATGAGAGAAGACAAAAGATGGGAAAGACGGAAAATGAAAGCAGCAGGGATAGATGTTGAAGAGACATACTCGGATGATGATCTCGATGTGTTTGATTTGGTTTATGCTGAAGAACCATGTCATTTTTTGAAAGATGCCGAGTCAGTATGCAATATAAAAAGCAATAGAAGTATTGAAGCTCTTGGCACTGAGATAGGAGAAATAGCAAAACGAGAAAGTGTATTTCTGAAAGCACAGCCAAAGAAGAATGTGAAGTGGCTGATAGAACAGGATTTTGAGCAGAATATGAAATCATCTAAGCCTCCGGTTAGTAGTGTTCGGCATGAGCTAATGGATGCAGTGAAAAACAACCAAGTATTGCTTGTTGTAGGAGAGACAGGATCTGGAAAAAGCACACAAATACCGCAGTACTTGTACCATGAGGGATATGGCAATGCGGGTGTTATATGCTGTACACAGCCAAGAAGAGTTGCAGCAATAAGTTTAGCAAATGGCCTGAAAGCTGATCTCGGTGCATTGATTGGCTATAGTGTTAGATTTGATGATAAATGCACAGCAGAGACGAAAATAAAGTACATGACAGAAGGTGTTTTTCTTCAGGAGCTCCTGTACGATAGAATGCTTAGGAAGTACTCGGTGGTTGTTTTAGATGAGGCTCATGAACGAAGCACAAACCTTGATGTGTCTATGGGACTTCTGAAGTTGGTTATTGAAAGTAGAAGTGATCTTAAGGTGATAATCATGAGTGCAACTATGGAAGTTGATAAATTTAGCAAGTATTTTGGATGTCCTGTATTTAGGATTGATGGAAAGAGCTATCCTGTGGATATTAAGTATCTGAATGTGAATGTTGATGATTATGCAGAATGGATAGTGAAGAAAGTATTGCATATACATGAGTCTGATGAAGAGGGCGATATCCTTGTTTTTGTGACAGGAAAAGAGGATGTTGATGGGATAGTCAGTATACTAAATCATTATACTACAGAGGAAGGAACAAGCGGCAAGTGTTTGAAAACTCTTCCGTTTTACAGTCAGTTGGATCCTGAGAGACAAGCTGAGGTGTTTAAAAAAGATAAGGATGCTAGAAAATGCATAGTCTCAACAAACATTGCAGAGACATCCTTAACGATCCCAAATATAAGGTATGTAATAGATTCAGGACTTCATAAAACGAGTGTTTATGATGATGAGTCTGGAGAGTCTCTGGTGGTTGTTCCAATAAGCAGAGATAAGGCTGATCAACGAGCAGGAAGAGCAGGAAGAACTATGCCAGGCATATGCTACAGAATGTATACGCATAACACATATGAAATGCATATGCTTGCGCGTTCAGTGCCTGAGATTCAAAGGGCAAGTGTGTATGATGCGATTCTTTTGATTCTTAGATATGGAGTTAAAGATCTGACAAAGTTTGATTTTGTGGATTGCCCGAGCATGTGTTTGATTAAGAAAGGAATGCATATACTCTATCGATTAGGTGCAATAGATTATGATGGAAATGTAACTGAAGTAGGTAGAGAGATGGGCGAATTGAGATTAGAGCCTTGTTTGTCTAAGATGGTTTTGGAATCTGCTAAATATAGATGTATTAGAGAGATAGCTGGGATTGTGAGTATGCTTAGTGTTGAATGGCCATTAAGGAAAGAGTTTAACAAAGAATGTTTTCTGTGTGATGCTGAGTGTGACTTCATAACACTTCTGAATGTTTTCAATGAATTTTGTTTACAGAAGGACAAGCAAACCTGGTGTAAACTCATGAATGTTGACAGAAAGGCATTGGAAAAGGCAGAAAAGATAAATAAGACGGTGGAAGAGTATTTCCACAGAAGAAGCATAAATATCACAAGTTCAGAACATTCAGATATGAATGCAGTTAAAAGATGTATTATATCATCTCTATATTACAAAATTGCAAAAAAGAAAGGCAATCGATATGTGTGCTTGAGTGATTTTAGAATATGCAAAGTACATCCATCGTGTATAGTGAGAGATGGCCAGTATCTTGTGTTCTATAAATATCTTATTACTAAATCTGAATATATCCATTGCTGTATGAATGCTAATCCACAGATTATTCTCGAAGAAGCAGGCAAACATTATAGAGACAGGTATGGATCAGGCATAGAGCAAAAGAGCATGAAAAGGCAATTGGAAGCTCCAAAATCATTTGTATCCAAGAACAATGAGATTAAGGTTTCTAAACAGATTGAAAATCAACTGTTAATACAAAGAATCAATGAAAATCTGTACGATAGATTTGAAATATGGAGCGGATCAGAAGAAAGTGATGAAATAGAACTTCCAAGAAAGATCAGAAAGCCAATTGTATAAAGCATCTATTATTACAGGCTTTATACACAAGATTTAGCTTGATTAATACACAAGTGCAATATAATTACATAAAATCCCATTATTGACTTTATTTTGTTTAGTCGTCTCTCCATACGACATCAACAGAATCTGTTCTGTATCTTTGGGTAACCGTGCATTCATCAATGGAGAATGTCAATCCACTTTTAGCCATAATCATTCCCGTATATGCGATCATAAGACCGTTATCTATGCAAAATCGCTCGTCTGTGGCATAAGCATATCCTCCTCGATCTCTGGCCATTGATGCCATCATGTTTTGCAACCTTAAATTACACCCAACTCCTCCAACAACCAAGACTTCCTTAGAGCCATTTAATGCCATTGCACGTTCAGTAACTTCTACAAGTGCTGCAAATGCAGTCTCCTGTAAAGAATAGCACAAGTCATACTTTGACTGTTCATCAGTGATCGAATCTATTTTTGCTTTAGATAGCAATCCAGAAAACGACACATCCATACCTTTGACAACATATGGAAGTTCAATATATTTTTTTCCTAGCCTAGCATACTTTTCTACATTCAGTCCAGGTGCTGGGTAGTTTGGAAGTTTTAAATCCCTTGCAAGCCTATCTATGCAGTTCCCAATTGCTATGTCGAGTGTTTCTCCGAATATTCTGTACTTCCTGCTGGAGTATGCTATTACCTGTGTGTTTCCACCACTTACATATAAAATAACTGGATTCTTTGCACCTGTTATAAACCTGCCCATTTCAATATGTCCTATACAGTGATTCACTGGAATAAGTGGTTTCTTATAATACAGACTGATTGTTCTGGCAACTGTTGCAACAACAGCTAATGGCTGTCCCATCCCAGGTCCCTTTGTATAGCAAAACACATCAATCTCATCAAGACGTATTTTGGCTTTTTCAAGTGCAATACGTATAAGTTCCAGTATGTTCATGCGATGATGCTCTGCTGTTTTTGAAGGAATGAATCCTTCCCCAGCAGGAGAGATATATGTGCGTCGTTCATTTGCCAAAATCTCATCGTCTCTCATTATTCCTATTCCCAGCTTGTTTGCACTGCCTTCAAATCCCATTGCTATCATCACTGACTAAGGCATTGGCTGTGCATGATTAGATATATTTTTATATGAGCAAAACAATGAAATAAATTTATTCAACAAAACGTATTTCACCATTCTTCTGCATCGACTCCTTAGCAAACATTTCAAGATATTGACTTACAATTGATATTGCCAGAAAGATGTTTGTCCCACTTCCGATCGTGTCGAAAAGATTGGACATGATCACAACCATCGATGTAAGAATCCCTCCCAAAAGCGCAGCCGTGGGAATATACTTGCTCAAAACACTTGCAGTGTTTCCCTCCCTTACTCCTTTGAGCTTCATCTTGGACTCCTTCAGTTTCTGTGCAGTCTTTTCAGGTGAAGACTCATTCAGCTCGAGCCATGATACACTAAGAATTGCAGACGTTGTAAACATGATAAACAGGTAAATCACAAGCTGTAAAGGATGTTTTAGCCCTTCCATGATTGATTCTGGAGACGTGAGATAATAGCTAATTCCACTTACTGGAACAAACCTGCCACTCTTAGAAGACTTCCATGTCCCTAGTAATCTTACAAACAAGTATTGTGGCCATCTTTTGTACAGGAATGATGATATTGATGAAAAATGCCCAACAATGTAATTCTGTGAAATTATTGGCATTGTAGAGGTGTAAAGTAGTTTGATGGGAAATTTTCCTATTCGTCCCCTCACTTGCGATGACTCTGTAGGAAGTTCAACCCTTACACTTTGCAAGTAGATAACAGTCATGAACATAATAATGGTTGATATCAATGAAAACAGATTTGGAAGATTTTGCCTAAACATGGCCTCGTACAGTGCTGCAAACTTATTTCTCCTTACGACCAGAAGATAGAAAAATGAAATCACTGATCCTTCAAACTCCATTCCCCTTCCTGTAAAGAATACCTTTGGACTGAATGCCTTCCAAACGATGTTTTCGCAAACATTCGTTGCAATAAACAGATTTACTCCGTTCCCTAGTCCATATCCCTTCTGTAGAAGCTCATCAAGAAGAATTATTATGATCCCTGAAAATATCAATTGAACAACAAGCAGCAAGCAATATGTGGTTCCCAAGCTTTGAGGACTTCCATAGAACCCAGTGTAAACTTGTACAAATGCCTGCCCAATAGTCATTATGAATGCTATGAGTCTTTGTGTTGCATTATGAAGGTTCTTGTCTTCCTTGATTGACCAGTCTACTTTCAATATTTCCGACATCGTCAGAAACTGCATAATCAGGCTCGATGTTATTACCGGGCTTGTCCCAAGATCCATCAGTGTTCCCCTATTTGAGGCCATCATGGCTCTCATCCATTGCAATGGATCTGCTGTATCACTTGATATTATTCCAAATAGCGGAACCTGAGAACACACAAGATAGATCAGAACTGCCAGTGTGGTCCAGATAAATCTTTCATGGAATGTTATTGTTCTTGCTGGCGACAGCACATCAGGAATGTACGGCATCAATGGCTTAACAACGTGTAGCAAGTTGTCTAAAATTAGTTTCAATGTTTACATTCACTTACATGACATTGGGGGTGGGAATGAATTTTTTTTTATGGCTACTTAATCGAATATGAGATATAGTATGCATTGATTAATTTCAGGTTTGCTTATATGTTTGCATGAATTTTGTAATTCCAATCATATTGATTTTAAGAAGAATGTATCCCAGGAATACAATATGAGTGTTTATCTAGACAAAGTAAAAAGAATAATCAATAATTTTGAAGGGGATGACAGGAATAGCCTTGTGAGCCATTGTATATTGGTTTCAAGGGATGTTCTGCTTGATGACAGAGAAGTAAAGAGAGCAAAGCTCGATGTGGTGACAGATCTGTATTCTATTATTGTGGATGATGCTGATGCGCTGCTAGACGAAGTTCTGTCGCACAAGATATTGCAAGTAAGGGCGTTGATTCTTGATCTTGTAGATAATGATTACTCGGTTGATTACGAAGATGTCGGCATGCCTGAACGATGGATCAGGAAGATAGTTGAAGATACTAGAGACACATTTGATTTTGAGTCGGAATTTGGGATGAAGGCATTATTGATGTACAACAAGAAGCTTCTTGATGAGTTTTGTGCAATATTTGTCTCTACCAACAAGAAGTTTGGATCGAATGGAAACCAATTGTTGCTCAATTTTTATTACTACAAGAAGGAAATTGGAACAAAAGCTTGTGAAGCAAGTAAAGACACAAACGATGACTTTGAAGAGTTTTTTAATACGATAAAGCAATCATTTAGAAGTGATATGTACAAAACTGTTGAAGAGTTAGAGGAGATCCTTAGAGAACAATAAATTCATAAGATATTTTGTATTATAATATAAGTATTATGCATTTTTACACAAACTTGTTGAATTTGCGCATAGATACTATATTGTTTTTTTAATTTAATGCGCAAAAGATCTAGTTGATAGGAAACCTTATCTCTGCAGGGGTATGGCGAATATCCAAGAGCTTGAATTGTTCATCAAGCAAAGAAGACGAGAAGCTGAACTCAGCAAGAAGTTTGTGAAGATGGCGTGTGATCTTGAAGATGAGCTAGATATGGTGCTGGCAGAAGACGAGGCTGGGAATGGGGAAGGATTAAAGAGACGAAGGAGATCTGTAACGCTCGATATAGATGATATACTAAGCATATCGGTTGAAGAGACAAGAAATGACTTGCATATGATCTGTGGAGAAAAGAACTACAAGATGTTCATTAAAAACAGCACGTTGGTTGTGGATGGAGGAACCTTTGTAAAGGGCAACATCATCAAGGTTTCTGTAAATCAAGAAGAGCATGTAGGAACAATAACATCGGTTGAAGAGAATGGAATTGTAGTAAAAACAAAAGGATTCAAGAGACTCAAGATTTTGTTAGATGACATGAGAGCAATTGGGTCCTCAATTATGCTATTGAAAAACGAAAGTCCAAAGCATACCTCAAGAAGGCAGCTTCTGTAACACTCACTAATAAATAATTCAAGAGTATTCGTCATGCTAATTATACTGAAAAATTTCATTGCTTGTGGCCAAATTATAATTTGAAGAGTATTCTAATAATATTTATTCTAAGAGGTTGTGTTGCTTTTTTATTTAAAATACAGACACATTTATGATTCTCTATTAGATGTCTATCGAGTAAGACTATTGCAGTATTAATGTATAAATATAATGCAACAATCTATTTCACAAATTCAAATAGCATTAACTTGCGTATACATGTCTTTGAATGATCACAGGTATATCTTTCTGACATCGCTTGTATTAAAAGGTTCATTGCATGATGGACACTTTCTATCTCTCATCTTGATTCTTGAGTTTATGCACTCCTCGCAAAAACAATGCATGCATTTAATTATTGCAGTGTTTTTAAACCGAGAATCACAGAGCGTGCATCGAAGAAGACCTCTGTATCTTTCCATCTGTGTAAGCAAGTCCACATCATCACCTCCAGATCTTAATGACTTAAGCACTCCATGAAGCTTTTTGGTTTCGCATTCAGATTCGCTATTTGCTTTAGTTAACCTGACAACTTCATTCCGTAGCTCTCTAGACTGCTTCTTTACACATTCAAGAACCCTCTCTATCTCATTCTTTTCTACAGACAATCCATGCAATCTTCTTTTATATTCATCAATAGTACGATTCAGCTCTTCAATGCAATCTTGTAATTTCTTGGTTTTGGTAATTGCTTCGTCATTGTCTACTCTAGAAGCTTTTACATTTATTTTCTGAAAGTTCATGCCAATCTCGAGTTTGGCATTGTGTGCAGCAAGGTCCGAATTTGTAATTTTAAGCACGCCAATCTCATTCTCCAATCCTCTGCAACGTTGATGGTTTTGTTCAACTTTCTTAGCCAGTTCCTTATTTCTTTCCAAACCTTTGTCTAGACTTTCAAGTAGATTTATAATCTCGTCTTCTAGTGCATTCTCTCCATTTGCATTAATAATTCTTATTTTTTCTTGCTTTTGTTCATACCCTTCAGCTAATGCTTTAAATGCTGTTTTTTCTACTAGTAGATCCTGCATTTTACTTCTATTCTTCTCAACCTCACAAATAATTGAAAGCACGTCTCTTTCTATTTTTTCTATATCTACATTTAAAATCGCAGCTTCATCTATCAATCTTCTTATACTGCTTATACTCGCATTAATTATTCCCTTGTTCTTCTCATTCTCTGCACACACAGTTGCACATTTCCTCTCTGTTTCCTTTTGTGATATACTCAGATTACTAAACTCTACAGATAGTTTGCTTATCACTAGTTCCTTATCATATATCTCTTCTTTGTATCTGGCTTCAACATCCACCAATTTCGATTTGAGTTCAGAACATTCACTTACAATGCACCTGTACATGTCTTCAGTTGCAATAGACACCAGAAACTCTTCAGGTTGTTTCGTATGTATGCTGCCGGTATCCTTCGACTCTTCATGTGATGCATGTGCGCATTCATCAATGTCCTTTTTAATAAGTCTTTTTTCCATCTCACATACAACAGATTCAAGTCTTCTGATCTCATTGTTCAGCATCATAATCTTCGACACTCCATCTACACTCTGTTTCTCTTCATTATTGCAAGCGTTTTCTGCATTCTCTTTGTGATTCTCTAGCTGCATTATCAAATTGGCATTCTCCTCAATTAGTTCTTCGTTTTTACTCTCCAGCTCTTCATTCATCTTCATGTATCCTAGCATCTCAACATATATCGAAATCTTCTGCCTTGCAACTATTCCCTCCTTGTCAATCATCTCTTGTAGTTGCCACAGCGTTCTGGGACTTGCTGTATTGCCGTTGCACGACTTCGCTCTCTTACTGACTGGATCTGTGTCCATCTAGGGGTTGCCATACTATTTTAAGTTACATACAAAAATTGCCCTGAAATGAAGGTGATCCAGCAGAAAAACGTGTACTTCATAGACCTGAGTAAGAGGATATACAGAGGATTTGTGGAGACTACAATCAATAGACATGGTGGAGAAAACAGTATCGTCTATAAATCAAGGAGGTTGAGTATACAGAGCGTAGAGATAATCGCAGGGTCAAAGCATGTGGATGTGCCATATAAAACAAACAACGTATGCAAAGCAATAGATCAACATGAGGCACTGTTTTCAAAAAGTATGTGGAGGGATGTCTGCTCAGAATGCACTTTTACTGTAGATGTGCCTGAGGAGATGATAGAAGAAGAGATAGTGGTAAGGATCACGTATGGCATGGATGCCGACAATGACTCAATTGAGTTCTACAAGCCTGTATGTGCTGATGACAAGCACATGGAGGTTGTTGCAACAAATAGGCTGTTTGATTCGTCTTCAATATTTCCATCCGTTCAAACATCTTTGAGATATAAATGGGAGCTTGTTTATATTATTCCAACGAATGAGGATGTAAGGGTTATTTCACCAGGTACTTTCAGGAGCATGAGTGAGGAGGCAGAAATCAATCTGTATTCGTATGTAGTTGATATGGCCCACAGTGGGCATTTGAACTTTTGTGTTGGGACGTTTGGCTCTCATGAGATACTAATTGGAGATGATAAGAAGATGGTTTATGTTCCAAAGGGAATGTCGAACTACAAAGAGTCGGTGAAGGAGTTCTGTGCGGATCTTGAGAGTCTGATAAAATACACTGAGTATTTCTTACAAAGAGATTATCCTTTCCGAGCACTTGAAGTTGCCTTTGTATATGGAGATGCAAATAAGGTCTATGGCCAAGGTACGTCATTTCTGAGCATATCGAGTCTTACACCATCAAACGACATTGAACCAGCTTTTATGCTCAAAAGGATAGTTGGGGATATCATAAGCTCTCAGGTATTCTACTTCTATTTTTCTGTTGTCGATAAGGTTGATTTCTGGATTTCTGAGGGAATGAAGGGATATTTCAGTGATTATTGTGCAAGGCACTTTCTTGGCAATAGCGAGTTTATTTATGAGCTGAAGAAAGATCGTGATTATGTGTTTGAAAATGACATTTCTGAGTATGCGCTTTTTGACAAAAGAAGGACGCTTACTTCGATGACAGATAAGTTTTTCAAGACCAAGTCGAAGGTCTTTTTCCATCTTTTGGAGGGGAATCTGAGCAAGGCATTTATGGAAAAGATCCTGAACTACACTCTTAAGAAAAAAGACGATGTTAATGCAGAATACACACATGAATTTGTGAAACTTGTAAAAGATGTAACGGGCAAGGATCTAAAGTTTCTATTTGATGCTTATGTGTTTAGGCCTGGAGCAGTGAAGGTGAAGGTTAGATTCAGTGTAAATAAGAAAAACAACAGGGTTGACTTTTCTGTTGAGCAAGCAGCAACAAGCATCTTGGTGAATGGCAATAGGTGTGTTAGCGGACCGATGATGATATGCAGCTATGAGATGGAGGGAGTGTTTGAGCATATTTTTACATTGGACAAGGACAATCACTTTTACTATCATCCACGAACCAAGAAGAAGAAGAAACCCGAGGAGGAAGAAGAAGTCATGCCACTTCTGTGGATTCGAGCAGATCCAAAAGGAGAGCATCTGGCAAAAGTGATTGTGGAGCAGCCTGACTATATGTTTATAGAACAACTTCTTGACAAGAATGTGATTGGACAGATGGAAGCGCTTGAGAACTTGTCTGTAAGGCCATCTACGCAGATATGCGAGATACTGGAAAGGGTTCTCGAGAACACGCATGTTTTTTACAAGGTCAGGATTGACATATTGTATATCTTGTGTAGGACGATATCTGGGGATCATTATGGATTTCAACGGCTTATACAATATTTTGTCAAGAAGTACTGTGTTCAGACATCGACGATAGTCAAGCCAAATGATTTTTCGTTTATTTCATATTTTGTACAGAAACATCTTGTGAATGCATTATCGCTAACAGATCCTTTTGTATTCCGAGAGTACTCAGGAAGGACTGTGGGATCAGCGAGCATTGTCTGTGCGTTTATAATTAACATACTGAAGTTTAACGACAACTCGTTTAATTCCTACAGCGATAGCTGGTATATTTCTTCAGCAATTGAAGGTCTGAGTCTTTCGCTTTGCTCAATGAGCTATGAAGAATTTTACTCGAGGGCAGGATATAATGCAGGATTACAAAAGGTGGGGAAAGAGAGAAGGAACAAAATGAAGGATGAGATAAACGAGCTGTTTCTAGATGAAATGTCTGTAGTAAACAATCAAGAATCAGAGATGACCAATAGATTACAGAGTAATAGGAGCTCGAATAAAGTAAACGAAAATAAAGATTCCGAGGCAATTGAGCATGGCCGTAATGCATTGAACCTTAATAATAAACATGGTAATAAGCATACAGAATTATCTGGTACTGTGAGGAATGCTGATAATAGGTCTAGAGATGAAGAGGTTTCTGGCAATTCTGATCCTAAGGACGATTTAGATTATTTAAAAGCATCTATATCTGAAATAGAAAGATTCCGCATTCTTGACATGGTGTTTCCATCGCATTGCAATCTAGTTACACAGGCCTGTGTATATGCTCTAGGCAGACTTTCTGTATTTGGAGTGATAAGTTTGAAGAAGGAAACCTTAATGGATCTTTGCAAGTATCCTAACTTTATAGGAGTTAGAATAGCAGCATTTGAAGTTTTGGTGTCGTTATTTCATGATGATCAAGATGTGATTGAAATGGTTTTGGAGGATATCAGGAATGGAACATTTACGATTAAGAACACATTACTGGATTTATTAGTTAATTTTGGACTTTCTTCAAGGATGGGATTGAAAAATATATTGAAAATGAAGAGAAAACAGATATTTGAGCTGATTAAGATTAACAATGGAAATACAAAAGTTATTGAAAAACTATGCAGTCTTGTGTATATTATAGAAGACATGGATATGAGTGAGGAGAGATATAAAGAGCTTTATAAAGAGTTTTATGAGAAGACATTGGCTATTGGGATTCCTACGGTTACTGTTGATATAGAAAGTGAAAAGAAGAAGAGAGGGTATATAAGCATAAGATTGAATAATATGGATGAAATCAAGAGAATCCTATTAGAAACGCAATACATCATTAAGCTTCCATTTGTAAAGGAGAAGATTGATGTAGATGCAAAGATACATACCAAAAAAGAACAGAAAAAACGCAGTGAATTAAATGTAAGTTCGAAAAGAAGCAAAAAGAACATCCAATTCAAAAACACAGAAGCAGTTGATGTGAATAAGTATTCAGATGGATATGACAAGAATAGTTGTGCAGAAGTCAAGAGCTTAGAAAATATAGTTGAGGCAGGCGCTAATATTAAGATAAAAATTCCTACAGGTTTAAAAATCAAGGTTAAAATACCTAAGGAATAACAATCATATGATTGTTTTTAACTGATGAACATATATGAAATTAAATGTTATTTATTTACAGTATTTTGTGTGTGCATTTATATTTGTGATGATACTCTGTATATGAGTTGCAATTATCTTGTATCTAATCAATTCTTTACTACATCCTTTGTCCAATTGGATAAGTGCACTTTGGAGGATGGAAATGAACGATCTCTGCAAATCTAGATTTTCTATGAGCTTTAGAATGACTCTCATCATTTTACCTGCTGGAATAGATGCAAGGAACTCAAATGCCATGATAATATTTCCAAGATTGATCATCTTGTGCAATATGGTACAGATTCTATCAACAGACATTATGTTCTGTCTATACCTATATTTGATGAATGTGTGTGTGTAATATTCAGAATCATTTATTATTACACAGAGCGATTTGACAGATGGCTTGTCTAGGCGTGGAATAACTTTCGCAATTAGATCGCTGTTCATCTTTTTACACTCCAATGATGCTTAATTATTCAGAGGTTTCGGAACAGATGCAGTAATTGGTTTTAACCGATGTTTGGATTTATAGAATGATTTGTAAGCACATTGTACCATCTAATAACACAATGTATGTGGTATAAACAAATGAAATGTAATTCCTTCGATGGGTAAGAAAAATAAGAAAAATGAGGATTACTTGAATGAACTTGTAGGGAACGCTTGCTCTACAAATGCAAATAAAGCTGTAGAAAGCAGAACCAAGCCAAATGATTTGATTGATGCACAACATGCTTTAGATTCTCTCACTATATCTCAAACAAAGGGTGAGAAGTCAGTAACGAAAGGCAAAGGCCATGAATCAAGCGACAAAGAAATAGCGTGTGATGATGGAAATAATAGTATGCATGCTGATCCATCTGAAAACAAATCAAATAATTTTTCAGGAAGTGCTGTAGATAAATCATATGAACCAAACATAGATTCTAGCTTCAAAAGTCCGATTTGCTGCATTTTAGGGCATGTAGATACAGGCAAAACCAAACTTCTTGACAAGTTGAGACAAACGAATGTTCAGGGTGAGGAGGCAGGTGGAATAACGCAGCAGATAGGTGCTACATTTTTTCCTGCATCTGAGCTTATTAAAAAGTGTGGAAAAAACACATCAAAGCTCCCAGGTCTGCTTGTAATAGATACACCCGGACATGAGTCATTTACAAACCTAAGGACAAGAGGATCATCCCTATGCAATCTCGCAATACTTGTTGTTGACATAGTTCATGGAATTGAAGCACAAACCCTAGAAAGCATCGAATTGCTGAAAGCACGAAAGACTCCGTTTATAGTTGCTCTTAATAAGATAGATCGACTGTACGGATGGAAATCCACAGATTTTTCAGACTTTGAGAGCGCAATTTCCAGACAATCTAAGGGAACATTTGAAGATTTCGACAGACGAGTCGGAAACACAATCCTGGCATTTGCAGAGCTGGGCTTCAATGCAAGACTATTTTCCAAGAATGATGACAAAAGAAGGTTTATTTCGTTAGTGCCCACATCTGCAGTATCTGGAGAGGGCATTCCGGACCTTGTGTCCTTAATATTGGAACTGTCTGAAAAATACATGGAGTCGAAAATGAAGATCAAGGATGAGCTGGAATGCACAATACTCGAGGTTAAGAATGTTGAAGGATACGGGACGACTCTTGATGCTATTCTAAGCAATGGGGGTTTAAAAGAAGGAGACAAAATTGCATTATCCGGGTTCAACGGAGTCATAATTACGTCTATCAAAGCACTTCTTATGCCTCAGCCATTAAAAGAGCTCCGTGTGAAGAGTCAATACACATCTGTCAAAACAGCAAGGGCCAGCATAGGAATAAAAATATTGGCGAATGATCTTGATAAGGCAATAGCAGGAAGTAGGATATTAGCAGTTAAAAATAATGAAGAAGAGGTAAAAAGCATACTTGATGCGGATATAAAATCAATATTTTCGTCAATAAAGCTAAGTAAGACTGGTGTTCATGTTGTTTCAAGCACACTAGGGTCCTTGGAAGCGTTAACAACGTTCTTATCAAATTCAAAGATTCTTGTCTCAGGGGTGAGTATTGGATATGTTAAGAAAAAAGATGTGATTATTGTTGCATCAATGGCAAGCAAAGGAAAGGAATATGCATCTATATTGTGTTTTGATGTCATTCTTGATAAAGAAACAAAAGAACTGGCGATTTCGATGGGGATCAAGATTCTTGAGGCAAAAATAATATACAATCTTCTTGATTTATACCTGAAGCATGCTGAGGACGAGCGAAATAAAGTAAAAGAAATACACATGGACCAAGCTGTATTTCCTGTCAAGCTTTCAATTGTTCCAAAATGTATTTTCAATGCAAGAAGTCCTCTAGTTATTGGGGTTCATGTTGATGAAGGAGTCTTGAAGATTCGAACGCCTCTTTGTGTGTTGAAGAATGGAGAAACAGTCCATCTTGGATCAGTCACATCTATTGAGAACAACAAGGAAGTAGTGAATAAAGCAACCAAGGGGCAGAAGGTTGCAATTAAAATTGAAACCAAGCCAAGCATCGGCCCAAGAATGTTTGGAAGGCATTTCGAGCAGGATGATGCATTATATTCCGTTCTTTGCAGAGACTCAATCTCTACAGTTAAGAAATACTTTGCAGATGAACTTGATGATGATTCAATGAAGCTTTTGGTCAAATTGGAAAATAAATTTGGTATTTTCTAATTTATATATACAAATAATCAGGTAGCATTCAATTATTTTTATACACGAATAATAACAGTCCCATGAATTATTTGAATGAAATAGAACTGTTTGCAACAACTGGAATAACACACCTTTCGGTTCTGTTTTATCACCTCATGATTCCTAAAAGCATGGCTCTTGAGTTTCTGTTTACAGTTATTCCTCAATATGTGGCAATTGTGTTCATAAATCAAATGCATATATTTTATATGATACTTTGTGTACCACTTGTTGTTTACTTCATAGTAAGTCTACTTTACAAAAGAAAGAAAACTAGTAAGTTTCTATTAAAAGAGGCTCCAAATGCATCCTTAGTTGATTCAAATCTGTTCGATATTTCAGGTTCGGAATATATGTCCACAGCTATAGATAGAAACAGACTTGTAATTATTCTATGTGTTGCAGTTGCAATATTTGCAGCAGATTTTCCATTCTACAATGATCCTCGTCTTGGAAAAAGCATGGATTATGGATTGAAGCTCATGGATATCGGTGTAGGGTCATTCGTATACAACGCAGGCTTTTTTTCTACACTATCTAACTCAAAAAAGAAAGCCAAAAACATAATTATATCATTTGCTTTTGGAGCATTAAGGCATGCATCAAAAGTTATATTCAAACTTGGAGTCGATGATGCAGAATTTGGTGTTCATCTAAACTTCTTTTTTCTTTTATGCATCTTGAACATACTATCGCTGTTTATAAACACAAAAAACAATACTATCGTTGGGCTTGTGATGTGTGTTCTTCATGAGACATTTCTGAAGTTTTTTGGGCTTGAGGAGATCATCTACAACAACACTAGGTCAAACATTTTTACTGCAAATCTCGAGGGAATCATATTCATTTTGCCTCAGATGGGAATGTTCCTGATGGCAAGCGACATATCAAAGTTTATGCTTGAGGATGGTAAGATAAAGCCTATGCTAGCACATAATCTATTGTTTATCATAACTTTGGGAATATCACGCATATATTCAGTTTCGTGCCGTAGAATACACAATATTTGTTTTTGCATGACTATTATGATCCTGCATACAACTCACAAGATAATATTTGCTGCATTAGGAAGATGGTTCAAAATACGAAGTCTTCACTTCCATCGCTTCACAAGCAGACATCTTCTTTTCATTTTGATTTGGTCTAATATACTTACTGGAATTAACAAACTCATTGGATCCAATAAAGCACCTGATATAATAGGCCATACAACATGTATAATATATCTTGCCTTCGTGTTTTATATTCCAAGTATATTGGTAAGCAAGCCAAAAAAACACAAAATCATGTCTTAGTATAACATATAAGACCCAAATAAATTTATTTGGAGTTCATTGAAACAAGATTGTCAAATAATTTCAATCCTGGGAAAATCTTATCGATCAGGAGTTTAACAATACCACCCACATCCAAGCCTTGATCAACAGACATGTTTATCACGTTTAATCCTGATAGAAATATAACCATGTAAAACAACCTGTATGGGTTATTGCTTTGTGTAAGTATCTTGTTGTTATGGTCGGATTTATTTGAAGTTTTCCTCTTTTTTTCCCTAATGAAGTCAACAGATGTAAGTAGTGCAAGACACACCATTAGTGTAATTGCAAAAATACTTTGGTATTTAGACAATCCAAATGACTCGCCAGAAAATAAAATCAATCCAGAAAATCCGCATATAAACGAGCTTCGTATGACATAATTTGATTTGGTACGATCATTACATGCCTGCAATACATTCAAAGCCTGGATAAGTACAAATGCTCCTATAATCATAAGTGTATACCTACCAAGTAACATTCGCTCTCCTTCGTTTGAATACAAAAGCGAATCTGTATTTCCATCTTCCCCAAGTAATTCTTTCAACATAATGCATATAGGAACCAATGTAAATGGTAACGTTGAGAAATAAAAAAAACTTCCCATGGCATCGTTAGGAATATTATCCATTGTTGCCAAAATAGTTGTTCTTATTATACAGTATACAAAACATGATAATACGGCAACAGACATAGCAATCCGAAATATTTTGTTATCTACTTCCAAAAAATTCAATAGTATGCTAAGTAAAACCAAGCTTACCAGAATACCCATTTCAATCATCTCTCGGCCAAAATGTGTAGGATGATATTTTTGGTCTGCTGATACAACGTCTTCAGCAGAGCTTTTAGATTTTATTGAATCACCCTCCTCTTTTAATTTAATCAATATAAAAGATTTAGATCCAATAAGATCTGCAAGCTTTGTCTCGATAACTGGTAATGAATTTTCTAAAGCAGCAGCATCATTCGTCGTATTATTCTGGTTATTAGATGCTGATATAACCATAATATGGGTAGGATATGATAATAAAATTTATATCATAAATATCTAACTAATAATTCAAATTGAGTTATTTCAAAAAATATATAGAAGTTATTTTTATTCAAACTTCATAGACATCCTCATGATGTCATGTAAAAATTTGACTGCAATTATTCTATCTTACTGTCTTCATCTTGGTTGTTATTCTCTGCAAAGGCACTACCAGGACTTGAGCTTGGTGTCCAGCCAAAGTTGCTACTACACTTTATTCCAACCATAAATACTGCAAGTACTTTTACAATCATTGATTTTGTAAACATCGTTAGATAACCACTCAATTGCTCATATATAGCTTTAAAGGAGTATTTCCACCAATATATCACATACTCCTTTATTTCGTGTAAGCTCGTATCAAAACAAATAGATATTACTTACGACATGTCTAAGAAATTGTTTATGCATTTTGATTTATATAATACAAATATAACTAAAAATACTTTATACAATATAAAAACTAGATGCAAGCTTAAATACTAATGTATTTATAATAGATAATAAAAACACATCAAACCAAATAGTATTAAATGTTATCCAACAAATTTATTCCGACATTCCCGCCTTCTTGATCTTTTCATAGCACAAAGGCTCGATTGCAGGGTATCTCATGTGTTCCTGGATGTATCTTGTAAGATGCACACAATCTTGTATGCCGATTCCTATATCACATCTATTTTTTGTCTCCTTCATAGAGTAGAACACTCCATCCACAACCTGTCCTCTCACTAATCCTTTTCTCATTGTTCTCTTCACCACATACTCAACTTCTTCAGCATCTATACCCAGTAGACATGCTATGTCATTACAAGAGATCCTCGAGTACACAATACTTATCTTCCTGATTCCCTCTTGTATCACATTCTGCATCAGTCTCCTTGCAACAAAGTACACGCCTTGTGTAACATACTCTTGCTTATTCCTCTCAAGCACTTCCTCAAACGTCTTCAGATCCGCTCTCTTAACTGCAGATACAAGCTCAAAATATGCTTTATGCCCACGCTTATATTTGTATGGTATGCTATAATTGCTATTCAGTAGCATGCACAGAATAATGCGCTTCTCAGCTGCATCCACAAGCCCTTTGCTAGATGACAACACCACACTTGTATGAAAATTCCTCAGTGCCTCATCATACATTCCCTCAACCATCGATATAATCCCTGTGTAATAGCTGTATCTTGCTTGTTCAGATGCTGTGCAAACCTTACTCTGAATCCTCTGGAATATCTTGTTGCTTACAAGCATATCCAATAGACAGTTCGTGATCACAGACACTGTGTGCTCGTTTCCAAGCTCCCTGTTTGTTACAAGAAGACTGAACAGTGCCGAACAGTCCATGCCTTGACTCTTCCTTGCAAGATAGAAAAACTTCACTATCAATCCAACAAAATAATCATGCACCCTTTTGTTTCCAATCAGGCACGGAAGCAGCTCCTCATCAATGATCCTGCTGATCCTGCACACATCTCCATTCTTGAAAAGTACACCGAGGATGATTGGATATACAGCCATCTGCTCAAGCTCATCTTGGCATACAATGGCATCCAGCTCCTGTATAGAGATGTTCTTGATGAATATAAACACTCTTCTTGAGTAGTGGTCGACAGCCTGTTCTTTATTTGTGCCAAGAAGCTTCAGAACCTCAATGAGCTCATTCACGTATTCATTGTCATGCATGCTGGGGATTGTTTATTGTGTAAAAAGAGAGTAAGTAACTAAGTGGAGTAATGAAGAGTGTAAAATAGTGGAATAGAGTAAGTTAAAATAAAGTGTGTAACTAAAATAATGTAATGAAGAGTATGTGAAGAAGGTAGTGTAATAAATGTAAAATAGTGAATGTGAATAAAGTAAATCATTAATGTAAAGCAATAGATGTGAATATAAAGTAGATCCACAAGTATAAGAAAACGCACTTGAATGTGAGTTTTGTGGATAAACAGATAATGCATATGAATGTAGAATACAAATGTGGATATGAGGTAACAGCCAATCATCAAAAATCTTCAATATATTGAATGAATAAGGAGAATAAGTCTACAGTATAGGAGATGCACAAATTGATAGAATTAGTTGATTATATGCAACCATTGATGTTATTGATATGTGCATATTCAGTAATTGAAGTCAGGAGTTAATTGGCTTGGAGACAATATGGAGTACAGGAGTTATTTGAATAAAAGAATAAATAGTGAAGTTGAGTGCGCGGAAGGGATGAAGTCATTGATATATGTAGTAACAAGTGTGATGTTTTTTGGGTCAGCATTGGCTAAGAAGGTACAAGCTGCTGATATGCCTATTATTAATCCAACTGAAGGGGAAGAGAAGGAAAAAGTAAATCCATTAGAAGAGATACCAGGAACGTTTCCTAATTTTGCTGCGTGCATTGAAAAAGATTATGCAATTAGATATCATAAACTTCTTCAAGATGTTGACGAAAAATTAAGTGATCGAAAACTTTTCCATTGCAAAGAAGAGCTAAAAGAACTAAGGAATTTGATTATAAACCAGAATCTTTATGTAAAAAAATTAGTTGCAGTATTATCAAATCCCAACTCATCAGTTGAGAGTCAAACCCGTGCGTACATTGATTACGCGGTAAATGACCTTAATATTTTGCGTAAGGTCCAAGATATTAATTTGAGTGATGATGTTGTTTTATATATAAAAATTATACTTGAATCGCAGGAAGAATTCTGTAAAGAAGCAAGAGATCCTAGTAAAACACCAG